TCCTCCATCTCTGAGAAAGTTTTTAACTAGTCTTTCCAAGATAGTAAGAACGAGAACATCTTCTTAGTTTCAAAGAAAGAAACAAGAGCCTCACCCGGAATTAGGATTGCTACCATATCTATGTCATGATTGCAGAAGAAAGTTTGCCCATAAAAATAGGGACTGATAAATAATAATAAAATATTCCTAAGAGGTAGATATGGAATATAAAGTACTATTGAATTGTAAGATTAATAACAGCATTAAATATTACTGCATAACAAATGCTCTATGTGAAGGGAGATGATGCACATTTAATAATTACTAATTAATATCAAAGTTATGTTTGCACAATAGGAAGAAAAAAAAACCACACTTTCATCTTATCCAAGTTATGTTTGCACCATGAATCTATCTCTATAATTACCACTGGGGGACTTGAAAGAGCATTTCCCTCTGGACCAGTAATACCAAGTTCTATCATTCTTCTCTGTCCTTCATATGCAGCATCTCCATTTTCTGCATGAACCATAGCTAACGCACCAAGAGACTTGCACTTTTTGAATCCTTGTAGCAGAAGCTCATCATTGATCATAAGAGACCCCTTGTAATGCATGAAAAACTTGAAAGAATTTATACCTGAATTAAGTTTACAAATTGTAAATACAAATAAATTTCATAAAAATTAGCACGGCCAACAATTAAGCTCACTCAATAAAACCTGGAAATACCTATGACTAACCTTTCTCATTGACCATTATTTCCATTTCTTTTGAAACAACTTCATCCCACTTTGTAATTGCCATATGGAAACCATAATCCATGCAGGACTTCTTAGACTTTTTTTCATAAGCTTCTAATCCTGACAATAAACTTCCATTAACTGGTATAGCAAAGTCAATGTGCATTGTTGTCCCACCAGCTAACGCTGCAGCCTGACCACTGAAGAAATCATCAATGGTTTCTGTACCCATGAACTCAAAGTCTAGGTGGGTATGAGGATCAATGCCTCCTGTTAATGTTAAACAAATTAAAGTTTAGAGAACGCAGATTGGCCCTAAAGAATGACCGTCAAATTTCACTATTAGGGGATATTTAATAATAAAGAATAGAAATCCAAATACCAGTATACATAACAAGAAAAGCTTGAAACAACATGACAGACCCCAAAAGGTGAAGCCTGTGCGGAAAACAGTATTGGGAGCTTTAAACATAAAACTTTTATTCCTGACTTGCACATTGTGTCCCTTATTATAGACTCCCCTGACTCCGAATAGTTAAAAGCTGTAGCAATCTATCACATAGGTGTAGTACGAAACTAACCTGGCATGACAAACTTTCCAGTGGCATCAAGCACAGTGACATCATCACCAACCTGCCAATGGCATTTTTATAAAAAAGACAGGGTAATATGACATCAAATCAAGTAGAGCATAAAGAACTAAAACATAATATAAAGAGTAAATAGGAGATAAAGAACTCAGCAAAAATGAAAAATGATTTAGATAGATAACATTCTCTACGTCGCTCTGAGTAATACAGATCAAGACCATCACGCTTTCATTTCATTAATATATACCCCCAAAATCAGATAACATACAGAGCCCTTCATTTTCTGTGATATTGCAAGCGCAATTACTATTTCAATCAAATTCATATAAGATTGATCTTCGGCAACCAAAGTTTTTCTCCAAATTCTAGAGTTAGTGGGGTTGTACTAATAATGTCATGGTTTATGAGATTTTGGAAGAAGTATTCTATTCTATTCTCTAATTTTATGTTATTGTAACTGAAAATAGTTTGAAAATCACCAGTTTTAATGTTCTCTCAAACACTAATTTACAGGAGAATGAATTTGTCTATAGGTATCTCCTGGTCATACACATCCATGCTTCCTAGACCACCATCTTAAGTTTATGCAAGAGATAAAAAATATCAGTGATTATTTTACATAAAGAAAAAGGCAATTTCTTCTAAGAAAATAACTTTTCCAAAATCTTTAGTAGACAGGATACTCTGGCACAAGCATCAGGACTAATCTGCAAGCTTTGGAACCAGTGAGGTTTTACAATAGACCAGACCATGTAATTAACCACGTCTGCAGCCTCCTCCTCATCATGAAATGATTCTTTTGAACATATGCTTTTGCCAAAGCATCCTCCCTAATGCCAAAATCAAGACCACATACATTTCATCCACACGGAAATCTCAATCGCATCCTAGGCACTCCTTTTGCATGGATTTGATTGGAAAACCTCAGGATGAAACTCTTAATAAGAGCTGCCTTGCCCCTTATATACACTTCTATATTCTCTTTAACACCACATCAATTGGCAATCCAATATTAGAGCACATCGACAAAGAACTTAGAACATACGGAGGAACAAACCTTGCACCAAAATTTAAATAATCTTTTCCACTACCTTTCATGACAAAACCAACTCCTAAAACTAACAAGACTGAAAGGAAGAAAAGAGATAACCATATCCACTGTGCCTAAATCCCACACCATAAAACTGATTGAGATGAATTTACTCTAAAAACTCATCCTATAATCACGTTTACGAATTGTATTATCAGTCGGAAAATAAATGGGGACAGAGGATTGCATTGCTCCAGTAGTCCAGAACTAAAAAAGAAACTAGTTGGAAACAGTTCCGCACACGGATTGGAAAACTATCAGAAAATGCAAAACCCACATCCTTCACTGCCCCTGCCCCCAAAGTATCAAGCATATACATCAAACCTACCAATCTCAATATCCTATCTACAAGTTACTTAAGAAGTTATGAGCCACTTCTAGTAACTAAAACTAGAACCTCTACCCCATTTGCAGAAACGAAAATATTTGGAAAAAGAAATAAAGAAAACAGAGTTTGAAATATTGTACCTTAATATTAGGCCTAACAGCAACAATGATTCCATCCTCTACATAAACATCAGCGACCTCCATCTCATGAGCATTCACCACAGTTCCGCCTTTGATCAACAACTTGGTCGACGAAGACGAAGAAACGCCACATGTTGACTCGCCATATCCAATTCCAGCATCGCAAAACTGACACACGTTGAAATAACAAAATAATCAAATGACTCTTTAAGACTTTTTGTTTTTTATTTTGTTTTTCTCGGGAAACCATACAGAAAGTGGAGAGTGTATCGAGGAGTGCCTGGCTTGATTCTGAGATGGAACAAAAGGCGAAGAGAAGAAGAAGGATGAGAGATAACAGATGGAGGAGGCGTTGAGGACTGGAGCTGGACGCCATGAATTGGATGCTTGAAAAACTTCACTCCTTCACTTCAAAATTCAATCTCACCATACCACAAATGAGTTGCCACTACCATATGAAGTAACAATTTGTGGCTGTGATGGAAGAGAAATTATAGAAGATCAGTGACGATAATGTTTATTTTTCCTTTTTTATATCCACTTATATCATAACATGTATACAAGAGGAATAGTATCTTTAAGCCTTGTGTGGTACGACGTTTTCTTGCTCACTATTGACCTTAACTTGGTGAATAATACTTGGGTCCTAACTAGTCAACTTAACTACTCCAGTTAAAACCAGACATGTGTTACAATTTAAGTTTTATAAAAATAAAAATAAAAGTAACCAAACACTATGTTATCTAGTTAATCATCAAGAGCTGACCAGGCTGCCACTGCAAGGGAAAAAAAAGGCTTGCAAAAGTAAAATATAATTGTAAAAAATAAAAATGTAAGTTATGCATATAATAAAGAGGGGTAAGGAGGTGCAGATGCACCTTTTCTTGTCCGAAAATGCATTGGAGATGCAGAAATTTGCCCCTTTGCAAGCCCACCAAGTGTTCCGATTAAAAGCCTCAAAGAGGATGTTTTGTTGCTGCTGTGCAAGACCTTGAATATTTACCTTAGATTGTTGAGCTCGATCTCACGATCATGTAGGAGAAAACGGTTCGTCAATTGGACCTCTACAACCAAAGTTATAGATTTTAGAAGATTTTAAAAAAAATTCACGTAAGTTGCAGACACCAATCGAAGAAGAAGATGACTCGACGTGTTTGTAGTAAAATGTTGTGCTTCTCAACTTGCATTCCTTTTAAATATGGTACACTATCAAGGCGCCATATGTCAAATTCTAGCTAAACTAACTTCAAAAATTCATTAAAAAATCAAATGTGCTTCGAAAAATTTACCAAAAAATACCCCAAACTCATAATCACATGTATTTTTATCTCGTGACCTCTAAATCACATTTACTTTGGGTTAGATTAATTTGTATTGCTTTTGGTTAGATTAATTAATGATTTAATATGATTTTTGATAGACTAATTGACATGCATTTTGTTCATATTTGATATGAATTTTGATAAATAATTGTGTAACATGAATTTTGTCCATATTAATTGATATACAAAATAGACTATAATCAATTAGTGACGTAAAATTCTTATTTATTTTAGTTACTAAATAGACTATAGTCAATTAATGAATTTTGTTTAAATTGTTATTATTATTATTTTACCTCCTGATCACTGAACGCCCGTGATGGAAAGAAGACCTCCGCACGCAAGTATAATGATTTGTATTTATGATTATTCTAAAGCAAGGTACAAACCATGCATGCACCACAGCCAAACACTCTACGCCATAAGTTTTTTCAGCGCGCTCAAATTAAATTCCTGTAATTTAAACCAGTCCTCCTTGTCAAAAAAAAAAACAAACCCAGGTGATTTGGAAACGGGCCAAGGTGACCATCTTACCTACATCTCAATTTTCGTGGAGCAGACAAATGGTAAAAACGCAGGTGTCGGGTTTCAACTAGAACCGACCGTATCTAATCACTCCCCAGCTTCTAGATTCCTAGCTTTTTAAAAAAAAAATTTATTTTGTATGTTCTGTTCAGGATTCGAAGCCGTTTTAAACAACAACCCCCCACAAATCATTTGAGAGCTCGAGACAACAATCACCTCTCGCATTTTGTCTCGGTATACGGAAATTGACACAGAAAAAAATTTGTCAAATTACAATTTCTGTAATGATGTGGTGTATCCGCCGGGTATGCGCCGGCGCCGGAGCTCCGGACCGACCTATTAGGATCCGGAGACATCCGCAAGCGTCGGAGATCCCGCGTCTCGGCAGAAAATTCCTCCGGAATCAACGGCCAGAAATCGTCCTCCGGACGACACCGTCTAAGCATTTGCGGAAGGTGGTGTGGGCGGTGGAGGCGGCGGGACCCGGAGGAGCGTGGGATCGATCGGACGGGGGAGATGGAACGGAGAGCTCGAAGGCGGGGCTGTGCTCGTACGCGGTGGGGGAGTATCGGACGGTGGAGCAGGAAGGTGCGAGGAGTCAGGATCGGAGAGTGGACGTGGCGGTTGCAGCGGCGGTTACGGTGGTTCTGGGTGTAGGCAATCGGGTGCTCTATAAGCTGGCCTTGGTTCCGCTCAAGCACTACCCTTTCTTTCTCGCTCAGCTCGCAACTTTCGGGTACTACCGCCTCTCTGTCTAAGTAATTATTTTATTATTTTATTAGTTTGTTACCATTTTTGCTACCTTTTTTTTTGTCGAATCCATTTTTGCTACTTAGAAATTAGTTTTAAATTCCGACTCTGGTTTTGGTGACTCAGTCATTGGTCATCCGAGATTTGCTGGTTTCGAGGCTGATTAGTTGACCGTTTAAAACTGTAGCAACAAAAATACGAACCCGAGAATCTTCTTTTCGCACCCAAAACCAAAGTTTGGCGCCTTCAACTTCCTAATTTGCCCTCGAATTAAATTACATGAGAAAAAGGAAACCAGCCAACTTCCTTTCTCTGTCTTTCACGGTGGTGCGGGCAAGTGCTGGCGGGCGACTCGCCAGCGTCGGGGCAGTAGTCGCCGGAGTTGGGTGAGGGAATGGGGTTAGGTTACAAAAAATTTCCTACACCTTAAATTTAAATAATAACAATACTCGTCTCAAAGAAAATACGGGTTATACGGGTTGATTAGGATAGTAGTGAAGTGAGCCCACCCCTTACAGCCAAATTCAGATATTCCTCCGGTCGATTAGAGTCGTTTGTAGTTAAAAAACAATGCTTGCCTCAAATAATTGTCTCACTATTATGTTGAGCGACACCGTTTCGCCTCATACAAGGCCCATCCCTGGTCTCGTTTTCTACCCGGGGCCCAGAACACCACTATACGGTAGCCGACGCAAAGAACCATCCCATCACAGTACCCAACACCCCACCGGCGGAAACCAATAATGTCTTGGGTTGAGACAAACCAAAATGCATAAAGGAAAATAACATAAATTTTCTGTACGAAAAAACTTTAGGAAAATTTTTAAAGCCACAAAATTACCGTGGATGGTGTAGAAATAATAATCTGGGCCGTTCGTAATTCGGAGGCCTGGTTGAAAGGTTTTGGTAAGATGAACAAATATAATTAACTTGGTGGGTTTTTTTCACAATTATTTTTCTTTGGGAGAAAATGACCACCCTATACTTGTCCACTTGTGATTTTCTTTTGAGTGAATGTGATTTTCTTTTGAGTGAATGTGACTTTCTTGTTGGATTCAAATTGGACTTCTCCACTTATCCTTTTTCATGTTTTACACACTACAAACAAATTCTTCCCTTTTTGTCTTTTACTTGCACACCCCAATAGTCACATCTCTTGATTGTGTTTACGTGTTACGCTCGACTAGTGTCAATTGCGCATGACTCATAAATAAGAACAACAAATAAACGTGTATTAGGTTAGTCGACTAAAGTAGTGCTCAAGTTTGATGCTTCTTTTCACAAACTAGAGTAATTTAAAATATTATTTTGTTAAAAAAAATATTAAATAGGGATTGACATTTCCATAATTAGATCACATTTCTTTAGAAAAATTATAATTTCAGCAAGAATTATACAGATTTATGGGTTTTTTTTTGGAGTTTCACTAAAACACCCAAAATGGGGGCTGAAATTATAAAAAAAACCCAACACCCAAAACACTTTATAAACACACCCAAAACCAATCATTACACACACTCAAAACCCATTTATAAACACACCCAAAAAATATACAATTGTTGATTTTGGGTGTGTTTCTATGTTTAAATAGTGCTTGAGTTTTTTTATAAATACATGTCTAGGATTGGGTTTATTTATAAATTTGTATTTTTTTTTCTTCCTGGTAATGAAATTTATGCCTTTTTACTTTTATTGAGTATTTTGCTATTTGTGCTAGCAGTGGACATTGCACAATCCACTATAAGATGCATGGTCCCTGCACTATGATAATTCCATTAACTTAAACAATAAGAGATTTATCATGAGAGGAGCCGGAAAATTGAACTTGAGATCTCTTTTAACATCTCGAGAGATAAGTAACATTGAACCAATAGCTAGTTGGTAGAAGATCACTATTCATGTTTTTTCTTTTAGCTTTTTTCCTTCATAAATGGAACTAAAGTATAAAGGTAGGCATGACATAGATGTAGGCGTCTAAAAGCAAGCACATTTTGGTTTTATCATGACACCCATAAGCGTTAGATGCCATAATATAAAATTTTAAAACTTTATGAGCCCAAATTGAAAAGACTATTTTGTTTCATTGTTTGAACCCCTATTCTCATCGCTCTCTGGTAACTTCTAAGTTCTAACCTGTTTGGAATTATTAATTTTTCCTATTTATTTTCTTTTTTTGGCACTTCGACAAATGAACTCGGATGTAAGAGGGCGAGCACACCGCCCTAGCCAACCGACATAAGTCACAGCTGCCTTTTTTAGACAAATGAATTTGGTCTTTCTTTCTTTTTCTATTTTAAAACTAAAAGGGAGGATAAAGGAGTAGACGCTGCGAAAGTGAACATGTCGGGGTGGGCCTAACTTGAATCCAAACCACGGACTCATAAGGGAGAGATGTTATCATCACCTGCCCTTCTTTTTTGGTTAGATTTGATTCTATGCTTTTTGAGTGTCAAGTGGGTGCACGAGGAGCTGCCCACTGTCCTTTTCGTTTCTTTGTGCTTTTCAGTTTTGTGGTCGGCAAAAAAAAACAAAATAAAAAATAAAAAAGTTTAGGATATCTAACACCTGTCATAATTTCATGTTCGAAATAAATAAATTTTCAACATTCTATGTTTGGTTTCTTTTTCTCTACCAAAAAAAAATAATTGTTGAGTCTTTCAAGTCACTAGCCCCTTGGCACATGCTGCAAATTGATTTTCTTTTTTCTTTTTTCTTTTTTCTTTTATTTTTAGAATTAAAAAAAGATAACATGGATAGTTATGTTCCATAAAGGTATGACCTATTATCTAATTTTGTTTTTAATTTTAATTTTTTTTATATGTAAAAAATGTGAATTTACCATATTATCCTCATTTAATTAATAATTTCAATTCTTAAATTAACTAAGGATATTTTTTTGTATTTTGAATGTTTCACCATTCTCTACCTTTTGCTTTATATATATAGATATATTGGGCACTTTTGTGTGTTATTAGATTCGTGTATAATATCTAGTTGGTGGAAAAAAGCCTTTTACTTGTGGACCAGTGGTCTCGAGTTTGAACTCCCATAGCACCCTTGTAGTGTATGTGTAAGAAACCCCCGTTTCTTTGTAGTTTACACTATCATTTGTATTAAAAAAAATTGTGTATAATATGTCCATTACATAAAAATATTTTGATTTTTTTTGTAAAATACTTTTAATTTTTTTTATAATCAAACGTCATACATATATACACATACATACACATTCTCCATGTTTAATACACACATTTTTCTCTTACAAAATTTTGAATTTGTTAGAATGATATAAATAACAATAATACTTTAACCTTCAAATATTTTTAATGTTTCTTAATTTTAATTGCACATAATTTGAGCCATTTATCTTTTGGAATCAAAGAAAGTTAACTTTCAAATTCGACATAGATAGGTTTTTATGACATGTTTACTTGGAATGAGGAAAGTTATATTGGAAGAGAAGAAATTAGTATATGATCAACTACTCCCCCTATTCATGTTTTTCATGTATTGGATTTAATATAGAACTTACATAATTTTTGATTCCTTATGTGTTAGTAAATGCATGGGAAGTCATGAATTGTATTGATTTTCATAACCATATATAAGTTAACGCAGGAGAGGTCATTAGATAGTACTTTAGAAATAGAATAATCTAATTGTGAATCTCTCATATCTAATTTTTGTTTTATTAATGGCATTGATTAAGGGGAGGTGTACAAGCAACCGTCCAAGGCTCCAATACTATGAACTAACTTCAGTCGCTGCCTTTTAATTTTGTTTCTCAGATATGTAATTGTATATTTCTCAGTCTTGTATCTCCGGTATCGTGCTGGTATTGTCACAGATGAGATGCTTTCCATGCCAAAAGCTCCATTTCTTGCTGTTGGCCTCTTGGAAGCTCTTGGTGCTGTTACTGGAATGGCAGCTGGAGGTGACGTTTTCAATATTACCTAATGCATTTAAATTTTTCTCTCTTTCAACGCTTATAATCTTGGGATTTTTTTCATTTCTATATGACCATCAGGAACTTCTCTGAGTTATATGTGGGTACATAATTAAAACGTCTCCAACAATCATTTTCTGTACTAGTTCTAGTGCACTCCTCATTTTGAACACCATATAACCCCGAACCTGTTAATTGCTGAATATTGGCCCTTCTTATGCAAGTTTTGTAGACTCTTCATGAATTCTGTTTTATGTTTTTGGTTTCAATATTTATATACAGGTTTACATGTTCTTAATTCTGTGGATGCCATGCCTAATTTCTGCTAGATTAACCTTTTTTTATGGTTACCGAAATAGCTGATTTATACTGAGGATTATTAGTCTGTTATATTTACAGCTTCATACGCAAATATCATTCCTCACTTTATTTTCTTTTTCCTTGAATCAGCAATTCTTTCTGGAGCATCAATTCCAGTTTTGTCTCAGGTAATCCGGTTTCAGTGCATGCTTTCGAATACAGCTGCTTGTTATATGTGAAATTCTATTCTGGTGCTTTAGTTATACTTTGTTTCTCTGAATTTCTTAAGCTAGCACATTGTGGTTTGAACAAATGAGGTGATTATCCAACTAGATAATGCCATGCTTTATAGAAAATTTGAAAGAAAAAAAAAGCAGCTGTAGATGTTTAAATACCGCATTTTTTTAAGATCAATTAATTGGAGTTGATGCATTCCATACAATCAGAATATATCATTATATCTATATACAATACAACCTATTAATAATAGAGTGAGCTTCAATGGAGGGATCACAATTAGATGTCCTAATGGCTTCAAAATTGTATACTTTTTTCTAAGGATGATCTATGAATGAAGACTTGAAAAATAGATAGTTTGGATCGTTGAAATACAATGCGGATTGGGCCCATCCTAAACTTATTTGGGAGCTCTGTCGATAGAAAGGGACTCTTTGTACCAAATCTCTATAGATATTTCCACTAATTGACGTGGCTTGATGCCAGTAGAAGAATACTGAAAGTCAGATGTTTAAAATATTCCTGTACTTATTCTGCAGACGTTTCTTGTTTGGCAAATTCTCCTGTCAATTATTTTCCTTGGAAGGAGATATAAGGTCAATCAACTTTTGGGGTGCTGTTTTGTAGCCATTGGTGTAATCATAACTGTAGCGAGGTAAGCCATATGCTTAAATATCTTTTTATTTATACTAATGACCTTAAGATGATGCTTGTCTCTAAACTATATTCATTTAGTTTTTTCTGTGTCAACCTGAACAATTTGTTCCTCAAAGGATTGTGAAATTTGAGTGACATAGGTTGACTGAGAGAGAAAAAAACATTGAAACAGTGTTATCAAAGTGCAGCTTCCCCATGGATGCTGATTTTGGTCATGGTGATCTCACGGTGTAGTTTACATTCTAAAAGACTAGTTCAGACGTGCTGAGAATTTAAAACTCGTTAAGACTATTGAGTACACTGGTATGAAGGCAAGCCATTGCGTAGATTCTGTTGTTGATTGGGTTCAGGTTCCCCTTCTGAAAAACTAGTCAAACCCTGTTAAGAGTTCAAAACTTGTTAGGGCTGTTAACGTCCGCTAGTTACGCTGCTGTGAGTGTAGGCGCCATTGCATAGGTTCTGTTGCTCAGTTACTGTTTGGGTTCAAGCATGTTACACTGCAAAAAAGAAAACGAAAATATGTTAACTAAGTTGAAACAGACAGACAGACACACACTCACGTACTATAGGTGGATTTTCAATTGTGGGATGTCGGGATGTCCCAGATCACTACACAATGTTAATTGCATTGGTCACACGATGAAATCAACATGATCAGTGCTGCATTGAGGGGCCTTGGGCATCACAGGTGATTATTAGATCCTTTCCAAAAGGTTGACAGTTGATATGAAATACCTTTTCCAATTATAGCCAAATGTTAACCTTGGTAATTTATTGGAAACTTGGAAGCAATCCTTGATAGCTTTCGGACTGGAAGAAAATCCTAGTAACCACAACAACAAAGTTATGAACTTTCTCCCTCCTATGTTTTTATGGTCACGTTAAGTAGTTGATGGTCTCACTTAAGTAATGGCCAAACTTTATATTTTAGAAAAATAACCAGTCTATCATGATTTACTTCATAAGATGATATTTTTACATTTTTTCTCTGAAAAAACCAGTCAGCTAGAATTTGGGTTCCTCTTTGGTATGTTCATTATGATTGTCAATGTTAGCATGTCAAGTACTTACCATTTTCTCTCTCTGAAGTGGATCTAGTGCTGGACATTCATTAAAAGAAGCTGGTATATTTTGGAGTCTTCTCATGATAGTTTCATTTTTGTTCCAAGCAGCTGATACAGTGCTGAAGGTTGTAAAATTTCTAATGGTTATGTAACTTTTCTACTTTTTGATGTTGTATTACATTCTCTGTAACAGGAAACTTTTTATCATTTTGTAGGAAGTAATTTTTCTGGATGCTCGTCAGCGATTAAAGGTACAACTGGCTATACACAGTTTTCGTCTGTATGTTCCTAGATCAGTTGTAAGCTTGTAACTTCTGCTTTCTGAAGGATTGGGAAGCAACAAGTAAGATAAAGGCTATAACTTAGATGAATACGATTACCACTGAAACCAAGACTAAAATTCAATATGACATAATTTGGAATGTTAAGATGTTTTACATGCTTGTAGGGAATAGGGATAGATATTGAATGAAAATATTTTTTTTTCTCCTCCTTTGAGATTAAAAAGCAGCTCAACAAAAATTATATATGCATAATGAAATTGTATTAAATTTGTGATTTTTTTTTGGGGTTATTTTTAATCTAAGAATTTTTGTTACATCCAACCTGTTACAGGGAAGTTCGGTGGACCTATTTGTTGTAAATTCCTTTGGGTCTGCTTTTCAAGTAAGTATCAAGCAACGAGTTGAAATTCAGATTTTTGGGTGTTTCAAAGTTGTGTTGTGTTCACCTTTTTATGTTGTCTTCCATTATCAAATTTAAGTGAAAGCCAAATATCGTTGTCTATATGAATTGCAGGCAATATTTATATGCCTTCTCTTACCTTTTTTGTCAAAATTATGGGGTATTCCATTTGGTCAATTGCCAAACTATCTCAGAGACGGTGCAGCTTGCTTTCTAAATATGGGTACCTTATCAAGTGGTAAGATATATATCTGACCTTCTCTTCTACAGTTATTCGAATTCATTTAAATACTAGTTATTTTCTTTACAAGTCTATGAATTTATTTATTATACTAAATCTCTTATCAGCTTATCCTGCATTCTTTATTCAGATTTAAAATTTGTTGATGTGCAAATTTGAAATGAAATGCATGTATATGTCAATGTGCAACTCAACGAAGAGTGAGCTACTGAAAAAACCAACTGGTAACCAAGGTGGTGTCCGACCGGTCACCACTAGGGAGCAGTATTGATGATCGTGGGAACCCTTATTACGAGTGAGTGTGAGGAAAACACTTGAGTGGTTGTAACTGTTTCTCCTTCTTCTTTGAAAGTGAGAATCTCATAGAAACCCTGGGATGGCTCATATTGAGTGAGCCTTGTAAGTTCTTGTGTGGTTTGTGTGATTGGTTTACTTTTTGTGTTTCTCAATTGCGTTTAAATTGTTCCGCACTTGCTCTCCAGGAGATTAAGGGCCTGATTTCCTAACATGAGTAGGTTACAACGCAAAATAATAAAGTGCAAGTAGGTTACTCCCGAAATAATGTAGAGGATAGTAAGGCTGTAACGAGAGTGGGGTTTGGGCCCTTATAGTAATCTTTACACTGCAATTTAACTGCATAATTTATTTGATTACATTCATCTTTGGCTTGCCACAGGATGTGATGGTGCCCCCTTACTTCCTTTGCTGTTTGTTGTTGTCAACATGGGTTTTAACATATCGTTGCTGCATCTTCTCAAGATATCTTCTGCGGTGTTATCTTCCCTCGCATCAACATTTTCAGGTATGTCAATTTTACTGAAGTAACTTATATATGAAAAAGCTCTGAAATAAAATAAACAAAAAATAGTAAAAAGAATTTAAAGAGAAAATTCCATGCGAAAGGTTTTACAGCAAGCAACTATCACAGCTGGTGCATGAAAAATGGGAATCTGAAATTTTGGCTTGGTTTGTGTGGTCGGTTTTCCACGAAGCTGAAAGATGGGTCAGTAAATGGTTGATACTCAGCATGCATTGTGCATTTGGGTTGATGAGCCTTAAAGATACATGAACTCATCAAAGGCAGACCTCTCTAGCCCTTTGTCATATATATTAAACAAATCCTTCTAGAATGAAGGGAAGGATTTTTGAAAAGTTGGAGGGTTATTAGCTTTTATTTGGAGTTCAGATTTCCCGTTAGGTAAATCATGAGCAAATAGCAACAAAATCCTTAATGAAAACATTGCAAAGTTTACTATATTTTCCTCTTGTAATTTGTTCAGCGAATTAATCAAATTTGTATGTTGACATCTTGCAGTGCCAATATCTGTATACGTCTTCACATTGCCGCTACCGTACCTAGGTGTTGCAGCCTCGTTGCCGACAGGCTTTGTTTCTGGAACCATTATTCTTGTAATTGGCTTGCTCATCTATGCCTGGACACCTTCAGTCTATCCAACTAGTGCCTCCCCATTACCTCCTAATGTATGATCGTTGATATCAGCATATTGCGGCTCAAGCCGAAATGCAGGACATCGGTCTTTTCATGGCCATGGCAGATTACAGGAAGACAAAGAAGGTTGTAATCCTTGTTCGCGAAACATGTCCATTCATTATCCTTCATTCACAAGCAATAGAAAAGAAGGAATAAGCCTTCAAATTAAAAAAGGAAGAGGAAAAAAATAAAGGGGTTCTTAGATCTAGGCTCAATACGATTAGCTGTCATTGGGTTTAGTCCACACGTTTCTAGTTTTAGATGTAGGTCCTTTGGCATTTATTACTTTTTTGTGGTGTCAATTTTACCCTTAGAGGTAAATAAGGAAAATACATTGAAAATCTAAATTTAATGCATCATTTCCTTTTTAGAATTTTAATTTTGAATTCTTTCCTTGATAATATTCCTAACATATGGATAAAATATAATTTAATCAACGAAAAGTAAAGACCTGCATAATATACCAATTGATCAGACAAGCACCCACATGAAATTATGTACCTCACATCTAGGTAAATAATGTTATTATTAGCAACGAAAAAAACTTAGTGACAAATTGTGTTACCTATGAGTTAGGAACATAAATTAGAAGACTACATATAAGTTAGATATAAAAATAGATAAATAAAATTGTATGTTACCCACAAAAAATGGCTAATTATTATAACATAAATAACTATTACTTGATTCAAGCCATAAGGGGCAACATTGGAACTAAAAATTATTTTAAAAATAATAAAAAAGAAAATTACATCAGAAAATATTTAAAAATAATGTAATCCTATGTGGCACAAAAGTCAAAAGACTTGAATCAAAGTCACCAAATCCGAGGATTAAACCCAATTCCTTAATAAAAATTTGGATATATATCAACTTTCTAAGAAAAGGAAAAAAAAAAAAAAAAAAAAAAAAAAAAAAAAAAGAGAGAAAAGAGAGGGAGAGCCAAAGGCCAAAGGTTATTATTAATTGTGATCTTTTTGGTGTAAGGAAAAGTGTCTGATTTATTCATGACTCTGAGGATGCAATTGCAAAGCAAAGTTAAACTAGAATCTCAACTTGGGAGGAGATAGATTGTGGTGGCAGCAAGAAAAATGATTGCCATAAACATTGGCATCGGGATAGGGATGAATCCAGGATTTCGAAATACACTGGGCTAGATTTCCCTTATAAACAAACTTGACGGTACGAGTGAATTTCATTGATAACAAAAATTATACACCTAATCAGGGGGGACATAGTGAGCCTTACCCTCAAAATGCATCTAGTACATAAGATATAAACTAATAAAAAAAAACAATAATAAATAAATATGCAATGCAAATACATAATACAACTATTTGAGTTGCACCCTTCTAGGCTTCAAAGAGTTGAAATCATTAATTATTGATTTGTTATCGATACTATCAGCAAATTCTTTTTCAATGTGAAGTATCATACAATCAGCAAGAAACTCATCCTCTATCTTGTTCCGAAGTCAATTTTTGATAAGTCTCATAGAAGAAAATGCACGTTCTGTTGTTGCTGTAGAAACCAGAAGAGTTAACACTAAACGAATCAATCTATCAATCAAGTGGTAGGTGTGTGTTAAACTTGTTTCAAGTAAGCACTTAAGTAATTCAGGAATAGAATCAAGATTCTTGAAGGCTGGAAGACGATCCATATCAGTCTTATAAAATCCCAACTGTTGATGTAAAACCTGCAACTCAGTGGTAGTAAAATCTTAAGGATAAAACTTCCCAGCAAGATTGCATATATCACCAATGTTAAACTGCTTAAATGAATCACGGGGATCCAATGTTGAGGTAAGATAAAGAAGTCCCACAGTTTGCTCTGGAAATCTAGTATTTAACTCTACCAACTAAAAATCTATTACATCATTAAAAACATCAATACGGAAATAATGCTCAATTGTAATAGAATCCTATTGTTGACAAGAACGACCTGTACTCATTTTATGACGAGCACTCATATCAGGCACACTAATGTCATGTTGTTCACAAAATGATAGCACGCTTTTGATAAAATCATCCCAACCATTATTTCTTAACTCATCAAGCTTCATTTTTGTACTTGAAACAAGATTCAAAGCATTTACAATGTCCTGAGATTTTCTTTGAAGTGATTGACAAAGAAAATCTGTGAATCCCATAGTTTTTTCCAACAAAAGTAAGGAAAAAACAAATTCAAACGACATCATGGAAATATAAATACTCTCAGCTTCCCCACGAAATTGTGATGTAGGTCTATTACGACCTATTTCATCAAGAAGTGTCTTGGTTGCACCAAATAAATCAATCAAACTTCTGATAGAACTAAAATGAGACCCCCAACAAGTAGTTTCAGGTCGTTGCAAACAACGAATTTGATTAGCCCCTGTACCCATTCCAAGTTTTCCAGCCTCTAACAACCCTTGAATTTCAGTTTTTCGAGATAATTTCAACTCAGAATGACATTTAGCAGAAGCACCAACAAAATTCACAATATTATTCAACATTGAAAAAAATCTCCAAATAACTCCTACCTCTTTAGCTATAGCATTTAATGCTAGTTGGAGGCGATGAGCAAAGCAATGTATATAATATGCATATGGACAATCATTGAGAAACAATGCTTGTAAGCCATTCCATTGACCACACATATTGATAGCACCATCATATCCTTGGCCACACATATTCTTCACTAAAAGAGTGTGTTTACCAAGCACTTTACAAATCTTAGTTTTAAGAGTTGAGGAATTAGTATCATGAACACTTATAATCTCAAAAAACCGTTCTCGAATAAACCTATCACGACCAACAAATCTTAGGATAATAGCCATTTGTTCCTTTTTAGATTCATCAAGTGCTTCATCAACAAGAATACAAAATTTTCCATCCTCTCCAACTTCCTCACGAATCTTCTTCCTTACTTTGTTAGCAAAAATATTTAGGATCTCCTTTTGTATTGTTGATGCAATATATTTCGCATTTCCAGGAGCATTCTCTAAGACGACTTTTTCAACTTCTACATTCATTCTTGAAAAGGCTTTTATCAACTCAATGAAATTTCCCCTATTTGATGACTCACAAGATTCGTCATTACCTCTGAAGCCAATCCTTGATTTGCTAGATACCTAATGGACTCAATTGTGCTTGTAAGTCTCAACCAATTTTTTGTAACATCTTGTGGTGATTGCACCACTTTGTCAATATGTTGAGAAGGGTTGCTTAAATCCATCCACCTTTGCATAGCAAGATGATGTGGAGAATTTATATTGACTACATGACCAAGGAAAGCACATTTTTCCCCACCAACTCTCTTCCAATTTTTAAACCCATCTATAGTGAATGCCTTGTGTGAATGATCAATTTCAAAAACAAAGCATGGAAAGCAAAACCCTTAATCTTCATGGACAGAATACTCAAGCCAAGGGAATTGTTTGAACCAACATTGTTGAAATCAACGATTTTGATTCCCATCTAAGTGGTGTGGATATTCCCCTAATGTGGGTTGACATGGTCCTAAGAGAATACATGCTCTTCGAATGTTATCACGTTCATTAATTGAATATGTGCATATTTGATGACATAATCCCGGATCACGTTCAAGAGAATTGATATCAATTTGTTGATTACAATGGACTCTCTGAGACTCGACTCTTTGAAATTCAGAAGGAGGTTTCTCCCCACAAATTGGAGAAGATGAAGAAGGGCTAGAGGGCATGCTACTTGATGATCCTTCATTTTTTTTCTTAAAAAAATACAAAATATTCTTCACTCTCTTAGGATTTTGATGATGATCTGACATTATAAGTATAACCTATAACATGAATGATGTATGTAAGCATATTCAGAAATCCCCAAATTCAAAAACCCTAAATGTTGTTTATAAAAAAATAATAATAATTATAACTCCCTAATAAGAACTAAGTGAAGAAAATTACCTCAACAAACAAAAAGAGGAGAAATTGGCTTGTTAATTTGTTGAACTGGAGCTGGACCAGTCGCTGGTGAGATGCCTCTGGCTTTGTTGGCTCTTTGTTTTTCACCTGAACTGATGCTTTTTGTCAATTATTTTTTTTACCACTCAATTAGAGTTTGATTCTTTGTTGTGTGAATGCAAGTGGGCTATCCCTTCTATTTAGTTATAGATATATATATATTATTTTATTTTGGGCTAAGACTACATCACATTTAAAAGTCAAATTTTTTTTTGGCATGGGCTATAGCCCATACAGCACATTAGCTGCATTCGTCCCTGCATCGGGGGAAGACAGAATGTTGTGATATCAATTGCTAGATAGAGATTGGAGTAATTTCATAGGAAGTAGGGAAGTTATTTTGTTTTGTAAGTCTGATAATTGTAATGTGTCTTTGTTTTTGTTTTCTTGTTTGTTGATGTACGGAATGTTGGGATCCTACAGGGATATTCTTTTTAGGTTAATTTTAAATTTACTACGGTAAAGTTTACTGACTTTCAGAGTTCGATACATCAAATTTTTTCATCTCTATCGCATACACAAAGTGAATTTTCTTACCATTTTCATACATGTCATCAGTCTTTCTATTAACTGTTGATGTGGCAACAAATGTGACACGCAGACTCACTCATATGATGCCATGTGGTCCACATATATTATTAAATAAACAAACAAAGAAATAAACATTAATTAATTAAATAACTTAAAATTAAAAATCTCTCTCTCTCTCTCTCTCCTCTCTCTCTCTCTCTCTGTGCAAATTCAAAATTTGAAAAGAAAAAAAATTCGAACACTTCGCATCTGGGGGTGGGGTTGCGGCTGGGGTTCTGGGTTCTGCGGGTTTAGTGGTGGGGGTTGGGTTGTGGGCTGGATTGGGCTCTAGGTTCTAAGAGGGTGGGAGGAGGAGGAGGGGGTCTTGTGGGTGGTCATGGGGATAGAGAAATTTTTTGGGTGTCTCAAGAAAGGTTGGCTGGGGTTCTGGGTTCCATAGTAGAGCAAGGAAAGAGTGAGAGAGCATTGGGGTTCTGGGGCAAGGAGAATGATGGGGTTTTGGGTTCGATGAGAGAGCGCGAGAGAGAGAGGGATTTTTATTTTTTAAGTTTAATTAATTAATTAATTAATTTTTATTTATTTAATAATATATGTGGACCATATGGTATCATACGAGTGGGTCTACGTGGCACATTTGTTGTCACGTCATCAGTTAACACACTTGGTAACAGAAAGACTGACGGGAAGTATGAAAGTGGTAAGAAAATCAACTTTGTGTATGCGACTGAGACGAAAAAAATTTGATGTATCGAACTCTAAAAGTCGGTAAACTTTACTGTAGGAAAGTGAAAATTACCCTTCTTTCCAATTTTTTGTTTGTTTCATATGAAAAACAAATCTCTAATTTTTTGCAGTGTTTTTATACCACTGTTTGTGAGCCATGGTTGGTCGACTCGGCACAGTACAATCCTCTAATTTGAGGCCTTCCTCTCTTAATTCAATTTTTTGGGGTTATATTGTGTGATTAAACAGGAGTATTGGAAGTCCTAGTAACAAAGATCAATAAACAAAATAACATCATACATGTGAAGTAATATACATCTTCAATAATCCTATAACAAAAGTATGACCTTTCTCACTATTTAGTATGCACATCTACAATGGGAATAACATAAACGTAAGTATGGTCTTCCTCACTATTCAGTATGCACATCTACAATGAGGATGACATAAAATGGTATGGATGCTAGTGAGGGTACCTTATCTATGTGTCAATTAGGTTTTCCACCCATCAAGTAAAAACCTAATTTTAACACAAGTAGGAACAATTAATAGATACTAAGTCCACATACTATGTAGTTAATGGCCGCATCATCTTTCGAGTTAACATGTCATAGACATATGCACATCACCAACAAGCCCATATATTAATGGTGGAGCTCGAGCTATTACGAGAACTTTGGCATGCTCTTTTCCTTAGATAGCACCTTCGTCTTCCATTTGACAACATCTTTTTGTCTATGCAGTGTGTTATTCTCCTGAATGGTGGCTTAAACTTCGGCTGTTTTGACCTTCGCCGTCTCCCCATGCCGCTGGGCCAACAAATGTTGGCCTAGGCAATGTGGGGTCCACTTGCCTGGGCTGGCCCGAAGGCAGGGGGAGCCTGAGCTCCAGCCCGAAGGCAGCTGACGTCAGCAGGCGCAATTAATTTTTTTTCTTTCCGCTACCACGTGGCCCAACCTGGTCCTTTCGATTTCCGATTTTTCATCCAATCCAACGGCTTGGAATTTTTCAAGGCAAAAAATTATGAAAAAAAATCGTAAAAAATTTAAAAAAAACCCCAAAAAATACTGAATTTTTTTTCTATAAATACCAATCCATACTCTTCACTTTTAACAACAAATTCACTTTCTACTCAATAATTTTTTCACTTTCAACTCTAAATTTTTTTCACTTTCAATTTTAATTATCTGAAATTTGAAAAAAAAATTATCTGAAATTTGAAACCGAAAATCTTATCTGAAAATCTTATCCGAATATTTTATCAGAAAATCTCATCCGAATATATTGTCCAAATTAATTGTTTAGGTAAACAAATTTGTGAAAAAAACAAAAAATTGAATAGTACCCCCCCTTGCCATGGCAACTGCTGGAAGTGGAACTTACTTTTTGCAAGGGCAGACACTATTCCCGTGAATAGTGTCAGCCCTAGCCCCCCCTTGCCATGGCAAGATTTCAACTGCTGGAAGTGCCCTAAGGGTGATGTACATCTCCCCCACCACCTGCCAAACAGAAACAAACCATATAATCAAAAGCACTTAGCAACCCCCAATTTATGTACAATTAATATTACAATTACATGGGATACCATTAGAAACGTCTGCCCCATGTGTTCCTAGAAGCAATAAGGTTCACCCCTCGCCAAGCCTTCAAGGTTCATTTTGATGCCCTCCATGAACGCATTCTCCAATGAACCTTACAATGCATGGCCAGTCTGGCCTCGTTCTTTTCCTTATGCATTTGACAGAAGTCAATTTCCTCACTATTGTGGAAGCAAATTATCCAGGTCAAATAATTAAACCAATCAATTTGGAATTATTTGACCTAATTGGGAGTTACTCGATTTAATTGGGAGTTACCTGATTTAATTGGGGATTTATTTGATTCTTGCCTTAATTAGGGATTTGATTTAAATCAAATCCCTAATTACACAAATCTTGCCAAATCAAGGAAGTTATAATTCCTTTCCATATGTGGAAATTATTCTTCTGAAACCCTAGCCTCCGAGGCTCCTATAAATAGATGGCTACACACAAGGGTTGAGGTACGTCTAAATTCCTCTCTGAAACTCTGCAGAAATTATCTCTCACAAACCCTAGCCGCCATACTCTTTCTCTCTCTCACACAAGGCTCTGCCCACCACACACAACTTCGGCCCCCCGGTTCACACCATACATACATCTTTGTACCTTTTTTAGCTATTGTTTCTCTATGAATCAATTGAACTAACTTAGGCACCGGAGGGTCTTTGGCCAACAACCTCCGGATGTGGTCCTCTTATTCCGATTTATTTTGCAGGGAGAAAGAGATGACGAAGGGAAAGACGAAATCTTAGACGAATATTCTTGTAGGACGAAAATCGCTCCCACAACTATCATTGGGAACCACCCCTTTAGCTCAATTGACATCCTAAATGGCTCTAGGAGGGTTGTCATCTCCAGCTGCGGCAACATACTTTTATGGTTGAGCATTTGCTACTGCACCTTCTGCACGATCTCCAGAGCACGTCTCTTCTACTCGACAAGGGTCTCTTCATCTACCTACCGCTACTGGTCCTTCAACAGTGGTGTGACCCCACCCCACCCCATCATGCTCCTTTGCACTCTCTCTCTCTCTCCCTCCCTCCCCTTCTTCCTCTTCATCCGCCTGCCGCTACTAACTGTATAAAGCCTCTCCTTTTTTGGCAAGTTTGAATCCCACACACATATCATGCAAATGATCCAAAAGTTAGGGTTGAATTGCTCAGGTGCATACCTTATCATCGCTAGTATGTCATGCACTCATGCATGCCTAGGTTTCTCTTTTATAACAATTATCATTGTTCATGCAAGGTTCATGATATATTTAATGAAATTCAACAAAAACACAAGTCTAATTGTAAAACAATGAAAGGAATTTCTGGCATACTTTGTTCTCAATGGTGGTCGGAAATCGCTCCCCCGCAATCTTGTTCTCATCGAAATCACCTCCAACCAACTCTCAATTGACTCTCAAATGCTAAGTACCTTCCCCATATTGAGCCTTTCTAGGTGGCATGAGCAACAATCACTTTACCTCATATGTCCTCATGAAAACCCAAATGACCAGATGCAAGGTTAAGTATCACTTCCTTTGGACCTTTGAACCCTACTATAAGAAAATATCATTTACTGTTCAGTTAATTTCTAACCAAACGGTAGGCCTCGTTTGCCTACCCAATAAGAAAGCCCCTCCCCTAAAAATGTGCGCCCTATCGATCAGTCTATTTCTAATTGAACGAGAGGCACGTTTGCCGATTTGGTTAAAGACCTTCCCATCTAAACCTTCGATCAAATTCTAACTGATCGGTAATGTGGGAGCGATTTTCGTCCCATAAGAATATTCACCTCAGATTCCTTCGTCTTCTTTGCTTCTTTTTCTCCCTGCAAAACAAATCGGAGTAAAAGGACCACACCCGGGGGGTGTTGGTCAAAGGCCCTCCGATACCTAAGTTAGGTTGGGTGTTTGGAGGAAAACCGGGTGGCCGGAGCCTTGTGTGAAAGAGAGAAAGAGTATGGTTGGTAGGGTTTGTGAGGGATAATTTCTGCAGAGTTTTAGTAGGAATTTAGATGTACCTCAATCCTTGTGCGTAGCCAAGTATTTATAGGGGCTTCGGAGGCTACGGTTTCAAAAGAATAATTCCATAGATGGAAAGGAATTATTCTTCCTGATTTGGCGAGGTTGGTGTAATTAGGGATTTGATTTAAATCAAATCCCTAATTAAGGCAAGAATCAGATACATCCCATTTAAATCAAATAACCTCCCAATTAATTTAGGTAACTCCTAATTAGTTTAGGTAACTCCCAATTAGGTCAAATAATCCCCAAATTGATTGGCCTAATTATTTGACCTGGGGTGAGATATTTTGCTTCCATAGGTAAGATGTTCACGGATAAGATATAGGCTCTCGCTTGCTTTCTGACCTTCGGTCAAATTCTAATAGACTAGTAAGACGTTCAACAATCTGGTTAAAGGCTCTAGCCATTTTTTGACTTCCGTTCAATTTCTAATCGATCGGTAAGACGATTTATCGATCCATAGAGACTCTCGCCTCTTTTCTCACCTTCAGTCAATCTGGTTAAAGGCTCGTGCTCTGTTCTGACATTCAGTCGATTTCTAACATATTTGTAAGATGTTTAGCGACCTGGTTAGAAGCCCCAACTTCTAAATTTTCACCATTGCCTTTCTACGAGGCTCTCTTTGGTTGGCAACTTGGGGGACTATGTGACTCCCATCAATACCCATGTTGTCGAACCGCTCAGTCAACCACTGATCCTAGGACAAGTTTTGAACTAAGAAGCCCCTTATCAAGTGGCACCTGTAGTCGACCAAGCTCAATTGGCAACGAGTGAAGCACTGAACACTGCATTTACTGAAGGATGAACCCAAAGGCAACAACCACCACGTGAGCTCTGGCCGTACTTGCCAAATGCCAGGCATGGTTCTTAATTGCCAAACGGTAAGTAAGACCTTCCAAACTCCAAATGCGACTCCCATAACCGAACTAAGGCTACCATGTGAGCCTTGTGACATGTGCCATCATTAAAATGAGTGGCAAAAGACCTACATGGAAGAAATATGCAAACAACTCTCACCCATTTTTATATAAAATGGTCACCAATCCCAAAAAAGAATGTAATTAATGCTAACCCTAGTTGTCACTCTTTCAAAATCATTCCTCATTTTCTACTTAGAGAACGTAAGCATTAGAGTGCCTTCTGTTGGTACCACATCGACTCTAAGTACATACGGATTTTTTGCAGGACCCCTTGTACTTGCGAAAGGCTCTTTGAGGCAATACTATCGAAGATTGAATTACATTAAAGTTGTTTCCAATTTTGGACACCAACTAATTATTGCTAAATTTATGCATGCTTAACATCCTCCCAGTCTTTTACTCTTTTTAGTAGCACCTAACCACCACCACAAATATTACTTAGCAATTTAGTTTTGTGGGACAGAGGAGATGAAAAAGAAGAAGATTCCTATAGAGAAGATTGAAAAAAAGAAGTCTCATAATGTGACTTTGTCAAAGACAAGGAATGGTCTAATCAAGAAAGCTTGGGAGTTCTCAATTCTCTCCAGCGCATCCGTTGGCGTTCTTGTAATCTCTGTAGCCGGCCACCATTACACTTATGGCTTTCCTTCCCTTGACTTTGTGGTCGACCAATTCTTCTCTAGAACCACTGTTGGCCCTTCCACTTTGACGACTGGTTCGTCTTCCTTTGTCTTCGTGGATGACCAATTCCTCGCAAGTTAAATGATTGCAATAACTTCAACTCCATGGCTACTATTATATCACCATCATCCTCTCTCTAATGACTTGCTCAACTCTTCTAAATCGTTACAAGCTTCAAGGTTGAAGTCTAACAAATCCTTCAGTGTGTCTTGAAAAGAGGGAGAATTGGTCATGAAGAAGCCAACTCTGGTGGTGCAAGAGTCAACAGTTGCGGTGGGTAGGAATTGATCAACCTTAGAGTCATCAAAGAAATGAGAGCTAGCAGGAGCCGATAAGGACTAGTCAATCATGGAGTCAAAGGAAGATGAGCCAGCAATGGTGGTGGAAGAGTCATTAGCTGCAATGGGCAGGAATTAATCAACCGTGGAGTCAACGATAGGAGAGCCAGTGACTACACTAGGCATGAATTGATCAACTGTGGAGTCAAAAAGAGGAGAACCAACAACAGTGAATAGAAACCAATCAATCATGGAGTCAAAGGAATTTGAGCCAGCTGTGGTAGTGGTAGTGGAATAGTCAATAGCTGCAATTGGAAAAAATTGATCTACTATAGAGTCAAAGGAAGGAGAGCCAACAACGACGAATAGAAACTCATCAGTTATGAAGTCATATGAAGCTAAGCCAACAATGGTGGTGAAAGAGTCTACATCGCAATGGGCAAGAATTGATCAACCATGGGGTCAAAAGAGGGAGAGCCAACCATGGAATAAAAAGTCAGGAGAGTTAGTAGTAGTGGCTATATCAATCAATGATGGAGTCAACGAAAGCTGAGCATGCAATGGTGGTGGGGAGAAATTGATCAACCATAAAATCAATGGAAGTTAAGCCAGCATTGGTGGTGGGGAGAAATTTGTCATCTCGGGAGTCAAACCAAGGAAAACCAGCATTCATGATGGAAGGGTGAATAGTGGTTCTTGAAAGGAATTGATTATCCAAATAGTTAAATTAAAAAAAATAATAATTAATAAAAAAAAAAAAAAAACAAACAAAATGGAAGGGCCACTAATGGTTTGGAGAGGAATTAGTCGACAATAAAGTAAAAGGAAGGAGAGCCATAGGTGTAATGTCAGTCAACTGGGGAGATTACAAGAATGCCAACGAATGAGCTGGAGATGTTTAAGCACCCCTTAGCTTTCTTTAAGGGGTCATTCCCTTGTCTTTGAGAAAGTCACCATGTGAGACTTCTTGTTTTCAATCTTCTCTACAGGAATCTTCTTTCCTATATCCTCTCTCCCTCTAAATTCGATTCCCCCCTCCTACTTCGATAAGAAAATAAAGAAATATGCGTTTTAAATTTCTCAGAGTTTTTAAGTTTCTTTTGTGCTAAAATATTAAATGCAATAAATTTAATAGGGTTAGTGCTGATATCATAAGGGCTCTATCCGAAACTTAAACTCAGGCGTTACATAATATAATACGAAAATACTATTTTAAAAAATTACCATGAATTAATTCCATAAAACCATTTATTTAGTTATCAAGCATATATATATTGAAATTTGGGTACATATCTCAATTCATTATTGTTACAAGTTTACAACTATAATGAGCACAACAATACCACAAAATAAAAAAAGTTCACCTAGTTTAGTGTTGTTGAACCCACCTGATATTTAAATGGGTAACATGATATATGTTTGTAGCTCTCGGATATAACAAGATAGGTTTAGACTGTAATTTGCCTTCTCCTTAGGATTGTATTTCATACGTCAAGTACATGGGATTTTTGAGAGGGAGGAAGGAAGTGTCCTCTTTTTCACAAAGGTTCTATCCCTATTTTTAGGGGGATTTGATGAGGCGATGTATTTACGAGCCGACCACCTCGGTTTCGAGCCGAGCTGTATATGTCACCTCCTGTTTATTCAGGGGGTACTTAGGGGGGCTTTTCGCCCATGCCTTTCGTTCGCGGTGGCCTGTATTCTCTGTCTCTATGGGGTAGGGGCGCCGCTGACAGAGTAGCCCTCTTGTCAAGCATGGGGATAGTCTTGTCTTGATGGGATGTGGTCTTGTCATCAGTGAGGGCGGTTCCTTATTTGGTGGCTTTTGGCAAGGTAGTGTTTAGGAGCCGAGATCGAGGTCCTTTTAGGTGTAAGGCGTTTTTAAGAAGTCCATGTGTCGTCTCTTGATTGGGCAGCTTGGCTCGGTGTATGCCGAGCGTCAACAAGTCCCCCAGCTCTCTGGGCAAGTTCCCTTGGGTGGGGAGTTGTTTGTTTTTTCACCAAGCTGCCTGATTTGGAAAACGTCTTGGAAGAGTCAAGGTATGCATTAGCTGTGTGTGGAGAGGTGAGCGTTTTTCTGGTCGGTCGGCAGTGGCCGAGTGCTTGGTCGGCCTGGTGAGTCCCCCCAACTCCCCAGAGAAGGGCTGGCTTGCCTCGGGTATGCGAAACGGTGCAGACGCGTGTCGGATGCTCGGGATGCGTGGCATTTATTGCGAGTGTCATGATGAGTCCGGGGAATCGGAGCGGGTGGGACATTTGGGGTCGCATCAATTGGGAAATACGAGGCTTTACTACCGCGTGTCGTGATCTGAAGGTGGTAGTGAGATTGATCGGACAGTGGTTGGAGCGCGGGCTGGGGTATATATACCCTGAGATGCGAAAGTTTTTCATTTTACATCCATGTGTGAGCTTTGTATTTTGAGGTCCGAGTTGGTGCTTGCAGAGGAAGAGCCAGTGTGGCGTGAGCTAGGCAGGTGAGGTCCGCGTTTGAGCCAGGTGAGAGTCCCTCTTTCTCTGTTTGTTTTAACTGCTGTGGTGATGGTGTCTGCGAAGATATAGGGGAGTGAGTCCAGTAGGGGTAGTATAAATTTCGGGGCGTTGGATGAGGCATGGCATTGGTTGGGTGATAGGTCAGTGGTAGGGATAGGGGCGGAGGAAGAGCCTTCAGTGGTTGAGGTGACGAGCTCGTCAGAAGAGCGAAAGGGGGATGAAAATGTAGAGGGTGATCTTGATGCCGAGGCTAAAGTTGATGCAAGGAAGGATGTCGAGGACCTTGACAGTGCTCGGGTAGATCTGGATGGGGTGCCTGTGAGAGTGAGTACGGCACGAAGTGTGGGAGGGGCTTCGTGCTCATACAGGCAGGGTTTGCCCATGCACCCGTACTTTTACGAAGAGGGGAGTGGTCGGTGGATACAGTGCCGACGCATATGACCTATAAGCTACTGGAGAGGATTAGGCGAGAGTATGAGGTGCCGAGGGATGTGGTTTTCGCGCTGCCGTAACCGGATGATCGTCCGAGCTGACTGCCAAGGGGGTGAGTGACGTTATACTAGGAGATGTTGAAGAATGGTCTGTGCCTGCCTCTACATCCGTTCGTGCAGAGATGGATGGCCTTCCTCGGCGTCGCCCCTCACTAGATGAACCCGAATCTGCTAAGGACTATATTGTGTATGTTCGTGTTGTGGAAGAGACACCATGGGATCGAGCCGAGCACGAACATCCTAAGGTGTTGCTATGGGTTAAGGAAGAACCCAAAGCAAGCTAGGTTCTTCTATCTACAAGCACTGCAGGGGAAGTTGTTGGAGAATAACCCCAGTTCGCAGAAGTCGTGGAAAGGTCACTGGTTTTTTGTGATTGGGTGTTGGGAAGTGGCCTCAGGGGTGGAGAGGCTGAGGGCTCTAGGGCCAAGGCGGTTTAGGGAGAAAAGTGGGGTCTTTTTACAGTGGTCGGCCCGCTGGGCAAAATCTTGCCGCTTTCTGCTACCTTTTTTATTCTGTGTTTTTTTTGTTTGTTTTTGTTTTTTGTTTTCTAGGGTGCCAAGAGTTTGGACTAACCGGGTTCTGTTTGGAATGGCTGTGGATTAGGAGAGCGGGGAGTTGTCCGAGGACGAGGAGGGACAACTTGAGGTGATCCATGCTCTGCCACCTAGTGCACGCAACGCGGTCAAGCTGTTGTCGATCAACTCGTTTAGAAAGTCTGGTTTGCTAGACCCGATCCCAGAGGGTAAGGTGTTCTCGGTCTCTTGTCTAGGTGTTTTGCTTCTGTAACGGCTGGATTGACATGTTGTGTTGTGTAGCAATGGGTATTGACATGAATGATCCGAAAGCTCGACAACTGTTGGAGAAGTTGCTCAAGAAGGGAGCCGGAGCATCGGGCTCTAGGCCGAGAGTGCCCCCCCAGCTCGAGCTAGGAATGAGGTTGTTGCGCCCGTCGTGCTGGCTGGGTAGGCCAAGGTCCGATCGCGTGTGCGACCGAAGGGCTACGATAGTGGGAAGGGGCCAATGTCGGAGGAGGAGGAGCCACCGGTGACGAAGAGGCCGAGGCACGAGGAGGGGGCGGAGGGATCTATTGTCCCCTCGCCGACCATACATCTAGAGAGGATGAAGGACTTCTTGGACACAACGAAACTAGTACTCTCGGGGGAGATGTCATGGGAGGGTTTGGAGGGCAATGAGAGCACCTACACCACCTCCACTGCTATGGCGTTCGAGCAAAGCGTGTGTAAGTTTTTTTTTTTTTTTTTTTTTTTTTTTTTTGTTGTTTCTCGTAGCTTGGATTTGGTGGAGTTTGTGTTTTTGTTTCTCACTCATGTGGTGATGCAGGCACTATTTTCGCATTACGAGGCGGTTAGGCTCGTCATGATCCATCGTGAGAAAGACGTGGCCAGAGTTGCCGAGCTCTAAAGGGTGCGAGAGGAGGCCGGGAAACGCGACGTCGAGACGAAGGCGGTGGTTGATCGTGCCAAGAAGGTTGCCAAGGAGAGTAGTAGGAATGAGGTGGAAGCACTGCGGGCTCTGGGGTCAGCCCTGGTGGAAAAAGTGGAGCTTGCTAAAGAGGTGGAGCGATGGAAGGAAAAGGGTGCTCAGCTGAAGGACGAGAACGTCCGGCTACAGAAGGCATTGAAGAATGCTTGCCAGCCCCAGGTGGAGGATGTGAGGAGCTTTCTCGAGTCAGCCGATGGTGCAGCCCTAGCTGGTGAGATACAACTCTCGGGTGGTATGTACTTATTAGAGAAGATTCAGAAGTGCTACCCGGAGTTCGTTTTCAACCTGGAGGACCTGGTGGGCGAGGAGGAGGAGGAAGAGGTTGTGGGCCCAAGAAAGACCGAGCTTGCTCCAACCATCGAGGCTGAAGTCGTTGCTGCTGGAGGATGTCTAGCCGAGCCTCGAGAGCCCAGGGTTGATGCCGATGTTCGAACCACTTAGGAGAACTGAGCTTTGTTGTTGTTTTTTTTTTTAGACTTGTTGGAACAATAGGTCCGATTGGCCTTTCAGTTTGTTGTGAACAATTTTTTAGTATTTTGTGTTTTGACTTTTGGGTATATTTATCGTATGTGTTGCTTATATGTGGTAGTGTAATCTTTTCAGTTTGTTTAATTTTGTGAATTTTGTTTGAGTGTGTGAATGGTTGTGGGGCCAATCGGACAACATTTTGAGAGACATACGAAACACTTAAAAAAAAAACAACTTTACACAAAAAGGGCTAGGGTTCATCTGCAGAACCTTTGTAGGCGCTTGGGGCGATAATCAATAATAACAAAAAACAAGACGGGGGAAAGAACTTAGGAGTAGTACTGGCAAAGGTGCTCGACATTCCATGGGTGAGGGAGTGGTTGTCCGCTGAGGGTGGTGAGGGTGTATGTGCCGGGTCGGACGATGGCGACCACCCTGTACGGGCCTTCCCAGTTAGCTCCTAAAGTTCCTGCTGACCGATCTTGGGTGGCGAGTAGTACGGTACGTAGGACAAGGTCCCTAGGGCGGAAAGTCCGAGGTCGAACTTTCTTATTGTAGTATCGCACCGCTCGTTGCTAGTACTTGGTGAGCGTTATTTCAGCGTGAGACCTCTGGCCCTCAACTAGGTCGAGGTTAGGGTTACGCTACTCGGCATTATGCTGGGGATCAAAATGTGCCACACGATGGGTTGGTAAGCCAATTTTGACTGGTATAACGGCCTCGGAACCGAAGGCTAGGAGGGGGTCTTGCCCGTTGAGGAGCGCTGGGTGGTGCGATTGGCCCACAGAACCTCGGGAAGGAGCTCGGCCTAGTTGTTTTTTTTTGTCATTGAGCTTCTTTTTTAGAGTGCATTTGATGATTTTGTTGATGGCTTCGACTTAGCCGTTGGCCTGTGGATGCGCTGGTGAGGAAAAGCAGAGGGCTATGTTAAAATTTGAAGAGAATTATCGGAATCGCGTGTTATCGAATTGGCGGCCATTGTTTGTGATGAGGATGCGGGGTAGCCCGAACCTGCAGATGATGTTTTTCCATACGAAACCTCAGGCATGGGCCTCAGTGATGGTGGCAAGTGGTTCAGCCTCGGCCCATTTGATGCAGTAGTCGACTGCTATGATGGCGAATTTTGTGTGTCCTTTTCCTTTGGGCATGGGCCCAATCAGATCCAGGCCCCACTAAGCGAAGGGCCACGGGCTAGCCATGGTCGACACTTGCGAGTGACGAGGAGGGTGTCAGTTCTCAGTGAGGGCCAATAATAGCCTCGACGGAGAATTTTAAATGTCATTGCTCGAGAGGCGGAGTGGTCTCCGCAGACGCCCTCATGTACTTCTCGGAGTATCTCGTGTCCATCTTCGGGAATTACGCATCTTAGATAGGGTAAGGAAAAGCCTCGCTTATAGAGTTGTTTATTGATGATGGTATACCGGCCGGATTAGAGCTGTAATTGACGGGCTGCGTCGGTGTTGGTAGGTAAAGTCCTGTCGTCAAGGTATTCATAGATAGGGGTCATCTAGTTGGCTTCGGTCCCTACCGTCATCGTCTCGTCGGGCGTGTCGGTGATGGTAGGTTTGGTGAGGTACTTAATCGGGATGGACCGTTTGAGCCCCCCGTCGAGGGTCGAGGCTAGTTTGGCGAGGGCGTCCACTCGACCATTTTGGCTCCTTGGAATTTAGGAGATGGTGAAGTGCGTGAAGAGTGATGTCAGGCGTTGTGCTTATTTTACGTATTGGCCCATATTCAGGAAAGCCCGGCTTAGCTCAGAGAACGACCCAATGGACTCGGGGCTTAATCGTTTGAACCAATTCAACGCCGCGCCTTTCAGGGTTGTCAGGAAGAGTCAGCACTTGGTGGCCTCGTCGCTCCCTTGCCCTCCATGGCGTAGCAGAAGCTGTCGAGGTAATCGTAGGGGTCAGTGAGACCTTTATAGAGGGTGATTTTGGGTGCCTTTGTGTCTCCTACCACGACCGAGTTGATGAGGTCCTTCGTATAGGGAAAGGGGATCTCGTCCTCGGAGAACGAGGGGACAAGTGGGTGATAGGTTTTCTCGACCTTGCCGAGTCGGTCCCAGACGCTCCCTATCTCCCCTTTGATCATGGCTCTCATAGCTTCTCTTAGGTCGATCTCGTTGGCGGTGGTGGCTGGGGGGTCGGTTTCGGCTTCACCTTCCCCTCCTTTCTGCGGGGTAAGTCCTCTAGTGGTGTACCCCTCTTGGTTGAATTCTGGGGTATGGTCGAGCCAGACTTTGCTAATCCGAGGCGTGTGTGTGGACGCCTTTTCCTCGCCGAATAGGCGTCGTTCCACGCTCCTCGTGCGGCTAGAGTCCCTGGTGGCCTTTTTCTCGGCTTTCCGTAAGTTCGCCTGGAGGCCGATCTGCTGCTCCTCGAGGCGTTCATTTTGGTTTTGAAGGACCTTGTTTTGGTCTTGAATGACGTCGGCCTCGTTCAGGAGTAACTCCACCTTGGCTTCGAATGTGTTCAGTTGCTGTTTTTCTGCCTTTCGTCGCTTCATGCTTTTCTGGCTAGGAGTCCCAGGAGTGGAGGTTCCGTTCATTTTCCGGCTCAACATGTTGGTAGTGAAGTAGCCAACGGGTAACCTTTGAGTGTGTGTTCCCACAGACGACGCCAAATGTTGAACCCACTAGATATTTAAATGTGTAACACGATATATGTTCGTAGCTCCCGGATATAACAAGATAGGTTTAGACTGTAGTCTGCCTTCTCGTTAGGATTGTATTTCATAGGTCAAGTACATGGGATTTTTGAGATGGAGGAAGGAAGTGTCCCCTTTTTCACAAAGGTTCTATCCCTATTTATAGGGGGATTTGATGAGGCGATGTATTTACGAGCTGACCACCTCGGCTTCGAGCCGAGCCGCATATGTCACCTCATGTTTAGTCAGGGGGCAGTTGGGGGGGTTTTCGCCCATGTCTTTTGTTCGCGGTGGCCTATATTCCCTGTCTCTGCTGGGTGGGGGGCGCTGCTGGCAGAGTAGCCCTCTTGTCAGGCATGGGGATAGTCTTGTCTTGATGGGATGGGGTCTTGTCATCAATGAGGGTGGTTCCTTATTTGATGGCTTTTGGCAGGGTAGTGTTTAGGAGCTGAGACTGAGGTCCTTTTAGGTGTAAGGCGTTTTTAAGAAGTCCACATGTCGTCTCTTGATTGGGTAGCTTGGCTCGGTGTATGCCGAGCGTCAACAAGTGTTATGTTTTATAATGTTATTTAATTGGTAATGAGTTCCATGTTCCTTGAGGTCATTTTATGGAGATTTTTGTTATTTTGAAAAAAGTAATTAATAAAAAAATATAAAAAAGTGCATCAATCTGACTCAAACCCACACCTCCAGAAAAATATAATTGTGACAAACCATCTCCATGAGGCCCTCAAAAATTGGGGACTCTGTGCATTGGAACTACTTACATTACCCCATGACCTGCACTACAACCCCCACTGTTATAACAACTAGTATGACCACAAATTTGTAGATTCATAACCTCCAAAACGACAAATTTAATTTGCATAGGGTCCTCAAGATCTCAACACCAACCTTGCAGGCAGTACTAGTGGTACGTGCAGCTACAAAATTTACTTCATTTATGGGACGCTATTAATCGTATGGAATGGACTAACAATTATTGGATACATTTTAGGCATAGGGGTCCATCAATTTATTTTTTCTTTGTTCTTCTCAAGACTCATTGTGTTGGCTCACATTCAAGTGGAATTTATACGTGTGATTTCTTTGTTTCCATTATATAAAATATAAATTTGTTTCTATTATACAAATTATAAATTATAAATCCCTTTACATTATATGAATTATAAATTTATTTCCATTATATAAATTATAAATTTCTTCTTATCGAAAAATTATAAATTTCTTCCATTAAAAATTCAAACAAGGAAATTAACGCACACATTTTTGAAAATGTTAAATTTGGGTAAATTCCAAGTTTATATATATATATATATATTATATAAAGTAAAAGGCAGAGAATGGTAAAACATTCAAAATATCAGAAAATGCCCTTGGTTAATTCAAATATTAAGAATTAAAATTATTAATTAAATGAGGATAATATGATAAATTCACATTTTTTTCATATTAAAAAGAATTAAAATTAAAAACAAAATCAGATAATAACTCATACTTTTATGAAACATAACTATCCATATTATCTTTTCTTAATTCAAAAAATAAAATAAAAAATAAAAAATAAAAGATAAAACCAATTGGCACATGCGTGAGCGTGTGCCAAGGGGCTAGTAAGCATAAAATTTGAGGTGGCAAACAAATAAGGAAAAAAGTTATTTTTATGAACCGTTTTTAGTTCATTTAAAAAGGGATATGCATTTGTAAAAAAGGAAAAAAAAAGAGGGATCCCTTAATAGAATATATATATATATATATATATATACAGTTTTGCTCACATCAGGATGACTGGATTTTAATTAAAATCCGGACATTAAAGGTGAAACATGAGATCAATCCAATTGTACTGAAGCTTTGATATGTATTAATTGACAAAACTTAAAACCATGCGCATATCAATTCTTTGATTTTTTTTTTCACGCACAAGTGGCATCCACTTTAATGATTATTGAATTTATTTAATATTATACCGAACTTATCATACCTTTCTCTCTCCTTCTTTCTCTCGATTCCCTCAAGCTTTCCCTTCTCTCTCTTCTTTGTAAAACTGAAAAGGTGGGCAGCTTAGGGCAGCCCAAAGGTTTACTTTAATTAATTGTTCAACGCCTCCATCTTCTCAACATCTTTTTTACATTGACAGCCCCATCACATCAGACCATAACCTTACAACTCAACTGATTTTTCCAACTTCGAAATTCAAGTAAGTGTTATTTTAATTTGTTTTATTTTTTTTACTCAGATTATAATATTTAATATCTTGGTCATCATGATTTCTATGTTTTTTTACTCGTATACCAATTTGCCTATCATGATTTCTTGATCAACGTTTTTCATTATACAGCAGACAATTGTTCATTTATTTTCTTAGGTTTTTTCTTTGTCTCTTCTTCTAGAAATATTATTCTATGGTTTTTATGATTCTTATTATTATTGTTTTCACTGTAATTGTATCATGAAGATGGATTACATGGCCGAAGAATTAGATGGCCATTCTGAAGGGGTTGGGCAACATAGATTAAATTCAGATTTAGATTCGTGTGACAAAATTTACATACCGCAACTAAGAGATGACCACAAGCCAAAATCAGGCCAAGGAATTGAGTCATTAGATGATGCTCATGAGTTCTACAATAATTATGCCAAGAAAGCTGGTTTCAGTGTCAGAATCAATTCTAGTAGGAAGAATAAAGAAACTAATGAAATCCTACGAAAGGAGTATGTGTGTTCTAAAGAAGGAGTGCCCGCTAAAGGAGTTGGTGAGAAAAAAAGGCGTAGAGGTATTACTCGAGAGGGTTGTAAGGCAAAGCTAGCTGTGGTGAAGTCAAAATTAGGAACCTATGTGGTCAGCCTATTTGTGGAGGGTCACAACCACCCATTAATAAGTCCTAAAAGAGTACACTTGTTAAGGTCTCATCGTACAGTTTCAAATTCTCATAAGTGTATAACCCAACTATTTTCAGCAGCAAATATACCTACACATCAACAGTTTAGCCTTCTTGAAATGCAAGTTGGGGGGATAGAAAATATTGGATGTCTAGAGAAGGATATTTACAATAATGAAAGGAATTTGCGTAATGGGTTGAAGGGACATGATGTAGATATGTTGTATGAGCATTTCCAGCTAGAGCACGAAAAGAATCCGTCCTTCACTTTTAAGATTGAGGCAAATGAAGAAGATAGAATTACTCATTGTTTTTGGGTTGACACAAAATCAAGGAAGGTGTACACGTTTTTTGGAGATGTGGTTGTGTTTGATAGTACTTATAATACTAATCGGTATGGTATGATATTTGCACCATTTGTAGGGGTCAATAATCATGGTCAAAAAACAGTGTTTGCTTGTGCATTCCTAAGTGATGAGACAACTAATTCTCTTCTTTGGCTATTTGAGCAATTTAAGAAAGCCATGCCTGGAGGTTCCCCTAAAATGATTATTACTGATCAAGATCCAGCAATGACAAAAGCCATTGTACAAGCTTTTCCAAATATAATTGCATATGTACCACCATTAAGGGGTGTGTTTTCCAGATTATGATTTCATATGTACCACTATTAAGGGGTGTGTTTTCCAGAAGATTGCTGACTTGTAGAGAAAAACAAAGAAACACCCATCGCAATCCACAAATTATCAAAATCCATTGTCTGTTTGATTTAGATAAATTTTTACAAGTCAATGTTCTCATAGCTTTTTGACTCAAGAAAAAGTAATAGGCTTAATGAAATGTCTATTGAAATCTAGAAATTAAATTGGCATGTGATGCATTTTCTAGAAGCTTTTTGACTCAAGGAAAAAACAACAGGCTAAGAGAAACCATTGTTCTTTGGGCTTAAGCCCCCTTTATTAAGAAGGAGAAGAAGCAGAGAAGAGGGGGAGTGATGCAGGAGCATAGGGGTGGATCAAGATAGATATTTATCATTTAATTAGTTATTTCATGATATATTGTTATTTTCTTATTTAGGTAGTTTTAGGATATCTTTTATTATTTATGTGTGATTTTATAATTAATTAGTTTACTTTTGGACCAAGCAGTCTTGGTGCCCAAGTCTTGTAAAGCCTATAAATAAGGCTATTGTAATAGTTGTAGGAGAGATGGAATATTGATGATTAATGAAATAGTTTATTTGTGGCATAGATTTGCTACGATATATGTGAGTTTGCATTAGCCCTAGATTTCGGTGCTCGTGTATGTGGTTGGTGACCTGTGTCCTGACCTCGATCCCCATCAATTGGTATCAGAGCTATGGCTCAAGATCTGCTTTATCGGGGAGGTTTTTGGATGGAGGGTCATGTTGACAACTACAACGACATGGAGGAAATTAGGAGGATGCTACGGCAACTTACGGAACGCGTCGCTCGCATCGAAGCTCGAACCCAGATAGGTAAGAGTTTTGACGGGGAGAGATGCGTGAACCCTTATCTGAACCGAGTAGCTCGCATCAACACTCTAAGCCGTGGGAGTCTCGACGGGGAGTACGAGGGGGATAGCCCTTTTCATTATTGCGCTTCGTTGTGTGAGTCAAGTGAAGAGGGGCACGGTTATTCTCATTGTGTCTTTGAAGGTATAAATAGATTTGGTAATTTTGGTGCATCTTGTTATTCATCAAAGTTATTAAATTTGGATTTGCCTCCAATATTTGATCCTTGCAACTGTGAAAATTGCAAAGAAAATTGTTTGGGTGTTCAAAGCAATTTTTATAAGCAATTTATTGATCAGAACAGTGAAGAGATGAGAATTGAGAAAACTTTCGAAGACATTATTGATTTTATGGGCATTAATGTTTTCACTTGGAAGGTTGCCAAAACTTTGGTTGATTTTGTCAATCGGTTGAAGATTCTAGAGATAAACATTTGCATTGTTAGAGGGAGTAAGAAGAAGCTAAGAATAACGAAATATTCCAAATATCCTTTTATTTGGAAAGGAAGGTTTCAATTGGATGCTAAAAGATCCAGAATTAATATGAAGCAATTGAAGATTCTACTCGGATTTTCCTCAATCAAAGGCTTGAATTCGAGGACGAATTCTTTCCAACTAGGGGAGTCTGATGCAGAAGCATAGAGGTGGATCAAGATAGATATTTATCATTTAATTAGTTATTTCATGATATATTGTTATTTTCTTATTTATGTAGTTTTAGGATATCTTTTATTATTTATGTGTGATTTTATAATTAATTAGTTTACTTTTGGACCAAGCAGTCTTGGTGCCAAAGTCTTGTAAAACCTATAAATAAGGCTATTGTAATAGTTGTAGAAAGATGGAATATTGATGATTAATGAAATAGTTTATTTGTGGCATGAATTTGCTACGATATATGTGAGTTTGCACTAGCCCTAGATTTCGGTGCTCGTGTATGTGGTTGGTGACCTGTGTCCTGACCCGATCCCCATTAATTGGTATCAGAGTTATGGCTCAAGATCTGCTTTATCAGGGAGGTTTTTGGATGGAGGGTCGTGTTGACAACTACAACGACATGGAGGAAATTAGGAGGATGCTACGGCAACTTACGGAACGCGTCGCTCGCATCGAAGCTCGAACCCAGTTAGGTAAGAGTTTTGACGGGGAGAGATGCATGAACCTTTATCTGAACCGAGTAGCTCGCATCGACACTCTAAGCCGTGGGAGTCTCAACGGGGAGTACGAGGGGGATAACCCTTTTCATTATTGCGCTTCGCTGTGTGAGTCAAGTGAAGAGGGACACGGTTATTCTCATTGTGTCTTTGAAGGTATAAATAGATTTGGTAATTTTGGTGCATCTTGTTATTCATCAAAGTTATTAAATTTGGATTTGCCTCCAATATTTGATCCTTGCAACTGTGAAAATTGCAATGAAAATTGTTTGGGTGTTCAAAGCAATTTTGATAAGCAATTTATTGATAAGAACAGTGAAGAGATGAGAATTGAGAAAACTTTCGAAGATATTATTGATTTTATGGGCATTAATGTTTTCACTTGGAAGGTTGCCAAAACTTTGGTTGATTTTGTCAATCGGTTGAAGATTCTAGAGAGAAACATTTGCATGGTTAGAGGGAGTAAGAAGAAGCTAAGAATAACGAAATATTCCAAATATCTTTTTATTTGGAAAGGAAGGTTTCAATTGGATGCTAAAAGATCCAGAATTAATATGAAGCAATTGAAGATTCTACTTGGATTTTCCTCAATCAAAGGCTTGAATTCGAGGACGAATTCTTTCCAACCAGGGGAGTCTGATGCAAGAGCATAGGGGTGGATCAAGATAGATATTTATCATTTAATTAGTTATTTCATGATATATTGTTATTTTCTTATTTAGGTAGTTTTAGGATATCTTTTATTATTTATGTGTGATTTTATAATTAATTAGTTTACTTTTGGACCAAGCAGTCTTGGTGCCCAAGTCTTGTAAAGCCTATAAATAAGGCTATTGTAATAGTTGTAGGAGAGATGGAATATTGATGATTAATGAAATAGTTTATTTGTGGCATGGATTTACTACGATATATGTGAGTTTGCACTAGCCCTATATCTCGGTGCTCGTGTATGTGGTTGGTGACCTGTGTCCTGATCCCGATCCCCATCAGGGAGAGAGACATACGGAGAGGAGAAGAAGAAGAAGAAGAGAGAGAGAGAGAGAGAGAGAGAGAGAGACAGAGAGACAGAGAGAGAAATAGAAGAAGAAAGAGAAAGAAAGATGTTGAGAAGATGGAGGCATTGAACAATTAATTAAAGTAAACTTTTGGGCTGCCCTAAGCTACCCACCTTTTCAGTTTTACAAAGAAGAGAGAGAAGGGAAAGCGTGAGGGAATCGAGAGAAAGAAGGAGCGAGAAAGGTACGACAAGTTCGGTATAATATTAAATTAATTCAATAATCATTAAAGTGGTTGCCACTTGCGCGTGAAAAAAAAACTAAAGAGTTGATCTGCGTGTGGTTTTAAGTTTTGTCAATTAATACATATAAAACTTCAGTACCATTTGATTGATATGACGTTTCACATAATGTCCGGATTTTAATTAAAATCCAGTCATCCTGATGTGAGCAAAACTATATATATATATATATATATATATATATAATTATATAATTTAGGCTGATATGCATACCTGTAGAAGAACCCACAGTTCACAAGAGGGTTCACAATATACTGAAAAGTCTTGACACAATTCTCTCTGTTTCTCTCTTAATCAATTTGAAAACCAAAGGAAGCAAAATGTTAAGAGTTTCTCATCTGACACCAATAGCGCCTCCAGCTCTCAGTGCTCTTAGACTATCTCTGAGCCCCACTCTCAGCCTCCTTTCTCCTTCCAACGTTCACAAAGTCTCTACTTTTGCACATTCTCAGACTTCTCTCTCCCTAATCTTCAGACCCAGTTCCCTACATTCCCCTTCTTTGAGCGTGAAGTGGGTTCTGCAGCGTATGGTTGGCAATCCATGTCCCAAGAGTACAGGTGCCTCGTAATATCCAAACCCATTATTTTTTTACTTCCTGATTTCCAAATATTAGTTGGGTTTAAATTTTTTGTTTTTGTTTTCTGTTGTTGGGTTCTTGAGAAAAGTGGAGAAGTAGGAAAAAGGAATGAAATTTCTTGCACTGACGTTTTCCGTTGCTTAGAAAACTTGGGAATTAAAATACTGAACTCTAAGACTGAATTAAAAACAAGCGCACCTCACTATAATCCAGCAGGATATGAATGAACAAAATGCTTTTGTCACAAATGAGCTGACTTGTGAGGCTCAACCAATCCTCTTGTTGAGAGTACTTGTGGTTGGGTTGTGGTTAAAGTACTTAGAATTTGAATCTTCTTAGCACTACCAATGTAATGAAAATAGAGTGGAGTTGATTGAAAGATTGGAGTCTTTATTTTCTAAGAATACAACACGTCCCTCAATTGTTTTGCTCTTGCTTGATTCCTCTTCTTTTGAGTGCACAATATTGCTCCGTCTTCTTTTCAATGACCCTGTTTATAAAATATTTGAGGGTTGGTTTTAAAACCAGTGCACGACATTGGCATTTGGTTTATTTGTTCATTTCTACTGCTAAGTTGCTTTCTGTTGTGTATATTACATTTCCTTGTTCAAATGTTCTAAATTCTATTCCTTTCAGCTTCGTTTAGTGCTGAAAGTAGCTCTGGAGATGGAAGGGAAATATTGGTGCAGCACTTGCTTGTTAAAGAAGACAACCTTAAGCTTCTTGTAGATCTCCAGCAGAGAGTTTCAGGAGGTTAGTTTCCTTAAGTTTTGATGGTTAAAAAGGTCAAAACTCAAATTTTCTGTTTAGAATTATGTGATAACTTTTCAGAAACTTTGAAACTTTAAGTTTTACTAAATTTTGTGGTTTCCTTAAATCATAATGGTGGACTGCTTGTCCTTATCTTTCTTATTTGTACTTTTTATGCATAACATTTTTGTTTCCTATCGTAACAATCAATCATAATGGTGAAAGCACTAAATTTAAAGTTGGACATTCTCTTATACAATTTGGCTTTTCGATGCTGTGCTTTTCTAATGCCATTGTCTCATTCAGGTGAAGACCTCAGTGATCTTGCTGCGGAATACTCAATATGTCCATCCAAACAAGAGGGGGGAATGCTTGGCTGGGTGAGGAAGGGGCAAATGGTACGCTGATGAGATAGCTATTTGTCCTTCAAGCTTTCTAAAACAATAGGGGCACTGGAAATTACTTTGTTGTCTAATTGTTGTTCTCTGAGCTTTGTTGTAGTGGGAGCGTCATAGAACTAAGTAGCAATTGCCATCTGAGGATGTTAATTATTCCATCTTGGAAGTATGCTATGTCTTCTCCCAAATATCTGTTGCATAACTTACAGGAAACTTTATTTTCTTGGGACTAGTTCTTGTGTAACCTCTTTTTTATGAAAAGAGAGTAGCCCTGTCCACTGGGGGCCCAATTGGCCTGTGGGTTTCATAATGGAGGTAGCACTATCCCATCCCATGATATTTTGAGGGTTGGTTCTCTAACATTCCATCACACATGATCTGGTTTTGTAAGGAAGGTCTAGACTCTGTAGTACCGGAAAACTATAATTACAAAAGCCAAAGAAGCTTAGTAGTAAGGAAACAATAATTTATTTTGTGAATCACTAAGGCAATGGAATGTTTTCTATGTTGCTTAATGGATAATTCACTGCCTTTACTTTTGTTGTTTAACATAAAGTAATGATTTTCGAATCATACGTGTATGATGATGACGTATTACTATGTGAAACTGAAATGAATGGCAGTGAAAAGGCTGATGGGAAAAATACACTTAATAAGTATTGATCTGTATGTTTTGTTTATGGGCAAATATGATTTGACAGAAGTGTGATGACAATTGTCCCAGGTACCTGAGTTCGAGGAGGCTGCATTTAATGCATCTTTGAATAAAGTTGTAAGGTGCAAAACAAAATTTGGGTGGCATTTACTGCAAGTACTGTCAGAGAGGTATGGCTTAAAAACTTGTCTTGTACTGAATCTCTTACATGGAAATGCAGTCGAGGTGCAGACTAACACTTGAATATACTGATCTGTTATGGACGTGCACCATATTCTGTTAGGGAAGAATCAGTACTCCAAGACATTCAACCTGAGGAGCTTCATGTGAAAATGCAAGATCCCAGTTTCCTAGATGAGGCCCAGTTGATTGATGTTCGAGAACCTGAAGAAGTGTATGTTCCAATATTTTATTTCTGCTTGTCTACACATTTTTCTTGTGATGGATGTTCTGATTTCAAAGTCTTGGAATGAACTTTTAGTAGTGCGTTTATCTATATATATGATCATATTATATTGAGAAGTTCAAATTTGAAAGTTAGCAATTAACCAGAAAATTTTGGTATATGATGTGTTGTATCATAAAAAGAGCTTTGAACTGGAGGGATATTGGGAATACTTAAAAGAAATCAAGAATGAAATTGGTTATAACAAGAAATCATTGTTATAGGGAAAACTGCAGTTAATTTGCAGTATTTATGAAATTTTCCCCAATTTGAGGAAACGTAATATATGGATTAATGTGCAAAGCTAGTGGCGAGACAGGGCATAATCTTCTTTAGTTCTTTACACTACTACTTTGCTGAAAATTTGGGGTGCTTTGTTTTTCTCTTGACCGGATAGGGCTGTGGTCCAGTCTGTGGGTAATGTGCTTTATTGTTGGAATCATCGTTTTAGAAGACATTCTTACAGTGATGTTTGGAATCTGACCCCTTTGTGTGCTATGCGGTGTTTATGGTGGGAGAATGGGAGATAAATGCTAGGACTTTTTACGATGTTGAAGCTTCACCTTCTAAACTCAGTTTCTTTTCTATTTGTTGTTTATATGAGTTGTGGGTGTCTTAATTCTTTTTATATCCTATGTTGATAATTTATTAGATCAAGTTTCATTTAGATTACAGCTCATTCTTTTTTGGTGCATCTTCTATGTTCTTCCTGCAATAGAACTCCCCTTTTCTTACTAATATTTAGTACTTATAAAAAGTATATTTATATAAAAGCTTGGCTCCTTAAAACTGAGGAGGAGCTCCTCTTCACAACAAATAGAGTTTTGACACTTACCAAATTCCTTGGAAGTTTATTTTCTTTTGAATTTCTTGAACCTTTTTTTGTTGTTGGAATTTTACAAGTGTCATTATCTCATTTGTTGTGAGGAGGAGCTCCTCCTCAATTAAGGAGCCAAGCCATGCGCTTTATTTTTCCCAAGCTAAGTATATGTAGTGTTAAAAAATGCAAAGAAAGTTTTTAGTCAGGAATTAATATAGAGAAAAGTTGTCTACACATGGAGAAACTCGTAAAATTTTAAACTAATTCTGCAGGAGCTTTTGGCTTTTAGCATGCATTTTTCTCTTTTCTTGAGCTAATAACTAGGATTCTCTGTGCTTTTGAAGACATTTATCACCTTTGTTTCACAGGGCGCAAGCTTCTTTGCTGGGTTTCCAGGTTCTTCCCCTTCGAAAATTTGGAAGCTGGGGACCTGAAATAACTATGAAGTTTAATCCTCAAAAGGATACTTATGTTATGGTAGGTACAAACCTTTTTGTGCTAATCGTCCCCTCTGTTTATTAAATAAGAGAGAGATATTTTTGAAATGAAATTAATATGACCAAATAGTTTTAAAAAATGAACATGAAAAATTTCATAATTATGTTTCATGCCTATCTTTTCATGAGCGGGCCATCGTTGTGGGGATAATGTGTAATCTTGTTCGTAGATGAGTTATCTTCTTATAAGATGGCAAGACAGTGATACATTAAGATATATGACACCCAATCTACATCTCCCGGTCCAGTCTCCATTTTTGCATTAATGAAAAGGTTAGCTGTAAGTTGTAACCTCTATAATATCTCATCACCCTTGACCACTTGCTGAACCTTAACCCTCGGGTTTGGTGAAATTGGCTATCCATTCCTCATTTGCTTGTTTTTCCTCTTACCCACATCCCAAACAAGAAAGAAGCAAAAAGAAGAGAAAAAAAAAGAAAGATGATTAAGTTCTCGTCAAATCCATTTTGGAAACTCTCTATATATTTGGCCCCAATCTTTGCATGTCTAAGCAGTAATCTGCCTGAATGTGAAAGGAGTGTTTCTGTTTCCTGTATTTATTAGGTGCTAGACTGTCGACAGAAAAATATTATAAATTGCTACCTTTGAGTAATTAATTAGAAGACAATTATGGTGGGACACTTACGTAGATAGTAATGGGAACTGTCATTTTGGATACTGTAAGTAATCATCTGTTCTGTTCTAGTACCAAAATGTTAAATCCTCTGGCAGTCTGCGTTTGTTGTTGGCAAGGATAATGCCGATAGGTTATGAGCCCCTCAATTAAATATGTTCTGCATATTTTAAGTTCTGCCCTTTGTTGTTGTGTTGCCTATTACAAATCTGCCTATGAAACTTCCTACTCTCTTTGATTGTAGATTTATTTTGACAAAAGGGAGGGGAAATCTTCTTATTTTGTATAAATCTGTTTTTAGCATTGCACAATGATTCACTCACTCACACATTTACATTTGTGTGTTTGTCGTCTTTTTTCTAATATTGCATTATAATTGACCTTCAAAACATTTATATACATGATTGTGTTTGTTTGTATGCATGTGCGTTGCCTGCATTTATTTATATAACTATTACAACCTGGAGATAACGTCTTTGCTTAAGATTTGACCAATGCTGAGTTGTATTTTGAAAGAACAGTGTGATGTGAAGTTTTAAGGCAGGGCCAGGGAGACATTAAGTTTAAATGACATTCACATTTCTAGCTTCTACATTTGTTTTTCACTAATTGGTGTATAATTGTCTTCTGATTAGGAAAGAGAAATCTGTGTTTGAAATTCGTCTACAACTCTCTCCCCTTTTTTTTTCCAGTAAATATATTCACATGGTAGGCACACCAAAACTTATACAATTAGACTCAGTAGCCAATAAACTTCTATACTTCAATAAATCTTTTCTTTTTTAATTAAGGAGGGAGGGGGAATTCGAAATTAGGGCCTCTTCCATCATTGCGAACAGAGACACCACTAAACAAACAACTAGTTCGTTACTATTCAATAATATCAGTCACAAAATTTCTTTAAAAAATATTTGCTATTGTATATGATTAAAATCAGACTTCATAAACAGTCCATAACTTATTAGAATTTTATGATTTTTTTGCAATTTTCTCCATATGTGTATGCACGCGTGTGTGTGTAAGAAGATGCACATATAGGGGCAGGTTTTTAACCAGTTGGAGGTTTGAGATATATATTTTAGAAAAAGCAGTAAGTTGGAATAGATGAAATTTCCAGCCATGGAAAATGGCACCTTCTATATGCAGTTATGAACATAAAATGTCCTAAACTCCATTCTTCCATTATACAGACAAAAAGAAGGTCCTATGAAACAGGTTGTTTTTCACATTGATTTCTTTAAAGGAAAAGGGTTGTTTCTTAGTTTTCAAATCCAAGAGTTTAAACGTGTATTCATTCATGTGCCGCTTATTGTCCTTTCACTTGACGTTTTATGTTAAATCCTCGCTTTTCGATTACTTTATACTGATGTTTCATGTTTCCAAAATGCAGTGTCACCATGGCATGCGATCATTACAAGTTGCCAAGTGGTTGCAGACACAGGTAAAGCTCTTTCTCCTATGTTATTTACCCTAACTGGAATATCCTATACTAAGTTAGATGACTTCATTTCTTTGTGGGATCCAGATACTACCTCAGTGCTGATTTTTTGCATTTCCTTTATTTTTCACATTTTTAGTAGCTGCCTCACCGTTCATTTGTTGAAGTATATATTTAAAGGCCTTTAGCCAGTGACTGACACATGTTTGCTCTGCTCCTCATTGAGCAACTTTATTGTTTCTAATTTGAATTTCCTGTGTCCTTGCCATGTATTGGAAAGTCTTTAGGAAAACATTTGAAGCAAAGTTGAAAGAAAAGTTTTTGGTGTTTAACTTAGTCTAACTTTTACTTATAGCAACCATTAAGCAGAATCTCTTGTAATCAGCATCAAAATGCCTAAGAAGTCGAATGTAATTAATTTCACTTCCACCCTACTGAAACTTCTGAATCTTATCAAAAGACGCACTATATATATGAGGCCTTGTACATAGTAACTTGTTCCTGTCAAACATCTACGCTCATATAAATAAAGTTGTTCGCTGCCATGGCCTGAAGGAGCCTTAAGCACTTGTACTGTGCTCAAGCAAAGGCTCTGGGCAACAAGTAGGATGGAGCCTTCACTTGAGCATTATATTAGTGCAGGGTTTAGGGTGTTTGTTTACTTGTTCAAACGTGTAGCCTCCTTGTTCCCATTCCTAGCAGATCATAATTTGTCTTTTCTTAGATAACGAAATAAAACTTTTCTTGTTCCATTTTATATCGTTTCAATTTCCATCCACCCATGCACATTTTATTTCTTTTAATTTTCATAAAAAAGGGTCTTTATTACAAGTGGCCCTGAATGTTTTAAAAGTCTATAATAGTCCTCAAACTATCAACTCATCAATGTTGTCTTCATCTTTTGGTGTACACATTAATTTGGTTCGTGCTGTTGCATTCCAACAAAGCTTTTGTTAAACTTGGTCACTGGCCACGGCGCGACAAACTTTAAAGGGATATTGTCATCAAAATATAGCTCATTTTAGTCCTAAAACTCACGTTTTTGCTCAACAATGCCATATGCTCTCCAATTAGGGTTTCACATTTAGCGTCCATCAGGGTAGGAGAGCATGTAGCCTTGTTGGGCAAAGTACGTGAGCTTTACTTTATCATGGGTAGATTTGTTGTATTTTAACAAAAATACCCTTTAAAGTTTGTTAGGTGACCGATTTTAACGAAGATTTTGACTGAACGCAATGAGAGGGACCAAACTAATATGTGATCAAAAGATTAGGAACCACATTGATTGATTTGAAAGTTCGAGGACTCAAATGAGCACTTTTGAAAGGTTCAAGGACATTTGGTGAAAAAAAACTGTAAAAATAAACGTGCTACCTCATATACATATTGCATTCCCCCATTATTGAATTAAGAGTCTAGAGTCTGAAAGTTCTTGTTTGCAGCCATATACTGATTTTGATATTCTGTTTTGTAAAATTTTCTTTATTGACTAAAAAGGATCTTTGATGGTGCAGGGGTTTAAGAGAGTATTCAATGTTTCTGGTGGAATTCATGACTATGCTCAAAGGGTTGATCCAACAATTCCTACTTATTGAGATCTATGAGACAATTTTACATAACATAATTATTTTTTTCTTTATACAGCAAGTGGTTTCATATTATCTTTTTTCCCCTTTACCGTCCTAAAAGACAATTCAGATGTGATTCAAATTGTTTGAGGAAATGAAATTTACTTCTTCATCCTCTCTGCTCCTCCCACTGTCTTCGTCATCCTAGTGGTTTCATATTTTTGTTCTTGGAAATAAAATTGTTTGAGGAAATTAAATTTACTTTTTCATATTATCTTTGTTCGCCTTGAGCAATGGAAACCTTATATACAAATTATAAATAAACCCAATCCTAGACATGTATTTATAAAAAAACCCAAGCACTATTTAAACATAGAAACACACCCAAAATCAACCTCAAAATCAACAATTGTATATTTTTTGGGTGTGTTTATAAATGGGTTTTGAGTGTGTAATGATGGGTTTTGGGTGTGTTTATAAAGTGTTTTGGGTGTTGGGTTTTTTTATAATTTCAACCCCCATTTTGGGTGTTTTAGTGAAACTCCCAACCTTATACTGGTACATGTTAATGCATTGATAGCTAATGATTGACAAACATCCATGAACCAAAATGAGGAGAAAAAGATTAAGTTTGGGTTAATAATCTGATAAAAGCTCCTCAACAACCCAAACAATTTTTTGAATGGTACATATGAACCCTCATGCAAACAAAAAGAAAAAGCATGTAATTGGGAAAGGAAACAAAGGTGACTAAGAACATCTAAAACTAAGAACCTAACTTAAACTACCGTTCTAACAAAAATAAAATAAAAACACTTCCAAGAAGGTGATCATTTTTCGTTCTCCAAGAAAAAGACTACAAGGGTAAATGCTTAACCTTTCATCTCTTTTTCTTTTGTGCACAAAGGGATTAGATCATAAGATACTTGAGTTAAAATGATAAAAACGCTTAGCTCAACTAGAATAAGCAAAATTAATCCACCGTTATGAATGTTTGTGTTATAAGTTGTGGCTAAATTCATTTCCAAGACATAAAATGCATGTTTCCTTCAGAATCTAGGTCTTTGGTGGATGATTGATTTTATTATGCGTTTTAACTATAAAAACATTCATGGTTGGTGGGTATTGGACTCAAGACTGTTCTTAGAATCCTTAACTAATCTATTTTCTCCCTCGTCTTCTTCTCAGGCCTCCATTTTAATAGCCCAAACCTTATTAATTATTAATTATTAAATATTAGAGAAAAAGACAATTTTGCCCTTAGAATAAATTATCAGGGAAAATGTTTACTTTTTGACCGGGAAGGAATTTGAAAATTTTGATTGTATAGTTGCGTAGAGCACGACAAAACGAGTCCGTAGACACGTAGTTGGCTCAAATCCAAGTCGTATTGAAGAAAATACGATTAAAATACACTGATGGGCAAAATGGTAATTTTGGAAGTCGAATTTTTTTTTAAAAAAATTTTAAAATCTCTCTCTCTCTCTCCGCGTCGTCTTCCCCCCTGCGAATTTCTCTCCCAGCCGTCACCACCCTCCACCATATACAACCGCCACCGACCACAGCCGGCCACCGGACAGGTCCAGAACGGACCGCCACCACCCCAGCAACCCAGCCTGCCTCACCCTGACGCCAGAAGCTGCCGGAAACCGCCGGAATCAGCCGCGAAAGTCGTCGGTTTTTGACAGATTTTCGCTGGCATCGATCTCTCTCCTCCGGCCACCAAACCGGACGTGTGAGGTATGATTTCTCATCTATTTTCTATGCTCTAGCTGATGGTTGAGTAGGAATTGATCAATTTGTAGCGTAGGCAACTCGATTTTTGAATTGAATTTTGGCCGATTTTGGAAGCTCGATTCCGGCCACTTCCGCTTGTTTTTCGGGGTAGGTCCAAGAACAAAAGTGTCTCCAAATGAGGTTTTACACCTAGGGTAGGAATCTTGGCCAGCGGTTTGGAGTATTTCCGGCCGCCGGAAATTGATCTGCACACCCAGGCGCGTGGGCAAGGTGTTGGGGGCCACATTCAGTACTAGAATGATCCCCTGGTCCTCACTAGCGTGTAGGTACTTTCAAATTCCAATTTGGTTAACGTTTGAACCCCGAACGGATCTCGCCTATTGTGTGATTTCCGGGTTCGATACATTTGAACCGTTGGATCGTAGTTAATTTCATATATTTTGATCTAAACAATTCAAGGATTGTGTAGGATTCGACGGATTATGAATCGGAGTCCCGGATACTCCAAAAATGTCAACCTTAGGGTTAGGTTTACAGTAACCGCCCAATTGTACGATCGTGAGCAATCTGACCATTCAATCGAGACCGAACTCTCGGGACATGTGTCCTAACCACCATAGGTACTCATGTTGCCTTCGATTATAATGTTGCCCTAGGTTATAATGTTACCTTCGATTATAAGGTTGCCTTCGGTTATAATGTTGCCTTCAGATAAATTGGTTGCCTTTAGTTGCCTTCAGATAAAATGGTATTTTAGTTGCCTTCGAATAAATTGGTTGCCTTCAGTTAGGTCAGCATGCTTGACTTTGCCCCACGAGTCTTAGGGGTACTCGGACCGTGCGGAGCGAGGAATCCAGATCAGGCAGACTAAATGTCCCTTTAATTCTGCGAGGATTGTGGCTCGGGTCAACTTCATGTTACCGAGACTTGCGAGGATGTGTCACAAATCTGGCATGAGGAATTTACTGTTATTTGTGGGATGAAACAGAAATAAAGGAATTGACGAAAACAAAATGGGTACACCTAGGTGGTAGACTAAATTTCATTTTCAATGACTTCAGCAGAATGATGTTTTCAATAAGTGTGTGAATGGTTATCTAAATATAGATATGAATGCGTGATTTATGTATGAATATAGATAAAGAACTTGTTTAAGTTTTTGCAACTGTTTTTACAGTGGGGTTAATATGTTCGTAGTTAGTTTCAAAACTTTATTTTTGGTCCAGTCACGTTTTTCAATGTTGCCTTCAGCTGCCTTCAGATAAATTGGTTGCCTTCGGTTAGGTTAGCATGCTTTACATTGCCCCACGAGTCCTAGGGGTACCCGGACTGTGTGGAGCGAGGAATGCAGATCAGGTTGACTAAATGCCCCTTGAATCTTGCGAGGATTGCGGCTCGGGTCAACTTTATGTTACCGAGACCTGTGAGGTTGTGTCACAAATGTGACACGAGGAATTGATTGTTATTTGTGGGATTAAACGGAAATAAAGGAATTGACAGAAACAAAATGGGTATGCCTAGGTGGTAAGACTAAATTTCATTTTCAGTGTCTTCAGCGGAAGGATGCTTTCAATAAGTGTGTGAATGGAAATCTAAATATAGATATGAATGCGTGATTTCTGTACGAATATAGATAAAGAACTTGTTTAAGTTTTTGCAACTGTTTTTACAGTGGGGTTAGTACGTTCATAGTTAGTTTCAAAACTTTATTTTTGGTTCAGTCACGTTTTTCAATGTTGTCTTCAGATAAATTGGTTGCCTTCAGTTGCCTTTAGATAAATTGGTATTTCAGTTGCCTTAAGATAAATTGGTTGCCTTCGGTTATATCAGCATGCTTGACTTTGCCCCACGAGTGTTAAGGGTACCTAGACCGTGAGGAGCGAGGAATGCGGATCAGGCTAACTAAATGTCCCCTGAATCCTGTAAGGATTGCGGCTTAGGTCGACTTTATGTTATCGAGACTTGCGAGCATGTGTCACAAATGTGACACGAGGAATTGACGGTTGTTTGTGGGATTAAACGGAAATAAAGGAATTGATGGAAACAAAATGGGTACGCCTAGGTGGTAGACTAAATTTCATTTTCAATGTCTTCAGCGGAAGGATGTTGTCAACAAGTGTGTGAATGATTATCTAAATGTAGATATGAATGCGTGATTTCTATACAAATATAGATAAAGGATTTGTTTAAGTTTTTGCAACTGTTTTTATAGTGAGGTTAGTACGTTCGTTGTTAGTTTCAAAACTTTATTTTTGGTCCACTCACGTTTTTCAATGTTGCCTTCAGATAAATTGGTTGCCTTTAGTTGCCTTCAGATAAATTGGTACTTCAGTTGCCTTTAAATAAATTGGTTACCATTGGTTAGGTCTGCATGCTGGACTTTGCTCCACGAGTCCTAGGGGTACTCGGATCGTGCTGAGCGAGGAATGCGAATCAGCTAGACTAAATGTTCCATGAATCCTGAGAGGATTGCGGCTCGGGTTGACTTTATGTTATCGAGACCTGCGAGGGTGTATCACAAATGTGACACGAGGAATTGACGGTAATTTGTTGGATATAAAGGAATTGACGGAAACAAAATTGGTATGCCTGGGTGGTAGACTAAATTTAATTTTCAATGTCTTTAGAGGAAGGATGTTTTCAATAAGTGTGTGAATGGTTATCTAAATATTGATATGAATGCGTGATTTCTGTACGAATAAAGATAAAGAACTTTATTATGTTTTTGCAATTGTTTTTACGTTGGGGGTAGTACGTTCATAGTTTATTTGAAAACTTTATTTTTGGTCCAGTCACGTTTTTCAATGTTGCCTTCAGTTGCCTTCAGATAAATTGGTTGCCTTCGGTTTGATTAGGATGCTTGACTTTGCCCCATGAGTCTTAGGGGTACCTGGATCGTGCGGAGCAAGGAATGCGGATCAGGCTGACTAAATGTCCCCTGAATCCTACGAGGATTGCGGCTCGGGTTGACTTTATGTTACCGAGACTTGCGAGCATGTGTCTCAAATGTGACACGAGGAATTGACGGTTATTTGTGGGATTAAACGTAAATAAAGTAATTGACGGAAACAGAATGGGTATGCCTAGGTGGTAGACTAAATTTCATTTTCAATGTCTTCAGCGGAAATGCGTGATTTCTGTACGAATATAGATAAAGGACTTGTTTAAGTTTTTGCAACTGTTTTTCCAGTGAGGTTAGTATGTTCGTAGTTAGTTTCAAAACTTTATTTTTGGTCCACTCATGTTTTTCAATGTTGCCTTCAGATAAAATGGTATTTCAGTTGCCTTTAGATAAATTGGTTGCCATTGGTTAGGTCTGCATGCTGGACTTTGCTCCACGAGTCCTAGGCGTACTCGGACCGTGCGGAGCGAGGAATGCAGATAAGCTTGACTAAATGTCCCCTGAATCCTGAGAGGATTGCGGCTCGGGCAGACTTTATGTTACTGAGACCTGCAAGGGTGTGTCCCAAATGTGACAAGAGGAATTGACGGTAATTTGTTGGATATAAAGGAATTGACAGAAACAAAATTGGTAAGCCTAGGTGGTAGACTAAATTTAATTTTCAATGTCTTTAGCGGAAGGATGTTTTCAATAAGTGTGTGAATGGATATCTAAATATAGATATGAATGCGTGATTTCTGTACGAATAAAGATAAAGAACTTTTTTATGTTTTTGCAATTGTTTTTACAATGGGGTTACGTTCATAGTTTGTTTCAAAACTTTATTTTTGGTCCAGTCACGTTTTTTAATGTTGCCTTCAGTTGCCTTCAGATAAATTGGTATTTCAGTTGCCTTCTGATAAATTGGTTGCCTTCGGTTTGATTAGGATGCTTGACTTTGCCCCACGAGTCTTAGGGGTACCCAGATCGTGCGGATTAGGATGACTAAATGTCCCCTGAATCTTGTGAGGACTGCGGCTCTGGTCGACTTTGTGTTACCGAGACTTGCGAGCATGTGTCACAAATGTGACATGAGGAATTGACAGTTATTTGTGGGATTAAATGAAAATAAAGGAATTGACGGAAACAAAATGGGTACGCCTAGGTGGTAGACTAAATTTCATTTTCAATATCTTCAGCAGAAGGATGTTTTCAACAAGTGTGTGAATGGTTATCTAAATGTAGATATGAATGCGTGATTTCTGTACGAATATAGATAAAGGACTTGTTTAAGTTTTTGCAACTGTTTTTATAGTGAGGTTAGTAAGTTCGTAGTCAGTTTCAAAACTTTATTTTTGGTCCACTCACGTTTTTCAATGTTGCCTTCAGATAAATTGGTTGCCTTAGGTTTGATCAGGATGCTTGACTTTGCCCCACGAGTCTTAGGGGTACTCAGACCGTGCGGAGCGAGGAATGCGGATCAGGCTGACCAAATGTCTCTTGAATCCTGCGAGGATGCAGCTCGAGTCAACTATATGTTACTGCGACTTGCGAGTATGTGTCACAAATGTGACACGAGGAATTGACGGTTATATGTGGGATTAAACGGAAATAAAGGAATTGATGGAAACAAAATGGGTACGCCTAGGTGGTAGGCTAGATTTCATTTTCAATGTCTTCAGCGGAGTGATGTTTTTAATAAGAGTGTGAATGGTTATCTAAATTATGATATCAATGAGTGATTTATGTACGAATATGGATAAAGAACTTGTTTAAGTTTTTGCAACTATTTTTATTGTGGGGTTAGTATGTTCATAGTTAGTTTCAAAACTTTATTTTTGGTCCAGTCACGTTTTTCAATGTTGCGTTCAGTTGCCTTTAGATAAATTGGTTGCCTTTGGTTAGGTCAGCATGCTTGACTTTGACCCACGAGTCTTAGGGGTACTCGAACCGTGCGGAGCGAGGAATGCAGGCCAGGCTGACTAAATGTCCTTTGAATCTTGTGAGGATTGCGGCTTAGGTCCCCTTTATGTTACCGAGACCTGCGAGGATGTGTCACAAATGTGACATGAGGAATTGACGGTTATTTGTGGGATTAAACGGAAATAAAGGAATTGACGGAAACAAAATGGGTACGCCTAGGTGGTAGACTAAATTTCATTTTCAATGTCTTCTGTGGAAGGATGTTTTCAGTAAGTGTGTGAATGGTTTTCTAAACATAGATATGAATGCGTGATTTCTGTATGAATATAGGTAAAGAACTTGTTTAAGTTTTTGCCATGGTATTTACGGTGGGGTTAGTATGTTCATAGTTAGTTTCAAAACTTTATTTTTGGTCCATTCACATTTTGCAATGTTTTGCGCTACCAGGTAGGGTAATTGCTTATGCTTCTAGGCAACTCAAGAAGAGCCGTGAGTCTCCCATTGCATTGTGGGCAAAACTATTTGCAATGAATGAGTGTGTAGCCCCGGGGTCAATCAAAAGTCTAGCATGAATCCCAAAAACTGGTAGCATACCTATAATCACATCTGGTGACGCTTGTGCCTCTTGCTAAGGCATGTTATACACTTTGCCTGTAGCTCTGGAACGTCCACCACGTCCCCTCTGTTGGCTGTCATGCCTCCTAGGTACACTTATCTGGACCCCACCATTGGACGAGGCCCCAACAAACTGTGTCGCGCCCTGAGCACTACTCTGTACATCAGTCCCTTAGGTCGGCCCAGCGGTGATCTCTCTGCCCTGGAGGAGTATCGGGCACTCCCTTCGAAAATGACCGAACTGTGCACAAAGATAGCGCCTAATGGCGCCCTATTGACAAGGCCCAGAGTGGTACCTGCCACACACGGTGCACTAGGGGCGACTCCTCCTGCTAGCGACTGGCTGTAGCTGTTTCCCAGCACCACGAGCTGTACCACCTCTAGAGCAGTTCCCAGAACCTCTACTCTAGTTAAAGCCTCCGGTGGAACTGACTCTAGCTCAAAAACCTCCGTAACTACGGCCACTGGATGATCCGGAGTTGAAACTGCCTTTCTTGGATGACCCCTTACTAGGACCACTCATGTCATATTGTCGCCTAGAAGGGTCACCCCGTGCTCAGACCATCATCTGACTGCTCTTGATCAGTGAGGCAGACATAACCAGATCTGCAAAGGTAGTCAGCCGCTGTCCTACCACAATGTCCCGGATGGACATCTTAAGTCCTCCAGTAAACAATTGGCACTTCTTGCTTTTAGCCGCTACTAATGGAGTATAGTACTTGGACAATTCATTAAAGTTCTTCTCATACTCCAATATTGACATCACACCCTGTTCCAGCTGCAGAAATTCCTCCATCTTCATATTCTGATAGGCAAGTAGATAGAACTGCCCATCAAATGTTGCTCTGAAAAATGGCCATGTAATGGCTGATCGATCTTGATACCGTCTCCTAACTGACTCCCACCAGTGTCTAATATTCCTGGCTAGAAAGAAGGTAGCCAGGGTCACTCTACGCTCATGTGGGACGTCTATCATCTCCACCATCAAATTATGTGGCCCCAATTCTCCTAGCCTGATTAGCATAGTTCAGGGATGGGTCTCTAGAATGTCCAGTCCTAGATAGAGCCTGAGTCAATAGCTCCAATGTTTGCTGGAAGTTAGGATCACCCGGCAAGGTGGGCATCATCGGTACGACCTCTGTTGGGCATTCAACAAACGACTGCTTCACCGATTCCGGTGCCGGTGTAGGAATCGGGAATTCCTCTAGCTCGAGTGGGGGATCCTATCCCCGAAGTCGAAACGATTGTCTAGTCCCTCTACGAGTGCCACCACGCTTAGGGCCCATGATTCCGTCACAAGAAAAAGGAATTCATTAAAACTAGAATGCACATAGAGTGTGCAGTCTACAGGAAGTTAAACCTAATGCTCTGATACCAAGTTGAGGAAGGTTTCAAAAGGAGGGAGAGAGAGATGTTTTCAAGCCGTGTGGAAATCTAAAATTTTTAGGTCGAGGGCAAATAAACTTAAGTGCCCTTTTTGTTTAGCGCGTTTTCAAAAGACGACGCTCATTAATTGAGAACATCATCTATTTTATGTTGTGGTTTAAGGATAATGTAGTAGTGGAGGCCTAATTCAAAACATGGTTGCCATTTTTGACTCTGCCATCCTGAAGGATGTGCATGTCAAGTTGGTGAAGCCCTTGTCTGATGATATGCCTCGCGTGGATATGAACAATCTGGGCGCCCGAGTTATCACATTCCTTCCCTTTTACTTTTTGCTGGGCTTCACATTTCCATTGTCAAAGTTCTTAGGGGAGGTGTTCTACGCCATAGAGTGTACTCCGAATGTTTATCCGACGATCATTTGCTTTGAAAATTTGAGCCGTTTTTTCAAGCTAAATCTGGTTGTGTGGGAATTCTTCTACTTATTAGAGGCGAGGTGCTACGAAAAGTATGCTCAATTTCACATGTGCAACGCCAAGCTTTTTGACAGTCTGAGTCAAGGTGATCATGTGTGGCATACAGACGTGTTTGAATTCAGCAGCAAATGGGAATAGGAGGTCGACGACGGTCCACTCGTTCCCCATTGATATGCTATAGTCTTTTTGGAATTCTTTGCTGTGTATCTGACTGACTTCCGTCTTCTGCTTGCAGAAAATGACAACCGCAAGAAGCTTGATCTCGGCCCGGACATAACCAAGGTTCATCGAGCACTGAACATTCCTGCTAGTTGCTGAGCGAATATCGGAAGGAGGTTGGTGGTCTGACCCAAGGATTAAAATATCGGCCATGCTGATAATATCGGGCCTCAAATTTACCGATATTTCGGGGGATATATCGTTATCGTTTTAGGTATCGTGAAAAAAATCAACAAAAATAACAGATATAGGCATTGAAACACATAATTTTGGTGTAAAACTTTCATAGATGTTATGTACATTATCAATGAATGTATTGAACAAATAAAACTCAAAATTTACTAATAATAAGATATACATATGATGAAATATAAATTGTATGTAATGCGCGTAAATGAAAAATTTGAAAATAAAATGTTAATTAAAATGAATAAACCATGCATAAATTCATAGTTTGTTTAAACATTGGATTACAATTTAGATAAGTGTCCATCTACATAAATGAAGAGCTCTTATGAGGTTCAAATAATGAGGAACAACCATATAGATTCATACAATAGTCATACCAAGTCATGTAACCCAAGCAGTTTGTAAGCTATGTTTGAACATGGTGCACATAGGTCTCTCTTGAGCTCCCTATTGCCTTCCCATATATGGGATAGTTAGGATTAACCAACTAGTAGGTCCATCATCTTTTTTTATCATCTTGAGCTCCATAACTAGTTCCATTATAATTAGACATGACATAACCATAGCCATCATAAGATTCATTTGAGTTAGTACTAGGTCTAGTTCATATGCTCATAGATCCAAAACTGATCGCCATGTCTTCTTCAGATGGATTGGAGATATGTGGGCAGTGGACTGTGCATATATTCTTCATATTAATAAATTATAGGGTTATGGGCAAGGATTAGTTATTTTTGGGTTTCAATTTGCTTCAATTGCCTTCAAAACTTCAGAATTTTTTTTGGGTTCTGTTATGGGTATCGGAAAATATCGGGGATATCGGCAAAATATCGGGGATATCGCACTTATCGGGGATATATCGTCGATATAGTGGAAGATATGGCCTTACCCCCCAATATCGGTGTCGACAGTTGAAAATACAGATATATCGGCAGATATATCAGTGTATCGGCTAACATTTCAATCCTTGGTCTGACCCTTGCTGAAGATGTTAAAAGAGAGAAGTTGTATGACTCGGACTTAAAGGATCTGCCAGCTGAGCAGTAGATCCATTAGAGATGAAGCTAAAACTACACGATCAAGAGATGTGTCTCCATAGAGAGAAACCGAGACCTCTTTCTACCACGAGAAAGTCTTCCTCGAGATGGTTCTCATACGTCGAGAATGTCCCTATGAGAATTTATTCCTTCATCTGCTAGGATTAAGCTCCTCGTCGGCGTGAATAGCAAGAAGGTTAATGGCATGTAAAAGGTCTGCGATATTTTGCTCAAATCTCCACCCGAACTGCTCAAAACCCGTGATCTACCCTGTAAGGAGGTTGCTGGGAAGCAGGGTTCGAGTTGTTTGCGTCGATCCGGGGATCAAAATTAAAGGACTATACCCTTGTCCAGCAATCATGACTCGTCTGCCAAGCCACGAACAATCAAGCGCTGAGCTGATTCAGTATTGCAGGCTACGGTCAATAGGGCTAGAGAATCGTCTACTGGAACAAAGAGTCGTTCAATTGCATGAACTGCTGGTCTGGGAGCTGGTGGTAATTCTGCTGGGGATGAGCATGTGTCTGATATGCTCAAAATGAACTTTTTGTCAAGTGCGTCTGCTTGTGCCAAGCTGGTTGACCACATAAACCAAGTTAGTGACCTTGACATGTTCTTGAGCCTTTCCCTGGATAAGCAAGAAGAAGATGCTCTTTAAAAGGGGATGGTTTTTGTGTTGGAGCCATGCAAAACTTGTCTATTGTTGATCTGACTGACAAGCTCTCGAAGGAGCGGACTTGCCATGGTGCCTGGATGTTCGAGATGATGGAGAGTATGTATTCTCTGAAGAGTTCTCTTGGCCACAAAGATGATGAGCTCAAGTCTCTCGTTGCTACCCTGCTTGAACACAAGGAGGCCTATTTCACCTCAAACACAAGTATGTCGTTATGGTCCAAAATCGAGACAAGCTGCAGGTCAAGTTTGACACCCATGTTGAAGCCGCATAGGGTCTAAGCATGAGATTGTTGCTAACGCGTATAAGCAAGGGTACTTGGATTGCAAGAACGGCTTCTCTCCCTGTTGCCCTATCAAAGATGAAGATGCTGAGTTGCTCTACCTTGACCTGTCACCTGCTCAAAGTGAGCAGATCAATGTTGTGGATGTAGAAGCAGTTGGAGAGCAAATGGCTGATGAAGTTGTAGTGGAGGAGGATGACACCAAAGGTGGCACAGCTGATGAGGTCAGGGTAGATGGGGAGGAGTTGGCAGCTGAGACTGCTCAGCAGATGGTGGTGGTTGAGTAAAGTGAAGCCATGGTCGGAGTAACTGATTAGGAGGCAGTTGAGGTGGTAGTCAGCCAATGGTCACCTACCGGAGTCCCCTAGTAGACGTAGACTCCTTTATTATTTTTGAACTCTGTATTTTTTGTTTCATTAAGTGGTCTTTAGTTAACCATTCTCTTTCTTGTTGAACACGGCTGGTTGGCCACTTTGCTATAGAATTTTCAGTTGTTTTTCAAACTTCAATTCTCATTGTATCTTGGAAATGTATGTTCGGAGATATGTTGATGAGAGTGGTCCGTTTGGTCTATGTCCGGAGACATGTCGATAGCTCTCCTAAGTGTATGTCTAGAGACATGTAGATGAGAGTGACCCATTTGGACTATGTTGGGGGACATGTTGATAGCTCTTGTGGGAGTGGCTCGTTTGGCCTATTTCAGAGACATGTCGATAGCTTCTATAAGTGTATGTTTGGAGATATAAGAGTGGCCTGTTTGGCCTATGTCCGGAGACATGTCGATAGCTCCCAGTAGTGTTGATAACTCATATATTTATACATTTATACCATCCATTTCTAGTCTATTTGTGATGTTTTTGAGTTAAACATGTTGCGTTTTACCCTATTTTGTGTTAGTATGCAGTTGCACTCACTTTAGGATCAAGTTGAAGGCAAAAGAAATCAAAACATGTCATTTTTGGAGCTGGCCATTATCCAAACGTGGAAACAAATTTTGTGACCTGTTTTGAAGTCCAAAGAAAGATCCAAAGCGAACCTGGCTTGTTTAAAGACTAAGAGCATAATGGGAAAGTAATGGGGATTTCTATCCTGATTTGGAGGTGCCAAATAAAGCAAAAACGTGCAAAATAAAGGCTGATTTATTAGGATCTTTTTGGAATATCTGACAGCCTCTTTTACCCCATAAAAACTTGCCTTTTAGCCACTTTTACAGACCCTATTTATTTTGGACGAATTTCACAACCCTAGACATCCTTCTTTTTGTTATTCTCCCCTTTCACACACACTTAAACCCTAGCCGCCCATATATTTCCACCATCAAGACTCATTGCAGGAGGCTGTTCTTGGAGAAGTTCAACATCAGAATTGGTTCAAGGGTTTCTTCTCATGAATTTATTTTCACTCATGTTGTTTATTTTCATTTTAATCTTTATGAACATGATGTGTAACTAAATTCATAGCTAGGGATTTCGATGTAGCCTTGCAACATTGACCCATGTTTCTAAGTTAAAGTATTCAGTTCATCAATTTGTTTCTTGTTTCATTCTCTGAATCTATTGTTAAATTTGTTTGTCAATTTTAATGTTTGATCACCATTAGGGTTGCCTACAGATTATCTGGTCAAGGTTATTGTAAACATCATGTTTAATCTTGGTAGACATGTGAATGAATGAAGAGAATGCTATGCAAACATCCTGCCATGTGTTTTCTTCAGTTCTTTAACGTTTTCTTGCATGCTAATGACTCTTAACCTGGAACCAAAATTGAACATCCCAATTAGGTTGCAGATTAGGAGAATTTGATCAAAACCACACATCATATGGCTGATCATACATATGTAAAACGAACTCTGGAAACATGTTGGTAGTTGAATACGGTTTAACTTTATAAACATGGAATTGATTTTGCAATGGTGAATTCGAAATCCCAGCTCTCATCCCTATTTTTCTTACATCAATATCTCATTCGCTGCTACATTCTTCTTGCATTTTAAGTTATTCTTCATTTACAACACAAACTACTCTCAATTTGTCACTTTCACTTTTAGTTAGGGTTCTTTCAAAACTAGTAATTTATAGAGGTCCAATCGGTCCCTGTGGTTAGACACCCTTACTTGTACCATTATACTAACCATATATTGGCACTTGGAAGGAACACAACAAAATTTTGGCGCCGTTGCCGGGGACTGATTTCAGTCCTCTGTGATTGCTTGTTCTCAAACCCTAATTTCGTTTTATTTTTGTTTGTCAGGTAGTATATGTCAGATACACTTGCTGAAATAGGCCAAAGACTTGAACGGTTAAAGAGCAACACTTTTGAGAATTCTGTATCAGCTAGTGCCCAGACTAGCCGTATAGAAGAGGACAATAGTTCTTCTAGCCCAACGAGTGTAGATTTTTTCGATAACTCTAACTCTGACGGAGAAGAAGAGATGGCTGGCAATAACGATGACAACCGAGCTTTGGAAGATTATGCTCAACCGGTTATACCAAATTCACCTTCGTGCATCTTGCTGCCTACTGAAGCTAGAAATTATGAACTCAAATCTTCTCATTTTCACATGCTTCCTTCTTTTTATGGTTTACCTAACGAAGATCCATTATCCCATATTAAGGAATTCTACAATGTTGTGAGTGGTTTACCTTTGCAGGGAGTGAGTGAAGCAAATCTGAGGATGAGGGTTTTTCCTTATACATTGAAAGATAGAGCAAAGAATTGGCTAATGACTTTAGCACCTGGTTCGCTCACCACTTGGGATGCCGTAGCTAAGAAGTTTCTGGAGAAGTTTTTCTCAACTCAAAAGACAGCTACGTTGAGAGGGCAAATCTTTAACTTTAAACAAGATGATGGAGAACCTTTCAATGAATGTTGGGAGCGTTTCAAAGGCCTGTTGCTGCAATGTCCACATCATGGGTTACCTCTTTACTTACAAATGCAAATTTTTTATGATGGACTAACCCAAACATGTCAATCAATTGTGGATAATGCAGCAGGTGGAGCTTTGAAGAAGAAAAATGCTCAAGAGTCATATAACATTTATGAGATGTTGGGATCTAATGCTCAACACAAAGATACAAGAGGTAAACGAGTTGGAATGTATGAAATGAGTTCTAATAATGATCTTGCTTTGCAGGTGGCTAGTTTGGAAAAGAAGCTCGATTCTGTGCTCAATATGGTGCCTAAGATAGCTGAGGTGTGTGCCATTTGCAACATACCAGGTCATCCTACTTATCAATGCTCAGCTAGTGAGGCTTATCCCGAATTCGTTCAAGAGCAAGTGAATCTCATGAATTCTTACAATCAGAGGCCGAGGAATGACCCGTTCTCTAATACATATAACCCTGGTTGGAGAGATCATCCTAATCTCGCATGGAAGAATAACAATCAATTTCAAAATTTCCAACCAAAGCCTGCCACTACGCTTGAAGATACTGTCAAAATGCTAGCTCAGAACACCGTTCAATTCTAGCAAACTACCAATAGTACTCTCCAACAACATTCAGCTGCTCTAACCAAAATGGAGACACAATTAGGTCAGATTGCTGATGCTTTGAGTCAAAGAGAACCCGGGAAATTTCCAAGCCAACCGGTGATACATCAAAGGAACCAAGAGCAGGCCAAAGCAGTCATAACACTTAGAAGTGGTAAGGTTATTAATAATAGAGTTGGCAATGAAGTTACTAATGAATCTGATCATGTGAATGCAGGCCCCACTCAAGAAGAGCATGAGAAACCGAATGAAGATCCAAGCAATGCCACTTCTTCGTATGAAGCTCCAAATTTTCACAAGGCTGAAAAACCTTACACTCCTCTAATCCCATTTCCTGGAAGACTTGCCAAAAGCAAGCAGGAGAAGTCATTTAAAGAAATTTTTGATATTTTAAGTAAAGTGAATGTTAATTTACCTTTGCTTGATGTCATTAGGAATATGCCAGCATATGAGAAATTTTTCAAGGAGCTAAACACTTATAAGAGGAAGTATGGACCTAATGAAAAGGTGATGGTGTCTGAAAATGTGAGTGTTGTGCTTCAAAGAAAGCTCCCACCAAAACTCAAGGATCCGGGCAGTTTTTCTATCAATATCACCATTGGAGACAAGCTAGTTGAAAAGGCTATGCTTGACTTGGGGGCGAGCATCAATTTAATGCCCTATTCAGTGTACCTTCAATTAGGTTTGGGGGGTTTGAAGGCAACAACTATTTCATTGCAACTTGCCGATCGATTAGTGAAATATCCAAGAGGTATAGTGGAAGATATCTTAGTTCAAGTTGACAAACTAATTTTGCCTGCTGATTTTGTAGTGTTGGACATGGAAGAGGCTCCTATACATGATCGTGAGTTACCTATTTTGCTTGGGAGACCCTTTATGGCCACGACAAAGACTATCATAGATGTGCAAAATGGTCTCCTCACCATGACTGTGCTAGGAGAAACTGTACAATTCAAAGTGTTTGAATCTCTTTCTCACCCTTCTAGTTCACTTGATTGTTGTTCGATTGATGTGCTTGATTCACTTGTTTTCTCTAAGTTTTTGCTGGCACAATCCAATGATCCATTACAATATGTTTTGAGTCAATCTCAAGATGAATTTGATGAAGAAGTGCTCATGGAGATGGTGGCAGCCTTGGAAGCATTAAAACCATATCCCTCCACTTTTTCACCTCTTATAGAGCCATTAGGACCATCTGCCACACATCTGACCCCTTCTGTTGTTAAACCTCCAAAACTTGAGCTTAAACCACTTCCATCACATCTAAAATATGCTTACCTAGCTGAGTTTGAAACTCTCCCAGTTATCATAGCATCTGACCTCACCCCTTTGGAAGAAGAGAAGCTAATTAGGGTGCTAAAAGAGTTCAAATCAGCCATTGGTTGGTCTATTGCAGATATCAAGGGAATAAGCCCTACCATGTGCATGCATCGAATTTTATTGGAGGAGGGAGCGAAACCAACTCGTGAACCACAAAGAAGGCTCAATCCACACATGAAGGAAGTAGTGAGAGCTGAAGTGTTGAAGTTGCTAGATGTGGGTATCATATACCCGATTTCAGATAGCAAATGGGTCAGCGCTGTTCATGTAGTGCCTAAGAGGATTGGAATCACAGTGGTAAAAAATGAGCATAAAGTGCTTGTTCAAATGAGACCTGCAGCTAGTTGGCGTGTTTGCACCGATTACAGGAAGTTGAATTCGTACACTAGAAAAGATTATTTTCCTATGCCTTTTATTGATCAAATGCTTGAGCGATTAGCTGGTCACGCATATTATTGTTTTCTTGATGGATATTCAGGTTATAATCAAATTGTGATTGCTCCAGAAGATCAAGAGAAGACTACATTTACCTGTCCTTTTGGCACTTTTGCATATAGGAGGATGTCGTTTGGCCTTTGCAATGCCCCAGCAACATTCCAACGATGTATGCTGGCAATCTTTTCAAATATGATTGAGAGATTTATTGAGGTATTCATGGACGATTTTTCAGTTTTTGGTTCTTCTTTTGATACTTGTCTTAACCATCTCTCTCTAGTGCTTCAAAGATGTCAGGAAACAAATTTGATTCTCAATTGGGAAAAGTGTCAATTTATGGTGAAACAAGGTGTTGTGTTGGGGCATGTAATATCCAGCAAGGGTACTGAAGTTGACAAAGCAAAAATTGACATCATCTCAAATATGGCAGCCCCTACTTCAGTGAAGGGAGTGAGAAGCTTTCTAGGACATGCTGGTTTTTATCGTCGTTTCATTAAGGATTTTTCCAAGATCACTCATCCATTGTGCAATCTTTTGGCCAAAGATATTGTCTTTCACTTTGATGAAGATTGTATGAATGCATTTAGTACCTTGAAACGTGAACTAACCTCTGCTCCTATCATTATGGAACCAGATTGGTCTTTGCCTTTTGAGCTAATGTGTGACGCCTCTGACTATGCTATTGGTGCTGTTTTAGGTCAAAGAGTAAATAAGCTGCCACACGTAATCTACTATGCAAGTCAGATATTAAATGATGCTCAACTCAATTACTCTACAACTGAGAAGGAGTTGCTTGCTGTTGTTTTCGCTTTAGAGAAATTTCGTTCATATCTTGTTGGCTCTAAAGTTGTTGTTTACTCTGATCATGCGGCACTTAGGTTTTTGTTGACCAAGAAAGATGCTAAACCACGTTTGATCAGATGGATACTCTTGTTACAAGAGTTTGATCTAGAAATTCGAGACAAGAAAGGGAGTGAAAATGTTGTTGCTGATCACTTGTCGCGCCTTGTTGATGAAAACCATGGAGATGGACAAATTTTGCCTCTCAACGAATCATTCCCAGATGAAAAACTCTTTGTCATCCAAGATAAAGAGCCATGGTATGCTGATTTTGTCAATTATCTTGCTTCTGGTGTAATTAGAGATGATTTGACTTTTCAGGAGAGAAAGAAGTTCTTTTCAATGGTGAAACACTACATGTGGGATGAGCCCTATTTGTTCAAGTATTGCCCTGACCAAATCATTTGAAGATGTGTTCCAGAGAGTGAGCAGCAAAGCATACTAACATTCAGTCATGCATTGGCATGCGGAGGTCATTTCAGTGCCAAAAAGACAGCTTTAAAGGTTTTACAATCTGGTTTCTTTTGGCCTACATTGTTTAGAGATGCTTTTGATTTTTGCTCTAAGTGTGATAGGTGTCAAAAAATGGGGAGCATCAGTCGCAGGAATGAAATGCCATTAAACAACATTTTAATGGTAGAGCTATTCGATGTATGGGGAATAGACTTCATGGGACCATTCCCATCTTCTTTTGAATACATATACATACTAGTGGCAGTAGATTATGTATCAAAATGGGTTGAGGCAACAGCTACAAGAACTAATGATCACAAAGTTGTTTTGAATTTTCTCAAATATATGATTTTCACTAGGTTTGGAACTCCGAGAGCTATCATTAGCGATGGTGGCAGTCACTTCTGCAACAAACCTTTCGAGGCATTGATGAAGAAGTACAACATCACACATAAAGTGGCAACTCCATACCATCCTCAAACCTCTGGACAAGTGGAAATCAGCAATAGAGAAATAAAGAACATCTTGATGAAAACCGTCAGCCCTACAAGGAAGGATTGGTCACTAAGGTTGAATGATGCACTTTGGGCATATCGAACAGCGTACAAGACCCCAATTGGAATGAGCCCTTATCGACTGGTGTTTGGAAAGGCATGTCATTTGCCAATGGAGCTCAAGCACCGTGCATATTGGGCCATAAAGAAGTTCAATTTTGATCTCAAAGAAGCTGGTACAGTGAGGAAGATCCAACTCAATGAGTTGGAAGAGCTCAGAAATGAATCATATGAGAATGCAAGGATCTACAAAGAACGAACCAAGCTCTACCATGACAAAGCAATTCTTAGGAAGGAGTTTCAACCAGGTATGAAAGTACTTTTGTATGACTCACGTTTGCGAATTTTTCCCGGTAAATTGAAGTCTAGATGGGTTGGACCATTCAAAGTGCTTCAAGTATTTCCCCATGGAGCTATGGAGATAGAAAACATCAAGAATGAGACCTATTTTAAGGTCAATGGACAACTTTTGAAGCCTTATTTGGAGAATGTTTCACAGGAGCAGGTTTATGTAGTTATGGATTCTCTCGAGTTTATGACAACTTAGACACACTACCATGTCTTGCCTAGACATTAAATAAAGCGCTTGCTAGGAGGCAACCTAGCTGGGTTTGTGTTCTTTCCTTTTATTTGTGTTAGTTTTTAGTTTTTATTTTATTTCATTCCATGCACACTGCCAATTTGCATTGCATCCATTCCATTCTTTTTTTTAAGCATCGAGGACAATGCTTAGTTTAGGTTTGGGGGTGTGGGATTTTCGTTTGTTTCTAGTTCTGGTTAAAGTTTGCTTTTGCTTACTAATGTGAATGTATATGAGGGCTATGGTTTACAATGAGGACTACTGTGTTGTCATGAAAAGTTCGTATCATTATTTTTTTTTCAAAGCTGTTACTCTTGGAATCATGGTGGTTAAAGTATCATGCTCAAATTCGGGAAGAAGAATTGTGGAGACTACCCTAGAGAGTGATTTTGAGCCTATTTATTTCTTTGAGAGGGTTTAAAGTGTTTGTACTCCTATCTTTTTGCTTCAACTTCATTTCAAATGATCTCATTATTTTTGTTTGATTGAACGCTAAGAATTGTTCTCTTTCACAGATACCATGTGTTTGGTAACACTCATGAATGAACTCATTGAGATGATGTTAGGCTATGCATGTCTTAACCACCAAAAGGCCTAATTTCTTACCTTTATGTGTGTGCCATTACCCCATTTTGAAGCCAATCATTTTTAGCCATTTTCTTTTCTCACATTTTTTTCCCCCATATCCTTTTATCTCAATATGAGATATTTAGCCCATTACAGCTATACCCTATAGTTTGGGGAATACCAAAGTGTTGAAGACAAAGATAATTCGAGCTCTACATAAAGAAAGTGGTGTGTACCGAGGTATGTGTGCTGGAATTGTAGAAAAAAGAAAGAAAAAAGAAACAAAGTTTTAGAAAAGAAAAGAAAAAAAATCAAAGAGGATGTAATTTCTAAATCCTTCCATTATCGCACGGATCCTGGATGCCACGAACAAACAACAAAGATCAATTCAAGAGGAGAGCTTGCTGCTTTCACAAGGAAGACACTTTGGTATGTCCCAAGCTTTAGTATTTCCTATCCTTTCTTTCATAGCCCCTGACCTAAGCCTTAACATTACAAACCTTGTGAAAGACCTAGCTGATCTTTGAGGATGTATTCATGAGTGCTGCTAAGTATGTGTGCTATCCATATTCTTAGTGTTTGATTCCCTTCATGAGATCTGTCCAGAAATTGTGCTTTTATTTCATATTTCATATGTGAGGATTTTGATTTCCTTTTACATAACTTCACTCACATATGTTTGAGGAGAGACCGTGCCTTAGGATCTGAGTGAAAATTTGAGTGATATCTGTGAGGACTAGAGTTGAGGCGATTTCTATCTTTGGCATTTGAGTATGGTGTCTTTGAAGTCATGGGACATGGAGTAATTATTTTTTACACTTTATGATATGATTCTTTCAAGTGGCAGACTAGTGGTTTGAATGTATGACTAAGCTTTCATTGGTTCTTATTAGTTTGCTATAAGTATGCTTTAACCAATTTGTTTGCAAGTATGCAGATGTTTGTGGGTGTCATCACTGTAAACCCTCAGGAGACACAACTCCTCCTACTAGGGACACCTAGGGGTTTAAAGGCTTGTTGCACATGCTCAGTGCAATCGTTTAGCCAGCGAAAGTGGTCTAGTTAGATTTTATTGTCTTGTGTGTTTTCAGTTTCAGTTTTGCTCGAGGACTAGCAAAAATCAGGTTTGGGGGTATTTGATAACTCATATATTTATACATTTATACCATCCATTTCTATTCTATTTGTGATGTTTTTGAGTTAAACATGTTGCGTTTTACCCTATTTTGTGTTAGTATGCAGTTGCACCTACTTTAGGATCAAGTTGAAGGCAAAAGAAATCAAAACATGTCATTTTTGGAGCTGGCCATTATTCAAACGTGGAAACAAATTTCGTGACCTGTTTTGAAGTCCAAATAAAGATCCAAAGCGAACTTGGCTTGTTTAAAGACTAAGAGCATAATGGGAAAGTAATGGGGATTTCTAGCCTGATTTGGAGGTGCCAAATAAAGCAAAAACGTGCAAAATAAAGGCTGATTTATTAGGATCTCTTTGGAATATCTGACAGCCTCTTTTACCCCATAAAAACTTGCCTTTTAGCCACTTTTACAGACCCTATTTATTTTGGACGAATTTCACAACCCTAGACATCCTTCTTTTTGTTATTCTCCTCTTTCACACACACTTAAACCCTAGCCGTCCATATATTTCCACCATCAAGACTCATTGCAGGAGGCTGTTCTTGGAGAAGTTCAACATCAAAATTGGTTCAAGGGTTTCCTCTCATGAATTTATTTTCACTCATGTTGTTTATTTTCGTTTTAATCTTTGTGAACATGATGTGTAACTAAATTCATAGCTAGGGATTTCGATGTAGCCTTGCAACATTGATCCATGTTTCTAAGTTAAAGTATTCAGTTCATCAATTTGTTTCTTGTTTCATTCTCTGAATCTATTGTTAAATTTGTTTGTCAATTTTAATGTTTGATCACCATTAGGGTTGCCTACAATGTTTGTCAAGGTTATTGTAAACATCATGCTTAATCTTGGTAGACATGTGAATGAATGAAGAGAATGCTATGCAAACATCTTGCCATGTGTTTTCTTCGGTTCTTTAACGTTTTCTTGCATGCTAATGACTCTTAACCTGGAACCAAAGTTGAACATCCCAATTAGGTTGCAGATTAGGAGAATTTGATCAAAACCACACATCATATGGCTGATCATATATATGTAAAACGAACTCTGGAAACATGTTGGTAGTTGAATACGGTTTAACTTTATAAACATGGAATTGATTTTGCAATGGTGAAATCGAAATCCTAGCTCTCATTCCTATTTTTCTTACATCAATATCTCATTCGCTGCTACATTCTTCTTGCATTTTAAGTTATTCTTCATTTACAACACAAACTACTCTCAATTTGTCACTTTCACTTTTAGTTAGGGTTCTTTCAAAACTAGTAATTTATAGAGGTCCAATCGGTCCCTGTGGTTCGACACCCTTACTTGTACCATTATACTAACCATATATTGGCACTTGGAAGGAACACAACAAGTGTATGTCTGGAGACGTGTTGATGAGAGTGGCCCGTTTGGCCTATGTCTGGAGACATGTCGATAGTTGTTGTAAGATACTCCATTGAAAGAAAAGATCGAACTTCCATTGATGTTGGTGTGATTACATCGCTTTATTGAATGAAAGAGATGGACAACATGGACAACATCGTAAGTAACTTGTCTTCAATAGAGGTTTGGAAGGCTCGATTGCTTGCTTAGAGCCAAGCCAGTAAGTGAGGAGCTTTATGGATAGTACCTCTGAAGGTGGTGGGCATTCCCTTGTGTCAGAATTTCCTTCCCTTCTAAGGTGTCGAGGTATAGCTTCGCCTGCCTACAGACCGACTGATCACGTAAGGTCCTTCCCAGTTGGGCTTCATCTTCTTCGACCCTTGCCTTGGTGCTGTGATGAAAGTTTTTCTGAGCACAAGGTCTCCAGGTTGAATTGATCTTGGCCTTCTTGTTGTAGTAAGATGTTAGCCACTGCTAATAAGCTGCAACTCAAACAATGGCCTTCTCTCATTCTTTTTCAATCAGATCAAGCTTGACTTTCATCTGCTTGCAGTTCTGGTCAAGGCTGCCCACTTTAATGCTCATGGACGGAATTGTGATGTGTAGGGGGATTATTGCCTCGGTTTCGTAAGCCAAGGAAAATGTTGTCTCGCTGGTTGATCTTCTTTTGGTTGTGTGATAAGCCCATAGGATTCCTAGTTGGACTCCTAGTAGCTAGTTGAGCCACTTTCCTTCTACGCCTTCCAGTCTTATCATCAGGAAGTCCAGCACGATCTTGTTGGATGGCTCTGCTTGGCCATTGCCTTGCAGATATCTTGGAGTTGACTATTGATTGGTTGGTCAAGGTGTTATCTGATGCCCTACTTAGCAAAAAATGCGGTGATCTGCCTGTCCACAAATTGTGTGCTATTGTTGGTGACTATTGATTGCGGGCAGCTGAATCGGTAGATGATGTTCCTCTAGATAAATCATTCGACATCAGCTTCCTTGGTAGAAGATAGAGTCTCAGCCTCGATCCACTTAGTGAAGTAGTCAATGGCAACGATCATCATGTCTTTCTTGGCAGGTGCCGGCAACATAGGTCCTACCAAGTTAATGACTCATTGCATGAATGGTCATGGGCTATTCTACGGATGGTGCACCTTGGCTGGCAGGCTAGGTACTGGTTTATAACATTAGCACGATTTGCCTCCCAATGTGATTCCCACATTCGCCATTGTGTATTTTGCAAAGCACCTCGAGTGTTTGTGGGTACTAGATGTAGGTGAGATGAGGATAGGAGTATGATCTGCGAACAAGTGTGTTGTACGTCATGTAGTATCTCGCAGCTTGTTGCTTGATTTTTCTGGCCTTTGACTTGTCCTTTGGCAAGTTCTCGTTCACCAGGTAGTCGATGATCCCAGGCTTGCCAGTGTGTCTACGTGCGCGTTCTCTGCTCAGGGCACCTGTTGGATGGTGAAGGTACTAAATATCTTCAATAGCTGTTGGACTTTGTCAAGGTATAAGATCATCCTCAGAAGCTTCGCCATGTATTATCCTGAGGCTTGATTTGTGATTAGTTGGGAATTTGAGTAAATAGCGAGCTTCTTGATTGCTAGCTCCTTTGCCTCATGCTATGCCTCGTTGTTTGATGCCACGAAGTTAAGCATGATAGCTTGCTCCAACAGGGTTCCATCTGGGGTATGGGAGGCGAAGTGAGGTAAGTCTTTAGATTTTAGAAAGCTACTGCGCCCACTCTCGTCCCACTTGTCTTTTTTCCCTTTCTTCAGAGCTTTGAAGACTGGTCTGCACTTGTCGGTAGATCTCGAAAGTAATCAGTTGAGGGCCACTGCTCTGCCCATTAGACTTTGTATTTCCTTCATTATTGAAGGTGAATTCATCTCGAGAATGGCCTTGATTTGGCGTGGGTGTGCCTCGATATCTCGTTGAGTGACTAGGTATCCCAAGAATCAGCTGGACGATACACCGAACATGCATTTACTTGGGTTCAACTTCATGCGATATGGTCACAACTGGTTGAATGCTTTGATAAGGTTCTTGATGTGGTCTACACGCTCAAGAGCTTTAACTAGCATATCCTTGATGTAGACTTTCGTAGTTTTACTAATATGCTCATTGAAAACTTTATTCACGAGCCTTTGGTAGGTCAGCCCAAAGGGCATGACCTTTTAGTAGTAGGTCCCTTTCTCGATGATGAAAGAGGTCTTCGCCTTGTCATTCTCGTGCATTAGGATTTGGTTATAGCCGGAGTCGGCGTGAGCAGCTGATTGCCAAAAGTTGAATCCGCGAGCTAGTCGATTCTTGGTAGTGGGAAATTGTCTTTGATGAAGCCAGCAACTAGGAGCTTATCAATCTCTGCTTCATTAATCACGACTTGCTCGGGAACGAAGTTACGTCTCTTCTGCGCCATTGGCCCTCTAGCTGGGTTGACATGGAGTCGGTGGTAGATGATTAGAGGATCGATGCCAAGCATGTAAGATGGCGACCATGCGAGCATGTCCTTGTTATTCTGGAGTAAGGTGGTCAGCTCCACCTTCTCGTATGGGCTTAGGCTTGAGCCGATCTGCACTTTTCTGTTTGGTTGGTCAGGATTAAGGGGTACTAACTCAACATCTTCCTCGGGCTTCCATCCTTCTTCAAGAAAGCCTTTAGAGAGGATTCTCTCGTCTTGATCCTGGCTCCTTGGTTGCTATTGGGTTGTGGCTACTCCCTTCCCTTTCAAGTTTGCTTGTTCGTTGTAAACGTGACCTGCCTCACCGGTGTGAACTACAACTGTTTACTCTTCTTTAGCCCTTGGGCTGTGCATCTCCTTGCCATGACTGTTTTCTGTCTGTCCTTTAGGAGGTGCACTCCTTTGTGAAAATATAGTCAAACTCCTTAAAGTTGTCGATGGATGCAGACGGTAGAGTGTGGAACTAGTCCTGAGCTGTTCCTCGCAAGGTCATTGCTAACACCTTTATATATAGGCATTGTCTGCCTTGTATAGGATCATAGTACTCTTGAAGTGCTTTAAATGGCTCTCAGGGTCAGAGTCCCCCTTGAAAGGAGTGATGGACGGTGTTGTGAACCGTTTTGGAGGTGCGGCCTGCTCCACCTCGTCGGTGAAGGGTGAGGAGTTTACTTGATCAACTTCCCTGCACAGGGTCTTCTTTGTGATTCCTTTAAGTTGGAGACTCTGGAGTTAGTCATTCACTAGCCTCTCTATTGAAATAAAAAATTTATTTACAGCAAATTAAATTATGGCCCAAGTTTAAAGAAGTTGGGCTCATAGCTAAAATGGTCTTGTGGACTTGTTGCTAAATTGGTTTAGGCCCAAATGAATTAATACTAATATTTTTTACAAGAAAAATATTAATATATTGAAAGCAGTAACAGAATATGCTTCATGTACGTGACTTTAGAGTGTGAAGTTACTCCCACCCACACAGTACGTGAGGCCATAACTGGCTCCACCCTTTCATTTTTTATGGGTCTATAAAAAGGGACCATTGGTGAGAAATAGAAGCAAGCAAAGGAGATACGAAACTCTGTCACAATACCATAAAGGAAGGTATAAAATGATTCATTAATTTGAGCATTCTCTTATGTACAACTAACTTGCAGGCAAAAGAAAAAGTGTAAAAGAAACTGTACAGAAGGCAATGGAAGATGTAAACAAATCTTTTCAAAATGATGGTAACTATGCTGCTTACACAAAGAGAGCTCCCGCATGGACCTCTCTATTATGAATTACAGATGGGCTTCCGCAAGAACCCCACTGTACTGAGTGCTATGAACACCTTGCTAGTGTCCGTAGGCACGGTGTGGTACTCAAAGAAGACCTTGCGAGTGTTCTTGAGTACCAAAAACAGAAAATGGCGTGTTACATCCTAACCCACCTTCAACACAGCGAAATTCCAGGTCTACAAATTGGATAACAAAGAGATGGCAATACGTGCTGCAAATGGAGAAAATCAACACTCTTTTAGTCTCACCAATATGCATAAACAGAAGAAAATATGAAAGCAAATACTGCTAATTGCCAAAAAGTCTACGAAAGTTGATGACTCACATCCAGGTATCGTGCTTCAATAGGTTGTCAACAAAGGAAAATCCCAATCCAGCCACGAAAGTTACTAAGACAGCACTCTTTAGCAGCAATTTGCAAATATCATTAAAGATTCTCAATTTGTTACTGGCAAGACATGAGGCAAATGAGACAAAACAAAGTTAGTATCTCAATTGACGGTATGATAGCTCTCCCAAAAGATCTCAGCCTGCAAATGGAAATATGCAATCAAATTGGAAAGAAAAGAATGCACCAAAGCATCAGCAAGCAAAAAACAAAAGAAAAAATGGCTCACCAATTTCAGGCCAAGAAGCCTCCTCCCGTGTGTTGCGGCTGTTGAAGAACCCAAAAGCAACATAAGCCAAAAATAAAGAAGCCCAAAAGTCAAAGAAAAAGCCCCAAGAGTTGAAAGAGAAATTAGCAAAAGGAAGAAGACAAATAAAATGCAAAGAGAAGAAAGCACGAAAAACAAAGAAAAGAAAAAAAGTAGCAAAACAAGCTCTGTACAAACAGATGTGGCCTCTCTAAATTCCAAGACTTTCAACTAATAGTTTAATAGGCTATATGGTCTAACTCTGACAGCAGGGAGCAAAGGAAAAGGCCAACCTTGTTTTGATGTCTCTTTGGTTTTGGCATCTCAAACTCAAAGCTCTGTATTGATTGTGGTTAATGGGTAGCTAAAGAGATATATGGTTCGATCCAGTTTGAGTTAATTTGAACTACTCCAGATAAAGATGGGAGTGACTCAGTTTGGATTGATCTCTACTACTCCAAATAGATATCGGTTTCAAATGCAACTGGCTCTCAAAGCGTTTCTGACGTGGACTTTTTGTTTATGGCCCAACTAAGGGAAATGTCAAAGCTCGGAAATAAATTGATGGGTTGACAAAACAAATTACCCAGTTAACTCTCAAAAGCCAAAATATTTGATGGTGATCCAAATAAATTGTGTGGTTAATGGATCAATTTTTTAAATCCTTAAAACCATATGTGAGTAAATTAATGGGTTCATTAAAATCCCTTTTAATTTTCTTTGGACATTAACAATAAAAAATGGTACAGAACCATTCTAAATTTTCTCATGGGTCATCTACCCGTGCAAATTTCAATGAGATCAAAATTCAAATCTCTCAAACATAAAATTCTTTCAAGGGCTCATTCATTCTTTGAAAGTCCAATCAAATTCTCTGAACTACGTTCGGTTTGATTCCGCCAAGGATACGTAGGCAATTTGGAAATTCAATCGAAATACAGCTGCAAGTCCAAACAGAATCCCTGGTGTACCTTAACGAAATTCACCCCAAACACTTTTCCAACCAAAAAATCAAATTGAATCCCTGGCCTAAACCACATTCATTCAAATTCCATAAATTATTTCTCATACCACAAATTCTTTCAAGGGGTCATTTATTCCTTGAAAGTCCAATCAAATTCTCTTGAGAACTACAAAAGGCTTGATCCCCAAAATGGGGTATGTAGGCAGTCTAGGGTTCCCTGGATGCAGCCGTAACATCAAATCAAATTCCATTGTTTATTTCATTCTTCATATTGGAATCAAAGGGTTTTCTCTTTCCAAAGAGATTATAATTAAGAGATAATTTTCATCTTGAATGGGTTGTACTCGATTAAAAATAAAAACACTTATTTGTAAATAAGAGTGAGATTATGTTGGGTGAATTTTTAATTTTTTTATTACATTTTTTTATCTAACACTCTCGACATCTTCTGCCCCTTAGGGCTTGTGGCTCGGGTAGGCGTCTTTGGTGCCTCGGATGTCGTTGGTTAACTTCTTCCTCAGCCCCCAAGGGTTGATCCCCTTGGTTGTCCTGCCCATGGGGCGGGTTAGTAGATTGAGCTTGTGAGGGTTCTCGAGTGGGTTGGTGAGCATCAGTCGTTGCGTTCATCATGCAATTGTTCACGAACTTGAGCTCCTTGTGGGCCTAGTTTAGAATGGATACTTCCTTGTGGGTCCAAGTGAGCATGGACATCGGATTGTAGGCCTAGCTTCTCATGCACATTGGTCCTTGGACTTAATCTTGAACGAATTATCAATCAACTTCGAGTATAGCTTGTAGATGTCTGTGTCTCGTCAGCACATTCTCGTTATCTCCCTTGCCTGTTTATCCTTGTCCAACTAGCCTACAACCTCTCGAATTGTGCTCCGGTATGCTCGTGTGTCCTGCTCTCCTTGTTTTGGGATCCAAGGTGAAGGCCCTAACCCAAGTTGATTTGCCCGAGTAGCTAGCCAATCAAGTTGTTTTGGTCGTCGACTCTTTGTGTGAGCTGACCAACCCGTGAGTTAAGGTCCAGTTCACTTCATGGATGGGAGGAAGGGCGTGCATTGAGGCCGACAGATTTCACACAGAGAAATGTGATTAGAGAAACAAATGAAGAGAAGAAGAAACTTGAGAAACAAAAGAAGAAGATAAGACGTTGAAAGTCAATGGTCAAAGTTAAAGTCAACAAGTTTGACCAAAACTGATGACCAAGTCAAACTATTTGGACTAGAGGATATGACTTAATGGTTAAGTCACAAATCACAATTAAAATGTTAATTGTCAAGTTAGTTTGATGGTTGGACTCAATTTGGGCTTTAAAGGCATTTTGGGCCAAAGGCCAAAATAGACCCAAAGACCCATTGGGTCTAAGAACATGTGTTGTATGACAACACAAGTTAAATGAGCCCAAGAAGAGTCCAAGGAACATGATAGCCTAAATTTCCTATGGTTTTTTCTCATCATTTTCTTGTTGGCTTATATAAGCGACACTTTGACATTTTCTAAGTTAGGGTTTTTGGCCTCCAAACCATGAAGTGTTGATGTCTAGGTGAGACATCCTCCCTCTCATCTTCTTAGCCAAAAATCGGACCAACTAAGAGGTAATCTAGCATCTAAGGCCTTTTAGTTGATTTCTCTCTATCTATAGTCCATGTTGGTGTTGTGAGGTAGATGGGCTTCTACTTTGGAGCCTCTTGGTTGAGGAATCTACATTCTAAGAGGAGATTGAAAGCCTTTCCAACAAGGTGATCATTGTTGTGAATTTTAGACAACCTGAAAAATGGAGATTATAAAGATTAGTCTAAACACAAATTATACTCACAAGTGCACAAGGTCAATCGTAATATAGTATGACAAATACGAGGTCATTCCCACGAGGATTGATTTCAACTACCAATTAGTCTAACCTAATTAACTTCACAAAATAGTTTAACTACTCTAATTATATAGACAAGAAATTAAACATGTAGCATACTCACGTAAACACGAAAGGGGTTTTTGAAATAATGATTTAATTAACAACGAAATTAAAAGACAAAATAAGTAGAAAGTCAAGAAACACAAGATGAGAAATTCAAAGGACAATGAATTCACCACTAGTAATCCGATCTAGCCTTTTATTCACCTACTTATTTACTAACCATTTGATGTCGCCACTTAGTTTTCCTTTTTCATGAATTACGTATGGTATTTAGGCTAACTCGTATATTCCTACATGCAATTTGCCTATGGTATTTAGGTCAAATATCAACACATAGAAACTTATTAAGATCAATGAAAACCTCGAATAAGCATGTAAACCCTAGGAGTATGGTATTTACTCTAGACGAATTACAAATCCTAATTGGGTTGGTGTCAGACCATCGACACTTAAACATAATCATTTGGTATCGATCTTTGTAAAGCAATTGCACGACAGTTGTGAGTTTTCCATAGAAATCAATGTCTGTACTTTTGCCTCCACCTGGGACATGGACATCGCTATTTTGCGTACACAGCTTGTCATCTCGTGCAACCCCCAAAAATTTGACGCCGTTAACATTACAACCTGAGAACAATTCAACGCGAATCGGGCCGAATGCCAAGTTATATAACTCATCACTGTAAATGGGGGAATTCGATGATTTCAACTTATTCACCTAATATTATACAAAACCATTCACATGTTAGTCTGACAAAATTGAATACTACAATTTATATTTCTCAAATAAAAAACACTTATAACTTACAGAATCCAGAAACCATTGTGGAAACAATTCACGGTGTTTCTGGACAACCAAATGTGATGGATGTTCTCGCTTCATCATCTCTTCATGCTCATATAAGTATGCCATGATCTCATCACAATTGTTTAGTACGAACCAATGCGCTACCTCCATGTCATTTCTAGAAAACGACTCTTCTCGTCCAGGATCTCCAAAGGGTCGTGCGCTTTGGGCAAAAACAGAAAGTTTTTCATTTCTCATACCTCCGTCATTATTGCGCTGAGGACGAGTGAAAGCCATGTCCACATCTTTTAAATACATTCCACAGAAAGTAAGCGACTCATATTGAACCCAAGCCTCTATAATTGATCCTTCGGGCTTCACCCTGTTGCGTACACTTTTTTTCAGCTCTCCGAGAAGCCTGCCAAAATAAAACGATATGATACAAATTAGCAAGCATGTGATAATGATGCACACACAAATGATAAGGATTATATACCTTTCTATTAGATACATCCAGCGATAGTTGACAGGACTAGCAAGCAATGCCTCTTCTGGCAAGTGAACCATCACGTGCATCATACTTGTGAAGAAAGCTGGAGGAAATATCATCTCAAACTTGCATAGGACTTGGACAATGTCATGTCACAACTGAAACATGTCCGTCTTTCGCAATTTTTTTGCCGTCAGTTGGGAAAAAAATATAGACAACAACATGATTGGCTTCACTACATCTTCCGGCAATAGGTGTTGAATACCCATAGGAAGTAGGTGTTGCATAAACACATGGAATTCATGGCTTTGAAGTCTAGTAAATTTACCCCCGTCAACATTCATGCAACGTGTGATATTAGAAGCATACCCATCGGGAAACTTTACAGACGAAACAAACTTTAGAAACTTTTTCTTGTCATTCGGTTTCATAGAAATGAATGCAAGATCCCTTCTAGCTTTATCACTGTCCCTATTCATCCATAAACCCCTTCGTATGCCCATTCTTTCCAAATCAAGACGAGCTTTGATCGTGTCCTTTGTCTTGCCCTCGATATCTAGAATCGTGCCCACCAATGTGTCGAATACATTTTTTTCAACATGCATCACATCTAGATTGTGCCTCAATTTAAGTTTTGACCAATATGGGAGCTCAAAAAACATAGGCTTGTGCGTTCAGTTCATATGTATAGAAGGTCTGATCCGACTAACTGTTTTCCCGAACAGAGCAAAATCCAAACGATTAAGCTGGTCCAGTATCTCATCACCAGACCATTCTCTAGGTTTGAGGCGACGCTCTATGTTCCCGTCGAACTCTTTATCTTTTTCCCTCCACTCGTGGTCCCATGGCAACCATCTCCGATGACCAAGGTAACAAAATTTTCCAACGTGCCAACCAAAAGTTACATCTTTCTTGCATACATGACATGCCATATAACCCTTTCATGAATTTCCAAGGTGGCAAATTATATGGGAATACGAAAATCGGCCAAGTGCTTTGGTGTTGGTTTAGAACCCCATATAGATTGAATCCGTCAGTGGCAAGTCCCAATCTAACATTTCGAGAATCAGCAGCAAACTCGGGGAACGTTCGATCGAACTCTTTTCATGCCTCCCCATCTGTAGGATGCTGCACCCATCATCGTCTACCTGTTTTTCCTTATGCCATCTCATGTCTGTGGCAGTATGCATCGACATATACAATCGCTGCAACCTAGGTTTCAGGGGCAAATAACGCATGACTTTTTGAGGGATCTTAGTCGTTCTATTCTGAGATGTCATTTTGAACCTCGACTCATTGCGTATAGGGCATGTATCCAACGTTTCATGCTCTTTGTAGAATAACATGCAATTGTTTTTGCAAGCATGAATTTTTTCATAACCCAATCCCAGACCATTCAACACCTTCTGTGCGTGTTTACGGTCTTTCGGCAAACAATTGTCCGTCGGAAGCATTCTCTTGAAAACTCCCAAAAAGTAATCGAAACACAGGTTCGACATACGATACCTTATTTTTCGTGCATTAGCTCCACAATGGCCATGAGAATGGAAAAGCTCTCGCACCCCGGGTATAACTCTTGGTTGGCATTTTTTAACAATTTTTCATATTGTTCAAACTTCGCACTGTCTATTGGTGTAGGCACGTCATCTTCCCCTTCTTGATTGATGTTGGTCGATGCAAATGGAAAAGCATCTTGTATAATATCCACAACTTGATCATTATGATCCACAATAGGCTCAACATTGTCCACTCTTGTGGCATTTGAAGATGAAGCATGGTCTAATTGTTCCCCGTGAAGGTTCAAAATGCTATATGTCTCAATCATTCCATTCCTTACTAAATGAAATCCAACATTTTCAATTGTCTCCCACAACGTGTTGTTACACCTCCTACAAGGACAACGAATTCCAGTTGCACCCGGGTTGTGTGTACTTGAAAACTCAATAAAATCCTCGATTCCATCCAAGTATTCGTCTGCACATCTATTCGGGTTCTGTATCCACCTGCCTCCGGTAAGGGCCCTATCCCATTCGGGAATGCATAGTCCTGTCACGTAACCTACGGCTACATGGGATTAGATTTCGACGTGGATGAATTTCGCCAGCATCTCGATACAGTTCTTGAGGTGGCCATAGGTATAAATACCTACGTACCACCCGAAGAACATACCAAGATGACACCGAAATCTCCACAATCGAAACCTAATCATGTAGCTGTAGATTACGTGACAACAATATGCATTACCAAACTGTCCAAATAATGGGACAATTCAAGAATTAATTGGACCGCAGTCATGCTTTACGCATCCATGCACGAAATCCAACTAATCTCGAATGGGAAACTAAGTGTTACTAAAAAATAATAATAAAAGGACAAAGTTAATTTCAATTAACTTCGTACATCACAACACATTGTGCTACGACACGCACAATTTAACAACATAATATAAATATAATTTCACAACAAAAAATATAAATATAACAAACTAAGTTCAACATAATGTAAATAATTTAATATAAAATGAATAACATACCTTCTCAATCGTTCTCCACAATTGCAAATTACAAATATCTATAATGAGAACAAAGTTAATACCATTAGTACGAATTTACATTAATACTTTTAAACAAACGACAAATAATACTTACCTAATGAGCGTATTGAATTCCCAGCAGAGGCAGTAGCGCAGTACAACATAGACAGATTTTTTAAATTTTTGTAAAATTTTGCATTCTGACTCTGCAATGGCGGAATGCAGATATGTAGAAGGAGTTTGCGCGACGAAACATCATTTTCGTCGCGCAAAACAATTTTTTGGTCGCATAAAATAACATTTTTTCATCACGCACAGACCTGTCAACATCGGAATTTTGCATACACAAATTTGCATCGCCCGAGAACGTGCCGACATCACACTTTGCGCGACGAACTATATCTCCATCGCGCAAGCATTTGCTGCCAAAAAATCCGTATCGCAGTTTTTCCTGTCCACTTTTACGCGACGAAATTTGTTACTGTCGAGCAAGGTTTGGCGCCAAAAAAAATTAACCCGGGTTTTTCTTCCCCACTTTGCACGACGATTCATTTGTTTGTCGTGCTAAGTATCTTTGCACGACCAAATATTTCGTCGCAGAAGATTTTGTAGTTTTGCGTGACGAATTTGTTTGTCCGTCGCATGAGTGACTTTTGCGCGATGAATTTGTCTTCGTCGCACAAAGTCTCGTCGCGCAAATAGTAAAATGTAGTAGTGACCACAAATCTATTCATACCCTAGCTGGGCTTTTACAGCAGCCCAAGAATAAAGAAAAACCTAATTAAAACATAAATCCAAAATGGGTAAGTAATTGATTCATCTTCCTACTTGGACTGGGATAACACGTTAGCTACTTTGCACGTACATTTGGGATTGTTTCTCCTCCAAGAAAATTCGGGAAAAATATGTAAATTGTAGGTTTTCGTCTTATCTTTCCAGCCATATATCACACGCCTTGAGAAAAAATCAGGAAAGTCTTCAAATAGTCATTCTTCCACAGCAGCACAGTTTTGACGGGATTGCACCTTATGCTGACTTAACTTCAAAGACTGCTCTCATTGGCTGCTCCGAAAATTCTAGAAAAATTCCACAATCATCTTCAAGGTCTAAGCTTTCATCTGCAATTGGTCTTGTACTAAAAATCTACCAAAAAGTCGTATTTCCATTGAAAACAAATTACTTGCTATGGAAAACTGAAAATTGAGAAAATAAAGTAATAAGTCCTTTTTAAACCAAATTCTCCAACAAAAACTAAGTATAAAGAGTACATAAATGTGTAAATTTATGGACTTATCAATCATTCTTGGTTCTCCAAGAAAATCTACAATGGGTAGAAGTTTAACCTTTCTTCTCTTTTATATTTTGTGCTCAAAGAGACTAGATCATAAGATACTTCGATTAAAATGAAAAAAAAAGGCTTTGCTCAACTAGAATAAGCATAATCACTCTACCATTATGAATGTTTATGTGTTATATGTTGTGGCTAAATTCATTCCAAGTCATAAGATGCAAAAGGTTTCCTTCATCTTCACCATCAGATCCAAGCCCGAAGTCGCGGACCGAATTGATCTGCCTAAGGAGCTGACCAACCAAGTTGTTTTGGTCTTCAACTCTCTAAGTCAACTCGTCGACCAGGAAATTGAGATCTACTTGACTTCTTGGATCAATGTGAGAGAATTGTGTGGAGCCAAGTTACACGCAACCTTGGGTATGCCTGGGAGCCACGGACATCAAGCGTGGTGACAAAGGAGGGAACGAATACATTTGTTTCGAGACGGAGTCATAGTTGGCAACTGCAAGATTGTTGTGGAAGGCATAGGTGCTAGTAGTCAGGGGTGGCCCTGAGGGTGTGCAAGTGGTGCCACCGCACAGGGCCCCTGATTTTTGAGGGGCCCCGATTTTTTTTATGTGTATAATATATGTTTAACAAATGTTATATATATATATATATATATCCTGAGTGAGCAAATTGTTGACACAAAGACGTTCCTAGTTGTGTTGGTTTGCAGGGCCTCAACTTTTATTCAGGGCGCGAGTTCAAAACCCGCTTGTGTTAAAGGCTTGTCCGATTTCAACACCAACATTCAATATCCCAGCTACTTTCATAACCATAAACTTAAATAATAAAGACTCTAAACCCTATGCTCAGATATAATCATGGTGATTATTGAAAAGGTGTAACATCCCTGACCCAATTTAATCAATTTAATCCAATTTAATTCTTTTGTGAAATTTCAATTTGGTCCTTGGGAGTAGGGGTACTTTGGTCACTTTAAGAAAAAAAAATTTATTGTATGGCATTACGTAATAGTGTAAGTTTGTGTTAGCTTATGTGAGGCCCCAATTTAAGGATTGCACAGGGCCTTCAAAATCTCAAGAACGGCCCTGCTAGTAGTAGCCATAACTTCTCAATGGGCTTAGGCATCATGAGCTACAACATGGCCGAGGTGGACAACCTCGCCTTGGCCACTGGAAGGATATTTGGTCTCGGCTGTGGCGACGGTTATGTGAAGTTGCTCCACGGTTCCAGCCATGGAGCCGTTTGAAGTTGCTCCGTGGTTCTAGCCATGGAGCCACGTGAAGTTGCTCCATAGTTCCGGCCATGAGGCAGGACTGTAATTTCAACCTGTCATGCCTCAACCGACGGATTTATGTATCCTTGGGTTAAGACGTGATTCACACCTTAATTATAGAATTTAATAAAAACTATAAATAAAATGTGAAGAAACACTTAAATAAATAAAATAAATATTTCACATAGAATATTTAGCGGAAAAGACAACATCTGAAATCTTAAAAATTTTACATTATTTCACAAGTTAAAACTACTCGAGAATTCACTAAAAGAGTAGTTCATTATTCATCCACAAGCTATGTATACAATACACTCTATAGATATGCCAAAATCATCACAAGCTCTAGATTTCAGGTTCGGTACCTGCAAAATCAATTAGGGGGTGAGCGAAACCACAGCTCAGTAGGAAATTGATATAACTAAATTAAGTGACATAAAATTACACTGCCAAATATCACATTATTAATAATAATGCATGAATGCTCTTCGACCTAGTTTGGGATTGCTGCCGCTTTAAAAAAAAACTGCTTCTGCTGTGCTTTAAAAAGAATCAGCTGTAAAGTAAAGCAGTTAAACGTTTGGTAAACTGTAATTTTAAAAGTGTTGTGAGTATGAAAAGCAGTGTCAGAGCATTTGGTAAATTTTACCGTAAAAGTGCTGTAACTATTTATAATGACTAAAATAGACATGATGCTGAAAGTGCTTTTTACTAATCTGAGTTGGAAGTACACCAGATGAAGGTGCCCAGGATTCAAACACACTCCCATATATTTTTCCCTTATTTTTTGGGTCTGCAGTTTTGATATTTATTCACAAAAGATTAATGGAAGCCAAAGAAATAAAGGGAATTAAAAGTTTGCAGCAAAACTAGTTGGGTCTGCAGTTTTGAATTATCTCAAATTATTCGTAAAATTTAGAGCAGCTATATTACAAATTAGTTTTTCTGGTTGTAACAGATTTTGACTGGCATTGCTGGCCTCACAGTTTTGGCTCTTAGCTTGTGGAGATATTCAAGAAGACCCTAAAATCGTAGGTGACAATGACATAACAGAGCTCTAGATACATGAAAAGGGCCAAGGTTCCGGTAATAAGTTTAGGACGGTTCCTTTTTTCAATGCTCAATGATTTGAGGGGTACATATAAGCTCAATAATAGCTGAATTTCTATAGAACCAGAATTTATACAGTGGATAAGATACTAAGATGGAAGCAAATACAAATTTATTTGGCCCCACTTGAGGCTTGGAACAAGAATGTGTATTTCTCCTTTGTAACTTCCTGGCATGGACACCTTTATGCTTAAAGAAACTATGGACAACCAGTAGACAAAATCTGGACATATAAAACCAGTAGAAACCATGGACAACCAGTAGAAAAAATCTGGACGTATATAAAACTAGTAGAAACCATAGACAACCAGTAGGAAAAAAAAACAAAACAAAAAAACAAGAGCAGCACGTATATAAAAAGTTTGAGAGATTGAAGAATCTAACCTTGTCAAAGAGATTGAGAAATGGTTGTCTCCAAACTTGGGAGGCTACGTGAAGATGAACTTTGGTGTCTGCATATTTGAGAGAAATACGTGAGGATAGATTTCTAACCTAATAAGGGTATTTGTGGAATTGCGAAAATTTCATTAAAGGGAGCGCGCTGCTTCAATTAAAAGCAGCTTTAAAAAGCAACCCCGAGGTTGCTTTTAAAAGCTGCTGTCAAAAGACCATTGCTTTTAAAATAAGCAGGATATTTTATTTTTACCAAACACCTTAAACTGCTTAACTTTAAAGTTAAGCAGGTTTTTGGCGAAAAAAAGCAATCCCAAACGGGGCCTTCATCTAATCTCGTCAATTCATATAACTGGACAAGCAAACCTGCACGTCCCATACCATGCTTATACCACTTGGTCCCGAATGCCCATTTATATGAACTAACACCCATCTCAATCATCCCATAATTCCCCTTTTGTTTGTCATCTTGTCTAACTCTGTGTCAGCAGTCCTGAATCACCCAATAAAAACCATGTGCACTGGGGGATCCCTGAGACCTGGTACCTGCCAAGAGTTCCAAGAGTTCTAGCCAAATTCCATGACATGATATAATTATGCCATTTCACAAAATGTAGCCATTTAAAACATCACCAATGCATATATAATTATGCCACTATTGTTCAAATAGTTCAGAGTACGTAAACACCAAATACAAGGAATGTCAATCAAATAGTACCATGCATAATATAATGCTCACGAAATTTAATTAAATCAATCTCTGTAAAAGGCCCCCCAAGAAACCCCTACTTTGACACCAAAGCTTTTGCTATAAATGTAAGGTGTTTTCCGATTTTCCACTGCATTCACAAACTTGGTCTCTCACTCTTTTTCTTAACAATTCTACTTTTCTCTATCGCTGATAGCTTAGCTCAAAATTTTAAGAAAACACAAGCTAAGCCCTATATCTCCTCTAAAAATTTCATCACTTTACTCTCTCTCTCTCTCTCTCTCTTTTCCTCTTTTACATGAACTTTCATGCAATGTTAGTTTCTTTTTTTTCTTTCAAAAGCAAAGGAAAATGTCCTATTTATAGTAATACCCAGAGAGAACCAATTTTGTTCTAATTGGTGGGAAGGTGATGACCATGTGGGAACTTGGGCTCCAAGATTAGGATAACTATTATCAAATTGCCAACACCTCGTGCTAAAATAGAGCTTAGTCACCTAGGTAAAATGATACTTGGAGTCTAAAGTGTGTTTCTAAAAAGATCTAGGCTATTGAACTTGATCAGAAAGAAACAAAGAGATAAAGTTGTCAAAAACAAAACATATACTTATTATAATATTACTATTTTTTAATAACTAACAAAAAAATTCTGAAAACATAACACGTATAATTTATATATATATATATGTAGATTTAACTATCTATGTTATGAACTAAGTATGCAACAAAATTTTTAATTTCCCAAAATAATATGTATATTAAAAAATATGGGGTTTCACACGACTGCAAGGCTGTGTGATGGAATGGTGGCCCATCCATGGAGCTATGTGGAGGTGCAGCGACATGTACTGGAGCCATATTCATGGCCACGAGGCCGTAAGATGGAATAGCAGTCGCGGTCGTGGGGCCGTGCGAAGGGTTTCTTTGCGCCACGCCACCTTGGTGGCTTGGACCAGTGGCGGATTGGGTTACCGCCGCAGCCTTGCTCCAAATGCGTATACTTACGGCCATGGTTTTTCAAAAAGCTTCAAACAATCAATGAATGGAAGGAAACAGATTTCCTTAGTTTTGGATTCAAGAGCAACGCTTTTAGTATATCTAGAATCTCTCAATGAAAGCACCAATTTGTTTGTACAAATAATCTCAGGGGAGAATATTCGAGATAGATCCTCTTTTTCCTTGATCCCTGCAAAATATATTCGATCAATGGAGCACACCGAGGGGGTATTGGCCAAATGCCCTCTAATGCCTAAGTCAGTTAAATGGTCTTAAGAATATGCAGCGATAACTGAAAGGGATGGAGCTTTCTCTTCGAGAAGAGAGATAGTGGGGCGGTCAAAGCCATGAGAAAGGGGAGAGAGAGAGAGAGAGAGAGAGAGAGAGAGAGAGAGAGAGAGAGAGAGAGAGTGTGTGTGTTTCTCTAAGGTTTTCATAATTACCTCATATGTGGTGAGATGCCATCTTTATATAGAGTCTCCTCCTTTGTTAGGGTTTGTAGAGAATAATTCCCATATGGAAGGGCATTATCTTTTCCTTAAGTGAGATGACATGATAATATCAAGGAGATTTGCTACGAATCAGATCCTTGATTTATGGAGATATTCCTATATCGTAAATCAAGGATAATAGGCTAATTAAATAGGATTTAATTAGCACAATTATTTGATCTATGGAATATTCCTCTATCCATGTGTCACCTTGTGATTGGTTGCCAAAATTCATGTTCCCACAAGAGGCACATAATTCATATTTTGAGGCTGAGTGGTACGGAATCTCGTTTCCACTCTTATTTCCCAAATTGATTTAGGGTTGATATTGGGGCTGGGTGATACGGTTTGAAAGATTCATTTGGGGCAGAACCATACGGTCTTAATTTGGATTCGATACTCACTTGAAGATTCCTAAAGTGGTTCCATTATTGTAGAGAAGGCTGACTTTGAAGAGCAAAAATCATGCACATGACGCTGAAAGCAGATATTGCGGCGAGGTTCCAACGTATAGTAGTGGCTTTTTATCTTACTTTGATGCAACTGTCTGTGTTGTTTAAATTGTTATCTGGCTTTTTATCTTTGCCTTGATGCAATGGTCTGTGTTTAGACCGCTCACACATTTGGGTCTTTCCAATCCTTCCAACCACAACCACCCCCATACGTCTCTCTAGAACGTGCATAAAACCTCCTTCCTGGATTATCATGAGTCCAACAAATCTTTGTTTCAAGCTCAATTCGACATTTGAAAATACGTACCATGTCATCTTCTATAATTCAATTACTCGACTATGTAACTTGAAATTCTATGCGTAGAATAAATTTGTAGTTTGTAAAAAGAAGGGAATAACGGTACAAGATTTGGTGGATCCATTGGTGTTTTTTTAATAGATTCCCTTTAGTAAATATTTAGTAAATTTAGTAAATTTCTTATATATTTAGTAAATTCCCTTTTATATTCTAATTTTAAGAAAAAATATCTTGCGTGATTTTGGTAGATGAATCGAGATCGAGTCAATCATAGACTGAAATTTAGTGTGTTTTTGTTATAATAATAACTCTTCCAATGGAATAAAATAAATACTGGATAAGTCTTATGATCACCTTAAATGTTACATGTAATTTTCATATATGTATGACAAAATTACTTGATATATTTTTACATCATAAGTACGCAATTTTGTATCATATAAAATTAAACTACAAGACATGCTCATATACAAATCAAAGAAGGTTAATCAAATATGACAGCTTATACTTGTTTGTGTCTGCCTCTATCGTCACGAGAGAGATATAAGGAGTATACAACCGTTACAGTTAAGTTTCTATCCAAGTGTTGTTATAGTTATAACTTATATGCACACCACCTATAGCCTATAGGGTGTAACAACAATCTTTGGTTCTAGAAGCACTATAAGTATCCTTCTCAGTTTGTACCATTAACTGGCATCGTCCATACTGTTGTAACAATTATATGCCAACATATATAAATTAATGCAGACAAAGAAGAGAAGTGTGTATATGCAAAGAGAACCGTTTTCGTCCCCGGGAAAATATAGGAATGATAGAAAAATGAGAGCCTCCCACGTATATGAGACGCACCTAAAGACTGTTTCAAAGCCCTTCCCAAGGTTTGCAAACTTTCCCAAACTACCAAGCTCCTACAATCCCTCATTATCAGTCCTCTGCATTACCCTCGTCAGTCCAACCTGTAACCCTTCTTTCCCTTGCCACCTTTCTAACTTTCTCTCTCTTTCTCTTTCTTTTCCTAATTGTGTCTCTCTCCACACCCAACCCTTTCTTCAGCCCCAAAAATTAATCCAACATTGCCTCTCTTGGCCACACCCAAGATCCTAACCCCCCGCTCTCTCTCTCTCTCTACCTTCCACCATGGGCAACTGTTGCTCTCAACGCAGCACCGAGGATGCCCCAAATGACGACAATAAGGGAGACAGCAACAATGCCCCGGACAATAACCCTAGTGCTGCCCATGCCTCCACCCACAACCCCTCAAACCCGGCCACTCATCCCAAACCTAATGCTTCCCCAAATCACAGCAAGGCTGCCAAGCCTGGCCCCATTGGTCCCGTCTTAGGCCGTCCCATGGAGGACGTCCGCTCCATGTACTCCATAGGGAAGGAGCTTGGACGGGGCCAGTTTGGGGTCACGCACTTGTGCACGCACAAGGCCACAGGAGAGCACTTCGCGTGCAAGACAATTGCCAAGCGGAAGCTGGTGAACAAGGAGGATATTGAGGATGTGAGGAGGGAGGTACAAATCATGCATCATTTGACGGGGCAGCCCAACATTGTGGAGCTCAAGGGAGCTTATGAGGACAAGCAGTCGGTTCATTTGGTCATGGAGCTGTGCGCCGGAGGAGAGCTTTTCGATCGTATCATCTCGAAGGGACATTACACCGAACGCGCTGCAGCTGCGTTGTTGAGGACCATTGTTCAGATCGTGCACACCTGTCATTCCATGGGGGTTATTCACAGAGATCTCAAGCCTGAGAATTTCCTTTTGCTCAATAAAGATGAACACTCTCCGCTTAAGGCTACAGATTTTGGTCTGTCCGTCTTTTACAAACAAGGTAAGTACAATCATATTTTAACCTAATTTGTTTCTCGAATGTTCATGGTAGGAATTCTGGTTTTTATTTTATCTTCCGGTCAGCCAAACAAAATTGTGAGCAGGATTTTAAATGGGATTAAACACTAATTAAATTTTGATTAACTGTGGGAGATATGAACAAGGAAATAATTTTTTTGATGACCAATAAACCAATATATAACTAATATTGAGCCTAAACGAGATTCAAATGGATATGGGAAATTTTTAAATGCTCAATTTATTATCTTCTTCCTTCCCTACAAATAAAAAATTAAATTAAAATAAATAAATAATATAACAATGGGTTAAATAAACACGTTTGTGATGATATTGCAGGAGAATTATTCAAGGATATTGTTGGTAGCGCATATTACATTGCACCAGAAGTGTTGAAGAGGAGATATGGACCAGAAGTGGATATATGGAGTGTTGGAGTCATGTTGTATATTCTTCTCAGTGGTGTTCCTCCTTTCTGGGCAGGTAAATATAAAAGACTATAAAATTCTTCTTAATTTCTCTTTAAATCCACTCTAATCAGTCTATCAATTAATTGATATATTGAAACTACTTGACAGAATCGGAACATGGGATATTCAATGCAATTTTACGTGGCCAACTCGACTTTTCAAGCGACCCTTGGCCTTCAATATCACATCAAGCAAAGGATCTTGTGAGGAAGATGTTGAACTCAGACCCCAAGCAGAGATTGACAGCCTTCCAAGTTCTCAGTAAGTCGATGAACTATAACTATGAATTTCTATATACCGAAATGTTCTCTTGCCTCTGAATTTAGAACGTCAGGTTGATTGTTGCCTGAATCTGCCATATATATAGATTCACTATAAGTATGATTTCTAACCTGAATGTACATAATATATATGATTTCCATTAGATCACCCATGGATTAAGGAGGATGGTGAAGCACCTGATGTTCCTCTCGACAACGCTGTGCTCAGCAGGCTCAAACAGTTCAAAGCAATGAACCAGTTCAAGAAAGTTGCACTTCGGGTATGTATTCATCATTTGATCTGGATCGATCTTAGGGATATCATATACACAATACTGACACTACATGCATGATGCATCACATAGAAAATTCCAATGATCATCTATGCATCTGTGTTTGTTGTTTTCTATGAACTGAAGAAGTGAATTTAGAGAGTTACTTAATATTGGAAAATTTTTATAGGTCATTGCGGGATGCCTATCAGAGGAAGAAATCATGGGATTGAAAGAGATGTTCAAGAGCATAGATACAGATAACAGCGGGACTATAACACTTGAAGAGCTAAAGCAAGGACTTGCCAAGCAAGGGACAAAGCTATCTGAATTTGAAGCTAAGCAATTAATGGAAGCAGTAAGTGCTCGCTCTATGAAATTAGTATATATAATATACATTGTTACAAGTTAACTCCTATTCCATTCTGATATAATTTCCTTTTCTTTTTATTTCAATAATTTTAAAAATACAGGCGGATGCTGATGGCAACGGAACCATAGACTACGATGAGTTCATCACAGCAACAATGCACTTGAATCGGATGGATCGAGAAGAGCATCTCTACACTGCCTTCCAACACTTTGATAAAGATAACAGCGGGTAGGGTTTCATTTATAATTAATGTTCTAAATTGCGGTTACAAAATATAAGAAAAAAGGTTTCTCATCTTCATCAACATCGATCTTATATGTACAATATGCCTTCTTGTCAGGTATATCACGACCGAAGAGCTAGAGCAAGCCCTCCGAGAATACGGCATGCATGATGGAAGGGACATACTAGAAATCATTGCTGAAGTTGACGCTGATAACGTAAGTTGCAAATCAACTAATACTAATCAGAATCGTTGTTCATTGAATACTGCTAGTTACATGAAGTTAATTGGTGGATATATATTTGGAATTCGCTGCAGGACGGTCGAATCAACTACGATGAATTCTGTGCAATGATGAGAAAAGGGAACCCCGAAGCAAACCCGAAGAAGCGGCGTGATGATATATTTGTTTGATTAATTTGGGTTGGTGCACAAGGATATGCAATGAAGTATTATCAATGGAGAAAGTGGCAAATATAGAAAACATCTGTCCATCATCGTGATTTTAATTATCCAAGGAGATAAAGGAAGATTAATTCGGGAGAGAGATTAATTTTGGTGCTCATGGATGTTCATCATGTACAGTATCTTATTAAAAAGAAAAGAGAAGAAAAAATGGGAGGGGCTTTGGGAGAGAAGGTGGCTCAAGACAACTCTTGTGTTAGTTGGTGGGGGGTTAATTAATTTGAGGGTTGTAAATTAAGTCCAAAAATGCATGTCTGGTCACAAGGTCCTCCATCTCCTGCTTGTGAAAATTGTATCTGTCAAATATATTTCGAAAATCGCTAACTAATGGCTAGGAATCAATGTGTACGTGTTTTACTAATGTGCAATGTATCCCATTAGTAGACTTGTTGACTTGCTGACAAGACACTAGAAAATGTTTGGAAAATCTTTTCGAGTTTTCTTGTTTTGTATTTTTTTTCTTCTTCAATTTTAACTATGAATGCGATATATATATATCAATGGAAGCTTTCTGTATATATATATATGGGAACTTCTCCATTGCGAAGTGAGAAGATGCGGACTGATTACGGATTTCTGTTTTTGACCGTGGGATGATTTCAACGCTTCAGATTGGATTTTTTTTTACAAATTTATAAATAAACCCAATCCTAGACATGTATTTATAAAAAAACCCATGCACTATTTAAACATAGAAACACACCCAAAATCAACCCCAAAGTCAACTTTTTGGGTGTGTTTATAAATGGGTTTTGAGTGTGTGTAATGATGAGTTTTGGGTGTGTTTATATGTTTAAATAGTGCTTGGGTTTTTTTATAATTTCAACTCCCATTTTGGGTGTTTTAGTGAAACTCCCTTTTTTTTTCTTCTTTCTTCCTCTCCCCTTTCTTTTTTTATTTCCTTTCCTTCTATCTCTCTCTCTTTTTTCTTCTTCTTCTCTCTTGCTTTTCTTCCTCTTGTTTCTGCACAAGCTGGACAGCTGTGGCAGCATCCATTTCAACAACGAGCTCGCGAATACCCTTGTCAATAGCCAGCTGAAGCCCCAAAAAAAAAGCCCCAGACTTCAGCTTCAAGAATCTACCCTTTCCCTTTATTCCTTATCTCTTCTCTCTCCGTTTCTTTTTTTTTTTTGCTTTTCCCTATCCCTCTCTCTCTCTCTCTCTCCCCTTTTTCTTCTTTCCTAGCAGTGGTCAACTATTACAAAAGAGGGCAAATACATTATTACAGTGGAGTTTTTTTGTTATCTTTTTCTTCAGGCCACGGGTGAGAAATAACAGAGGGGATGGGGGGAGTGAATGGGTCTGCGACTGTGGGTTTTTTTGTTATCTTTTTCTTCAATTTTTTTTCCAAAATAAAAATAAAATTGAACAAAGGTAGAAGAAGAGGCCAATAGAAGCCGACGTTGAGACAATTTTTTGCCCCAAGCCAACCCCAGCACATTGTAGCCAAATCATTCTCAGAAAATGAAGAAGAAAAAATGAAAGAGAGAGGAGAGAGAGAGAGAAGGGGAAACGCCCAATTTTCCAGCTGAGAGAAGAAGAAAAAATCACCCATGACAAGAGGAAGAAGAAAAAAAGAAAGAGAGTGAGAGTGAGAAGAGTGAACTCGAGGAGAGAAAGAAGAAAGAAGAAAGAAGAAGAAAAGCAAGAGAGATAGAAGAAGAAAAAAGAGAGATAGAAGGAAAGGAAATAAAAAAAGAAAGAGGAGAAAGATAAGACTGAAATCGGGGAGAGGAAGAAAGAAGGAAAAAAAAATCCAATCTAAAGCGTTGAAATCATCCCACGGTCAAAAACAGAAATCTGTAACCAGTTCGCATCTTCTGACTTCGCAATGAAGAAGTTCCCTATATATATATATATATATATATATATATATATAGAGTAAATATATATATATGGCCTATTTATGTATATGCCCCTTATGCTTTCAAATTAGTCTCAGATTACCACCTGTTTTTTGAAATGTCTCAATATACCACCTACACTCTTAATAACTGTCTCAAGTTACCTATTTCGTCAGTATTAAGAGACGTTCCGTTACGTGCACTACTACATTTTTCACTTTGCGCGACGAAGAGAATTTCGTCGCACAAAATACATTATAGTCGCACAAATTTTAGCACGACAGAAATTTCGTCGCGCAGATTCCGTCGCGCAAAGATCGTGGAGAAAGACTTTGCGCGACGAAAAAATATTGGTCGCTCAAAGTGACTTTGCGCGACGAAACATATTGGTTGTGCAAAGTCACTTTGCGCGACGAAAATATCGGTCGCGCAAAGCGACTTTGCCCGACGAAAAATATTTGTCTCGCAAAGTCACTCTGCGCAACGAAAAAATTTTAAAAAAAAATTCCCGCGTCCCATTTTTGGTACCCGCCCAAATTTTTAAAGTTTTGCGCAACGAATATTAATGTCGCGCAAAACTTTGCGCGACGAAAAAATTTAAAAAAAAATTCCCGCGTCCCATTTTTTGTACCCGCCCAAATTTTTAGAGTTTTGCGCAACGAAATATTTTGGTTTTTGACTTTTTGTTTTATTATTTATTTAATATTAATTTAATTATATTAATTATTTCAAATTTTTAAATTTTAAATTTAATTTAATTGTATGATTTTTTTCGTTACTTTAATTTAAATTGATATTAATTTAATTATATTAATTTATTCACATGTTTACTTTTTAAATTTAATTTAATTACTTTAATTTAAATTGACATATTCAAAATAAAATTACATATGAAAAATAGTGATCAAATTATCCAATATATATATATATAATATTCAAAATGTACACATAAATTAACAAAGTACAATAAAAAAAGGGATAATCTCCCCTAAAATTGTTATACCACAAATCCAACCCAAACTCCAATCCCTCCCCTTTACTCAACCCCAAACCCCACACAAACTCAAAACTAACTCCAAAAACACATATTAATGAAAAAAAAATTAAAATTTGGAGAGAATCTACCTTTTGGCAAGATTGAGAGTGAGTGAGAATGAGAGAGAGAAATGAGTGTGAGAGAATTAGAGAAGATAGTGATAGAGAGATGAGAGAGTGAGTGAGAGTGAGAGATAGTGAAAAGAGAGATGAGAGAGTGAGTGAGAGTGAGAGATAGTGAAGAGAGAGATGATGAGAGATTAAGTGAGAGGAGTGAGTGTGAGAGCAATGGTGGGATTTGGGGAGAGGGAAAGAGAGAGGAGAGGAAAGAGTAGAGAAAGACAATGAGAAAATGGTGGAGGAGTTATTATCATTTTAAAAACCGTATCACTTTGCGTGACGAACGACATTGTTGGTCGCGCAAAGTTTTGCGCGACGAAAAATATTGGAGTATTGGTCGCGCAAAGTTTTGCGCGACGAATATTAGTATATTGGTCGAGCAAAAAAAAAAAAAAAAAAAAAAAACCGCGTCCCATTTTTGGTACCCGCCCAAATTTTGAAATTTTTGCGCGACGAAAAATACATATTGGTCGCGCAAAGTCTAAAAAAATATATATAAAAAATTCCCGCGTCCCATTTTTGGTACCCGCCAAATTTTTGCGCGACGAAAATATATATTGGTCGCGCAAAGTCTAAAAAAAAATTTTTTTTTCATCCCGCGTCCCATTTTTGGTACCCGCCCAAATTTTTGGAGTTTTGCGCAACGAATTGTTGGTCGCGCAAACTTTTGAGAGACGAAAAATTGGTTCGTAGCACGATATTTATAAAAATAATTGTTATGAATAATAAAATTATTTTTTTTACTATTTAAAATATAAATAAGGTTAAAGCTACTTAATAAATGTATATACCAATTTCTTAAGTGTTATACGTACAAAATAAATAAATTTAAAGCTACTTAATAAGTAAATAAATATATATATACACACACCATTCAACAATCCAACCGTCAGACTTGTTTGTATATACTTCAAGATCGTATACCCCAAAAATCGTAAAAAACAAACATTCGGAGACCTAGTAACGGGACAAAAAATTTCAACGGTTCTTAATGAAAAATCACGATTTAACGGTTATTTTAACTCCGATTTTGATGATTTTTTACAGCTACACTCCTTGACCCTATATGAATACAATGAACTAATTCGATCGTCAATTTAAAATATTTACACTAGTGGATACCACAAAATCTTATGTTATATTGAACAAAAGTATAAATAAACTCTTAATTGTTAGTGAATATATTGTTTTGATGGCATACACATTCAAAAAACTAGTTTCAAAGATCCAACCGTCAAACTTATTTGTTTATACTTTGAGATCATATACGCAAAAAATAAAAATTCAGAGATCAAGTAACGGGACAAAACTTTTCGACGGTTATAAATGAAAAATCTTGATTCAACGGTTATTTTAACTCCGATTTTGATGATTTTTTACCGCTACACTCCTTTACCCTATATGAATACAATGACTGAATTTGATCTTCAATTTAAAATATTTACACTAGTGGATACCACAAAATCTTATGTTATATTTAACAAAAGTATAAATAAACTCTTAATTGTTAGTGAATATATTGTTTTGATGGCATACACATTCTACGAAACTAGTTTGAACGATCCAACCGTCAAACTTGTTTGTTTATACTTCGAGATCATATACGCCAAAAATCGGAAAAAATAAACATTCAGAGATCAAGTAATGGGACAAAACTTTTCGACGGTTATAAATGAAAAATTACGATTTAACGGTTATTTTAACTCCGATTTTGATGATTTTTTATAGCTACACTCTTTGACCCTATATGAATACAATGAACTAATTCGATTGTCAATTTAAAAAATATATTTTCTAATAAAAACCCAATCCAAACAACAATAATATATTTTTCTAACAAAGATTTTAAAAAATAATTTATTTTATTATTTATTTTTATAAGGACTTTGCGCGAAGAAATTAATTGTTTCGTCGCGCAAAGTAGCTTTGAGTGACGAATTGTTTTTCGTCGTGCAAAGTCGCTTTGCACGACAAACTGTTTTTCGTCGCGCAAAGTTACTTAGAGTGACGAATTTTTTTCGTTGCGCAAAGTTACTTTGAGCGACGAATTATTTTTCGTTACTCAAAATTTGGTCGCGCAAGACTTTGAGCGACGACGTATTGTCGTCGCGCAAAGTGACTTTGAGTGACGAATTATTTTTCGTCGCGCAAAAGTTGGTCGCGCAAGGTTTTTAGCGACGAAGTTTTGAGTTTCGTCGCGCAAAATTTGGTCGCGCACGGGTTATTTTGTAGTAGTGGTGATGTGGCCCCCACTTCTTTTCAATCACTTAACAATGGAGAGGAAGGGTTATCCAGTTTGAGAAAAGGGGGTATTTGGGAGTGAAGGGGAAATTGGGAGAATAAGTCTAGGGTTTATGAAAATCTGAGGTGAGGTTCAGATTGGGAGAATCTGGAGAAGAAGGTTAGGGTTTATGAAACTCTGAGGTGGAGTTTGGATTTGGGAGAATCTGGAGCAGAAGATTAGGGTTTCTGAATCTCTGAGGTGGAGTTCAGATTTGGGAGAATCTGGAGAAGAAGGTTAATTAGGGTTTATGAAACTCTGAGGTGGAGTTTGGATTTGGGAGAATCTGGAGTAGACGTTTAGGGTTTATGGATCTCTGAGGTGGAGTTCGGATTTTGGGGGGTCGCACGATTTGGGAGAAAAGGGGGAAGGAGGATTTCAAATTTGGAGGTTCAGTTGGTTCTTCTCTGTGTGAATACTGACTGAATTGAAGAAGACATGGAAACAGGAGAAGCAAGGCATGCCCAACAATGTCATTGTGGGAAGTTAACACGGATGCAGACTTCGTGGACCACTTCAAAACCAAGGCGGAGATTTCTAGTCTGCCCAAAGACAAAGGTAAGAATGTTTAAGATCAAATTTTCAGTCGTTGTTTTAGGCATCACAAATTGATAGAGTTCTTATTGATCAAATTTTCAGTCATTGTTCTGGGTTGATATAGGGAAGTGGTGAAAGAAGATGTAGGTTTTTTCCAGTGGTTTGATGCAGAAATGTGTGAGCGTTCGAAGTCTTTGATACCTGGTTTGCTAAGGAAGATTGATAGGGTGGAAAAGGAAAATGCAAAGATTCGTGCAAAGTCAAGAATATTGTGGGTGTAATAAGTTTGAGAAGCCTGGGCTACTTGAGACCAGTAGCAATAGTTCAGTAAGCAATATAATTTGAGACTATTAGACCGAGGGCGGGCTAGCGGCTATTTGTGACTGCTGTTGTATTTTTTATTTTTTTATTTTGTGTCAAATTTGAGATAGCCTAGGGGTTGGTTGCGTGGAGTCGAGCGGGACGAAAGGCCTGATCGGGCTAGCGCTGGCTCAGGCTATGCTAGCAACATGTGAACGGCTTTAGCCAAATGGCCTCTTTTGTTTTTTTTCTTTTGCCGCAAGTTAGGGTTTGTTTCTTGCAGTTTTGATTTGTGAATTGACTTCTGATTCTGACCAACTTTTCCCTTTCTTTTGAAGTTGCTCAGCTACAATGTTGTATGACAAAGAACCTTGTCGTTGATGGACTACGCGGTGGCACATACATAAACCACGCAAAAATAAAGCACTCACACTAATTGAAAAGTAAACACACACAAGAACACAAAGATTTATAGAAGTTTGGCCTCGTGTCTACGTCCTAATTGGTGATCCACCTGAGAAATTCATTAGTATGTAAGAACAACTTTAGTTACAATCTAGAACCCCCTTAGCTCTCACAAGAACCCCTAGCTCTCTTTTCTCTCACCCTTGCTCAATCCCTTGATGCCCTTGAAAACACCCTTGAATTCTCTTGTGTCTCTTTCTCCTCTTCTTATTTTTAACCTAGCCCTAAAAGTCCTATTTATAATGCATAGGACTTTTGCTACAAGTTAACTAGGAATAGGAAACTAAAACCCTTTTAAATTAGGCTAGAAAACCCCAAAATAATAGGATAACCAAGTCAAACACACCAAAACTAGTGTACGACACTGTCCACGTGGTGACCGGTCGTCGAGATTGGGCGACCAATTGCCTTGAGTTGAAGACGCGACTTGAGGTATCGATACAAAGCAATCTGTCGCCAACACGCTGCTGCTCCTTTCTTCAACTTCTTCTTCTCCTTCCACTGCTCCTCTTGCAGCCTTTGGTTCCTCTTCCTTCTCCCCCATCATGGTGAGCCAAAAAAGTTCAACACGGTTGATTGGTTTGCTGATGGTGAGACCAAACATGACCAGACATCAAGGCTGTCCTGCGCAGTTTTTGGAGTCCAACCGATCGGTTAATTCATCATGTCTGGTCAGATTACATAATGACTCCAAGGTAACAAATTCTTTAAGGTCTGATGGATCATCAACATTATCTGGACCCGCCTGTGCTTGAACTTCTCTAGAAAAATACACTTCTTGTTCCAGGAAAAGCACATCCATTATGATCTAAAGCTTCGGACTGTGTGGGTGGTACCAGCAATACCGATTATTGTACAAGTTAAGGTTTTACCATAGACAAGTTGGTTGATGACAAAAAATCAAAGTCAACATATCGAACCATCTAGACCATAAGAGTTTTCATTTGATAGCCAGTCACACCTTGGTTAGGTTGAACACCTAGCCCCTTAAACATACACTACTTCAAAATTGAAATAGACTACAGGAATCCACTGTTGTTGTCTAGAAGGTTTTCACACCGTCGTGAAATCGACCGCCATTTTTTGATATATAAAACGACGACGACAAATAACCGACGTCGTTAAGACATTCAACGTCAAACAAAATTAAAAACCGACATCTAAGTACTATATATATAGCATAAAATGAAAATTTCGACAACATTAGACAACAGTTTTATTAAAACATAGATGTCTAAAGAGTGTTACATGTCAAGATCAAAACAAGCACCGACTTAAAGATATTTATCTACGTCCCTAATTGAAGGAATACAACCTTGTATAACTTAGAAACCGTCGTGGTTAACTTATACTACGTTAACTAAATAAACAAACTGACGTCCAAAAGCGGAAAAGACGACGCATACACAACAGAACAAACGGGTAAAGTTTATTACATGTCAATAATCACACAGGCACTGACGTAAAATGCTTTAACCACGACACCCATGTGGAATAACCATCGCTTATATGATTGTCCACGTCGCAATGTAGGAGAACACCATCTTTTTAAAACATATTCCACGTCTGTTTCTTGCGAGAATCATCATTTAAATGATACAAAAAAACCCCTTGGATAGAGTTAGAAGACATTTTTTTTATTTATAAACGGATGTCTAAATATTTTAAAATGGCACAATATTACTGAATACAGACGTAACAAATCCTACCCACGACTACTGATGTTACAAGCTGATGTTAAAAATCATTTTGACGGCGTGGACAGGAAAAGAAACGACGTGGATTATATCTTCAACATTGGTTGTTGTATAATAATGGACGTGGTTAATTCCTTCACTACGTCCCGAGGATCCAATTGTTTGACGTTGTAATTTCTTACCATGTCGGTTTCTAATACACCTTGACGTGGTTGGCCTTTTAAAAGACGCTTGTGTAACCTCCTTGATGTGTGTATTCTCTGAGACATCAATTGTTTTAGACTAACCGATGTGCAGAAGAGTTATCACGACAGTTAATGGAACTGAGTTGCCTTTATTTCCCTCTCTAGACGACAGTAGATTTAATCGTGGAAGTAGTGTTTACCAAATTCGTTGGTTGGAGTACTCCACCATCGTGTTATTATGAAACATATGACGTGCATTATTTTGTAGACCGTCGTTGATGTTTATAACTATTAGCCGCTTGTAATTTAATTTTAATAAACCGATGTGTTTTCATTTACAGATGATAGTTTTTATTTCTTTACGGTCCTTGCATTTTCTTTCCACGACGTTTGTAAAAGTACAACGTTGGTTTTATTTTAGACGTCTGTTTTTGTGATTTTTTAACTGGACCGTCGTATTTTACACCTTTAATCCAGTATTTTAAATTTTTGATTTGTCCTGCGCAAATCTTGTATAATGAAAATGTGATCAAAATTAAAATGATATACAGAGCTATTAATTAATGTCATACAATTAATTGCATAACTAATGTCATATACAATACAACAATCAATCAATCCATATATCTTCACACCCATCTCTAAAATTTTCACTCCCAAACTCACCCACTTGGTCATCAAATGTGTCAACATTTGGTATCCCTCTAGTAAATGGCTCACATTCAATTCTAATATCACCTAGCACATCATCACCAATAATATCATTATATTCTCTATTAGGAATTGATAACATTACCGACCAACCACGATGCATTGGGTCATCAACAAAAAATACTTGTTTAACTTGAGAAGCCATAACAAATTGGTCATTCCTATGTCCAATTTTACTCAAATCTACAAGGGTAAATCCAAGTTCGTCAACTACAAGGCCCGAAGTGTTATCTATCCAATCACACCACAAGACTGGGATTCTAAACTTTTGGTAGCCAAGGTCCCAAATTTCTTGAATGACACCATAAAAACCCATATTGGAGACAATAGGGTTTTTATCCTTGGCACTAGTAACTTGCATAGTATATGCAAGTAAATAAAATCCACTATTTTGGATAGTTCGCACATCATCTTGTGACTTGGTGTTAAATTTAACATCATTAATAAGATAGCTCTTATATGATGGCACTGCCATGCTTGGACCAACTGCTAGCCACCTCAAATTTTCTAATACACCATTATTGTCTTCCCCATTAAGTTCACTTTGAACTTGCAAATTAATCATATATCTTAATTCAATCTAACATAGAAAGAAGAAAATTAAAGTTCAATATGTTATTCAATAACATATACCTTAAAGTGTAGCCTTGAATGAAAGTGCTATTGTGCTTATCTTACAACCACTTTGTTCTCTTTCTAAATTTTGGATAAGTGGTCTTGATGTGGATCACATGTTCCCTACATTGACATGAAAAAATCAAGCATTACGGTCCCTTGTATATAAGATAAACATAAGGAATAATAATATTTAAAATGGCTACTTAAAGAATAAAACTCATACTCAATATAAGGTAGGACTTCCTCTGTATTCTCCAAACATATAGATGGGTCTGGTTCAACAAGTCCCGATCAACTAAGCTCACTATGCAACCTGATAATGGCTTTGAAAACTCCCATCTTTGGCTTGATGCACTCCAACTGTACTAACATCAGATAAATGCTCGGTGCAAAACTCTACAGCTTCTTCAGCTATATACCGCTTAGCAATGCAACCTTCGGGACGAGTATGGTTTTGAACATACCCCTTTAGCACTTTCATATATCTTTCAAATGGATACATCCATCTAAAATAAACTGGCCCACATAGATGAACTTCTCTAACAAGATGTACTACTAGATGAACCATGATATCAAAGAATGATGGGGAAAGTATTTCTCAAGCAAGACAAAGTAAGTACTACATCTTCTTCCAACTTATCTAGCTTGGAAACATCTACCATCTTTGCACATATAGCATTGAAGAAGAAACACAATCGAGTTATTGTATACCTTGCAGACTTCTCCAAAACAGAATGAATTGCCACATGGAGCAATTGTTGCATCAAGGTATGACAATCATGAGATTTAAGGCCAAGAAGTCTTGAATATTTTAAAGATACAAGATTTTTTATATTGAAAATAACCTTCAGGGACCTTCATACCATATAAAGAATTTCAAACCGCTCTTTCTCTGCTCTTGACAAATTCCAAGGCCTTGGATGCAAGCGAGTATGTCTTTCTCCATACTCGGGTTGCAAATCAGTTTTCCCGTCTTTAGTTTTTTCAGGGATTTCCAGCAATGTACCAATGATACTATCGCAAACATTCTTCTCAATGTGCATAACATCTAGGACATGCCTCACAGGAAGGTATTTCCAATACTCGATATCAAAGAATTTTGATTTCTTCTTCCAGCAAACTGTCACCATCATTCTCACCAACACTTCCCCCCATTTTTCAAGCCCTATGTAATTAATACCTTCAACCATCTGCAGCACTTGTTTTCCGATTAAGGCTCGGGAGGCGTGCCAAATTCAGGTTTTGTATTAAAAGCTGCCGCTATCTTCGATATGGATGATTGATTGGTAACCATTTTCTATCCCCGATGTAACAAATTTTGTGGCCATTTTTCAACCTGTGACTAGGTGTATCATCACCGCATACTGGACAAGCTTTATATCCTTTAACAACACAACCAGATAAGTTCCCACAGGCAGGAAAATGATTAATTGTGCACAGTAATACACCTCTGAGTGTAAAATATTCTCCCATGTGTGCATCATACAGTCCTCTAATCTTATCCCACAGAGATTTTAAATCATCAATCAAGGCTCTAAGCAGACGTCTATATCATTTCCGGGTTGTTTAGAACTAGAAATCAATCAATCAACATCATGAACTTTCGTTTCATGCATAGCCAACAACTGTATCTGCTACTTAAAGAACTGTGGGGATTGAATCCATCAGATGAGAGAGCCAATCTCAAGTTTCTCGGCTCTTACAAAACTCGGGCCATTTATCATCAACAAGTTTCCAAGATGGGGAATCTGCTGGATGTGACATATGACCTTCAACTGATTTTCTAGCAGCATGCCAAGTCAAACTCTTAGTTGTCTTACATGATTGAAACATCCTTTTTAAACCTTGGAATTTGAGGAAAATACCACACCACCTTTGCTGGCACACCCTCTTTCAAGATTGAATCTTTGCCTTCCTTCCACCTTGAGATACAACAAGTAGGACAATTAGTTGAATCTTCATAATCCTTCCTATACAAGATGCAATCATTGGGGCATGCGTGGATTTTCTCATAACTCATCCCTAAAGCAGACAAAGTCTTTTTTGCCTCGTACATAGAGGAAGGTAGTGTATTTCCTTCTGGAAGCAAATCTCCTTGAAGTATCAATAATTCTGTAAAACAAACATCACTCATCCCATGTTTTGCTTTCAAATTATATAACTTCACCAAACCCGACAACTTCGTGTACTTACTGCAACCAGGGTACAAGGGTTGATCTCCATCCCCAATCACATTAGCAAACTCATAAGGATCAAATCCAATATCGCCTAAATCATTATCATCCATCCCTAATTCTTCAAAAACAAAACTGAACCTACTTTGCTCATCTTCTTCCACATTTCTACTAGCATTAGTAGTCCATTCCCAAGGTTCTTCGTGCCATGTCCAAATCTTATAGCTTTGGTCAATTTCATTAAAGTATAAGTGGTCCCTTATAATTCCAACCCCAAACAATCAAATATTCCCACATTTAACACATGGACAATGAATATGAGTTGTATTTCCAACATTTTCTACAGCAAAATTCAAAAATCCTTCCACCCCTAACTCATATGCCTTCGATCTTCTATCTGCATGCATCCATGACTTATCCATCTCACACACTATAAAATCATACATATAATAAAGTGAATAGACTAGCATGAAACACTACTATATTCACATAGCAGAGAATAAAATGAAAATAAAAATGCAATAAAAAAAATTAGACGACGGTAGTCGTTTAATATAAATTCAGACGACGACATCTCTAATAACCGTCGTCTTTAGACTACCCAAACCCAAACCCAGAAATTTGTATTGCTTCTTATTCTGGTTCTGGGTTCTTGTAGACTAAAGACGACAGTTATTAGACATACTATCATCTTTAGTCTACCTGAACCCAGAATTTGTATTGCTTTTGGTGAACAAGTTCTGGTTATGGTAGCCTAAAGACGACAGTTAGTGTAGAAACAATCGTCTTTCTACTACCAAATACGAACAAAAATTCAGACGGCGGGTGTAAATGAACAACCGACGTATAATGAAAATGTAGACGACGGTTTGGTCCATCAACCGTCGTCGTGGGTTACAAAAACCCACAACCGAAATCTCCGATTCTCAATCCTTTTCCAAGAACCCATGTCCAAACAAACATATAAGAACCCTTAACAGAGAGTCATTATAACAAGAATGCCAACACCAAAACATATATTAAAAACCCCTATATAGCTCCCAATTAAGAACCCATAGCTCCCAAAACATATATTAAGAACCCATAGCTAACAAAACCAACAAAATCATTAAATAAAGATATTAGGGTTTCACTACTACAAATTTGTACTTACATGGATATTGAAAGAGAGCTCAGAGAATATAACCAATGCTTTTGAGAGAGCTCAGAGAAACAGTCTAATGTTTTGAGAGAGAGCAAAAACTTTAAGACAAATTTATGTTGAAGAGAGAGAACGAAATATTTTAGGGTTAAGGGGAATTCTGAAAATTTTAGCTCGAGGTCAAAAATTTCAAAGGATTGCGTTTTTTAAAGACGACGGAAAATACATAACTTATGACATTTAATGTTCACGTACGACGATGTTTACTAAACAAAACGACGTTGTAAACCGTTAAAGGAAACGGTTTACTAAACATAATGACGGTAATTTAAAGAAAACGTCGTAGTAAATTAGTTTTCATGTCGTTTCTTGAGAAAAACCGACGTCTTAAATATAAAATAATTAGCTGGGCTTTGGGTTTCCTTGGATTCGAACACGCGTAATTGACCAAAAACAGTCGATAGGAAACCGGCGTCGTTTCAATATACCCTAAACCCTAAATTTTACAATAATTATAAAAAAAATAAAAAATACACAAGTATGAGAAAAATGAACCGAAAATTGCTACGACTCCTTACAACAATGCCTTCTATATTAGTAGGCTAAAATCATGATTTCATATATTTGAATTTAGGGGCACAAATGGATCACTTAAACCTTAGGGTTATGTTATGAAAGTATAAGGACTATTGTGCTTTGTCTCTAAATTTTTTTTACTTTTGTTATCACTCATAATTTTGAAAACTAAAATTACATTTTTCAAACCTTTTGGGGGAAGATATTCTCTCAATGAATGCATAGTATTTTTTGGTTTATTTTTCAAATTTTTTTTGAATATATTATGAATATTAAATGCAATAAAAAATATTTTTAAATTTACATTTTTAAAGCTTTAGGTGGGAGACGATCTTTCAATGAGTGCATGCTAGTTGTCAGTTTATTTTTTGGAATTTTTTTGGAATTTATTATGAATATTAAGAATTAACTACAATATAAAAGTCATATTAATATGAAATGACACGTGTATATAACCGATGTTGCATTCATTTACAACGATGTAAAACAACGTCGAACAACGTCCTAGTTAATTTAGACGTCGAAATTGACGTGGTTCAAGATTTACAACCTCGCTTGTTATGACATAACCTTCGTCTGTAATACTTACAACGTTCAAATTTTCTTAAGAACACCATCGTTGTAAGTTCTGTAAGACGTCCCTCTATTAGTATTAATGGTCGTGGTATGTCTATACAAATTTTTTTCGTACAAGATGAAGGTATATGTAGACTTCAGTTTTATATAAACCATCGTGTTTTATCAGTTACATGTCGTTTTTAAAATTTGCCGTCGCTGTTTTATTTCCATATGTGATAAGACGGCGGTGGTTTTTACTAATGAGACATGTTAAAATTACTATCATTGTCATTCATATAAAGTCATAAATAACATAAACAAAAAAAATTAAAAAAATAATAATAACTTGATGATTGTTCAATAATTACAAAAAATAAAAAATAAAAATTATGTACATTGTTAACAAACGCTAAACATTGTTAATAAAAATTATATAAGTTATTATTCTCTATTTGTTTGTTAACAAATTTTTGCCCATTCCTGCCTCACTTTGTCAATATGATCTTGTACATACTAAACTGGTTCCTTTTTCTTGTCAAACTGCAAAATAAAAGACAAAAACTAATGTGTTATAAGATAAAAACGACGGTTATTAATAAACCAAACAAAACCGTTGTTTTATAAGTATTCAAACGACGGTTTTTGAAAAAAAGTTGTTGATCTTAAAAAAAAGAAAGTAGATCTTAAATTTTGTTTTTACCTTCTTCTCAAATGCTAGGTCTGGATCATGAATTATATCTCTCATGAAACGCATCACGTAGTAGCCACACTTTACATTTGTTGGTTGTCGAGGAGTGCCGTGTAGATTTTTCCATATGGATGACTTACGTGATGATTGTTTGCCTACGTGAGAGTTATACATTTGATTGCACTATTTCAACAAAACAAAAAGTGTAAATGACAAATATTTTAGCGAAGTTAACTGTCGTGGTAAATCAGTGAAGATGACAGTTTATTTAAAAAACTGACGTAGTATTATATTTCAAATGGCGGTAAGAAACTATCGTCGTTGTGTACGAATTCTAACGTTGTAACGAGGAAAACCGTTGTATAGCCAAAAGTGAAAGTTGAACAAAAATAAATAAAGTAGTGCAAATAAAATGGAGCTTCCTCTACCCAGCAAAAATCATCATCCAGAGTGCGACCAAGCTTTGTCAAGCAACTGGAAATTCACTCAAACCACATCTAGAGAGCAAGCTTCCTCTCTTACTTCCAAAACTCTGCAATTTTGTGCTCTATTCCTCCATCTCCTCAAACTTAGGATAGGTTTTTTGTCTAATCCAATCATGGAGCAAAGGGAATTAACACTTGTCCAATATTGGTTGAACAACCCAATATTGTTGTACAAATGGGATTTGATTTACAGGGAGATTCAATAAGTATTTAAGTTAATGATTTTTTACATATTTCTAATCTCAGTTGTCGGATTGCATTCATTAGATATGTTGATAGATTTAATATGTAACATACATACATGCAATCCAACAATCAAGATTAGAAATATGTAACCAATATCCTTAACCTAAAATACTTACAGTTGAATTTTCCTTGATTTACATATCTGTCATTTTGCTAGAAACCTGAAACCGGATAAGCCAGTCAGTCAGTGAATCATATAAATATATGGGGTTAGGTTTAAGTAAATAGATTATATATATATATATATATATTTCCAAGGCAAGAAAGAATGCAGTTGAGGCTTTGTCCTTATAATAGTTGACAGTCCTTTTCTTGAGAGCGCGACTATTCCTTCATCCACAATGTATTATTGGAAAGTGAAAGGTGAAAAGAAAACCCTACCTATATGGTCCAATGATGTAAGGAGAGAGCCCTATCATGCTTTGACACATATGGTACTATTATCTATTATTTCATGTCCTTGAATCTCATATTTGTTGGCCCTTCTTTCCTTTCCTTTGTTTTTACACTAACATTATAGTGTTAGCCAACTGGTTTGCAGCAAACAAAGTGGCCAATTTCTGTTACCAATTTATGTCAATTGTTGCTAGCAAGCAGCTTGGACCACACTTTCATACGTTGCAATTTATAAATATTGGTCCCCATATGTACAACCCAAGACAAGAGCTACCGCTAGCATGTTTTTTTCTGCAACATGGAAAGGATGCATGGTTTAATTACCAATTAATCAACTATTATCCCAAGTTTTAATTACTAATTAGTATGAAAGTTCAATGTATGTATAAACAGAGTTTGGAATTTGAAAACTCTAAAAGTGGGATGTGTAATAAAAGTCAGTGAAGTTATCGAGTCGGGAAAAAGTTGTTGCCATAAGGTGTAATTGAGTAGAATCTAGTGGAGGAGCCTTTTGAAGAAAGGACAGCATGCATCATGGTTTCACGCATCTCATCAGGAGGCCACAACTTTCTATCTAGGGAAAAAATTTTCTATGTTTCGAGATGGGACATGTGGAAATATTCTATACCAAAACTACTCCTGTTTAAGACGGTAAATTGGTTCTATACGATAGTTGGAGTTTGTGTACGACTCGCATTTGGCTTGTTTGGTCTACAAATAAGCCGAGCTGAGTTCGAGCTTGAAAAAATCATTTGACCCAAACTTAAGAAACTTGGCATTTGATCTGGCTCGGTTCATCCCAGAATTTGATTTTGGTTTTGGTCTCATTCATGTATATACTAGAACTCCTGCACTAGAAGAAACTTGAAGCCCTAATATTGACCAGCTAATCCCACTAGATACATGACCAAAGCCTTGCAACAATACTAGCAAAATCATTTTCACGTATATATTAGTTTGCGTGTATTTGTGTGTGCGCGCCAGGAAATCTCTGTGATCATTATATGCCTGAATTTTTCCAATTCTAGACTCCTTATGCCTTCCTAACATAAACAAAACAAAAGAATATAAGGGCCCGTTTGATACCGTTTAAAGGGGTTGTTTTCATTTTCAGAGAACAAAATGAGGCAAAAACCCATTCGGTGGCCCCAAAAACAGAAAACACTGAGAATGTTTTTATAAAATTTCATGTGTACTTATAGAAAATAGTTTTCATTCTCATGGGAAATAAAAATATTATTATTTTAAATTGTACTACCATACATGTTTTCATTGTTTTTGTTTTCTGAAGATATTTTCTAATTAATCTACCAGACCGCATTTTCATTTCCTGAAAATGCAAATTTCGTTTCTGTTTTCATTTTCTGAAAATATTCTAAGAAACATTCTCTGAAATGTTACCGAATGGGCCCTAAGAGTTTACATTATAATATGTAATCTAATATCTGAAAAACTAAAATGTAGATTGATCATCATGACAGTATCCCTTCATTCTCTCTCGATTCTCACTCTATCAATTCAAATCAATAAACATGCGAGAGGTTTTTAGCCTTGTTCCAAGTTTTGGGTCTGTGCATCTAGCTTTTAGCTAGGCTGGGTTTTATTTAAGTTGGACCTGGCTGCCGTGTTCTTTGGAGACCCTTTGCCTTCACTTATTTCAGGCCCATAGTCATTTGTAATGGCCCGATGGGCTAATTGTTTTGTTTTACGTGTTGGGCCTTGCTCCACTCTCTCTTACCAAAATAGTTTTTTGGTCGTAAGGAGAGAAGAAGAAGCAATAAACAAGAACTGGACCCTAATCAAGTCCAGTGCCAGGTTTTTTAGGGGTTTAAACCCAGACAATTCTCCATCTTCCGCCGGTACTTGTGGTTTGCTACGGTCATCGCCTATTTAGCTTTCAACCAAGCGCGATGGACCAATGTGTTTTTTTTTTTTTTTTTTTTTTTTTTTTTTTTTTTTTTTTTTTTTTTTTTTTTTTTTTTTTTTTTTTTTTTTTTTTTTTTTTTTTTTTTTTTTTTTTTTTTTTTTTTTTTTTTTTTTTTTTTTTTTTTTTTTTTTTTTTTTTTTTTTTTTTTTTTTTTTTTTTTTTTTTTTTTTTTTTTTTTTTTTTTTTTTTTTTTTTTTTTTTTTTTTTTTTTTTTTTTTTTTTTTTTTTTTTTTTTTTTTTTTTTTTTTTTTTTTTTTTTTTTTTTTTTTTTTTTTTTTTTTTTTTTTTTTTTTTTTTTTTTTTTTTTTTTTTTTTTTTTTTTTTTTTTTTTTTTTTTTTTTTTTTTTTTTTTTTTTTTTTTTTTTTTTTTTTTTTTTTTTTTTTTTTTTAATCCCATATAGTCAGTTTTCTATAGTTTACATTGATGATGTTCTTATATTTTCTGAGTCTATAGAACAGCATTGGAAACACTTGCATAAATTCTTGCAAATCATAAAGTCTAATGGATTAGTTGTCTCTGCTAAGAAAATTAAATTGTTCCAAACCCATGTAAGATTTCTTGGATTTAATATTAGCCAATCACAGATACACCCTATAGATAGAGCCATACAATTTGCTGATAAATTCCCTGATCAAATAATTGATAAGAACCAATTACAAAGATTTTTAGGATCTCTTAATTATGTTTCTGATTTTTATAAGAATTTGAGGAAACAATGTAAACCTTTATATGATAGATTACAGACTAATCCTCCCCCTTGGTCTTCTATTCATACTGAGCTTATTAAACAAATTAAGAGTCATGTCAGGACCCTTCCTTGTCTTGGTATACCTACTACAGATTCCTTTAAGATTGTTGAGACTGATGCTTCTGATATAGGTTATGGTGGTATCCTTAAGCAGAAAACTACTTCTACTCCTTCTGAGCAAATTGTTCGATTCCATTCTGGTATTTGGTCTAAGTCGCAGTTTAATTATAGTACTATTAAAAAAGAAATATTAGCTATTGTATTATGCATTACTAAGTTTCAAGATGATTTATTAAATCAGAAATTTTTAGTTCGTGTTGATTGCAAATCTGCTAAGCATGTATTAGAAAAAGATGTTCAAAATATTGCATCAAAACAGATGTTTGCAAGATGGCAAGCACTTTTAAGCATATTTGATTTTGATATTGAATATTTAAAAGGAAGTGAGAATTATGTTCCTGATTTTCTTTCTAGAGAATTTTTACAGGATAAGCAATGGCCGAAAGAAAAGAAAAAGATAAGCACAAAGAACAATACAGCCAAACTCCCCAAATGCCTAGAATCCTCCCTGCATCATTAAGCCAAAAATCCTTAAAAAATGAGCCTGGTTCCTCTTCTTTTCCTAAGCTTGAGCCTACTAGCATTACTCCTTTTCCTGGCATTTCCCCTATCCCTATAGATAATCGTTTTAGCCCCTTAGGATCTACATTGAGCCAAATGAGACCTAATTATCAATCTGCACTTACATCTAGCTATGATCCTTTTGGATTACCTCCTACTGCCACCCCATTTTCTTCTTCTACATTTAGACCTAAAACTTCTCCCTACATTTCTAAAACCACTGCTAATCTTTTTATTGTTGAGCCCCATGTTTCTACCTCCATGAGCCCTGCAATGATTGCCCTGAATCACTTTCCTCCTGGATTTCATTATCTTCCTCACAGCCCATATAAGTCCCTTAAATTCTACCGAGAAATACTCCATGAGACTAAATCTGTTGATATTAAGCCCATTCGTGACAAAATTGATCCCCAAAAAATTATTTACCATTCCCTTTACATCTATCAGGTTCTAAGCCAGAAAAGTTGGGGTGCACACCCTTATGAGTTAAGAACACTCCCTTCTAAATTACAATACAACTATGCTGATTATGTTGAGTCTTTCTATTACATATTCCTACATCAAACCCCTGAGTTTTCGCATTCCTGGTTTATTAATTTTGATAATAAATTTCGTTCTGAGCTCCCTTACTGGTTTCTTCACTGGTGGGATACACATGGCCCTCAATCCGAAATTATTCCTTTACAAATCACTGAGCTTATTACTACATTCTCTTCTAAAGTCAAACTCTCTGAGCGTGATTTGTTCTTTCCTATGCCCTTGTTATTTTTTACTCTTTATAAGATTCCTTGGATTATGAAATGGTCTTACAATATTAATTGGGAATCTCGTATTTTTTCCCGTCAATTTTCTGTTAAATGGTGGGATCGTTTTGAGGTCCACCGTATTGCTGAGTATTTTTACAGAGATTTCCCTAAGCCACCAAAACATGAGCCTGAACCGACCTCTTCACATTCCTCCAAGACAAATCTCTCTGTGGAAGGAAAATCTAAAACTGAGCTACAAGACATGGCTAAGCAATTACTCCTACAGGCCTCACAAATGCAAGATGATAATGAAGCCAATGAGTCACAGTCTTCTTCTAGCTGCCAGCCCCGCCAACAAAGTCCTAGTCCTAGCCCTGATCGACCCATGAGATGGTCTGACTATCCCCATGGTCAAGACCCTAATGAAGCCTATGCCTCTTATGATTTGAATTCAGACTGAGTGTCCATACACGGACAAAATTGAAAGTTGAAGCATTGATTCCCTTGTGAAAGCATCTGAGTAAAAGCAAAAGCATCTGAGTAAAAAGCAAAGTCATCTGAGTAAAAGCAAAAGCATCTGAGTAAAAGCAAAGTCAAAAGTTATACAGTTCCCTGATGTAATCATTGTACCTGAGTTAACTTACCAAAGTTACTTTCTTACTTAGGTTAAGATTTTCTTTATAAGGAGGTTTCGGCCTCATTTGTAATCAGAATGTAAAATTTAGTTTTCTTAGTTTCAAATTGTTCTCTCAGAAACAATGATCTGAAGAACAGCTGAGTGTGAGCGAAACTAGGAGCTATCTTTTGTAAGCATTCTCATAAGCCTATGTCTTTATAAAATCTTGAGTAATTTTAAATATATCATTATGTTCATACATTCATTACATTTAATTCATTCAATATTCATTTATACTCTTATAAGATTCATGCATAAACTGCGGCTTTTCTATTACGTTTGCTTCCTTACTGTATATGCTAAAGGGGTCTAGAACCATTAGCATATACAGTAAGGAAGCAAACGTAATAGAAAAGCCGCAGTTTATGCATGAATCTTATAAGAGTATAAATGAATATTGAATGAATTAAATGTAATGAATGTATGAACATAATGATATATTTAAAATTACTCAAGATTTTATAAAGACATAGGCTTATGAGAATGCTTACAAAAGATAGCTCCTAGTTTCGCTCACACTCAGTTGTTCTTCAGATCATTGTTTCTGAGAGAACAATTTGAAACTAAGAAAACTAAATTTTACATTCTGATTACAAATGAGGCCGAAACCTCCTTATAAAGAAAATCTTAACCTAAGTAAGAAAGTAACTTTGGTAAGTTAACTCAGGTACAATGATTACATCAGGGAACTGTATAACTTTTGACTTTGCTTTTACTCAGATGCTTTTGCTTTTACTCAGATGACTTTGCTTTTACTCAGATGCTTTTGCTTTTACTCAGATGCTTTCACAAGGGAATCAATGCTTCAACTTTCAATTTTGTCCGTGTATGGACACTCAGTCTGAATTCAAATCATAAGAGGCATAGGCTTCATTAGGGTCTTGACCATGGGGATAGTCAGACCATCTCATGGGTCGATCAGGGCTAGGACTAGGACTTTGTTGGCGGGGCTGGCAGCTAGAAGAAGACTGTGACTCATTGGCTTCATTATCATCTTGCATTTGTGAGGCCTGTAGGAGTAATTGCTTAGCCATGTCTTGTAGCTCAGTTTTAGATTTTCCTTCCACAGAGAGATTTGTCTGGGAGGAATGTGAAGAGGTCGGTTCAGGCTCATGTTTTGGTGGCTTAGGGAAATCTCTGTAAAAATACTCAGCAATACGGTGGACCTCAAAACGATCCCACCATTTAACAGAAAATTGACGGGAAAAAATACGAGATTCCCAATTAATATTGTAAGACCATTTCATAATCCAAGGAATCTTATAAAGAGTAAAAAATAACAAGGGCATAGGAAAGAACAAATCACGCTCAGAGAGTTTGACTTTAGAAGAGAATGTAGTAATAAGCTCAGTGATTTGTAAAGGAATAATTTCGGATTGAGGGCCATGTGTATCCCACCAGTGAAGAAACCAGTAAGGGAGCTCAGAACGAAATTTATTATCAAAATTAATAAACCAGGAATGCGAAAACTCAGGGGTTTGATGTAGGAATATGTAATAGAAAGACTCAACATAATCAGCATAGTTGTATTGTAATTTAGAAGGGAGTGTTCTTAACTCATAAGGGTGTGCACCCCAACTTTTCTGGCTTAGAACCTGATAGATGTAAAGGGAATGGTAAATAATTTTTTGGGGATCAATTTTGTCACGAATGGGCTTAATATCAACAGATTTAGTCTCATGGAGTATTTCTCGGTAGAATTTAAGGGACTTATATGGGCTGTGAGGAAGATAATGAAATCCAGGAGGAAAGTGATTCAGGGCAATCATTGCAGGGCTCATAGAGGTAGAAACATGGGGCTCAACAATAAAAAGATTAGCAGTGGTTTTAGAAATGTATGGAGAAGTTTTAGGTCTAAATGTAGAAGAAGAAAATGGGGTGGCAGTAGGAGGTAATCCAAAAGGATCATAGCTAGATGTAAGTGCAGATTGATAATTAGGTCTCATTTGGCTCAATGTAGATCCTAAGGGGCTAAAACGATTATCTATAGGGATAGGGGAAATGCCAGGAAAAGGAGTAATGCTAGTAGGCTCAAGCTTAGGAAAAGAAGAGGAACCAGGCTCATTTTTTAAGGATTTTTGGCTTAATGATGCAGGGAGGATTCTAGGCATTTGGGGAGTTTGGCTGTATTGTTCTTTGTGCTTATCTTTTTCTTTTCTTTCGGCCATTGCTTATCCTGTAAAAATTCTCTAGAAAGAAAATCAGGAACATAATTCTCACTTCCTTTTAAATATTCAATATCAAAATCAAATATGCTTAAAAGTGCTTGCCATCTTGCAAACATCTGTTTTGATGCAATATTTTGAACATCTTTTTCTAATACATGCTTAGCAGATTTGCAATCAACACGAACTAAAAATTTCTGATTTAATAAATCATCTTGAAACTTAGTAATGCATAATACAATAGCTAATATTTCTTTTTTAATAGTACTATAATTAAACTGCGACTTAGACCAAATACCAGAATGGAATCGAACAATTTGCTCAGAAGGAGTAGAAGTAGTTTTCTGCTTAAGGATACCACCATAACCTATATCAGAAGCATCAGTCTCAACAATCTTAAAGGAATCTGTAGTAGGTATACCAAGACAAGGAAGGGTCCTGACATGACTCTTAATTTGTTTAATAAGCTCAGTATGAATAGAAGACCAAGGGGGAGGATTAGTCTGTAATCTATCATATAAAGGTTTACATTGTTTCCTCAAATTCTTATAAAAATCAGAAACATAATTAAGAGATCCTAAAAATCTTTGTAATTGGTTCTTATCAATTATTTGATCAGGGAATTTATCAGCAAATTGTATGGCTCTATCTATAGGGTGTATCTGTGATTGGCTAATATTAAATCCAAGAAATCTTACATGGGTTTGGAACAATTTAATTTTCTTAGCAGAGACAACTAATCCATTAGACTTTATGATTTGCAAGAATTTATGCAAGTGTTTCCAATGCTGTTCTATAGACTCAGAAAATATAAGAACATCATCAATGTAAACTATAGAAAACTGACTATATGGATTAAATATCTCATTCATTATATTTTGGAATTCACTAGGAGCATTTTTAAGACCAAAAGGCATCACATTCCATTCATAATGACCAAAGCGAGTAACAAAAGCAGTTTTATATCTATCAGACTCAGTAATTTGTATTTGCCAAAAACCACTCTTCATATCAAATTTAGAGAATATAACAGCTTTGCTCAAACGATTAATTAAATCTCTTTTATTAGCTATAGGGTATCTTATCCATTCTAATACAGTATTAAGAGGCTTGTAATTAATAACTAATCTAGGTGATCCTCTTTCTAATTCAGCGTTTTTTTGTACATAAAAAGCAGGGCAAGACCATGGTGATTTACTTCGTCTAATTATATTTTTCTGTAATAATTCATTTATCTCATTTTTACAAAATTCTAATATTTCTTGGCTCATCTGTATAGGACGTGCTTTAGTAGGTATGTTTTTCTCAGAAAAGTTTTTTATGTAAGGCAGACTTACTATATGATTCTTTCTATGCCAAAAAGCAGTAGGTAAATCAGAACATATTTCAGCAATCAGTTTTTTCTCAAAATCTTGAATCTGTTTTTGCATGCATGGGTTATTTAGTTGAGACTCAATTCGCTTAGTCTTGACTTCATCCTGTAAATGTTTAATTTGTTTAGCCTTGTCATTAATCAAAGAAGTAGTTATAGCATTAATATTTTTCTTTGTAGTTTTTAACTCATGTAATTCAGATCGAGTAAGAAAATTAAACTTAACATTTTCTCCTAAAGGACTTGAAACTACTCCATCAAATTCAACTTGCAAATGATATAAAAGGCTTATGAAAGGTAATCCTAAAATGACTTTATCAGTTATATTTTTAACTAAAACAAACGATGTTTTAAAACAGACTTTATTTTGACAAACATGGGCTTTAGGAATTTCATAATTTAAATGTAACATTTTTCCAGAAGCAGTACTCAATGATTCTGTAGATTTTGTATAGTACTTAGTAGGAACTAGCCCTTCTTTTATACAATTGAGATCAGCACCAGAGTCAAATAAAGCAATGGTATTAAGCTCAAAATCTTTAATAATTATAGTGACTTTAGAATACCATTTCCTAAAGGAAACATGATTAATTAAATTAATAGTGTGATCATTATTCTCATTTTCTTCAGAATGGGTAGGACTACTGGGTTGACTATTAGACTTAGATGAATCTTTCTCTAATAGGGATTTAAACTTTGTCTAATATCATAATTCTCAGTTTGTAGCTTATAACTTAGTTGTTTTAATTCAACTATTTCATTTTTTATGGTTTTTACCTCAGAATGTAAATCATGCAAGGAGACTTCTTTTTTCTTATGAAACCTTTCTAGGGTAGTATTTAGACTTATAGTAGAAGAGGAGGGTTGAACTGTATCTGTATGAGTTATGATTTTCCTTAATTTCCTTAAATATTCAGATTTCAACTCAGGATGTTCTATTTTACTAATCAGATCAATTAGTAATTCTTCTTGCTCTTCTTGTTTAGTTAAGACAGAAATAGACTTAAGGGAATTACAACACTTATCTTTACAACCTATTTGGATGTTTGGTGAACTTGAATGGGAATCAGAAGACTCATAGTTGGAAGACTCAGAATTGCTAACCATAGTTACATCACCTGACTCAGAATCTTTTAACTCAAGTACTTTTATTAATTTATCTTTATCTGCATCCGTGATCTGTAATTGTTTGATAGTGTCTTTCACTTTACACTTATTAGCATAATGGCCGAACTTTTGACATTTATAACATTTAACCATACTTTTGTCGGTACTTTTCTTAAAGCTTTTCTTATAATTCTTATCTTTTGGCTTTTTTGACCAACTTTTCTTAAAGCGGGATTTTTTCTTGTAAAATTCATCATTGGGCTGATAAGAATAATTTTTTCGTTTATAGTGTCGTTTTTTACGAAGGTGACTAGGAGACTTATATTTATGTTTTCTAGACGGGGGAGTAAATAAACCATATTGCTCACAGAAATTACCTAGCTCATATTTTGCAGATTTTCTTTCAGACTGTATTTGCTTATTTATTTTCATGTCAATACACATCTTCATACCTTCTTGATTAATTGTACTGATTATATTACCATATGTCAAATTATCATAATCTATATGACCTAACTCATTGCTTAAAACAGTTCTAATTTTATGGGCAAATAAACTAGGCAATCCATTAATAAATTTTTCTTTCCAAAAGGCTTGATTACTATCTTCTCTTATCATTACACGAGAAATAAAAACATTTTTATACCATCTAAAATCACTTAATTGAGGACATCTTAGATTGCTTAATTGATCGTGTATCCTAGACTGTGTATGACTCGGAGTTCCTATAAAATGCTCAATTATTGTGTAAAGGAGAGTATTAACACCATCTTCTATACCTCGACCTATATTTTCATCAAACAAAGGAAGACCTTCTTCATTTAATTTTACTGCATGTATAATATTATTACGAGACTCATTCGTTAAATGCTTATCCCACCATGAACGTAAGGTTCCTGTAAAACCAGTTTCTAATAAAGGAATTATCTCAGATTGTCTTAAATTGTGATTAGTAATATAACTATTGGCTACCATAGACATGTGAGTTAACTTATTCATAATTTCTTGTTCAGATAAACCATCTATATTCCATTCATATAACTTATCAGAAGAAACAGAAAACTGACTCAGATTATTTCGTTCTTCAAATTGAATATCAGGAGGTGTCGGCTTAGGATACCAATTTTTTGTTAAACTAGCAGGATTAGTTAATCTTTTCACTTTTAACTCAGATTCTAATTCTAGGTTTTTGAAAGCATTTTCAATTTTTGAAATATTACTTGACTCTAAAGATTTAGTGTTTGACTCAGACTCAGTTCCTGACTGGGTATCTATGGGAAAGGAGGTTCCTATGACTTTAAGACCAGATTTCTCAGGTTTTTCAGGTTTAGCAACGGCTAGGTGCTCAAGCATTTCTTCTATCTTTTTCATTGTAGATGAAGTCTTAAGTGCAAACTTAGGCTGTAGGTCCTGAAACTGAACTAGGGGTTTTTCAACCGACTTAAGCTTAGATTCAGTAGGCAAGGACTTATCAATTTTAATTTCTATTTTATCTAATTGTTTTCCTATAGTAACAAGACTCTGATTTGTGTAATTATTTTGTTCTATTAATCTTTTGGTAGGCTCATCGGCTTGATCTGCAATTTTAAAAGGGCTTGCAACAACAGTTCTTGTGCCATGTTTAAAGACAATAGTTTCTGTAGGAGGATGACTAGACACAACTTCAGATTGATCTAACTTTATCCATTTCTCTTTAGTCAGGGTTTTTAACTCAGTAGAACTATACCGGCTTTCTACAAAATCAAGATAAAATATTTCTCTTCTCTCAGATCTCATATAATTTTTCCACTCAGTAAATATTTTTTGTCTTATATTTGTATCAGGAATAATTTGGTGATATATATCTCTTCTAGATTTATTAATAGGATCATGCAGGTGTTTATCTAAAGCTTTCCAGTTAATTTTAAATGACTCAACTCTTTTAAGGACGCTTAGTTGTTTATCTATATCATACATATGGGTTGCAGCTATTTCACTGGCTAAGAAATCAGTCTGTGTAGGTGATGTAGGAGGAGACTCAGGTTTTGGCTCATTTGCAGGTGGAGTATTTCTGTAGCAAGGATGACTTACTTGGGCATTTTTTCTCAAGGATTCTAATTTCAAATCAATTAAGGCTCTTTCCATTTCTAAATCTCTTTCTTGTATGGAGGAGGAAGCAGATGAATTTCTAGCAGGTTCATGTCTTTTAGAGGGACTAGGCGTAGGCAATTGCTGTAATTGGACTGTAGATTTAGGTTGATTACCAAAATTAATTTTAACAGTGCCATCTAAATATTGTTGTATGTAATCTAAATTATTTAAACTACGCTGTATAGGAGCAGGCTGTGACTCAGTGACTAAAGTCCAATCTCTAGGTAAATTAATCTCAGACCATTTAACCGTAAGTGGAATACTTATATTGGCATCAGGTGTACAACTTTGTATTAACAATGTTTGATCTCTAGGACTCTTATTCAAAGCTTGGAAATTCATATTTGTACCTGTAACTTTATAATATATTCTGTATACTAAAGCTATAGGTTGGGTACCAGGAAGAACATTATATCCAGAAGTCTTAATATTCAAAGTTAAAGTTTTAAGAATATGGGGATCATTCAAACTAACTGTAAAATTAGGATAGCAATCAAAATGTACCGGACCATTACAAAGACTTGACTCAATCATACCAAGCACACTATCATTAAATACAGTGAATCTAGCATCACGCAGGCATAACAAAATAGAAGCTTGCAATCCTAGTCTAGTTAAAGGCTTAGCAGCAACTTGAACAAGACCAATATGCAGGAAATTATTACCATCATGCTTATGTTTTTTAATTGCATCTAAGTTAAGTAATTGACAAGACTCATGTTCTTTACTCAAAGCATATACTTGTTCTACTGTCTTAACATGTGTAGTTGTATTAAATGTAGATAACGACCATTTTTTTCTATATATATTTTTATCAGGTACTTTAGGTATATTCCAGTCTCTAAAATCTAATTGCTCATTATCATTATTAGAATTATACTCAAATTGTTCCTCATTTACTATCTCAGGTAGACGACCTATAGTGGTTCTAGAGCTGCTCGAACTACAAGAATTTGTTCTAAAGAGGCGACTCATTTTGCTCAAGTGTATGGGTTGGAAGAATGAAGAAGAAAATAAATAGTGACTCCTAACTCTCACTGTTTATCCTAAAAGAAACCTATCAGTGTCCTCCTTAGCTCTCTGTCTCCTGCCCACCGCTCATGCCACATCCTGGGACTTATCGTTTGGAAAAAGGACTCACGGGTCAGACCTTAAGGGCTGGTTTAGGATTTCTGAGTTGAAGTTCTTAGTTTCTTCTTTCCTTTCTTTTATTCTTTGAGTTACTTCTTGGTTTTCTCCCTTAAGGTCTGACCCGTGAGTCCTTTTTCCAAACGATAAGTCCCAGGGTGTGGCACGAGCAGTGGGCAGGAGACAGAGAGCTAGGGAGGACACTGATAGGTTTCTTTTAGGATAAACAGTGAGAGTTAGGAGTCACTATTTATTTTCTTCTTCATTCTTCCAACCCATACACTTGAGCAAAATGAGTCGCCATATATATATATATATATATATACAAAAGCATTCTCACTGAGCCTATACTTATGACAATAAAAGTTTTTTGAGTATTTTCAAAGTTTATATTATGTTCATAAATTCATTACATTTAATTCATACCATTATTTTTATACATTCAATATTTGTTTATTCTTTAATTAGATTTGTGCATAAACTACGATTATTCTTATACGTTGTTTCCTTACTGTATATGCTAACCCCTCTTGGTTCTAGACCCCTTTTGGTATCAGAGCCGTAAGAGTTGTGAGAATTTTGTCTAAGTTGCAACTCATCCAACCCAAGTGGCTGGTTTAGGATTTCTGAGTTGAAGTTCTTAGTTTCTTCTCTTCTTTCTTTTTATTCCTGGAGTCTCTTTTCGGTTTCATCCCTTAAGGTCTGACCCGTGAGTCCTTTTTCCAGTCGGTAAGTCCCAGGTGTGGCACGCATAGGTGGGCAGGAGACAGAAAATTAGGGAGGTTTCTGTTAGGTTTCTCTTAGTTTAATAAGAAAGACTTAGAAGTTACTATTTATCTTCTTCTTCATTCTTCCAACCCCATACACTTGAGCAAAATGAGTCGCCTCTTTAGAACAAATTCTTGTAGTTCGAGCAGCTCTAGAACCACTATAGGTCGTCTACCTGAGATAGTAAATGAGGAACAATTTGAGTATAATTCTAATAATGATAATGAGCAATTAGATTTTCGAGATTGGAATATACCTAAAGTCCCTGATAAAAATATATATAGGAAAAAATGGTCTTTGAATACATTTAATACAACTACACATGTTAAAACTGTAGAACAAGTTTATGCTTTGAGTAAAGAACATGAATCCTGTCAATTATTGAATTTAGATGCAATTAAGAAACATAAGCATGATGGTAATAATTTCCTGCATATTGGTCTTGTACAAGTTGCTGCTAAGCCTTTAACTAGATTGGGATTACAAGCTTCTATTTTGTTATGTTTGCGTGATGCAAGATTTACTAATTTTGAAGATAGTGTGCTTGGTATGGTTGAATCTAGTCTTTGTAATGGTCCAGTACATTTTGATTGCTATCCTAATTTTACTGTTAGTTTGAATGATCCGCATATTCTTAAGACTTTAACTTTGAATATTAAAACTTCTGGATATAATGTTTTGCCTGGTACTCAGCCTATAGCCTTGATTTACAGAATTTATTATAAGGTTACAGGTACAAATATGAACTTTCAAGCCCTGAATAAGAGTCCTAGAGATCAGACGTTGTTAATACAAAGCCGTACACCTGATGCTAATATAAGTATTCCCCATACAATTAAATGGTCTGATATTAATTTGCCTAGAGATTGGACATTAGTCACCGAGTCTCAACCTGCACCTATACAGCGTAGTTTAAATAATTTAGATTATATACAGCAATATTTAGATGGTACTGTTAAGATTAATTTTGGTACTCAGCCTAAGTCTAATGTACAATTACAACAGTTGCCTACACCAAGTCCCTCTAAACGCCATGAGCCTGCTAGAAATTCATCTGCTTCATCTTCTATACAAGAAAGAGATTTAGAAATGGAAAGAGCCTTAATAGATCTAAAGTTAGAATCCCTGAGAAAAAAGGCCCAAGTTAGTCATCCTTGTTACAATACTCCGCCTACAAATGAGCCCAAACCTGAGTCCCCTCCTACATCACCTACTCAATCTGATTTTATAGCAAGTGAATTAGCTGCGGCCCATGCGTATGGTCTAGATAATCAGTTAAAAGTTCTTAAAAGAGTTGAAAATTTTAAAATTAATTGGAAAACCTTAGATGAGCATTTGCATGATCCCATTAATCAGCCTAGAAGAAATATATATCATCAACTAGTTCCTGAAGCATGTAAAAGACAAGAACTATTTACTGAATGGAAAAATTATATGCGATCTGAGAAAAAAGAAATGTTTTATCTTGATTTTATAGAAAGCCGTTACAGTCCTACTGAGTTAAAGACTATAACTAAAGAAAAATGGATTAAGCCTGATAAAACTGAAGTAGTGGCTAGCCACCCTCCTGCAGAAACTATAGTTTTTAAACATGGGTCACGATCTGTTGTTGCAAGCCCGTTTAAATTAACTGACCCAAATGATGAGCCCAATAAACGCCTTATAGAACAAAATAACTATACAAATCAGAGTCTCATTACTATAGGAAAACAGTTAGATAAAATCGAAACTAAAATTGATAAGTCTCTGCCTGTTGAGTCTAAGCTTAAGTCTGCAGAAAAACCCCTAGTCCAATTCCAAGATTTACAGCCTAAGTTTGCCCTTAAAACATCCTCTACAATTGACAAAATAGAAGAAATGCTTAAACAGTTAAAAACTGAACAACCTGAAAAATCTGGAGTTAAAGTTATAGGATCATATGTTCCCTTGGATACACAGTCAGAAACTGAGTCTGAATCTAATACCGAATCTGTTGAGTCTAGTAATATTTCCAAAATTGAGAATGCATTTAAGAACTTAGAATTAGAATCTGAGCTAAAAGTTAAGAAATTAACTAATCCTACTAGCCTAACCAGAAATTGGTATCCTAAGCCTACACCACCAGATATCCAGTTTGAAGAAAGAAATAATTTGAGTCAATTTTCTGTATCTTCTGATAAATTATATGAATGGAATATAGATGGCCTGTCTGAGCAAGAAATTATGAATAAATTAACCCATATGTCTATGGTTGCTAATAGTTACAGTACTAATCATAATCTAAGACAATCTGAGATAATTCCCCTGTTAGAAACTGGCTTTACAGGAACCTTGAGATCTTGGTGGGATAAGCATTTAACTGATGAGTCTCGAAATAATATTATACATGCAGTAAAATTAGACGCTGAAGGTTTGCCTTTGTTTAATGAAAATATAGGTCAAGGTATAGAAGACAGTGTTAATACTTTGCTTTATACTATAATTGAGCATTTTATAGGAACTCCGAGCCATACACAGTCTAGAATACATGATCAACTGAGTAATTTAAGATGCCCGCAACTAAGTGATTTTAGATGGTATAAAGATGTTTTTATTTCCCGTGTAATGCTGCGAGAAGATAGTAATCAAGCCTTTTTGGAAAGAAAAGTTTATAAATGGATTGCCCAATTTGTTTGCTCATAAAATTAGAACTGTATTAAGTAATGAATTAGGTCACATAGATTATGATAATCTGACTTATGGTAATATAATTAGTACAATTAATCAAGAAGGCATGAAAATGTGCATTGACATGAAAATAAATAAACAAATACAGTCTGAAAGAAAATCTGCAAGATATGAGTTAGGTAGCTTTTGTGAACAATATGGTTTGTATACTCCCCCTTCTAGAAAAAATAAGTATAAGTCGCCTAGTCATCTTAGGAAAAAACGTCATTATAAGCGTAAGAAACATTTTACTGAATCTAATGATGAATTCTATAAGAAAAGATCTCGCTTTAAGAAAAATTGGAAAGATAAGCCTAAAAGAAAGAATAAAGGTAGAAGCTTTAAGAAAAGAACCGACATGAGTAAAGTTAAATGTTTTAAATGTCAAAAGTTTGGTCACTATGCTAATAAATGTAAAGTTAAAGATACTATCAAACAATTACAGATCACGGATGCAGATAAAGACAAATTGATTAAAGTTCTTGAGTTAAGAGATTCTGAGCCTGAAGATATAACTATGGTTAGTAATTCTGAGTCTGATTATGAGTCTACTGAATCCTACGTGAGTTCACCTAATATTCAAATAGGTTGTAGAGATAAATGCTGTAATACTCTTAAGTCTATTTCTGTTTTAACTAAAGAAGAAGAACAAGAAGAATTATTGCTTGATTTGATTAGTAAAATAGAACATTCTGAGTTGAAGTCTGAATATCTAAAGAAATTAAGGAAAATTATAAGCCGTACAGATACAGTCCAGCCTTCTTCCTCTGTTATAAGTCTAAATACTACATTAGAAAGATTCAATAAGAAAAAAGATATTACTTTGCATGATTTGCATTCTGAAGTAAAAACTGTTAAAAAAGAAATAATAGAATTAAGACAATTGAGCCATAAATTACAAGCTGAGAATTATGATATCCGACAAAGTTTGAATTCCCTATTAGAAAAAGATTTATTCAAGTCTGATAGTCAACCAAGTAGTCCTACCCATTCTGAAGAAAATAATAAATCTGATCAAGCTGTTAATTTGATTAATCATATTTCTTTTCGAAAATGGTACTCTAAGATTACTATAATCATTAAAGATTTTGAGCTTGATACTATTGCACTATTTGACTCTGGTGCTGATTTGAACTGTATAAAAGAGGGATTGATTCCTACTAAATATTATACAAAATCAAATGAATCTTTAAGTACTGCTTCTGGTAGGATGCTACATTTGAATTATGAAATTCCTAAAGCCCATGTATGCCAAAATAAAGTATGTTTTAAAACTTCGTTTGTTTTGATTAAAAATATAACCGATAAAGTAATTTTAGGTTTACCTTTTATAAGTCTTTTATATCCTTTACAAGTCGAATTTGATGGAGTTGTTGCTAGTCCTTTAGGTGAGAAAGTCAAGTTTGAATTTCTTACACGATCTGAATTACATGAATTAAAAACTGCAAAGAAAAATATTAAGTCCATAGCAACATCTTTGATTCTTGATAAAACTAATCAAATCAAACATTTACAGGAAGAAGTTAAAAATAAGAGAATTGAGTCTCAATTGAATTCCCCTTTTATGCAAGCTCAGATTAAAAACTTTGAGAATAAATTAATTGCTGATGTTTGCTCTGATTTGCCTACTGCCTTTTGGCATAGAAAGAATCATATTGTAAGTTTGCCTTATATAAAGAATTTTTCTGAGAAAAATATACCCACAAAAGCTCGTCCTATTCAAATGAATCCTGATATGTTAGAATTCTGTAAAAATGAAATCAATGATTTATTACAGAAACGTATAATTAGACGTAGTAAGTCTCCTTGGTCTTGTCCTGCTTTTTATGTACAGAAAAATGCTGAATTAGAACGTGGATCACCTAGATTAGTTATAAATTATAAACCCCTTAATACTGTTCTTGAATGGATTAGATATCCTATACCTAATAAGAGAGACTTGATTAACCGCCTGAATAAAGCTGTTATATTTTCTAAATTTGATCTGAAAAGTGGATTTTGGCAAAATACAGATTGCTGAGTCTGATCGATATAAAACTGCTTTTGTCACTCCTTTTGGTCATTATGAATGGAATGTTATGCCTTTTGGTCTGAAGAATGCTCCCAGTGAATTTCAAAATATAATGAATGAAATTTTTAATACTTACAGCCAATTTGCTATTGTTTATATTGATGATGTACTTATATTTTCTGAATCTATAGAACAGCACTGGAAACATTTGCATAAATTCCTACATGTCATCAAAACTAACGGATTAGTTGTTTCTGCTAAAAAGATTAAATTGTTCCAAACGCATGTTAGATTTCTAGGATTTAATATAAGCCAATCACAAATACAACCTATAGATAGATCCCTACAATTTGCAGATAAATTTCCTGATCAAATTACAGATAAAAATCAATTACAAAGATTCCTAGGTTCCCTGAATTACATTTCTGATTTTTATAAGAACCTGAGAAAACAATGTAAGCCCTTATTTGATAGATTACAGTCTAATCCTCCTCCTTGGTCATCTGTTCATACTGAACTTGTTAAGCAGATTAAAAGTCATGTTAAGACACTTCCTTGTCTTGGCATTCCTACTACTAATTCCTTCAAAATAGTTGAAACTGATGCTTCTGATATAGGCTATGGTGGTATTCTTAAGCAGAGGCTTTCTCCTGTCTCTCCTGAGCAAATTGTCCGATTCTATTCTGGTACATGGTCTAAATCACAGTACAATTATAGTACTATTAAGAAAGAAATATTAGCTATTGTATTATGTATTACTAAATTTCAAGATGATCTATTAAATCAAAAATTTCTTGTTCGTGTTGATTGCAAATCTGCTAAACATGTTCTTGAAAAAGATGTTCAAAACATTGCATCAAAACAGATTTTTGCACGATGGCAAGCACTTTTGAGCATATTTGATTTTGATATTGAATTTATTAAAGGCAGCGAGAATTCTATTCCTGATTTTCTTACCAGAGAGTTTTTACAGGACAATTATGGCAGGAAGAAAAATGAAAGAAAAAGATAAGCTTAAAGAACAGCACAGCTTGAGTTCCCGACCACCCAGAATCCTTCCTGCATCCTTGAGCCCATATTCTGTTCAAAATGAGCCTGCATCTTCCTCCTTTCCTAAACTTGAGCCTGCAGCCCTTACACCTTACCCTGGCATGTCCCCTATTCCTATAGATAATAAATTTAATCCTTTAGGATCTACCTTGGGCCAAATGAGACCCAACTACCAGTCTGTACTTGCATCTAGTTATGATCCTTATCCTTTACCCCCTAATACAAGTCCTCTATCTTCTTCTACATTTAGACCTAGGTCTTCCCCTTATGTATCTAAATGCACCACTAATTTATTTGTGTTTGAACCCCATATCCCTGCATCTACAAGCCCTGCTACAATAGCTCTAAATCATTTTCCTCCTGGTTTTCATTACCTTCCTCATAGTCCTTACAAGTCCTTAAAATATTATAGAGAAATCCTTCTTGAAACTAAGTCTGTTGATATTAAGCCTATACGAGATAAAGTTGATCCCCAGAAAATAATATATCATTCTTTGTATATCTATCAAATCCTGAGTCAAAAGAGTTGGGGTTCTCACCCCTATGCATTAAAAACCCTTCCTTCTAAGCTACAATATAATTATGCAGATTATGTTGAATCCTTCTATTATATTTTCTTACACCAAACTCCTGAATTCTCACATTCTTGGTTTATAAATTTTGATAATAAATTTAAATATGATCAGCTTCCCTACTGGTTTCTTCACTGGTGGGACACTCATGGTCCTGTGTCTGAAATTATACCTTCTGCAGTAACTGAGCTTATTACTACATTCTCTTCTAGAGTTAAGATTCCTGAACGTGATTTATTTTTCCCTATGCCTTTGTTATTCTGTACACGTTACAAGATTCCCTGGATTATGAAATGGAATTATCATGCAGATTGGGAGAAGAGATTCTTTTCCCGACATTTTTCTGTGAAATGGTGGGATCGTTTTGAAACCCACCGTATATCTGAATATTTTGCCAGAGATTTCCCTGCACTTCCTCCTAAGCCTGAGCCTAAGCCTAAGCCTTCTTCTTCTCAATCTTCCCAAATTTCTACTGAAGGAAAATCTAAAGTTGAGTTAAAAGATCTAGCTAAACAGTTACTTTTACAAGCCGAAGAAATGCAAGATGATGATGAAGACAATGTATCTGAATCCTCCTCCAGCTGTCAGCCTCTGCCTCTGAGCCCCAGTCCTGATCGCCCTATGAGATGGTCTGACTATCCCCATGGTCAAGACCCTAATGAAGCCTATTCTGCTTATGATCTGAATTATGACTGAGTGTCCAAGCTACGGACAAAACTGAAAGTTGAGTCAAAGTGAAAGCATCTGAGTTAAAGTGAAAGCATCTGAGCTAAAGTAAAAGCATCTGGTGAAAGCATCTGAGTGAAAGTAAAAGCATGAGTTAAAGTGAAAGCATCTGAGTAAAAGCATCTGAGTTAAAGTCACCTGTAATTATTGTACCCAAGTTAGTTCACTTGAGTTATTTTTTACTAGAGTTATGTTTCTCTTTTTAAGGAGGCTTCGGCCTCATTTGAACACAGAATGTAAAATTTAGTTTTCCTAGTTTCAAATTGTTCTCTCAGACATCCTATCTGAAGAACAGCTAAATGTGAGCGAATTAGGAAGCTATCTTTTGTAAGCATTCTCACTGAGCCTATACTTATGACAATAAAAGTTTTTTGAGTATTTTCAAAGTTTATATTATGTTCATAAATTCATTACATTTAATTCATACCATTATTTTTATACATTCAATATTTGTTTATTCTTTAATTAGATTTGTGCATAAACTACGATTATTCTTATATGTTTGTTTCCTTACTGTATATGCTAACCCCTCTTGGTTCTAGACCCCTTTTCAAAAGGTGACTTTAATTCAAAAGGTGACCCCTTTTCAAAAGGTGACTTTAATTCATACCGGTTCTTAATTACAGGTGACTTTAACTCAGATGCTTTTACTCAGATGCTTTCACTTTAACTCATGCTTTTACTTTCACTCAGATGCTTTCACCAGATGCTTTTACTTTAGCTCAGATGCTTTCACTTTAACTCAGATGCTTTCACTTTGACTCAACTTTCAGTTTTGTCCGTAGCTTGGACACTCAGTCAGAATTCAGATCATAAGCAGAATAGGCTTCATTAGGGTCTTGACCATGGGGATAGTCAGACCATCTCATAGGGCGATCAGGACTGGGGCTCAGAGGCAGAGGCTGACAGCTGGAGGAAGATTCAGATACATTGTCTTCATCATCATCTTGCATTTCTTCGGCTTGTAAAAGTAACTGTTTAGCTAGATCTTTTAACTCAACTTTAGATTTTCCTTCAGTAGAAATTTGGGAAGATTGAGAAGAAGAAGGCTTAGGCTTAGGCTCAGGCTTAGGAGGAAGTGCAGGGAAATCTCTGGCAAAATATTCAGATATACGGTGGGTTTCAAAACGATCCCACCATTTCACAGAAAAATGTCGGGAAAAGAATCTCTTCTCCCAATCTGCATGATAATTCCATTTCATAATCCAGGGAATCTTGTAACGTGTACAGAATAACAAAGGCATAGGGAAAAATAAATCACGTTCAGGAATCTTAACTCTAGAAGAGAATGTAGTAATAAGCTCAGTTACTGCAGAAGGTATAATTTCAGACACAGGACCATGAGTGTCCCACCAGTGAAGAAACCAGTAGAGAAGCTGATCATATTTAAATTTATTATCAAAATTTATAAACCAAGAATGTGAGAATTCAGGAGTTTGGTGTAAGAAAATATAATAGAAGGATTCAACATAATCTGCATAATTATATTGTAGCTTAGAAGGAAGGGTTTTTAATGCATAGGGGTGAGAACCCCAACTCTTTTGACTCAGGATTTGATAGATATACAAAGAATGATATATTATTTTCTGGGGATCAACTTTATCTCGTATAGGCTTAATATCAACAGACTTAGTTTCAAGAAGGATTTCTCTATAATATTTTAAGGACTTGTAAGGACTATGAGGAAGGTAATGAAAACCAGGAGGAAAATGATTTAGAGCTATTGTAGCAGGGCTTGTAGATGCAGGGATATGGGGTTCAAGCACAAATAAATTAGTGGTGCATTTAGATACATAAGGGGAAGACCTAGGTCTAAATGTAGAAGAAGATAGAGGACTTGTATTAGGGGGTAAAGGATAAGGATCATAACTAGATGCAAGTACAGACTGGTAGTTGGGTCTCATTTGGCCCAAGGTAGATCCTAAAGGATTAAATTTATTATCTATAGGAATAGGGGACATGCCAGGGTAAGGTGTAAGGGCTGCAGGCTCAAGTTTAGGAAAGGAGGAAGATGCAGGCTCATTTTGAACAGAATATGGGCTCAAGGATGCAGGAAGGATTCTGGGTGGTCGGGAACTCAAGCTGTGCTGTTCTTTAAGCTTATCTTTTTCTTTCATTTTTCTTCCTGCCATAATTGTCCTGTAAAAACTCTCTGGTAAGAAAATCAGGAATAGAATTCTCGCTGCCTTTAATAAATTCAATATCAAAATCAAATATGCTCAAAAAGGCTTGCCATCGTGCAAAAATCTGTTTTGATGCAATGTTTTGAACATCTTTTTCAAGAACATGTTTAGCAGATTTGCAATCAACACGAACAAGAAATTTTTGATTTAATAGATCATCTTGAAATTTAGTAATACATAATACAATAGCTAATATTTCTTTCTTAATAGTACTATAATTGTACTGTGATTTAGACCATGTACCAGAATAGAATCGGACAATTTGCTCAAGAGAGACAGGAGAAAGCCTCTGCTTAAGAATACCACCATAGCCTATATCAGAAGCATCAGTTTCAACTATTTTGAAGGAATTAGTAGTAGGAATGCCAAGACAAGGAAGTGTCTTAACATGACTTTTAATCTGCTTAACAAGTTCAGTATGAACAGATGACCAAGGAGGAGGATTAGACTGTAATCTATCAAATAAGGGCTTACATTGTTTTCTCAGGTTCTTATAAAAATCAGAAATGTAATTCAGGGAACCTAGGAATCTTTGTAATTGATTTTTATCTGTAATTTGATCAGGAAATTTATCTGCAAATTGTAGGGATCTATCTATAGGTTGTATTTGTGATTGGCTTATATTAAATCCTAGAAATCTAACATGCGTTTGGAACAATTTAATCTTTTTAGCAGAAACAACTAATCCGTTAGTTTTGATGACATGTAGGAATTTATGCAAATGTTTCCAGTGCTGTTCTATAGATTCAGAAAATATAAGTACATCATCAATATAAACAATAGCAAATTGGCTGTAAGTATTAAAAATTTCATTCATTATATTTTGAAATTCACTGGGAGCATTCTTCAGACCAAAAGGCATAACATTCCATTCATAATGACCAAAAGGAGTGACAAAAGCAGTTTTATATCGATCAGACTCAGCAATCTGTATTTTGCCAAAATCCACTTTTCAGATCAAATTTAGAAAATATAACAGCTTTATTCAGGCGGTTAATCAAGTCTCTCTTATTAGGTATAGGATATCTAATCCATTCAAGAACAGTATTAAGGGGTTTATAATTTATAACTAATCTAGGTGATCCACGTTCTAATTCAGCATTTTTCTGTACATAAAAAGCAGGACAAGACCAAGGAGACTTACTACGTCTAATTATACGTTTCTGTAATAAATCATTGATTTCATTTTTACAGAATTCTAACATATCAGGATTCATTTGAATAGGACGAGCTTTTGTGGGTATATTTTTCTCAGAAAAATTCTTTATATAAGGCAAACTTACAATATGATTCTTTCTATGCCAAAAGGCAGTAGGCAAATCAGAGCAAACATCAGCAATTAATTTATTCTCAAAGTTTTTAATCTGAGCTTGCATAAAAGGGGAATTCAATTGAGACTCAATTCTCTTATTTTTAACTTCTTCCTGTAAATGTTTGATTTGATTAGTTTTATCAAGAATCAAAGATGTTGCTATGGACTTGATATTTTTCTTTGCAGTTTTTAATTCATGTAATTCAGATCGTGTAAGAAATTCAAACTTGACTTTCTCACCTAAAGGACTAGCAACAACTCCATCAAATTCGACTTGTAAAGGATATAAAAGACTTATAAAAGGTAAACCTAAAATTACTTTATCGGTTATATTTTTAATCAAAACAAACGAAGTTTTAAAACATACTTTATTTTGGCATACATGGGCTTTAGGAATTTCATAATTCAAATGTAGCATCCTACCAGAAGCAGTACTTAAAGATTCATTTGATTTTGTATAATATTTAGTAGGAATCAATCCCTCTTTTATACAGTTCAAATCAGCACCAGAGTCAAATAGTGCAATAGTATCAAGCTCAAAATCTTTAATGATTATAGTAATCTTAGAGTACCATTTTCGAAAAGAAATATGATTAATCAAATTAACAGCTTGATCAGATTTATTATTTTCTTCAGAATGGGTAGGACTACTTGGTTGACTATCAGACTTGAATAAATCTTTTTCTAATAGGGAATTCAAACTTTGTCGGATATCATAATTCTCAGCTTGTAATTTATGGCTCAATTGTCTTAATTCTATTATTTCTTTTTTAACAGTTTTTACTTCAGAATGCAAATCATGCAAAGTAATATCTTTTTTCTTATTGAATCTTTCTAATGTAGTATTTAGACTTATAACAGAGGAAGAAGGCTGGACTGTATCTGTACGGCTTATAATTTTCCTTAATTTCTTTAGATATTCAGACTTCAACTCAGAATGTTCTATTTTACTAATCAAATCAAGCAATAATTCTTCTTGTTCTTCTTCTTTAGTTAAAACAGAAATAGACTTAAGAGTATTACAGCATTTATCTCTACAACCTATTTGAATATTAGGTGAACTCACGTAGGATTCAGTAGACTCATAATCAGACTCAGAATTACTAACCATAGTTATATCTTCAGGCTCAGAATCTCTTAACTCAAGAACTTTAATCAATTTGTCTTTATCTGCATCCGTGATCTGTAATTGTTTGATAGTATCTTTAACTTTACATTTATTAGCATAGTGACCAAACTTTTGACATTTAAAACATTTAACTTTACTCATGTCGGTTCTTTTCTTAAAGCTTCTACCTTTATTCTTTCTTTTAGGCTTATCTTTCCAATTTTTCTTAAAGCGAGATCTTTTCTTATAGAATTCATCATTAGATTCAGTAAAATGTTTCTTACGCTTATAATGACGTTTTTTCCTAAGATGACTAGGCGACTTATACTTATTTTTTCTAGAAGGGGGAGTATACAAACCATATTGTTCACAAAAGCTACCTAACTCATATCTTGCAGATTTTCTTTCAGACTGTATTTGTTTATTTATTTTCATGTCAATGCACATTTTCATGCCTTCTTGATTAATTGTACTAATTATATTACCATAAGTCAGATTATCATAATCTATGTGACCTAATTCATTACTTAATACAGTTCTAATTTTATGAGCAAACAAATTGGGCAATCCATTTATAAACTTTTCTTTCCAAAAAGGCTTGATTACTATCTTCTCGCAGCATTACACGGGAAATAAAAACATCTTTATACCATCTAAAATCACTTAGTTGCGGGCATCTTAAATTACTCAATTGATCATGTATTCTAGACTGTGTATGGCTCGGAGTTCCTATAAAATGCTCAATTATAGTATAAAGCAAAGTATTAACACTGTCTTCTATACCTTGACCTATATTTTCATTAAACAAAGGCAAACCTTCAGCGTCTAATTTTACTGCATGTATAATATTATTTCGAGACTCATCAGTTAAATGCTTATCCCACCAAGATCTCAAGGTTCCTGTAAAGCCAGTTTCTAACAGGGGAATTATCTCAGATTGTCTTAGATTATGATTAGTACTGTAACTATTAGCAACCATAGACATATGGGTTAATTTATTCATAATTTCTTGCTCAGACAGGCCATCTATATTCCATTCATATAATTTATCAGAAGATACAGAAAATTGACTCAAATTATTTCTTTCTTCAAACTGGATATCTGGTGGTGTAGGCTTAGGATACCAATTTCTGGTTAGGCTAGTAGGATTAGTTAATTTCTTAACTTTTAGCTCAGATTCTAATTCTAAGTTCTTAAATGCATTCTCAATTTTGGAAATATTACTAGACTCAACAGATTCGGTATTAGATTCAGACTCAGTTTCTGACTGTGTATCCAAGGGAACAGATGATCCTATAACTTTAACTCCAGATTTTTCAGGTTGTTCAGTTTTTAACTGTTTAAGCATTTCTTCTATTTTGTCAATTGTAGAGGATGTTTTAAGGGCAAACTTAGGCTGTAAATCTTGGAATTGGACTAGGGGTTTTTCTGCAGACTTAAGCTTAGACTCAACAGGCAGAGACTTATCAATTTTAGTTTCGATTTTATCTAACTGTTTTCCTATAGTAATGAGACTCTGATTTGTATAGTTATTTTGTTCTATAAGGCGTTTATTGGGCTCATCATTTGGGTTAGTTAATTTAAACGGGCTTGCAACAACAGATCGTGACCCATGTTTAAAAACTATAGTTTCTGCAGGAGGGTGGCTAGCCACTACTTCAGTTTTATCAGGCTTAATCCATTTTTCTTTAGTTATAGTCTTTAACTCAGTAGGACTGTAACGGCTTTCTATAAAATCAAGATAAAACATTTCTTTTTTCTCAGATCGCATATAATTTTTCCATTCAGTAAATAGTTCTTGTCTTTTACATGCTTCAAGAACTAGTTGATGATATATATTTCTTCTAGGCTGATTAATGGGATCATGCAAATGCTCATCTAAGGTTTTCCAATTAATTTTAAAATTTTCAACTCTTTTAAGAACTTTTAACTGATTATCTAGACCATACGCATGGGCCGCAGCTAATTCACTTGCTATAAAATCAGATTGAGTAGGTGATGTAGGAGGGGACTCAGGTTTGGGCTCATTTGTAGGCGGAGTATTGTAACAAGGATGACTAACTTGGGCCTTTTTTCTCAGGGATTCTAACTTTAGATCTATTAAGGCTCTTTCCATTTCTAAATCTCTTTCTTGTATAGAAGATGAAGCAGATGAATTTCTAGCAGGCTCATGGCGTTTAGAGGGACTTGGTGTAGGCAACTGTTGTAATTGTACATTAGACTTAGGCTGAGTACCAAAATTAATCTTAACAGTACCATCTAAATATTGCTGTATATAATCTAAATTATTTAAACTACGCTGTATAGGTGCAGGTTGAGACTCGGTGACTAATGTCCAATCTCTAGGCAAATTAATATCAGACCATTTAATTGTATGGGGAATACTTATATTAGCATCAGGTGTACGGCTTTGTATTAACAACGTCTGATCTCTAGGACTCTTATTCAGGGCTTGAAAGTTCATATTTGTACCTGTAACCTTATAATAAATTCTGTAAATCAAGGCTATAGGCTGAGTACCAGGCAAAACATTATATCCAGAAGTTTTAATATTCAAAGTTAAAGTCTTAAGAATATGCGGATCATTCAAACTAACAGTAAAATTAGGATAGCAATCAAAATGTACTGGACCATTACAAAGACTAGATTCAACCATACCAAGCACACTATCTTCAAAATTAGTAAATCTTGCATCACGCAAACATAACAAAATAGAAGCTTGTAATCCCAATCTAGTTAAAGGCTTAGCAGCAACTTGTACAAGACCAATATGCAGGAAATTATTACCATCATGCTTATGTTTCTTAATTGCATCTAAATTCAATAATTGACAGGATTCATGTTCTTTACTCAAGGGATATATATATATATATATATATATATAAGTCAAAAAACCCCTTATAATTCAATTCCTTTTTACTTCCATACAGTGCCATAAAACCCCTTATAATTCCCGCATGCAAACATGCATAAATTTCCAACATTTCCCATATCGAAGTAAAAACAAATATAAGTTTAAAAATCCTTTTTTATGCATGAAATTTATACTTGAAAACAATGCTTATTTAAAACAAAGTCCAAGCTGGTACTGCCCAGTGGGGATCCCGCCTACTGGCAAGCCAAAGCCTGAGCACCTATTGAAGAAATATCGAGATATGTTAAAAATTGTATTTCAAACACGAACTTTAAGTTAGAAAGAAAACCCTAATTCCCGGGATTTAATGCATAGTTCCTATTAAGATGGTCTCGATAGGTTCATGGACAACGATTTGGTCAACTTTCCCTTTTTGATCAACCTGGGCCCACGACCTCTCATTTCCAAACCAAGAGTTCCTAAAGGTCCAACTCAAAACAAACAACATGTCATGAGAGTTTGGTCTCAATCGAGCGGTCAAATTACTCTTGATCGCACAATCAAATGGTTATCGATTACCCAAACCTACTCCTTGAATCGAAGTATCCAGGACTTCAATTCCCAATCAAAAAATTCTTACACCATCTTAGGAATACGAGGAACCACATTTTTTAATATGAAACCGATCAGACGGTCCGAACCTATCAAACTCGAATATCGCCTAATATGTGAAATTTTGTTTGATAGTCAAACAATAACCTATCACTCATCCGAGCATACCGTCGTGCTTGGAACGACATGGGGATTATTTTGGAACCTTAAGACCCACCACAAAGGGTCCCACGCGCCGCCACACGTGCCGACAGAGCGTGATTGTCTTGAGTAATTTTCGACAATCAAAAAAATCCCAAACCACCAATCAATACCCATACCTACAGAACCACAACTCGAGGAGTCACTTTTGGTTTTGGACCTCGGCTAAAAAGTGGCCAAAGCTAGCAAAACCTAGGTTTTAGATTCGATTCAAAACTCCCAAATCGACCCAAACCACCTACCAAAATAGCTAGAGGACGTCAAGGAGATGATGAACCACACCTTGGTCAACGAGATTGGTCACTAGAGTCACCGAAAACGGCGACTAAAATCTACCAAAAAAACTAGTCGTTATATTCATCAAATGTTGGGGTTTTGAGCTAAGAATTTGGGACAGGTCTGAAACGCCAACGTCATGAAGAGGAGAGAGAGAGAGAGAGAACGCGTGAGGGTTTCTAGGGCAAAACCGAGTTTCTTGTTTTTAAACAGTTTTTTTTTCTAAAAGACCAAATTGCCCTTTTTGTTTTTAGACCCTTAAAGAACCGATATAACTCGGAGTGTGCCACCTGTCCACGAACTCATATCGACGTGCTCTACGCAACGGCGCAACTCAATTCCCTAAAATCCTTTCCAAATTTGAAGTGACCAATTTACCCTTAGCCTTAAGGGTAAAAATGTAATTCCATAATTAAATTTTTAATTTAATAATTATTTTAGGTCGAGATGTTACACAACACGTAAAGCCAAGCGGAAAACCTTTATTTTGCACCAAGCCACACTCTTGTTGATGCTGCTGCTGTCCAACATAATTCTAGAATGGAAAAAGAAAGATAAAACCAAAAAAGGCTGCAAGCAAATCATTAAGCATCCATCCTCAATTGTGCAGCCACTAGGGTTCTGAGGTCGTTCATGGTTTTTGCTTTTGAAGTAGAGCCCAACTTGTTCATCAGCGAGAGAGCATTAGCTGTAACAAAACCAAATACAAACTGATAAAAGATAGCACTGAGTCGGTATATTTTTGGTCGAGAATGAGAATTTTATTAGAAGATTACGAGAGAAACAAACACTAGCAAACAGCCCAAACAAAGGAACAAAAAAGAGGCCAGGATCAGACCAATAACACAAACTAAAACTAGGACTAAAACAAGACAAGGATGGATCCAAATCCAGCTGTGTCTGATGTTTCTGCCCCCAATAAAGAAAAAACAATAAGCAGAATCAGCAGCGCTACAAATAGAAAAGTCAACTACTAAACTCCAAAGAAAAGAAGAAATTAATTAGCACAGTAGCACTTGATATTGAGAGAGAGAGAGAGAGAGAGAGAATACCAATGGCAACAAGAGCACAGGCATCGCCCTCAACCTTCTTCTGGTAATAAATTAGACCGTAGCGTCCCACAAATTCAAGTTCTTTGCTGTATATTCTCTTTTCCCAGGACGATGCCATTGTATATTATTGTTTGTAAAATAACTATAATCCAAAAAAATATAGAAAAAAACCAATAATTAATCTTCATTGATCACATAAACCAACTACAAAATGATGTACATGCATTATCATTAAAATATCAATATTAAGTGTCGAATCATAAGCTGATGGTATGCATTTATATGGTAAACGATACAACAAACAACAAAATGATGTTTGTGCACTTTCATTAAAATATCAAAATTAAGTGTCAAATCATAAGATGATGGTATACATTTATATGGTAAATAATACAGCTACAAGATCACAAATATTCGAAGAAAAGCACATAATTCAATTTATTGAGCCAGTCTTGAACTTAATGCACCTTCTAAACAATTCTGTAAGAATCCGTTACAAATGAAAATTCTAACGCCCCAAAAATATATAACATATCTGTTGCTAGAAATAGAAAAACTGGTTTTTAGCTTCCATTTTTTGTACTTTATAATGAAGTAGACTAATAGGCAACATAGGAAAACAGATGCACAGAAAGTGAGTAAATGAGAGAGAGAGAGAGAGAGAGTTCATTTAAACATGGGAGTCACAATTTTCCAAATAAACTAGAAATCCTTTCCATTGACCAAAAAACAGGAATCAACATAAACTGCCAGACTAATCGTACAAAACCAAAAATATTACATTTGATCAGTTTCTTTTCCACTTCACACATCGAGATTCCATAACAATGTCAAGATATGCACGAAACATATTCCCAGAAATAAAAATGTTTACTCTTGTACAACTCCTCAGAGCTAATTACCAACTTCAAATCACAAAACCCATTAACAACAGATAGAATGAGTTATAGAACACCCATCATTCATTCTCCAACATGAAATTTTTCTACTTTGATGCCATATACAAGGCAACACGCATGATAAACAGCCAAGTAATTTTCCACGAAATAAAATATTATCATAAACTGTTGGACGATCATACAAATTCCACATTTTGTTTTTCAGTTACAGATTTTCTACCTTTGGCATAGAATCTTAACCGACAATCTTTTCATACACTCTTTAACTAGCCACCCTCTTTTCTTTAGAAATATTTGCCACCAAAATACCTCCTCAACCAAATATCAGGAAAAACGCAGGTCCATTTTATTTTTCTTTACCTTATTATCTTAGAAACAAAACAGAGTGCAAGAAGAAGGTCGTTAGGCAAACATAAAAAAGCCCTAAAATTTTCACAAAGTTTTCATGCACAGAAATGTGACGGATCTAAAATTCTAGAGAGAGAAGGTTCAAAAAGGGTTTTAGAGAGAGAGAGAGAGAGAGAGAGAATGAAATTAAAGCACAAGACGCAATGAAACAGATTTTTGTGAACATTATACTCAAAACTACATTGCTACGGCAAAAAAATATATTATTTAAACACAAATTCTCAAAATTACACAGATACTTAAACAAAGCTCGCAAGTACATATCTATTCAGAGAAGTGAAGCTTCAAGAGAGATTACCTGAGGGACAGAGCCGATCGTTGTCGGAAAATGACTACTGTATGCCGGAAACGGAGGGGTTCGTCGCAATGGATGGCGCAGGCGACTCAGAATCACGCAATCGCCAACAGAGTGAGTGTGTGAGAGAGTGTGAGAGTGTGAGAGAGTGTGAGAACGAGAAGAAATCGCGTCGGACACAAGTCTTCACAAAGACCCCTTTTATTCCGAGTCAAGCCTGCACACTTCTTTTTTGTCCGGAATCCAAATTATTATGAACTCTCGTTAATTGAGGACACATGTCGAGGTTGTTTTTTATGCTGATATTTTTATTTTTATTTTTATTTTTGAGACTATCCTTTTTTCTTTTTCTGTTTTTTTTTCAAAGTTGAGACGATCCTTTTGATAGTTTATTTTGTTTTATTTTCCGAAAAAATTAGCAGACATGATATGACACTACTAGTGACAGTGTAACCCAACGAATTTTTCATAAACACGTCCATCATCACTTTGTTACAACTTGACAACCACTTCCCTAAACCCCATAATATCTTCTGACTAAAAAAGAAAACAAAAAAAAAGAAAATAAACTAAAATGCCAACCCATTTCATAATTTTAACTAAAATTACCACCCCTTCTTAATTTTTTTACAACTACTACCTATAAATATAAAATTATTGTCCACTTATTGTTCCCATTATCAGTTTTTCAGAAATTGGCTTCTCTCTCTAACTCTCTTAGCTCTATCTCTTCGGCCCGTCTCTCTCCCTCTTGTACCTCTCTCTCCCAAAAAAAAAACATATAAAATGGACAAAAGCCCTAAAGCAGGCTTTGGAAAAATATAAGTTGCGAGTATGCCATTATTAGCAATTGAGAATTAGATATATTTTCTTGGCAAGCTATAGTCAGTCCCGGCCCTGCCTAGGGGCAATCAGTGCGACTGCCCTGGGCCCATTATTCAAGGGGGCCCCAAATTTTATTATTATAATAAGTGTTATATTATATTATTATAAACTGATTTAATATTTTTCCATAATTTTTAGGAATAGGATATTGAGATGAATCTGAAATTTTGGAACAAGGGATCCACGACGAGAGTTTTAAAAGAAATTCTTTGATATTGGCTTGACTTGCATTCTTGAAATTCTTTGACTCACTGGTATGGTATCCATAGTTGGACATTTGTTTTCATTATTTAGGAATATGGAAGACATTGCTCAAAGTCTAAAAATATTTTCGAATAAATACTTTCTTAACAAACCCAATGCTTAGTTGATAAAACAAGAAGTATACTAGTATTAGTGATTAATGTGTGTATGGCACACTTTATATTTTCGTCCTAGGCCTTTGAAAACTCAGGACCAGCCCTGGCTATAGTTGGACCACATCTTCCTGAAAATGACTGCACACCAGTTTCATGCTCATTGCATTCCAGAAATTTAGCATGGTCTTCACTGGAAGCTGCTGAAGAGACTTCCCCCAATAACAATTTTCAAGGAGCTCAAAAATTAACCTATGGATAAGAGTACGCTTGAGAGAAGCCTGAGAAGGAAGAAACCAATCTGGATTAAGGAAGTTGGAGAACTTGGTTATTTTGAAAGGACTGAAATAAACATGAGCTTCTACCAAACACAGCTCCAGATAGTGAAGCAAAAACAGGCGACAATCGAATGAATTTTCTTGTTGGAGTAACTCATCAGTGAATTAAAGCTTCATATCCATTTCTTCAGTGGGACAAACCGCAGGTTGTGGAACTTCGATGACATTTCTTCAGATGCCTCCTTTTTCCTTTCTTTCCACCCTTCCCACAAGTAATTATCATTTCAAGATCAAAATTTGGTGATGTAAATCTTTATTAAGCTATTATAACTTGAACACTAACCTTGTTCTACTATTGAAACCTTTTGTCGAACACTTGGTAGACAGCTCTTCTCCTTTTGGTAGGCAGCTCTTCTCTAAGATAATCGACTGCCTTATTCTCAAATTCCAGATGGGGTGAATTACTAGATGAGATTTTGTGTGTATCAGCTCTTAGAGGGAGCTCCTCTATTTATATGCATCAGTCAAGGAGTTTTTGCCCATCAAGAAACTCCTTGAGTTATCCTTATTGCAATAGAACAATGAATCCCAATTCTAATAGAACTAGAAACCCCTTTAGCCTTGTAATCCATTTAAAACACTGATACAAGGTCTGCTAGATAAGACAGATTTGAGTCCTTGATTAATCTGGAGTTCTTGCAATTCGATAATGATTAGAAGACCACTTTATGTGAGTTTAAGACAGTAAACTATCTTACATTCTCTTACTTGGTCAAATAATCATTGTGACACAAGATTAATCACTTAATGGCCAATTTAGGACTTTAAAATTCTCAGTTTCTTATCAGGCCACTGTCATTGATATGAACTCATATGGAACTGTCAAAGCACGTTGAACAAATAACATTCAAGTCTTTTACAACCACACATATAAGTCTATAACAACACATAAGGCTGCTAGCTGAATTAGGATCAAAGAATTGTTGAGATCTGCCTTAGAATGTGTCTGATGATCAAAACAATTCTTAGCTCACCCTTACAAGACTACCAAGGTCTTAGCAAACTATCATGGCTCCTTCATGAATACGAAAATTCAAAACACAAGTGCTAGCAAATTTTGCAGATTCTTCCTTCATCCATATGCCAAAAATTTATAAATTGGAAAAACACAATTTAAGAAAAACTTTGAATAACATCTTCAAAATAAAACTATAAGGACAACTTCGATTGAAACTAATTAAAAGAAAACATATCCAACTCTGGCTCCCACTGACTTAAACATCAAAACTGATCTGCAAACCCATGCTTCTGACATGCCTATGAAAAACATGATTAGGCAAACCTTTGTTCAAAGGGTCTGCAATCATAGAATCTGTCCCAATGTGATCCAGAGTTGTAAAACCATCTCGAATCTTCTCTTTTGCTGACAGAAACTTTAACTGCAGGTGTCTCAGACCTGACGATCTCTTATTTCCCTTTGCAAAATAAACTGCAGCACTGTTATCATTCCACAGCTGGAATGGTCTCTGTATGGATTCCACAATTCTCAACACTGACATAAAATTCTTAAGCCACATTGCTATTGAAGTAGCTTCATAAACTGCTAAGAATTTAGCCTGCATGGTTGAGGTTGATATATTTTGTTGTTTTACACTTTTCCATGCAACTGCTCCTCCTGCAAACAAGAATACAACACCTGATGTGCATTTCTGAGTATCCAAACAACCAGCAAAATCTGCATCAGCATATCCTTCCAGTTTTAATTCTTCAACTCTTCGATAAACCAGTTTGTACTCTTTAGTTCTCTGCAAATACCTCAAAACCTTCTTGCCTGCTACCCAATGTGCTTGCCCTAGGTTAGATTGAAACCTTCCAAGAACACTTATGCAGAAAGCAAGGTCTGGCCTTGTACAAACTTGTGCATACATCAAGCTTCCTACAAGCAAAGCATAGGCCTTATCCTGCATTTCCAGCTTTTCTTGCTTAGTTTTAGGAGATTGATCACAGCTCAGTTTATCACCTTTTGAGAATGGAACATCACAACCTGTGCAGTTTTCCATATTGAATCTTTTGAGTATCCTTTCTATATATCCTTTCTGTGATAAACCAAGTAATCCCCTTTCTCTGTCTCTACTTATTTCAATCCCCAATACAAAATTTGCTTCACCTAAATCACTCATCTCAAAATAGTTTGATAACATTCTCTTAGTGTCATGTAATAATGACAGATTGCTGCTTGCTAAGAGAATATCATCAACATAGAGGAGCATGAAAATATAATGTCTTCCATGAAATTTGAGATAAATGCATTCATCTAAGGGATTATCAATGAAACCTTGAGACTTCACAACTTCATCAAACTTCAAATACCACTGCCTTGAAGCTTGTTTTAATCCATATATTGATTTCTGTAACCTGCAAACCAATTCTTCTTCCCCTTTTTGAATGAAACCATCCGGTTGCTTCATATAAATTTCTTTAATAAGGTTTCCATTCAAAAATGCAGTCTTAGCGTCCATTTGATGGAGATGCAAATCGAAATGTGCCACTAATGCCATTATCACCCTTAAAGAATCTTTAGTTGAAACAGGTGAGAATGTTTCATTGTAATCCACTCCCTCTTGTTGTGTGAATCCCTTTGCTACCAAACGTGCCTTATATCTATCTATTTGTCCATTTGAGTCTCTTTTGGTCTTGTAAACCCATTTGCATCCTATTGGTTTACATCCTTGAGGCAATGCTACAAGCTTCCATACACCATTTTTACTCATTGACTGAAGCTCAGATTCCATTGCTTCCAGCCATTTTTCACATTTTTCACTCAGCATAGCCTGTTTAAAGGACACAGGATCTTCTGTGGTGTTGATGTCATGTTCTGATTCTTGCAGGTAGACATAATAGTCATTTGATAGAGCAGGTCTCTTAGTTCTTTGTGACCTCCTGAGTTCTGAGTTGTTAGGCTGCTGTTCTTGTTGATCTATTTGCATATTTTCTGCTGCAGTTTGTTGGGCTTCAATTATTTGATTCTCTTCTAAATTTCTTTCATCATGAACTGGTGAGATTTGCTTATCACTCGAATCAGTGAATGGTAAGGCTGTTGTTTCTTTTGTCAAAACTTCCTTTCCTGTGAATCCTTCATCTTCCAAAATTTCATCAAAATCAAAATTGTCATCGGTGCCTTCTTCAATTTCTTCCTCAATAAAAATTGCTCTTTGTGTTTCCATAAACCTTGTGGTATGGTTGGGACAATAAAACCTGTACCCATTTGTTCTATCTGGATATCCCATAAAGTAGCATGTTACTGTCTTGGAATCTAGTTTCTTTTCTGATGGATTATAGAACTTTGCTTCTGCCTTACTTCCCCAGACTTTGAGATGTGAGAGACTTGGTTTTCTGTTGCACCATATCTCATAAGGGATTTTGTTCACACTTTTCGTAGGAGTTCTATTCAGCAAATAGTTTGTTGTTTTCAAAGCCTCCCCCCAAAGAAAAATCGGAAGCTTGGAATAGCTCATTAAACTTCTTATCATTTCAATCAATGTTCTATTTCGTCTTTCTGCCACGCCATTTTGTTGTGGCGTACCTGGATTAGTATATTGAGCCACAATTCCTTCTTCTTGTAAACACTTTGCAAAGGGTCCAGGGTTTCTTCCTTTTCATCAAATATGCCATAAAACTCACCTCCTCTATCTGACCTTACCACTTTTATTTTCGAATCCAGTTGGTTCTCTACCTCTGCTTTGTAAACTTTAAACTTGTCCAATGCTTTGGATTTTTCAGATATTAAGTATACATAACCATATCTTGAGAAGTCATTTGTGAAGGTTATGAAATACTTAAAACCATCATGTGTTTGAGTGGGAAAAGGACCACATATGTCAGTATGTATAATTTCCAGCAGTTTCTCACTTCTTGTAGCGCCTTTCTTCCTCAAATTAGTTAACTTTCCTTTAACGCATTCAATGCAAACGTTGTCTTTGTCATGGTGGTTAAGTGGTGGCAGCAGATTTTCTTTGTTTAGCAGGTTCATTCTTTCATTCGAGACATGTCCTAGTCTCTTGTGCCAAAGTCTATATGATTCTTCTTTATCTACTTTCCTTTTAGTGCTTATCAGATTGATGTTTAGATTTGAAGTGCTTGGATTTGGTTTCTTGCAATTTAAACGAAACATGCCATCATCTAGAAAACCATTACCAATCATAACTTTATTTCTGAAAATGGAGAATCCAGACTCATCAAACTCAAACTGTAAGTTTGATTTTACAAGCTTGCTAATTGAAATAAGATTCCTTTTCATAGAAGGAATATAAACTACATCTACTAACTCCAAAATAAAACCAGACTCCAACTCGATCCTAGCTAATCCAATGTACTCCACCTTGACTCTTTCTCCATTTCCCACGAACACCTTCATCTCAGCCTTGCTTGGCAACCTCTTTGTTTTGAACCCCTGCAAGGAATTAGCCACATGAACTGATGCACCACTATCTAACCACCATGAATATGAAGAAATCTCAATTGCATTAGTCTCAAAACAAACATATACTTGATCAGTCTTACCTTTAGCCTTTTGCTTATCCAACCAACGCTTGTACCTGTCGCAATTCCTCTTCATATGCCCAAACTTCTTACAGAAATAGCATTTGAGTCCTTCTGGTTTTAGTCCTTTAGTTTCCTTTTCTTCCTTGTTTTTCTTCCCAACGTTTTTGCCTTTTCCAAAATCCCTTTTGAAGCTGTTCTGAACCAAATTAATCTTTTCTTCAGCCTTATCTTTCTTCCTATTTTGTTCTTCCTGCTCACAGATACTTATAAGGTCAGTTACTGTCCACTTCTCCTTTTGAGCTACATATGTGCTTCTTAGATGCTTAAAAGTACTAGGTAGAGAATTTATAGCAAAATGCACCATCATTGTTTCATCCACATTGACTTTGAGTGCCTTCAGTTTGTTCCCAATTTCCAGCATGTTCAGTATGTGTGTTCTCACACATCTTTCCCCATTGTATTTTGTATCAGTAAGTTGTCCCATTAGAGTTCCAATCTCAGCCTTTTCTGACTCCCGAAACTTTTCCCCAATGGAATCAATAAACTTCTTGGCATTATCACATGATGTAATGCTTCCCCTGACAAATGGTGAATATTGACCTTCTCATGATTAGAATAGCCATTTTGTTTGCCTTGACCCATTTGGCATATTTTGCTTTCGCTCCAGCAGATGCATCTGCATTTGGTTCTGCAGGAGCATCTTCTTCAATAGCCATCTCATAGTCCAGCAATCCTAGAGCAATTTCCACATCTTCCCTCCATTTGGTGTAGTTGGAGCCAATGAGAGTTTCAATCGAGTTGTGATTAACTGAAAAACACATAGTATATATACATATATATATATATATGTTTAAAACTGAAAAACCCCATAACTTTAAAACATGATCGATTCTCACCTTTAGGTGAAGAAATCAAAACATGTTTATCAACACTAAGACATGAAAATCACATAAGCTTCCTGTACAAGAAAGGTTCCACATCTTTGGACAGAAGAACAACCTTGATAGCCTACATGTTTCATCTCTTATGCTGTTCTGCTGAAAATAATTGCAAGATAAATCATTCACATCTTTGGACAGTGAATCATTCATTATGCCTTTATTTTCAACACAAGTTTGATCATAAAACTTTGAATGTACAGATCTTGTTGTGTCTGAGTTGCTTTGGCTTGCTCAGAGCACGACAAGAACTATACAAACCTTTGATCAATTTCTGTTTGTCATAGCAAGGTGTAACTCTTGCTGTGTCAAGTTTCTTTAACCTTGAAAACTTAATTATCCTTCAATTTTCAAGTTCTTAAAGCTTCAACAAAATTGGTTAGGTAGAAGATAAAATAACTTATGCTCTGATACCACATGTAAATCTTTATTAAGCTATTATAACTTGAACACTAATCTTGTTCTGCCATTGAAACCTTTTGTCGAACACTTGGTAGACAGCTCTTCTCCTTTTGGTAGGCAGCTCTTCTCTAAGATAACCGACTGCCTTATTCTCAAATTCCAAATGGGGTGAATTACTAGATGAGATTTTGTGTGTACCGGCTCTTAGAGGGAGCTCCTCTATTTATATGCATCAGTCAAGGAGTTTTTGCCCATCAAGAAACTCCTTGAGTTATCCTTATTGCAATAGAACAATGAATCCCAATTCTAATAGAACTAGAAACCCCTTTAGCCTTGTAATCCATTTAAAACACTGATACAAGGTCTGCTGGATGAGACAGATTTGAGTCCTTGATTAATCTGGAGTTCTTGCAATCCGATAATGATTAGAAGACCACTTTATGTGAGTTTAAGACAGTAAACTATCTTACAGGTGACACAATTAAAAGGTTTAAATTCTGAAGTTGTAAAAGAGAATAGATATCCCATTCAAGTTCAACACCCCAGGTACTTAGACTATGTTGTCCCCATAAAAAATTAGAAAATCATGTCCATTTATTTGACAAAAATCCAAGTGACTTTTCCCTCAAATCCACATCAATGTGCACATCATCAATGAATTAAAGCTTCCTGTCCTAGTACAGGAGAAAGCCACTCAAAATCTCAAAGAGCAGGAAAAATTTGAACAAGTTTCCTTCACAGGGCAGATTTCAGTTAGTGCAGGGGGCATGCATTGTTTGTTGGACAGAAACCAAGTTATATAAGACAGCAGCACCATGATTGGTTGAAGGGATTAACCATGTAACCACTGGGTCTGGATGACTTTCTATCACATCTTTAGTTTATACTGAAATAGACAATGCACACACACACATGCACACAAAATTGTGTGTCTCGACCAAAAGGGTTTTGCATTTACAAAAGAAATGAGATTTTCTTCTAATAAGATAAATTTATTCAAGGAAACGAGAGTATACAAAAGGAACACCATATCTAAAACTCATACATTTACAATCAACTGTAATTGTAATCATTCTGTCAACCAAAGGGAATCTACAATTGAATTGACGCTAAAAAATTTCTTATAGCCAATATTTTGTCCAAGGGATCTTGTAACAAATTTAGTATACAAATTCTTAAGACCTTTAGATCTTTGGTGTTGTACGGTTTTCCTGTGGAGATGTGATTTGAGAAACACAGCGCTACTCAAGAAATCATTCTTGGAGAAAATCAGTCTTAAACTCTAAACTCTAGATCTAAAATCATGTATATATTTTAGAACATCTAGATACATATTTAGTGAGCACAAGCAGATTTTATGAATAACTAGTTTTTTTCCAAGCTACCTTCCAGGAGACTTTATGTTGGTTTCTCTTTATTTCAATGAAGCATCTCTTTGACCCAAAAAAAAAAGGCAAAATCGTACCATCTTGATGATAGGTCATTTAGGTGGACCAGCAGCACAGAATGAAATGCAATGCAGGATTAATCAGGTTACGTTCCATATATAGTTGGAAATCTCTGGAAGTCAGCTTTCTATATAATTTTACGATTTGGAATTCGATTTTTCTACAGGAAGTTAGGAAGGTTTCAGAGTCAGCTAGTCAGTCAGAGAAGTCTGCGCGGGAATTGTCGAGACACTTTACCATGTCGTCATGCCAAATCATTATTTTAGATGTTAAGGGAGATTAATGGAAGATTTTTGAAGGGTAAATCAAGCCTAGACATTCAACCCTAGTCCTTGTCACGTTTTTCCTTCCAATTTCCTACTTGAAAAAGGTTTTTCTTGAGTCCCAAGTCCAAAAGGAAAATGAAATAAATCATATTTGAAGAGGTAGACCTTGGAGGTTTTGAAGCCTATTTATACCCCTTTTTAGCCGTACAAATAAGGAAGACAAGCATACACAATTTTCACCAAAATACTTAGAGCGAAATTGCGAAGGAGTGGCTGGTCTCTGTTTCGTCTTCAGTCAAAGGGTGTAATATTATTCTTCTATGCTTATTTGTTGTGATCCGATGACTATGTCTAGCTAGGCCTCTTGGCCAAGGCTAGGAGGATGCCTTAGTTTAATTATTTGTGTTATTGAATGTTGAGTTTTTTTATCTAATGAGTTGTGTTGATAAATTTATAATCTCTACTTAAATTTATTCTAAATGTTGAATTCTTTTGATTGGCCATCTTTAGGGTTTGTATGTAGATGATAAGATGGTTGCATGTAGACCTAATAAGTTGCATGTTTCAAAGCTTTTTGGGATTATGAATTGTGAATAACTTGATGCCCTAATAAAGATTAAGACTTTATATGATTCTTTGTTTCCATAAAATTAATGAATCTCATGTGTTTAATGTATGCCATAAGACGGATAAATTACATAGTGAGATAACGATATATTGCATGGCATGTATGTGGAGTTTACATCAAAACTATCGTGCCGTGAGATTCCATCAAAACTTTTGTTAGATTGATGACATGGCATGTATGTGGAGTCCACATGTCCAATAATAACATGCCACGTGGATTTGAATAAAAAAATTATGTTTTTGAAAATGTTTAAGAAATTAAAATTCATTAAAAAAAAACAAAAAACTAAATTTAAACCTAAGAATTATGTTTTTTTTAAATGAATTTTAATCTCTTAATTTTTTAAGACATAAATTTCTATTCAAATTCACATGACATGTTATTATTAGACATGAGGGCTCCATATACATGCCATGTCATCAATCTAACGGAAGTTTTGACGGAATCTCATGACACGACAATTTTGATGTGTCATGTGTAACATAAAGTACCAATAATATCACCCAATAAAACATAAAGAACCAAAGGTGATAATTTCGAAAACCTCAAGGACCATTTGTGATAAAAACCCTAAGCATTATTGTATATGCATGGGCGAAATGTACCCGTTGAGTAAAATCTCTATAATAAAATAGTGTTGGTGGCCCTTTCACAATAAAGGGAAGGTAGAGCTAAATATGGGGATTGCACTCTAGTAAAAAGAGAATGTGGGAAAAGTGTTGAGTACTCAAACTAGACTATGTATGGGTTTAAAAGGGTATTGAACACCCCCGCCCCTTTTTCCTCCTATCTCCTAGGCTTCTTATTCTAAGTAGTCCACCACTTAAAACACTTTGAAGATGAGAGATTATCATGATTTATAAATCAAAAGGAATTTCATTATGAAAAAAATTATGATAATGTATAAATTGAATGGTTATACGATACAATGCATATGTGTTAATAGAATAAGTAAGTAAATCACTGTGTAATTACTATTGAAGAAGGTGATAATAATGAATAGGTTTAGGCAAAGTGGAAAGTGAAATAGTATTCAAGGAAATGTGAAGAGGGTTTCCACCAGCTTCTTCAAGCAAGACTAAAAGGTTTTCCGAGGTTTTAAAGAAGGATCGAGGAACGTGGTACCTAATAAACATAAAAATCAATGATAAAAATTAATAATAAGTGCTAACTAAAAAAATATAATGCGTAAGAAAACCCAGATTTCTGCAACATGGAGCTCATTGATGAAACATATGATTTGTGCACAAAGAATTCTCACAACATGAAATTACAACGACAAAAAATTACATGGACGAAAGTGAACATTCATATTCAATGAAGTATCACTATATATATAAAGTGTCATTGATACTTACATTATTTGTGAAGGCTCTCTCTTTGAAGTAAGAAATGAAACCCAGTAACGACCAATACTTTGCCCATTAATCCAAGCTTCGCCCTTACCCATTGAGCTAAGGTTTAAGGCGACAGGATCATTTCCAATAGGTGCATCAAAAAAAGTCTGCAAATCATCTATGTGTTAGATGTATAGTAATGTATATGAGTTGCACAAAAACATTCAAAGTATGCTAATTTTATACATCTATTGATGTTTCACTTACTAAATAAATTGTTTTAAAGGTTCAGTAGAAGCTAGGAAAAATGCAAATAATTGGGACCAATATGTTGCTAATTGTAATATGTATTTATTGTTTATGTTATTTTTAACATGCATGCCTACTTAAAGTCTATGTTTTATTTTTATTTTTATGTAAGTTTAATTTGTTGTATAGATGTGACAACTATGCAAACTAAGAGGAAACATCTAAGATAACTTCTCATGAATGACATCTTAGTTAAGAGCATCTTCACAAGTCTCTAAATTTTAGCTAAAATAGCTCAAAAGTCCTTAAAGTAAACTACTTACAAAATGAATGTTCTCTATTTTGGCTAATCTTTAATATTTTATTATTTCTCTCTTCTCTTCTCTAAATTAAAAGTTCATTAAAAATTCAAAAAGTAAGATATGTGAGAGGGTTGTGGGCCTAGGGAGAGCGAAGAGGAAGAAATTGAGAACCCTCAATTTCTCTCTCTTCCTCTAAATGTAAAGAGCCACCAAACTCAAATAGAGAGTTCTCCAAAATAGAAAGCCGGATAAAAAGTCTGATGGAGCTATGTTTTGCCCTCAATCTAGCCAAAATGGCTAAGGTTCAGAGTATAGCAACTCTGCTACATATAAGGATATAAGAAATATTATTAAGGTATGAGAAAACAAAAGATTAAGGCAATGAACGAGGGTCAAAGAAATCTTACTCGGATAGGAATGGACCAACCTCTAGACTTCGAAATGTTGAATGCAAGAAACCCAAATAAGTTGGTGTTAAATGGTGTGTACAAGCACAAAATCTTAAATATAAGGGCGTAAGCCTAAGAAATCTCATCCTTCTCCTTTACCATAACCTAAAGTAGAAGTTTCATCTACAAACTAAGAACCCTAAACATGTTGAAGTTGACTCACCATAGATGCGAAAGGAGTAAGAGGAAACAGCAGAAAAAGCGGCTGCATATGAGTTTTTTCTGGGCTTTGGTGCTCGAGCAGCAAAGCAGCGATTTTTCGCTTAGTCCCAAGAGCTCGAGTGGAAGTGCAGGCGCTTGAGCGGACATCGCAAATCCAACGTGGATCCTTGGTGGTTTAGGATAGTTTTTCCTATTATTTTGGGGTTTTCTAATCTAATTTAATAGGGTTTAGTTTCCTATTCCTAGTTAACTTGTAGCAAAAGTCCTATGCATTGTAAATAGGAATTTTAGGGCTAGGTTAAAAATAAAGAGGAAAATTCAAGAGAGAGACACAAGAGAATTCAACGGGGAATTCTAAGATGTTTTTCAAGTGCATCAAAAGTTTCAACAATGGTGAGAGAAAAGAGAGCTAGGGTTCTTTGAGAGCTAAGGGGGCTCTTGATTGTAACCAAAGTTGTTCTTACATACTAGTGAATTTCTCGGGTGGATCACCAAGAGGACGTAGGCACGAGGCCAAACCTCTATAAATCTTTGTGTTTTTGTGCGTATTTACTTTTTCTCTTCGATGTGTGTGTGTGTGTGTGTGTGTGTGTGTGTGTGCTTTATTCTCAAAGGGATTTGGGTGTGTGATGTTGCACAGTTTATCAACGACAAGCTCTTGGAGTGTTTGCACACAACAAGTGATATCAGTAGCCTAGGTCGGCAGCGAGTATTGGTTTATGCCCAAGTGCTCTTACAATTTTAAGAGCGGTGGTGTGTTTACGATAGCTGGCCACAAGGAGGCAGTGGGAGAAAGCTCCCAAACGAAGACACCACAACATGTGTCGAGTACAAAGGTCGAGTTGAAGCCGTTCACTGGCAACGAGAACTAATTTACGCTTTGGCAAAGAAGGATGAAGCAAGTCCTTAAGTAGCAAGGTCTCAGCTTATTTTTGGCAAGGAAGAAGAAGAAGCTAGACCCCATGATGGATGCGGAATGGGAAGACCAAAATGAGCTTGCTAGAAGATCTATCAAACAACACCTCACTGACGGGGTGTTGTATAATGCAATAAAAGATACTGCAAATCAATCATGGGAGAAGCTTGAAGAGTTGTTTGTGTCAAGATCGTTATCCAACAAGATCTTCTTCAAGGAGGAGCTCCACTATCTAAAGATGGAGGATGGCGCAAACATGATGGAGCATGTCAATGCCTCTAATATGTGTATTGCAGATTTTCAAAGAATGGATGAGGTTATAAGTTGAAAGACAAGGTCGTGATGTTGTTGACATCCCTGTCTCCGTCTTATAAGCACTTTCACACGACGGTTATGTTCGGCAAGGGAGCTTTGAAGTATGAAGCGGTCATGCAAGACATACTGATGCATGATAGGATGCTTCAACTTTCCGAAGATAGCTCTAAAGGTGAAGGTCTCGTGGCCAAGACCGGAAGGCGGGGTTGTTCATACAAGAGCAGAGGCAAGTCAAGAAAATGTGGGAATTCTATACCCTAAGATGATGAAGGGTGCTTCGAGTGTGGGTATAAGGATTATTGGAAACAGAATTGTCTGGTATGGAAGGAGAAGCGAAACAAGATGAAGGATGCCAAAAGTTCAAGCGCAGCAAATATGTCAACTAGTTGTGACACCGATGATGAACTTTTGACGGTTATGGATGAAGAGCATAATGGTGAAGTCATGGCACATTCTTCTGGTAAGAGTTCTACTTCATTTGGATGCTAGAGTCCGGTTGTTCGTTTCATGTGTGTTCAAATAGAACGGAGTTTGATACATATTAAGAAAGGAATGGTAGCAAGATTTTGTTGGGAGACAAAACAAGCTGTGATGTTTTGGGCATGGGAATAGTGAAGATCAAGATGTATGATGGTATTGTTAAGGGCCTTAGTAAGGTGAGGCATGTATCGGAACTAAGAAGGAATCTTATTTCCCTTGGCACTCTAGATAGAGAAGGGTATTTGTTCAACCAAATAAGGGAAGCTCTTAGTCACACAATGTTCAGTGTGATTATGAGGGGGGGGACGGGGGGGGGGGGATCCTACTATCAAGGAGCCGGTGCACGGAATGAAGCTACAAGCATGCTCAAGACTAGTTGGGCAAGGAAGGTTAATCAAGGTTGTATGATTAATAGTTTATCATCAAGGGTACTTGATTTCAAATGTGTAGAAGTCGATGAGTCGAAGGACAAGGTCCACAAGAGTGAAGTCAAGACAAGGGATGATGGGGGAGAATGTTGTTGGGTCGGTGGCAACCGAAAAGATGCTTCTTACAAAGGTGATCATGGAAGGGACTCCAAGGCCGGTGGAGCTTGACACAAGCGTTGAAGAAGATGGGTATCAACAACAAACTCACAAATGGGTTTTACTTGAGGTGGAGCCTTCATCACAAGCAAGGTAGCCTAAGGAATCCATCAAACTGTCCCCAGGTTTAGGATGAATGGACAAAGAAGATTCAACTATGTTTCAGAGTGTTTTAGGGAGTATGAAGCGGGAAAGTTGGATGGGTGCTTTAATGAAAAGGAATGAGTTAGTTCATAAATCAAAGAGAAAAGTTGGTGGCTACGTGGAGATTTATATAATAAGGGTTGGTATGCGATTTGCCTATCACGGCATATCAAGAATTCAAGGTCCCAAGAAGGTGAGGAGCAAGGAATTCAACATGAGGGATCTCTTTTCTACGCAAGAGGTCCGGATGGCCCAAGTTTAGCATTGGTTGGAGCACCTTCTCACCTAAGGTGTGTTGAGGCAAGAGGTTTCTTGCCATGGTGGAGCTCTTGGAAATTACTAGAATGATTTCCGTGACGTTGAAGATGTTCTAGGGGTCAACAATTATCCATAGGTGATTAATGGTTCACCAAGGTGAAGATTGTTGAAGTTGGATCACCATAGATGCAGAAGGAGGAAGAGGAAACAGCAGAAAAATGGGTTGCATATGAGTTTTTTCTGGGCTCTAGCGCGGATCCTCGGAGGGTTAGGATAGTTTTTCCTATTATTTTGGGGTTTTTTAGCCTAATTTAATAGGGCCTATTTCTAGTTAACTTGTAGCAAAATTCCTATGCATTATAAATAGGACTTTTAGGGCTAGGTTAAAAATAGATAAGAAAATTCAAGAGAGAATTTTCAAGAGAGAGACACAAGAGAATTCAACGGGGAATTCTAAGGTGTTTTTTTAAGTGCATCAAGGGTTTGAGCAAGGGTGAGAGAAAAGAGAGCTAGGATTCTTGTGAGAGTTAAGGGGGGTTATTGATTGTAACTAAAGTTATTCTTACATACTAGCGAAGTTCTCGGATGGATCACCAAAAGGACATAGACACGAGGCCGAACCTCTGTAAATCTTTGTGTTCTTGTGTGTGTTTGCTTTCTCTCTTCGGTGTGTGCGCTTTATTCTCAAAGGAGTTTGTGTGTGTGCCTTTGCATAGTTCATCAAAGACAAGGTCTTGGAATGTTTGCGCACAACAAAACATGCACAGGTTTCTAACTAATTTTAAAATTTCCCCAGATTGATCTTATATTAGTTATGACATAAAGCGCTAATACCACATCTAAGTCCCAATAAATATAGATCCATAAACAACATAAGTAGTAACTTGTTTAGCAGACATCATGAAGGAGAAGTATGGTCTTCCTCACTATTCAGCAGGGGATCTTACTTATATACATGCCAATTAGGTTTCCACCCATCAAGAAAACACCTAATCCCAAGAATTTGTATTTAATTATAATTGCTTTGATCTTCTATATTTAATTATAAATTTCTATCACATACCTTGTACCAAGTAAGTGGTTGATTAAGAGAGGTGTTAGCTTTACTCCATTCAACCATGTGTATATTTTCTTCTCTATATATCTGCAATTTTTCTCCAAATAGTCCAACCTGTAAAGATTTCATCAAATACAACAATAAATTGATTTTTTTTTATTTATAAAAAAGCAACATTTAATCATATTTACTATAATAATAATAAAAATTAAGCTTAAAAATGATGTACAAGCTTTGTAGTCTTTGAAGATTTACCTGATATCCCCAAGCATAATTAGTAAAGTTGTAAAACTCATTCTTGCTACATTGAATTTCAACTCTGGTTAAGCCACTAAATCTTCTTTCAAGAAAAGCTCCTGAATCCTTTACAACAAATAATATATCTTTTTGAGTCAACATTTATGTACAGAAAATTAATTGATAATGAAGAACTATAATTTGAGCAATACCGGTAGTCCAACCATAACGCCTAGCAGAGAAATATTGTTAATTTCATTGCTCAACACAACTGGACTCTGCATGATGAACTGCTTGGTATCGTGACTACCATGGGCATTTCCTGATGTAATTAAAAAGCTAAATTATATAAATAATAATTTTAAATAGTTTAATTGAGGTGCTTTCAAATTTCTTTTCTATTTAATTATTTCTTTTCAAGCCATCTCCTGGAATTCCATGAGCCTCAATTTTACATTATATATATAGAACTTTTCCTATGCGGACGTCCCGATGTTATTACCATTATTATCATGTCGTGTTTTAGGTTTAGGAACTGAAAATAGGAAATTATCGAATTATTAATACATGTTATTATGTTACCTATATAGATGTTGTTCACAAAAGCATGTGTTGCATGTCCTTTAGACTCAGCAACAAGTATTGGTTCAGCGCAAGAAATGTTGTGTTGAAACCTGTTACACAGATTAGTTTGTTATATAAAGGATAAGATTGGAAAGATTAATTTGTCAAAGAATTGAATGTACCTGAGAGTATACCACAGGTAATCAGATACATCTTTGGTCACATTCATGTGCTCAAGTAATGTATCTGAATGTAGTGAAGTATTTTCGTAGTTTGGAATCAAATCTGTGTACCCTTGCCATCTTTCCATTGAATCAAAGATTTCGGTTGTTCGTACGATTCTTTTCGTGTAATTTGTATTTACCTACGTATAACAAGAAATACAAAACAACACTTAATCTACCATCAGTAAAAGAGAAAGCAACGTACTGAAGAAAAATTGACAATACAAAAACTATATTTTTTTTTTTTTTTTTTTTTTTTTTTTTTTTTTTATACAATATATAAGGTAGGGGGATTTGAATTCAAGAACTCAAGTGAAAAGATAAATACCCTAAACCCTGGCAGAGGAGATAAGTTGGGATCAAACAACTGCTTGGAAGAAAAGTTATATGTATGCCTAACCCAAAATTACAGTTGTGGCCTAATAAAAAAATTGTTTGTCGCCAAGCAAAATTCTATCGTGAGGGTGCTGTATACGGACCTCTTATGTGGACCTACCTATTAGTCACATGATTATTTCATTAAACTTAAGTGAAGTTACTATTTAGATGAATCATGTGGCTAATATGAATGTCCATATATGACACCCTCACCATGGCCAAAACTGGAAATCCAAATAACCTTGCCCGTAACCCCAACCAAAAAAAAAAAAAAAAAAAAAAAAAAAAAAAAAAAAAAAAAATTCGTGAAAACGAAAAAGTATATTTTGTTTTGACACACAATGGCCCAAATTCATATATTTAATCCTTTTTTTCCTTATTACCGAGTGTATAAATTCAAGACCTCGAATGCATGAGTAGATGGGAAAAGAAAAATAAAGAAAAGAATAGCAGTGCGAAATTCAGATAACTTACCGTTGCCGTGTTGAAAATTACTTTTTCACAGTCTGGTAGAATGCTAATTGACTTTGGCATCAGCTCATGTGATGCATTTTGGAACTGAACAGTAGCATTATTTCTTTCATCATTATTTATAAGAAATGCAACACATCTTCCTTCAGTTTCTTCGCGAAAGACATAGGCCTAATTACAAATGACAAATAATGTAATTATTATGTTGACTGAGAATACACTACAAGAAACATTATAATCACTAATATTCATGGCGTATAATGAGGTGGCTTTAGTTGCATCCTTCGTGTTCGTTGTTAGTATTCAGTGAGAAACCTAATTGGGTAGTATTTGGTGAACTCCTGTCAATTTCTAATCGATATTTGGTCTACGTCATTTCTGTTGATTTCAACTCTTTGTCTACGAAGGCACTATTATTGTCTAATAGCATAATGGGCACGAATCATCGTGACTGTAGCTATTAGGCACCGACAATATACTTTTAGAAACCTCATCATGTCTTATACAAATGTTAGTGACTATTAATTATATTTTCTCGTAGTAATAATTGGTGTTTAACTAATGAATTAGGTTAACTATATTAAACATGGAAGGCTATATGATCACCTCTTGAAGTTGACCTAGTGAAAAATTTGTTGGCATTCCCTGTAGTAAAGTTGTAGAGCAACTTTTGATTGCAGCATGCAATGCCTTAAGATGACCCCACTTGGGTTGCCGTAGCAAACCTAAATAATTTCCAAAAAGCAATTATAAGTGTTTAATTAGTTGGTTGATTAATGCATGAAATCAAGGATTAATGAACTGACCGTATTCGTCGAGAGGAGCTTGATCATAATAACTTGTTATGACATATGCAGAGCTTGTTCTTCCAAAATTAGTTCCACCGTGGTACTGGAGAGATCAATTATAAATTACAATACACCACGTGACTGTTAAAATATATATATAGTGAGAGAGTTTTTCCATTGAGAAATCCCTCAAATAAGCTTATATAAGGGACACCTTTGTAGGGCCTACTCTGCGTTGTATTTCACAAATCTAAACCGTCTATTTTTGTAGATATTCATTCAAATATCATCTCTACAAAAAATCACTTGAATTCGATATCATTTAATCACACAATTAATTTATTGAAATTTTAGTAATTTTTTAAAGTACCGTGTTCATTGATTTTATAATATACAATTAGATGTCTAAAAAGATTTCCGATTTGCGTAATTTTTTGCAAGGAATATACTGTTTTTCTCTCAAAACTAAAAGGTAATTGCTAAAGCTAGAGTTATTATATATTTGTTGGAAAATCATACCATGTAATAGTTTACGTAGCTTCCATTTCTAGCTATAAAAAGTGCAACATGAAATGCAATGTCTTCGGCAGATCTTATATATGGTTCTCCACCGTACACTTGATAGCTGAAAACAGAACATGATCGTTGTACTCTAATTATTTTTTAAAAAGAAACATTCATAAATGAAAGAATGAATTAATAACTAAATAAAATAAAATTAGTTAGGTGTCTCATTTAATTATGATATATACGTAAATACAAAACTTATGTCTAAGAAAATTAATGTATATAATCAAATTGTTGACGTGAGTTATCCTATTAAGGAGATTTACTTCCTAAGTTAATTAGGTGATTTATTTCCTTTTTAGCATAGTTGACATATCCATATATAATTAGGAGATATTTCCTATTTATTCTATGTATCTATTTCCTTGTAAAGCACACATATAAAGCCCTATATATTCCTCCTTATAGAGAAGAATACAACCATCCAAATATTCAAACAATATTCTTATTCTTAGCATGGCATTAGATCAGCTGATCTTAGGTCGTCTCTAAGCCATCAAATCATATCCTCAAATTCAAACACAAACCCTAAATCAAATTCCTAAACGCTGAAATCAAATCCTCTCATCAAATCTCTGAACACAAACCCCTATAAAATCTCATATAGTTTCGTTGTGATGTTAGAGGAACCTCTCTCGCTCACAAAAGGCTTTTCCAGTTCCAACCCTCAAATTGTCACAATTCAGAGTGACAACTCCCCGCTCCCTGCCATAATCATCCTCAATGAGACCAACTATGCACTGTGGCCTCAAGTTATGGAGATGCGAATTGCTGCTAGAGAAATCGGGAATGCAGTTAAAAAGACCTTTTATGATGGGGGTGATGAATCTTATTACCTTTATGATCTGAACAAATGGTTGTTTACTATGAAGCAAAATGGTACACCCATTCATACATACTACAACTAGTTACAAATTATTTTTCAGGAGATAGATCATCGGAGTCCAATTAGTATGCAATGTGTAGCCGATTTGACTACCCGCCAATTAGAGATAGATCGTCTTCGCGTTCATATTTTTCTTGCAGGACTAGACCTAGAATTTGATTAGGTTTGTGGGGAAATACTGTGCAAAGATCCAAAATTGGACCTTGAAAATACATTTGCCTACGTCCGTAGAGATGCTCAACAAAGAATGTCCATGAATGGTGCCAATGATCCTAAAGACACATCAGTCATGGCTGCTCACCGTCAAAAGGAGGCGCATAATTCTCCTGGTATCTCTGCTCAAAATAAGGCATCTGGAACTTGTCCAAAAAAGAAGTGCACACAATGTGGAGGTAGCAAACATACCCGGGTTGGCTACTATGAGTTGATTGGGTATCCTGATTGGTGGGACCATTCCAAACCTCTACGAAAGAATGGAGGAAAATCACAAGAGGTCTTCAGATTATGTCCTTGAAAGTCCTACTATTCCGGCTACACTGGCACTTGTATCTGCCTCTATATCCACAACAAGTACCAAAGGTTATGCTTTAAATAAATCATCCTGCAAAAACACATGGATCATAGACTCGGGAGCGACTGATCATTTAACATTTGATCCTGGAAAAATTATTACTCACACAATGTTTTCCTAGTCGGTGGTGTCTAATGCTAATAGTATCCCTCCCCTATGACTGGGGAGGGTTCTCCATCTCTCTTTGACTCCCTAAATTTGGATTATGTGTTGATTGTTTCATCTTTGAACCATAATTTGTTATCTGCTGCACAAATTATTGCGGCTTTGGAATGTACTATAACTTTTTGCCCAACTCATTGTTTTTTCAGGACATCCTCACCAGTAAGACGATTGGTTGTGGTACTAGGAGGGGCAAACTCTAATACTTGGACTTGGCTCCAAACAGTCAAACTTTCTAGATGGGTGGAGACAATGGTGAGAAAAAGAAAGATGAAGCGTGGTTATGGCATAGACCTCTTAGACATACTTCGTTTGGTTTTTAAAAAAGTTATTTCTATAATTATTCACAAGTTTTGATATTTCAAGTTTTTAAGTGTAACATTTGTGAACAAGCCAAGAGCCATCGTGTTTCATTTTCCTTAAGTTCAAATAAAAGTTTGGTTCCTTTTTCCCTTATTCACTTGAATGTTCGAGGACCTACTAAAATTGTCACTTTGGCTGGGGCTCGATGTAAGCTTCAATACCATCATTATCTTATTATCTCTAGCATCAAATCTAGATTGGCCATTACATTAGTTTGATGTTAAAAAGGCCTTCTTACATTGAGAATTGGAAGAGGAGGTAAACATGGATCTACCGCCATAATGTAATCTAGCTCCCGAAAAGAAAGGATCAAGTTTCCAAACTCATAAAGTCATTATACAGGTTGAAATAGTCTCCTAGAGCGTGGTTTGGATGGTTTACTAAGTCCATGAAGAATTTTGGATACACTCAGAGCAATTCAGACCACACTCTATTCTTAAAGCATGATGGAGACAAAGTCATCGCCTAAATTGTTTATATAGATGACATGGTTGTGACTGAAATTGACACAAAAGAGAGACAAAAGCTACAACAATACTTATCTCAGGAGTTTGAGATAAAGGATCTAGGTCCTCTGAAATACTTTCTTGGAATTGAAGTGGCAAGATCAAAAACCGGTATTTTTCTATCTCAAAGGAAGTATGTGCTGGATTTACTGACTGAAACAAAATGCTCATATGTAAGCTCTGGCTGACACATCTATTGATGTAAATCATGAGTTGGTGTCCATAGCATTATTTTTTCGAAGAAAAAAAACCCCCTACCTTTAAAGTGACTTCGGGAGTAAAAATGGGAGATTTTTTTATTTTTTATTTGTGAAAAGTATGTGGAATCCCCTTATCCTAAATTGTTAAATTTGCATGTGAATTTCTCTTCTTTTTTTTACATATATACTATATGATTTTTGCAAATGAGGTCTAGTCTAGTGGAAAAAGGCCTTGACTTGTAGACCGGTAATCTCAAGTTCGAACCCTCATGACACCTTGGTAGTGTGTGTGTGTGTGAGAGAGAGAGAGAGAGAGAGAGGGAGAGAGAAATCTCCCTCCCCTTTCTAGTTTAGACTATTACTTATATTCGGATATACTACATAATTTTTAAGTGAGAGTTTACCAACTAATTATCTACCTTAGCTTAATACCACTAAATACTAATTGAGTTAGACCTTGAGGGGACGCATTAATTACATGTGTATTTGATTAACATATATTAACTAAATACAATTAATATTCTATGAAAATTAATATATATCTAGATATATGTGGATGCATATATAAACAAGAAAACATACAATGAGGTCCAATTCTCTGTCCAAAGAGAGGGCTTATTGGGTGAGTTTGGTCCTCCAAAAGTTTGCCCACACCGCATACCGTTGCATGTATTGATCTGCATGTCATGTTTATTAATTTGTAATTGGAATAAACCGAATAGATATAAATAATAGATTTTTTAATTAATTTAATTTAGAGCTGAGGATATAAATGTAGTGAAAGAAAAAAAATAAAAACACAACAACAAAATTTACCAAAAAAAAAAAAAAAAAAAAAAAAGGAGGAAAAAAAAAAAAAAAAAAAAAAAAAAAAACAACAATCACTGGATCAGCGTCGGTTTGCTTGCACATGACCCATGGTACACCAGTTTGGAGCTCAACGGCCATTTTTGCTGCCCAACGAACGTATGCCGGTCCTTTCTCATGGAATGCTGCTTCTATGTTTTGATATTCGTTCTCAATCTAAATATGTTATAGATTAAATTCCATTAATTATAGATTAAATTGAAAAGTAGTTTTAATTAATCATTATATGTACCTGCGATAATATGATTGGGCCTCCTTGTGATGCATATAAACCCTCTGACTTCATCATGTTCACTATTTTTGTAGTAAAATTTTGCATATAATACTACAAAACAAGAAAGAACACAATACAGACCGGACATCATAAACGGAGAAAATAACGAGTTTATCATCTTTCTTTTTTTACTTTTATAAATAGAAAAAGAGAATTCAAATTTGAGACATTTTCGACATTGGAAAGAGAAATATCATTAAAAATAATAATAACATGTTTACTTATTAGGAATGAAGGGGACAAACCTTGAATGGTTCATTATCTGAGCGATAAACTATGTCAGGGACATCATGCAGCCAAAACGGAAATCCCCTGAAAATATAAATTAAAGAGTCAATTACCAACCTCGAAATTAATCCCCCCCTTATACCATAAACAAAAATAAAAACAAAATGAATATAGAAGAATATCAGGGTGGCCCTGGGCTTGGGCCCCTAGGGCCCCGGATCAAGAGGGCCCCAAATTTTTTAATATCTATATTATATATACAAAAAGCTTCAGTTAAAGGATCCCTCAAATATTATTTTAGGAACACTCTTGTAGGACCCACCATGCATTGTTTTTCAATGATCTGAACAATCTAGTGTTTATAGATTCATTCAAAATAACCTCTACGAAAAAAATACTTGAATCCGATATCATTTGACCACTCAATTAAATTATTTAAATTTAAGTACTTTCTTGAAGCACCATATTCATTGATTTTGTTGGTCTCAATTAGATGCCTTTATAATTTTCAATTTGCATGATTTTTTGTAAGGATGATATTTGAAATGAAGATGTGAAAGAAAATACATACATGTGCATAAAAAAATTTCTTTCTTGCTAAATTATAATTGTATACAAAGGAAAATGGGCTTCATTTTAATTTATGCCCTGAAGAACATATGAAATGAGAAAAATTAAACATACCCATATGTCCATTCACTCTCAATGAATGGTCCGATCCTAAGGCAAGCATAAAGTCCTTGTGCCTGGATTTCCTTTATGAATTTTACTAAATCATATCTTCCACTGAAATTGTACTGTACATATACAACACATATATACAAACAATATTCAATATATCAGCCAATGAGAGAGAGAGAGTGAACTAGAGAGAGAGGGATGGAATGTTAAATTACCAACCTGACCCGGTTGGGGCTCATGAAGATTCCAAAACACATAGGTTTGAATCACATCAAGTCCTCCTTCCTTGGCTTTCCCAATCAAAGATCCCCACATCTACACCAACTCTTTAATTTCACAAACAATATACATATATGTATATGTATGCAAACATGACAGTGTATGAAACATGTTACATGAAAAAAAAAAGTCTTAAATTTAGGTTTTAGTTACAAAAAAAATTTCACTTTCGGAAAAAGCCAAAACTTTTCTGAAAAAGACAGGAAAACCTCTCAACTTTCAAACTAAAGACATACAAATGTAAAAGATTCCTTAGGAAATTCAAAAATAAATAAGGGCATTTTTGTCCATTTTGGCTCTTTAAAAAATATTTCTCTCTCCTTTAGCCTTTTCCAAAAATATTATACAATTTTTCTTGGGTTTTTACTTGCTCTTTTTGTTTTTATATCCAGCCCACGATAATTAATTTGTTTGAATCCACTCCACCCCCAATCATTGTAGCCAACTTCGTACTTATTTATCTGTATATATGCAGGGTTCACATTCATTACAGTTCCCGAATCTTGCATCAAACAAAATGGACTCATAAGATATGTCCAAAAGATATGAAGAAAATGTGATATGTCCAAAAGGTACGAAGAAAATGTGAACCAAGCTTCTAGCCGTGACTTATATAATCATAATGAAGAGGGATTCACTATTATGCCCAATATAGCGGCCTAAATTATAAATAAAAAAACTACATGAAATGGACTTTACAAATATACCCAAAGACCATTTACAATATAACAAAGAGACTTCAAACTTTCTATAAAATACAAAATTGTCATCGATTTTTTAAAACAAACCCAACCCCAAAACCTTATTAAAAATAAAATAAAATAAATAATTAAAAAAAAAGCTCAAAACAGTCAACATAACATTAAAGTAATTTAATAATCAAAATTAAATTCAACAAGGCCATCTGTCGTTTTTTGAGTTTGTTTATAGAAATTAAATGATGTAAGATTTATCTATATTACTAGTGCTAAGAATGAGTATATAACTAAATATCTAATAAAGGAACATGATAAACCACAAAATATATGAAAATGAATGTTAATTGCAATGAAAAACATAATAAAATAATATTTAGTCATTATTTATGCAAACATCTAAGACCTCGGGTGCATGGACTCTTCATCACTTAAACTACAAACACCTTGCTTAATATTTAGTGTTTTTTGAATATTGCACTTGAGCTAGAAATATTCATGAGCTATAATTGTGTAGTGACTTTTGAATACTGCATTATGAACAAGTAAATGTGTAGTGATATAATTACCTCAGTTGTACTCCGAGGATAGTGAATAGAACCTGAAAAAAGAATTCTTCTTTCCCCCTTAATGATGAGAGATCTTCCATCGTACGTGACATCTCCTCCACAAACACAACCTCCTTGTGTTATAACTGCCACCGCCGCCGCCATAACAAATAAACGTAGCCACGGCCTCCACGACTGCCGCCACTCCATCTCACTCTTTGTCTTTCTCACGATCCCCAATTAGTGTAGACTGAAATTTTGTATATGATCACCAAAAGAAGCTTTATGCTTTAACTAGTACGTCTTTTTGGGGAAGAAGATAAAGATGAGAATATATGGACGGATCCTTCTAATGCAGTATATATATTGCATATAGAATGGATGAGTTGGGTTAATTAAAGCATACATACATGGCACGTGACACCTTAGGGTTTTTAGACCCATACCATAACAACATAGCTAGGGGCAACTTGGTAATTGAAGTCCATCTATCTACCACATTGCAAATGAGATGATGATAGGTCACATGCACCTTCTGTATGTTCCCTTGTTTACGTCATAGCTTAGCGTGGCTGGGATGGCAAGGCAAGACAAAAAGAGCCCAACCACCGCACCACGCCAACACTACTGTACTGTGTGTGTGTGTGAGAAGTGAAGAATCACCGCTACCACGAAACCTGGCCAGCTGTTGCTTGCTTTGCTTGTATAATTAATTTCTTCTGTTTGTTTGGGCCTCTTTTGCACCAAACCACGAAGAAGTCGCAATGCAATTTGGTACTGAAAAGCCCAAACCAAATAACCCAGCAATTTCCACCCAACCTTGTTCATCGATTCAATTGCAAATATATCAATGTTATTTCTAGGAACAGTTATCTTCTCCGGTTGATAGAGGTTGGCTTTTATATAGTCTTTAGGTGACTGATTTCTCGTCGTTCGCGGCTATATAGCGATTTATGATTTATTGGACCCAAAACTCGCTCATTATTAGGCAAATTCAACTCTTTTGTGATTGGATTGGACAGTTCAGTCGGATTAACTCAAAATTAAGCCCACATAATAGTTTATAATTTTTGAACCCAAGACCCATTCATTATTAGTCCCACTCAACCCAACCTAACCCAACTCTCTAATAATCGGATTAGACGATTCAGTCTAATCCGATTGACCCGAAATTGTGTCCATCCCTGATATATTTTCACCACCAATCACGTAATGGTTATAATATATTGTGATTAGGCCTGATTGACTTGCCGCCGCTAATTCGAGGATTGACCATGTTGGGTTTGCCCTTGGTATTGGGCCGAAGCGTGGCCCAACTTCCAGACCGATTTCGTAGAGAAGACTTCCTCTGCCAGTTATTGAAACGGAGTGCATTTAGTTAGATGCGGATCTATTTCCCTCGTGTGCTCGCCGATAATTTCATCCAATTATCACTGATTTGTGTCGTTATATTATTGGTTAGAGAGTTGATGCGAGAACAACAACTTGTGAAAAGTGGCTTGACCACAGCCCAACAACGACTTGTGAAAAGTATAGGACCTGAAAAGGTGTAACTGGATTCAAGTCCAACTACTGCCCACCAGTAAACTGCCCCGGATATACGTATATTCTTTAATCTGTAATAATAATTTTGAAGGGGGGGTGGGGGGAATGTGGGAAAGGACCAGAAAGAGGGAGAGCTACTAGTTTATAATGGTCAAGATTGACAGCTAGTGTGAAAAATACTGAAGCTTCCGAGCAAGCACCCAACTGAGAACGACTGGACAAGCACCCAACATGTTCATTTCACTTGGACCTCTTTACTATAACCCCACCATTTACTAGTGAGAGTGATGTTTTCAAGCAACTTTCCTAATCAGCAGCTCCAAATAATTTTATTAGTTTGGACATTGTATGAAACCAAAACGGCGGCCATTTTAAGTCATTAAAGACAGCAACTGATCTTCATCATTACAATCCATAAATGGCAACATGAGATCTTGTGTGTCGTATGGTTTTGGATTGTATGTGAATAACCTTACTTTGATATCATAAAGAAGTTGAGGTTTCACTTCAGAATTTATGAGCAATGAGGAATAAATATTCTCACATCACGAAACAATAAAATTGAGACTTAACATGAAGCCCTCATTATGTTCGTATTTAAATTATTAGAAATAAAAATGAGACTTAACGTGAATTCAAATTAAATTAACCTTGGTATGTTTACATAAAAGGTGTGGAAAGAGGAAGACGTAAAAATATATTTAGATATGGATGCGTTGTTGACCAAGTTGTGGGAGAAAGTCGTAGCAATTGGACAAGTTGTAAGAAATTGAAGAAATAGAGAGCACTGATCTGAATATGAATCTATGATGGTGGGTCCCTTTGTCCACATAAATCTTAAAGAAAGCAGGCCAAGAAAGCTCCAAGTAGCTTCCTGCTTACACATGCATCGTTTATCCATAAATATATATACGTCAGGCACCACGTCACGCAACACCTTTCTATGTTAAGACGCACATGCATCGCGCCACTTTTTTCGACATTACGAACCCGGACAAAGGTTCCCTCCTTGCTCCCCAAGTTTCCCAATCGACATTTTATTATTTTTATTATTTTTATTATTATTATTTTGTTGTGTCCTTTTCACTTTCAATATTCATATGGAATATTCTATTCACATGGCGGCCTCAAATCTCTCTCTCTCTCTCTCTCTCTCTCTCTCAATTCATATAAAGCCTATTTAAATAGAAAATTTCAAAATTAGCAACTTGTTATTTTTTAATTGGTTCTTAGAAAATTTTAACACACTAAGAAATAATTAGAAAATAATAAGTGACTAGTTTTGTGTTTTTTTTCCTTTCAAAATAGGTTCTATAACGATTTTTATATAAAATGTGCCTATTTATGAAAAACCCTTTATTTTATTGTCTTAAGCCAAAGTGCATAAGAAGAAGCATTGCGACTTATGCCAAATCTTTATTTTTAATTTTTAATTTTAATCTTTTCGGGCATGCGTGTGTCTCAGAAGTTTTCGCTTGTAATGTGAAATCTTTTAAAACTCTTTTATTTATTTTTTGATGTTTACTTTTGTTTGTGGTAGAGCATACAAATAAAATACCAAACGAGTTCCTTACTTTCTTTTAGACTGCAGAACATAGAAAAAGAGCACTAGAGAAGAAACAGTATGGGCTATAGTTGAAAGACTTTTAAAATTAAGAGTTAAGGAAGGACACATGTGGATGTGGTGTAGAAAAAATAAGTAGGAACTACAAGAATCTGGTTACATGGAACCCGTCTAACATCTTAAAAATTAAACTTTAATGGTTATGGGCGTGAAAAGTTTTGAAAAAGTAGCGGCTGGATTTTTTTATTTTTTTTTATTTTTTATTTTTATACAAGCGATATCATATTTTAATACAGAGAGGAAGATTCAAACTTCTATGCATAATGGAGAGCACATCCGTTTTAGCTAACTTAGCTAAGCCACATCCGCTTCGCAGTTGGACTTGTTATTATTAGAGATCATAGTGTTAGATTCTTTATATGCATGTTCTAGATCTTACACACAACCTGTAATACGTGTAAAGACATGAAGACATACTTGGAGTCATTTTCCTTGAGTACACAACTTCTGTATTCATCATATCTGTAGTAGCAGCAATCCTAGCAAGAAAAGGAACGGCTCAAGACTTCTGTTCTCTGTCAGAATCTGTTTCAGCGCTCTCTGTTTGATGAGAATAGGTTTTGAGAACGTGTCTGATGAGAGCAGGGCCTTTAGCTTATATATAGCTAGGTCAAGTCGTCTCTACTGATCACCGAGGGCCGACTTGACTTATCTTTCAAGCCCACTTAATCGGTTCACACATAAATGGAAATATAATAGGACCCCTTAATAGGCCTCAAAACCCTTCCTTATTTCACTAGGTTTTGGGCCTCAAGGTACAACTTAATTTAAACTCTTATCGAACCTTATATGACTTAGTATCTAGTGCACCGATCTAAATAGGAAAACATAACATTCTCCCACTAGATCAAGCACTAGAACACTAAGCTTTTGTATTTCGAAAGGTTTAATAATCTTTATTGGCCATGAGTTTAAATAGTTAAGTCATTCCCCTTCAAGTTACCGTGAAGAGTGATTAAACAAAACGAACTATAGACAAGCGCTGCTCTCTTTATTAAAACAGGTCATCTATAATCACATAATGCAATCTCTAAACACATGAAGCACCTACAACGTGAACTTGAATATGTACTGATCCTTAGTGTGAAACTTTATGCATTTCAGTACAAGCACTCCTTTATGACTTAGCAAGAGTCAATCCGCAATGTTATTAAAAACACATAGTGTGAATGTTAAGACTGGTGGAACTTACCCTGTTAGTCATGCTTACGTCCTTCAATTTGAAATTGCAGCCCTTGAGCATGGTAGCATGGTTTATTAAATGGCAATACGTTTAAATTATAAAAAAAAATTAATTATTGCAGGATATTCTACTACAGCTTCGAATCATATTTTAACCTCTAGTTCTACTAATAATATTCCTTGGCATATCTTGTCACAAGTAAGAAATATCCGAAGGCTTCTTTTTTCAACTTGAACAACTTCAATTTTAACATGTTTATAGAGAAGTAAATATAGACACATACGGGCAAGGGCGGAACCATAAATTTTTCAATGGGTGGGCTAGCTAAAGTTATTAGCTTAAAATCTAATCATAATATTTTTTTTTGTACTTACATTTTCTATAGTAAAATACTTCTTTTTTGGAGACAAATTAATATAAATTTTTTTAAATTGATGTTGGGACAAACTTTGACACCAAATACAAATGTGGAAGACCTCTTACTATGCTTATTGGTGTTGAAATTGTATAGATATATATATATATATATATTTATTTATAGTTAAAATATTATGCTATAAATATATTTAATTTATTTTTTTTCCAAACCTTCCCTGGGCTACATCCAATGGCAGCCATTGCCTTGGTTCCGCCCATGCATACGGGTTAGCAAATTCAAGGTAATAATCATATGTTTATTTACTAGGAATTGAGGAATTCATGAATCTGTGAACTTAGTAATAGGGGAAGTAAGAAATGGGAATTAGATCAACTACTCTCAAGTTGATACGATTCATGATTTTGAGGGTATTTAATTACAGATTTTAATATAGAATTCACATTATTTTTAATTCACTATGCGTAATAAAGATATGGGAAGTCTGACATTAGAATAATTCCAATACCAATATTCTAGTAAATACAAAATAAGCGAGAATCAAAATCATTTAAATATGCGTTCCTCATAAGTAAACATGCTATTATTAGTATGGATGAAATAATACTACTCTTATCACATTCTCATATTACCTTATGTGGTAGATAAGATGGACAGCCACATTAATTAAAATTATTTAACATTTCTTTTATAAATTATTAACACTTAAAAAAAAACTGTTAATTAAACATTTTATTTATTTATTAAAATACACTTAATTGATTTAATTGATGTGACATATGATATGTACATATTACATCATGTAGTATAAAAATGTAATATGCGTAACATGATCCGGATGGACGTTGAGATTTATTTTGATATTGAAAATGTTGGGAGTTCATTAATAAGTATCTTGTAATTTTGTTTCTTATGGAAAATAAAGAAAAGGATTATGTGATGCGGCAGAACGCAAGTTCAAGATAGAGAGAGAGATGATTTGTTTGGTGAGTCGTAGAATTTTGGATTAGTTAATTGTGGATCCATCCATGATCCAGCAGCGCCATGACGTTTTGTTCCATGCGTCATGCGTGGGGGCTAAGGAAACTCCAAATCCATGCAGTTGAACGGTCGTCCTTAAGTTTCCGCTTGGACCAAAAAGTCTTCCACATACCGAATGTGGCAAATGGTGATTCGCTGATCGCACAAAATAAAACCTCCTCGTGGAACAGGAGATCGAGACCGACCGTCAACGATGCAGTAGAGGCCGGGTTTAAAAAAGCGGAGAGAGGAACGTCCAAAGTAGGTGACGAAAGCAATGACACAAGCAGCAGCTGAAAGTGGGCCATGCGCACGTGGCACTCTCAGGTTAGACCGTCGACTGGCTGCGGTCAGCCCCTCCACCTCCTTTCTCTCACTCTCTCTCTGAACCCACGTGTCAGAATTAAAAAAAGAGAGAAAAAAAAGAAAAAGAAAAGTAATAATGTTGTGTCTTTATTAAGCGTGCGGGCGGGTATATAAGAGGGCTTGGGTGTCTTGTAAAACCCATCGTTCCAAAGCCGAGAAGAAACTAGAAGCAGAGGAGCTAAAACTAGAACCAGAAGAAGAAATTCAAAGCGATCTACGACTAGCAAGATCAAGAGCAAGGGAGCTGCAAAAAGTAAACGGTAAAAATGGGAAGTGGAAGTGAGTTGGAGTTACCGCCAGGGTTCAGATTTCACCCAACGGATGAGGAGTTGGTGAATTATTACTTGTGCCGGAAATGTGCTGGGCAGCCTCTTGCTGTTCCCATCATCAAAGAGATTGATCTTTACAAGTTTGATCCTTGGCAGCTACCTGGTATAAATAAATTCCCCCATTTCCAATTTTTTATTTTTGGTCAAATCCCCATTTCCAATTTCACCATTTCTGATTGAATCACTGGATTTCGTTGGGTTAATTTAATGGGTCACCTGGATTTCATCTCAATTGGCCCCAACCCAACAAAAATATAAAAATATAAAAAATTCTTTTATGAACTCTGGATTGGTTTGATGTGATTTCAATTTGGGTCCTTTGAATTTCAATTTTTTAATTTTTTTTCTGCAATTTTGTTGTTGTTTTTGCAGAATTGGCTCTGTATGGAGAAAAAGAGTGGTATTTCTTTTCGCCAAGGGATAGAAAATATCCGAACGGTTCAAGGCCGAACCGGGCAGCAGGAACCGGGTACTGGAAGGCGACCGGGGCAGACAAGCACATTGGAAAGCCCAAGGCACTTGGGATTAAAAGGCACTCGTGTTCTACGCGGGCAAAGCTCCTAAAGGAGTTAAAACCAATTGGATCATGCACGAGTACCGCCTTGCAAATGTCGATAGGTCGGCTTCCAAGAAAAACAACAACAACTTGAGGGTACCTAACTTTATCCTTTTGCACCTTATTGACTTTTACCTAATTATTCAATCTCTTCAAATTAAAATGGTTCATTTTAATAAACAGCGATATTGTAAAATACTCTAATGTATGAGGTCGGGGATTAAATTCGATTACAAGTTATTTACATTGTCTTGGTCAACTGATTTAACACACGTCTGCAAATTTTATTTTATATTGTGCTAATTTGATTTTATTTATTATTGCAGCTTGATGATTGGGTTCTATGCCGAATATACAACAAGAAAGGTAGCATAGAGAAACATAATGTTGCCATGGAGCGCAGTAAAATGACCAAATACCCAGAAATATTGCATGAGCAAAAACCGGAAATGACCCAAATGCCACCGCCCCATACGGATATGTCGTCGATGGATTCAGCACCGAGGGTGCAGCAGACGACGGACTACTCTAGCTGCTCGGAGCACGTGCTGTCGCCAGAGGTCACGTGGGAGAAGGAGGTCCAAAGTGAGCTACAATGGAGCAGTGATGAATTAGAGAATTCCCTTAATACCCTTGATAATCAGTTCATCAATTACATGGATGGCTTCTCAGATATTCTTGACCCTTTTGGCGCTGCTCAGCCTCAGTACCAAATGGACCAGCAGAACATGTTTGCCTACTTACAAACCCAATTTTAAACCAAACTTGTTGGGTTCTGAAAGTGGCCATACCAGAAAAATTTGAAGTAAAAAAAAACGGGCCGGGCTCGTGCGATGCCTATTCGAGAGGATCCTTGACGTAGGTCCATTATTATTTTATTTAGTACCTAATATTCTTTTAGAGTTGGTTTAGGGACCAAATGAATTTATGATGTCGTCATAAAAGGACCTTTGGTTAGTTCTCTTGCTCAGCGAGAAAAGCATCAAGCTGATGGGCTCGGGTTAGATTTTCCATAATATGTTAATAGGTTATGATTACGGTAGAAAATTGTTACAATTTCCAGGAATTATGTAGCCGAATTTTTTTTTCCTTCTTAAGTATGCATGACATGTAATTATAGTGCATTTGATTGATGTGTTTGAAGTTTTGTAGTGGGAATTAGGCCCATCTGATCCTGAAATATGTTGTTTTGGGTTGGTGAAGCCCTTTCACTTGTATAAATAGAATTCTTTATCACATGAGGGTAAATTTTCATTTACACATGGGATTGTCTGAAATATGTTCACTTGTAAGGACAGAGGTAAGCTTTATTTTATTTGGACACTACTCCAAACTTTCAATGGTTTACAATCTAACTTTAATTTTCACACATTAGGTTCTAAGCCTGCATAACTCAGCTTCGCACAAAAAAAAAAAAAAAAAAAAAAGAAGAAGGAAATAATTCATAATTGACCTTACATATGTGGGACTTACGCATGATTTACATAGATTTTCCCTTCATATAACCTTTATACGAGAAAAACTTACTTATTAGTTAAAACTCGATCAAGGAAGACCCAATGAGACAAAACCGAACGAAGTAACAGAGATATTACTTTTTTTTTAATGTTGATATAAGTGGTGAAAGTTGTAACTCAACAAGGAAGATCTTTGAGTTGTCCCATCCTAATATTGTGCCCTAACTTCTTGATTGTTGTGGTCGGTAGGGCATTGGTAATTCAGTCTGCAAGGTTGTCACACCAACAAATATGTTGGACATCTATATTGTTGCTCTTATCATGCTGATGTGTTGGGAAAAAAAACTTATGGGTTTTTCTTCTCCTAATTAACCAAATGTGAAGGTGTGTGAATGAGGAAGTATGTCCAATATATCAAAAAATGAGAGTGACAGACAACTAGAGGCTGGGTGTACGAATAGGAGATGTATAAGCACGGGTGGAAGGGATTTTGGTTTTGTTTATCTTTTCTCAACAAAAATGAACTCACGTTAGTCACCAGTTAAGTTGAAAATAGGTGTTAAATATTATTGCGTGAGACACAAAGAAAACAAGAAACTCGAAAACATCATATCCGAACTTGAAGGTATGTAGCATGTTATATTTCAACAAACTACATATCTATACTATAAAAAAAGAAAAAGAAAAAGGAAAACTCTTTTTATGAAATTAAACATCCTCCTTTTGTCGACCTTCTTATTGCTCCTCCTCCTCCCTTCAGGAAATTGGGAGACTTCGAAAAATTTCGAAACAGGTATTTCCGCCCAAAATGGGGACCTTTGTACTTGTAATGCAATGTTACCTAGAAATTTCCAAGAAATAACGTTATTTGGTAATTTCCTCTGAGCAAAGAAGCATTTGGCATTTGGTATCTTCGTTAAAAAATTGGCATAAAAAACAAATGCTTGTTCCAAAATCCAACTAAGCAAAAATTCACACAAGCAATTCCAATGTCAAAGGAAGAAAAGAATAAAGAAGTTCAAATGTGATGGATTAGAAGGATTCTGCAATAACTTGGAGGGAAGAAGAAGGGTAATCAGCAGAAATCAAAGGAAGCAAGCAATACCATGAGTCCTTAGTTGCATTCACCCAACTCCGTCATTGGAATATATTCCATTTTCTTTCAGTCATTTTATCGAACACCTTGTGAAGTTTCCCATAGAAAAAAGACAAAATAACACTTTCATCTTAAATTTGTTCCTTCGTTCATTCATTCTATTGCCTACTGTGAAACAGAACATGAAAACGGAGGGAAAGTCTGGGTGGTTGTTGCTGGTGATGTCGCTGTTGGTGATGGGTTTGTCTGCAACTATGTCATCAGCTTCTTTTGGTGATCAGTACCATCGGGGTAGAAGGAAAACTATGCTACCGGATGAAGCGACGTCGTCTTTGGGGCTCAACCGCGCAGCCTCCTCCATTGTCTTACCGGTTCATGGAAACGTGTACCCTATTGGGTAAGTTTCGTTGTGTCATTTGTGCAAGTCCATGTGTTTGCTTTTAATCAATCATCATAATACAAAAAGTGTGTTTGTTTTCAACTCTCTCAAGTCAAGGGGTTTGTTTTGCAGGTCTTATAATGTCACTCTTAACATTGGTCAGCCTCCAAAGCCCTACTTTCTTGATCCAGACACTGGTAGTGATCTCACATGGCTCCAATGTGATGCTCCCTGTGTCAGATGCACTGAGGTAATTAATTATAAATGACAACTTCATATTGTACTAACTTTTCTTGTTAGAATGCACAAGTTGTTACTTGTTACTGTCTTGTGGGCATCTAGCTTGGAACTAATGCTTGATTCCTACATGATGATTCTGATGCGACATCTATCGCTTCCCTCTCTCTCTGGCTGAATTTCTTGTTCATATCTTGCATTGTTCAATTACTGTCCAATTCTAATGAATCATGGTTTTTTTTGGAGTCCCATATTTCCTGAATGCTAAACCTTCACAATACAAAAAAAATTGTAATGGAAAAGAGGGGTCCTAAAGTATATTTATCCTTTTACTTTTCACTTTGCAGGCTCCTCATCCATTGTACCGTCCCAACAATGATCTAGTGGTCTGTAAGGACCCCCTCTGTGAGGCCTTGCATGCACCGGGTTCCCACAAATGTGATAATCCAGAGCAATGTGACTATGAAGTTGAGTATGCAGATGGTGGCTCATCCCTTGGTGTACTTGTAAGGGATGCCTTTCTCCTCAACTTTACCAATGGAAACCAGCGAACAACTCACCTGGCCCTTGGGTTGGTAACTTTTCCTGCTTAAATTATTCATCAATATTATCTCTAACAATGCTTAATTATCTATTCTACTTAAATATTTGTGTTTCTTGAAGTAATTATCTCCTGATTCTCATCCCCATGCCAACGAAAGAAATTGCCATAGCATACTTTAACTTTAAATCCTTATGGAACTATTTATTTGATTTGGCCTACATGGTCTAAGATTTTTTTCTGTTTCTTGCAATGTATTAAGCTCAAATCGTGTGCCCATCCCTTTTGTTTTGTTTTGTTTTTTTTCCCCCAAGAAACTTGGTTTAAACAAACAGCTCTTTGCAACTGCCTAGCAAGTAGCTAGATCAATAGCTGCGTATAATTGCTATTGCAACTTAGATCATAAAGTCCTCATGGGAATGGAACATGATTAAGTTAATTGTTGTGGATAAGTAGTTTATTTCTTCGAAGTAATTTAGTGAGAAGAATTAAAGCTGACAAGTATAATTAATTTGTTTGAGAAGAATTAACAATATGGTGATGCCTCTTGTGATGATTTGGGTCAGATAAAAATGAAATGTATGCACCATACTCTATTGGACACTTGATGAAAACATAAACTAAGTTTAACAATGTGATATGAAACAGAAACCAAACCTTAGATTATACTGAGGCGCCACAAACCAATGTTTCCTAGACTTGCTGACATACTTGATCTTGATCATTTAATTGTTTAATGTCATGTCTACAGGTGTGGATATGATCAACTTCCTGGTTCATCTTATCATCCCATAGATGGAGTCCTCGGCCTTGGCAAGGGAAAACCTAGCATCGTATCACAACTTAGTAATCAGGGTCTGGTGCGACATGTCATTGGTCACTGTTTAAGTGGGCGAGGGGGCGGGTTTTTCTTCTTGGGGGATGGCCTTTATGATTCTTCACGCATAGTTTGGACACCAATGTCACCTGATTACACGTAATAAACCCTTCTTGAACCCTGTTTTTTCATCTAACAAAGGTTTTATTTTAATGTATGCTTCATAATTCATGATTCATGATCATCTTTTCCTGCACCAAGTATTCTCCTTGTGGTTTATGCAGCAAACATTACTCCCCAGGACTTGCGGAACTTATAGTCGGTGGGAAATCTACTGGTTTTAGAAACCTCGTTATGGTTTTTGACAGTGGAAGCTCATACACTTATCTTAATTCTCAGGCTTATCAATTTTTGACTTCATGGGTGAGTTAAGAGCTTTGTCAAAAACTAGTCTGCATTTTCATTACCTACATCTAGAACTTACAATGCTTCCATTTTCCCTCATATTATGGCTTTTGCCTCACTAAAATTAATCATCCTTTCATTTCCTGTTGACAGTTTTCAGAATATTGCTGTTATTCAATGTATATAACTTTAGAATAAAAGTTGATCCATGTTATTCTTGTCATATTGTAGTTGAAAAGAGAACTAACTGGAAAACCTTTAAAAGAAGCTCTAGATGACAAGACTCTCCCACTTTGTTGGAAAGGTCGAAAGCCATTTAGAAACATACGTGATGTCAAGACATACTTCAAGCCCTTAGCACTAAGATTTGCCAGTGGTAGAAAAGATACCACACAGTTTGAATTGCCCCCAGAAGCTTATCTAATTATATCGGTAAATTTCACCTTCCATGATCTCCCTATTTTTCTTCATTTCAAGTAGAAGCACTTTCTGTGTTAGAAAACTAATGATGTATATGCTGGCAGTCCAAGGGAAATGTTTGCTTGGGAATTTTAAATGGTGGTGAAGTTGGGCTGCAAAATTCTAACATTATTGGAGGTAAGAGTTTCCATGTGTATGTTATGAAGCATGACCTCTGAAGACAATAATGATCATTCTTTTTTGGTCCCGTTTACAGACATTTCAATGCAAGATAAAATGGTGATTTATGACAATGAGAAGCAGATGATTGGATGGGGTCCTGGAAACTGTGATCAGCTACCCAAGTCTAGAAGTTTCAGCTTTTGGTGATGCTTCGTGAGGTTCTCAGACTTGCACGTTTATAATGGCTTATGATCACAGAGAATTATCCTGCAGAAAGAAACATTCTCCGCTGTATACTATATAGGATTGGAGGGGAATAGTTCCATTTCCACTGTACATTTTATATATTTCACATGTATGTACGTAGAATCACGTCTACTTGGTATTTCTATTTCCAACCATATATGTTGGTGAAAACTGTATAGTATACTTCAGGTTACATATGAAGAATATTCTGACTTCTTTACAATGTGCTGAGCTCAATTATAGTTCTCAATTTCTTTTATCATTTTCGGAGACAATGTAACACTTCTGTTGTAGCCTCTGCCTTGGTCAAGGTGGTAACTGAAGGGGTTTGACAGAGTGATCGATGTTGAGTTATTTTTCTTTAGCAAAACAAATTGAAACATAACCAGTGGGGTATAACTCATCACACACTACTAAGGTGCCATGGGGGGTTCCAACTTGAGGCCGCTGGTCTGCAAGTCAAGGCTTTTTTCCATTGGACTAGACCTCGTTGGTAAAACAGAAATTTGTAGGGGAAAGCCTGAACCCCAAACCTTTTAAACTTAACAAAACTGAAATTTTTAGGGAAAAGCAATATTATAACGTAACCAGAACAGCAATTACAGATACATACATTGCAATGCATATTATTCAGTTGAAGAGGCCTAATAATTACTAATTTTGATTGATCCATATCAACTTACATACAAGAAAGACTGAATTGAAGACATTCTGTCTAGAGCCTGCCTAATTTCATTATTTAGACCATCCAATCAAAGCCAGGATTATGCTAAATATGTCACCACTGATCACTGCCTTGAGCAATCTTTGCTTTTCAGGTGTGTATGGTGGGTACCTCAGAGATGAATCTCCACTAAAACTTCTGTAAAGAACTGCCTTCTTGTGGCTAAACCCATCAAAGGAGAATTTACCATGGTATGAACCCATTCCACTCTCCCCAACTCCTCCAAATGGTAAACCACTAATGCTAACCTGCACAGCATGCATGTCAATAATGAATTAGCTTATTGGTTAACAAAGATGGATACACAGCTAAACTTGATTATCTAGTGAAAGCATAAATAAATATAAGCGAGTATCATATGCTAACTTGGAGATAGTGACAAGTATATGGCTTTAGTCAATTAAATTCAATTTGAGAGAAAATGGCCAACTTATTTGTGCAAGTTTCAGACTGGTAGCCGTTGGATGCCTGTTTAATTAGTTGACGATAAGGTCTTCATTTTAGTTTGTGAAGATGCAGAAATGCAAAGACGTATGTATGTATGCATAGAGGAGAAGAATCAGTCACATGTAGAACTGTGTCATTGATGAGCATTCCTCCAGATGATATGTTTTCCACAAAGCCCTTCTTCAGCTGCTCATTGTTTGTGAAAACATACACTGCAAGAGGCTTTGGCCTTGAATTTATGACATCAAAACTGTCTTCAATCTTCTCAACCTTATGACCAATTAATAAAAAGACATAATGAGAGAGGGGCTAATAAGCATGACAAAGTTACATGGAAATTAATAGATGAATCAGTTTCAATTTCCGTTTACATATGGTTGATAAATAAACTAGTCCCGTTCTACACAAATAAATAGAGGGCTTTCCTCTACTCATCTTAAGCTCTCATCTCTCCAATTTGCATAGGTTAAGAATTAGCCCAGAGCAGAATGTAATCTCTTAGGTCAATGTTAAGAGTAATGATGTAATTCGAGCACTCACAGTTACAATAGGCATCAATGGTCCAAATATCTCCTCCTGCATAAGCTGAGACTCTTCTGGGATATCTAACAAGATAGTTGGAGCTATTTTTCTGCATCGAATACATGATATAAGGAGAATTCATTTAAGAAGAATTGTACATTCTATTTATATACAGTTGTAACATTTCTTAACAACCAAGGAAGGTCATTGTCACTCACAATTGGTTCTCATCCATTTGGCCTCCAAGGACAATCTTATCAGAGACCTTATCCTCATCCAACAGCTTTGCCAAACGTTTAAACTGGGTTGAGCTTACTATCCTGGATATATCCTTTGAATTCATTGGATCTTTCCCAAAAAATTGCTCAAGTTCAATCTTTAGAGCTTCTATCTGTCAAGTAGACATGCTGTCAGAAAAGTAACCTGAAACATATTGAAGTGTGATGCAGAGGCTAAATAGTGGCATGCGCTCACGCATGCACATGTGTGGTGAACCTTCCTCTTTTGAGGAGACTGAAAATTCTTTGAAACCATGTTGAGGTATCCAACCGAAAAGGTCAAGGTATTAGATGGAGAGACTAAATAAGTGTATAGCCACATGAGACAGTTTGCCTATGTAATATGAGACCAATGCGTAATAAAACATACGAACTTTTTTTATTCACAATTTTAAGTTTTCCTAGGGGGGAGCATCGTACCAACTTTGGAGCAAAGTCTTTTGTAGTGATAATGTAATCAACACCGATACAAGCTTGTCCATTGTTCAATGCCCATTTTCCTGCTATTATCCTCCTAACTGCAACCTTAAAAGTTTAACACAAACAGTTAAAGCCAAGCCTCAAATTTAGATGAAACTGTAATTCATGTTGCCTGATAAGAGAACCAATTACTTGTAAATCGACATCTGAATGGACAACAGCCGGGGACTTTCCACCAAGTTCTAGAATTACAGGTGTAAGGTGTTTTGCAGCAGCAGCCATCACAATGCGCCCTATTCTTGCACTACCTGTACGGTATACAAATACTCTGTCAGTATGTTACTAGCTAGTTAGGAGTCAATCAACGCACGAAGCAAAGAACTATGTAAGAAGAACACTAAATATATGTATACATATAGTGTAACCTTCTCTTGCCAAACTTCTTTTACCAGATTTTGAATTTGAACCATGCATTTCTGTATGTGACTTGTCATACTTAGAATTAAAACGTAAAGTTATTACGTATTAGAAAAGAACTATGAACTTACCTAGGACTGCAAATGTTCACTAACTCATGTTCACTCACTGATACACGGCACACAATTAAGAAAAGCCTACCAAAATAAGGGCCAACCTTTCATGTAATGAATCGCAAGTTCGAACTATGGAAACCTCTATGGTCAATGTAGATAATACCTCCAAGTAGTGGTGGCAAGGGTAAAGCTATGGTGCAGAAAATCATATAAAATTAAAAATAAGATTCTGGAAGCACCACAGAAATTGATAATGAGGTGCATATCTTTTACCCTGAGTAGTGTAGTATATGTCACTACAAGCCTATTAAAAAAAGAACTCATATAAAATTGAGGAGGATCATCATTTGAAAGATTGATAACCTGTATAGAGTATCTTATCCCACTTCTGCTCTAAAAGTGCAGTTGTTTCTGGAACAGCCCCCTCAACAACTTTTACAGCTGAATTATCTAAATACTCCTCTACTAATTTTGCAAGAATTGAAGATGTAGCTGGAGCAATTTCTGAAGGTTTTAGCACAACTGCATTGCCAGCTGAAATAGCTCCAATGACAGGATCAAGAGATAACACTGGAAAATAAAAATAAAACAGCACGTGTTATAAAAAGACATCAATCTATATGAACAATTTGGTGGGGAAGCTTCGACAAGGTGACAAGTATGCAACTTGTGATCTGTATAACTAGCTAGTTCTGAACTGTGCTGCAACGTATTAACATACAGAAGGGAAAGTTCCATGTTGAGATGACCAACACAACTCCTAGAGGTTCTGACACAATTTCTGCTGATGATGGAAATGTTGTAATTGAAGTGTTGACCTGAAATGTGCACCAACAAATTTACTTTATATTTCACTTATTATAGTAAATATTGGAGGATATATTGGTCCAGAAGAAGAGTGGATGAGAGGACTTGTCATCCTTGACCAAAAGGATATTTACTCTAATCACCTTTTGGGGAATCATCCACTGTCTCAATTCTTTCAGTGCCTCGTTACATGAGGATTTTGCAGTAACAATCTGCATTAATAAAAAATCCATATTTATTAGTACAATGCGAAATGAAATACACAAAAATATTTATGACAAACTTATTTACAGTGAAAACATTGTGTTAAACAATGGGGTAGTCCCACTATAAGCCTTAGAGCCTCTGAATAGGAGTCAAATTTCTACAGCATGCAAACATAAGGGGAATTAGAAGCGTATATAGCACACTGAGCTTCAGGTCGAAACAAGGCAACAAATATGCATGCCATCTCCTGAGCATTTATGGGGACCATGCCATCCTTAGCGTGGATGAAAGGCTGATTTATGATGTTTTCTGGATCTCAAAGAAAGTTTTCTGAGTAACAAGAATGTTTACATGTGTCATTGCATGAGCAACGATGAGCCAGGACTGCTTGGAGTGTAATTTTTGGTTCGGAGAAAAGGTTTCTCTGCATTCGTTCTAAAATTCCTCAAATTTCCCTGAGTTCTTAGGTGCACATTTACTTATGCATTCTTAGAAGTCCTTGTTAAGAATATTGTACTAGATTCCTAGCTCAAGATCGCACAAACACAACTTGACTTGGTTTCAAAAAATGCAGAAGAAACAAACAATCAACAACAATGTAAGAGTTTAACAAACCCCAAACCAAGTTAGGCCAATAGGTGATGACAATGACAATGGTGATCCACAAAGACACCAGATTTTGCCCTCAGTTCGTCTGTCTCAACCCTATAAGAGATAAAACACTAAATTCGGTAACTGAACCCAAAACAAAGGCTAAGACTCTAAAGGACATATATAAATAGCCTTCTTAAAACCCTAAATCACAATAGAGAATGTGTTGATGTATAACCCTTTGAGCTGAAGTCCTTGGCGCCAAAGTTTTTATCTCAGTTTGTTTTTTATTCTTTTAGTTTAAATGCTATATCTGCTGGTTGCAATATGGGCCGTTGGATCCTAGTCCAAGTGGCTTCTTAAGTGTTGTGTTAGATTGTGACAGATGTAATCATCTCATAGGATGATAGTTTTAACGGCTAGAATCAAATCTTGGGTAAAGGCAGTTAGAGAAGAATCTCTCTTCTCTCTCTCCTCAACGGATATATTTGCTCAGTGAAATGGAATGAACAGTACACACTCTTCAGTTTCTAATTTCAGAGCAACGTTCTCTCTTTTTCTCATCTAAGTTTGTTTTCCTTTCTCCCAAACAGATCCAAAATACAAAATATAAGTTACAGAAACTATGAATTCTATCAGAATGTCATACAGTCAAACTAGGAGAAGGAAATAGATACCAAAAATTGGTAAAGAATATGTCAAATCAGGAGAAGAAAATCAGAACCCGCACCGAATACTTAAGCCCACGAGTCCAGGCTTGAGCTACAGAAACATTTCCTCTGGATGCTCAAGCCTACACTTGACATCATCACTAATACAACTTTCTACATATAATAAATTCTGAGGACCTTGTCAAGGCTCAAATTGGTTTTTCTCTGTGCCCTCGATACATATAATAGATACTATATCTCATTGACAGATACATATCAATGTCCTTATAGCCTCTAGAATAGATCGATCCGGGACTGTAACACACGCTCGTATTATATGCATACCAACATAATTGGGGTATCACATTGACAGATACTAAATCAGTGTCCCAGTAGCCTCTAGAATAGACCTTTGTTTTGCTTTTCAGATTCACAATTGTAGTGTATGATATGAACAAGCACTGGAAAACACACTGGGAATATTATGTATGAAAAACAAAGGAAGCAGAACTTATTTAATCAGCAGCATGGAGAAAAGGAAAAGAATGAGACCTCGGATATAAATGCTTCGACTTCAGGCTTCGAGAGGTCCTTGTAAAGAGCTTCAGTAATCTCTTTCTCTTTCTCTTCAAGCATCTTTGCAATGTTCTCCAATTGTGACATTCTCCACTCATAGCTTTTCGTCCTACCCGAATTGAAACTGTTCCGCAGCTCCTTAACTAGCTCGCCAGCTTTGTCAGGATTGAATGTTTGCTTTTCTTCCACCTCCGAGGTTACAGTTGATAGAGTTGCAAAGCAAGTTTTAGTACTGGAAACAGAAAAAACAAACAAAATGATGTAAGAAGAAGAAACTTACTTGAGAAATGATAATATATACAAATTGAACGAAATGAATGCATGTTTATGGACAAAAAGAGATCTTACGAGTAGGAAGAGAATGTAAGTTTGGTGGAGGGCAGATGCGTCTGATAGTTGGTTCTCTGAAACCTGTAAGTTAAAACTCTGCTGCTCCTAGTACCCGCCAAACTGGTTGCACTGTAATTTGAAGAACAGGAAACAAATTAAAATGAGTATTTCCAATTAAATTGTAAGTAGTATTCAGTAATAGGTAGCTAGCTTGCAAGGTTAATTAAATTTTTGGCTCTTCAAGGAATTAGGAGGCAGGACAATAAAAATTGAGAACAATTAAAATTGAAACAAACAATGTAACTTACACTGTCACTTGTGGGATCATTTGAACTCAATTAATGCATCTCTACATTAGAATATAATGATAGCAAAAGAAAATAATGGATATAATAATGACTTTAATTAATTTGAACAGTAGATAGAGTAAGGAATAAGTAAGAGTAGAAGAAGAACCTGCAATTCTTAAAAAGATCAATGCATAGGCTTTTCATGGTTGAGAGAGACAGAGAGAGATTCAATGGCTAGCTAGCTGATGGCTGTTTCATCAATGGCAGTGTCTTTGAAAACTTTGAAAGTATAAAGCCGCACGCAGGAGGGAAGAAGCCCACATGCAGGGAAAGGGAAAGCAGAGTAGTACATATAGCAGCTAGGTGAAGGACCGCAGGGACCAGCAGGCACAGAGAGAGCTAATAGCAACATTACGAGCAAATACGACGCCTTCTCTGCCGCTGAAAAGAGAAGCGGATAATGTTTCAGAAACTTGATTGGTGGGTGGGCCTAGGAGACGTGCATCATAAGCTCTCATAGGCTGAGTCGGGCTTACAAAGTAGGGGCGGGCACGATCCGAATTGGATCAGTTTTACCTGAAAATTATGGTTGAATCAATTACAATATAACGATTTGCTTCGGTTCAATTTTGATAAAAGTCATGAAGAAAACCAAACCAAACCAAACCAATTTTAGACGATTTGGTTTTGATGGTTTGGGCCTAAGCCAAATTCTCTTTCTTTCTGCAATTTTTTCAACATTCTTAACCCAATTACAACCAACAAATTCACAATTTGTTCCATACTTAAATTATTTTCTGGAGTACGAAACAATCCTAAAGCACAACATGCCATAAAACTTCAAATTTCAATAACTAATATAGCTTAATTCAAATATCCATATATAGTTATTACCTAATTAGAAATAAATATACACATAAACGGTCTGGTTTGATTTTGATTGGTTTACAAAAGTTCAAAACCAAACCAAATCAAACCGATAATTTCTATTTCATTCGGCCGAATTGATGCCCACCCCTACTAAAAACTCCCCTATATGAGTGTCATTGCACTCGAGAGGCAATGGCAGGTCCAAGCAATATCGGATTCATGAATTTTACTCCCGACGGTACACGTGTAAAAGTCCACAAATTTTTGTTAAACCAAAAAACCTGTAAAAAGATGTGTAAAATCAACACTAATTTACTTACTATCTACAAATCATCTTAATAACCACTTATCTTTCCCTACGAGACATTCCATATAAAAAAAAAGAACATGCTTTAAAATAGGCACATAATCAATTTATGTAGTAATTATTTGTATGGCTAGTTAAGATTATTATGTCTTGCTTCAAAATTATAATCCAAGATTTATCATCTACTTTTATATTACATATAGATTTCAAGAAATTAACCATAATGCACCGCACAGACACGTATAATAACCTTACATACATGGGTGAGTTAAGGTTGGGGAATTGGGTTGCTTTGGGGGAAATATGCATTCAAATTGAATTTTAGGGTTATCAGGTAAAGCTAAATAAATAAAAGGACACACGCAAGTTGTTGTCTAGCTTTCTCTAGGGCAATATATAAAGGCTTAATTATGTACATGCCTTGTGCTTTTAAGTTTATCTCAGATTACCACCTGTGGTGGAAAACGTCTCAAAGTACCCCCCAACGTATAAATAACCGTCTCAATTTACCCCCTCCGTCAAATTTTTTGACGGTCCGTTACGAACAGTGGGCCCCACTTCGTTTTAACCTTTAAGCTGTTCGAATAAGGGTTTCTCAGTTTGTAACAAAGGGGAAATTGGGTTTAGGGTTCATTGGAGAAGAGGGTTGTTGTCAAAATCTGAGGGTTCCTTCGATTTTGGGAGAATTTGGAGAAGAAATCATTGTTTGGCGTTAGACTTTAAGGCTAGAAGGTGCGAAGATGGTGGTGCTTAGAGAATCTGGAGGTTGTCAACCCATATGTAAGTGGACCCATTGTTACTCGATTTTCTTGATTTTGGCATGTGCATTGAACTGTTGTTAGGATTTTGTTTTTGTTTTTTGTATACTTTTTGACTCTGCTGGTTCTGGTTTGATCATTGTGTGGTCCTTGCATGTTCCTAGTGTGGTGTGTTGCTGGAAATTTTTTTGTTCTTTCATATATTTTTTTATTCTATGCTGGCCCCAATATACCTTATGTGGTCCTTGGGTGTTCCTTGTATTATCCTTGTGTGGTCCTTCTTTTCTCTTTGTGTGTTTTTTTTCCATTTGTTAAGTGAATGTTCCTGTTACGCAGATAAAGATGCTGATGAGGTTGTCACATTTAAGTTTTTCCATGGAGGTGAACTAGTGAAAAATAGAAAGGACAGTCAGTGGTCTTATTTGGGTGGTGAAGTCAGTTGGTTTGATTACTGTGAGGTTGACTATATGTCCATATTAGAGCTATTTGGAATGGCTAAAGATTTGGGATATGACGATGGGTATGATGTTTTTTATGGTGAAGAGTTTGGAACTAGTAGACTCATTCAAATAATATCTGATAGTACACTTTTAGCTTGTATGAGCATGGTACCTAAAAGAAATAGCAGGGTGGTAGTTTTGTACTTGAAGGTAGTGAGCTTGACTTCAAGCCAAGTGGGGAATGATAGTAGTGATAAAGAATATTCTTGTTCTGAGAATGATGATAGCAGTGATCCTGACTTTGAAGATAGTGACTATGCACAGAGTGATGAAGAGATTGACTTATTGAAGAATGATGATAAGTGGTTTGAAGGTTATGTGGATCATAGTATTTTTGACAATGATCCTAATGCAGAGCAAAATGATGAGTCAGACAATGGAGAAGAGTCACCTACACTTACCTGCCCAAATAGTTCACAAAGTGAAGATGATGCAGTGGGTGAAGTAAGAAGGAAGAAGAATAGGATGCCAAAAGGTGAAGATTTCAGACCTGAAATTGATATGGGAAGCCCAAGTTTCAAAATAGGTTTAAGGTTTGCAACTGCCGAGTTGTTTAGAAAAGCTGTGAGGATATACTTTATTAATTGTGGAAGGGAGTTGATTTTTATGAATAATGACCGTAACAAAATAAGAGTAGTATGTGAAGAGGGCTGTCCTTTTGTTATCCATGCTTCAAGTGTTAGTGGTAGCACTTACCTGCAGGTGAAAACCTTTAATCCTACACATGTTTGTAGCAAGGGGACTAAAAATATACATGCTACTGCTGGCTGGTTGGCTGAAAGATATTCTGGGCAGTTAAGGCTCAATCCAAATTGGACTGCTTCTTCTTTTGTAGAGCAAGTTCACCAAGACTATGGTTACAGACCATCTAGAGCAACTGTGTACAGAGCAAGAGCCATGGCAGTTGACATTGTAAAGGGGTCTTACAGTAAACAATATGAAGTATTGTGGGAATATTGTCATGAGTTAAGAACCAGGAATGTGGGAAGTACAGTTATCATTAAATCTGAAATGGAAGGTGATAGGCCACGGTTTCAAAGAATTTACATCTGTCTTGCAGCCTGCAAGAAGGGGGTTTTAGATGGTTGTAGGCCTGTGGTTTGCTTGGATGGGTGTCATGTCAAAGGGCCTCACCCTGGGCAAGTGCTTTCTGCAATGGGAGTTGATGCAAACAACGGAATGTTTCCACTTGCCTATGCATATGTAGAGATTGAGGCAATTCAACATGGCTGTGGTTTTTAGAATTATTGAGTGGTGATCTCAATATTACGAATAGCCATGGTTATGTATTTATGACTGACAAACAAAAAGGGTTAATAGATGCTGTGGATGCTCTATTCCCTCATACAGAGCATAGACATTGTTTGAAACATATATATGGGAACTTCTATTTGGAACATAGAGGTCTTGCCTTGAAACATCAAATGGAAGCAATTGCTAGAGCCACAACAGTGCCATGGTTTCATGCAGAGATGACAAAGATGTTGCAGTTGTCTAAACCTGCACATGATTGGCTCATAGAGAAAGATCCTAGGCATTGGAGTAGGGCATATTTCAAGAGTGATTCCAAGTGTGACATGCTTATGAACAATCTATGTGAGGCATTCAACCGTAGCATAATGGATGCCCGAGACAAGCCTATTCTGACTATGCTAGAAAGAATTCGGTTGTATATAATGTTGTTGATGGCGAGAAGAAGGGTTCTTTGTGAGAAATGGCATGGACAAGTTGGGCCAAGAATTAGAAAGATATTAGAGAAAAACAAAGGAAAAGATCAGTGGTGCATTCCTAAGGCTGCTGGACAGAATCAGTTTGAAGTAATGCACCATAGTGGCCGCACCTTTGCTGTTGATTTGAATGCCCACTCTTGTTCATGCCATGTTTGGGATTTGAATGGAATACCATGTTTGCATGCATGTGCTGCAATAAGTTGGTTTCATGGGAATCCAGAGGACTTTTGTGATGCAGTGTACAAGAAAGAGGCTTATTTGAGAGCCTATGAACCAATGATTATGCCTATGACTAGCCAAGATCAGTGGATGAAGGTTAATTTACCTTCATTACTCCCTCCGAAATACCACAAGCAGCCTGGTAGGCCTAAGAAGACAAGAAAACAAGCTGTTGAAGAACCTAAACAACCTGCTAATCCATATAAGCTTCCTAGGTATGGCATCCCTTTAAAGTGTGACAATTGCGGTGGAGAAGGGCATAATTGAAATAGTTGTAAGGTATGTGGTTTTTAGAATTATTGCTTTACATTTAAATGTATTTGATTTGGTTTTGACTTGATGACTTTGGTTATTAGGAACCTAGAAATCCCAACATAAAGCCTACTAGGAAGAGGAACATTGCCAAGGACAAACTTGCAGTAAGTGCCACGGTTTCAACTATGTTTTCACTCATCACAATTTTATATCATGGAAACTTCTAATTATTATTTGTTTTAGGTAAGAAGGAGAGATGGTGGAGACCAAAGTAGCGGACAACAGAGTATGCAATTAAGGCAGAGGAAACACTCAAGCACTTCCCAAGGGCCTTGTCAATCCTAGGCATCTCAAGTAGCTGTTGCTTCTCTATCCCAACCATCTGAAGCAGCTGATGCTTTTCAATCCCAGCCATCTCAAGCACCTGAACCTGCCAAATTATCTTGAGTACAACAACATAGGAGGAGGATGAAAGATCAACAGAGGAGCCATTTTGTCAAAGATCCTTTTTTTCATCCTTGAATGTTGTGGAAGACTTTAATGGTCCAGACATGGTTGTTGGTTTGTGGGATTATTGATGTCTGTTATGGTTGGAACTTGTTTTGGTTAGAACCTGTATATTTGATGTCTGTTATGTTTGGAACCTATTATGGTTGGACCTGTTTTGGAACCTAAATATTTGATTTATGTTATGGTTTGAATATTTGATGTATGTTATGGTTGGAACCTATTATGGTTGGACCTGTTTTGGAACCTGAATATTTGATGCATGTTATGGTTGGAACCTATTTTGGAACCTATTTTGGTTTGTGCATATTTCCTAAGGTTGTTATGGTTGGAATCTGTTTTGGAACCTGTTTTGGTTTGTGCATATATTCATAAGGCTGTTATGGTTGGAACCTGTTTTGGTTTGTGTTCTGTTTTGGAACCTGTTCTGTTTTGGTTTGTGCTTATAATGACAGGTGCTTTTGCTAGTTTTGGGCTTTGCCTCTTGCTTTCCAGATTCCAGTAAACTTTGGCATGTTACCAAAGGCTACATATCCACCATAAACTTTGGCAAAGAAGGAAGGTCCTGTTTTTTTAGGGAAAACTGAATTTTGGTTATCTTCTTCTAGATTCATCAAGAAATTACCATTCAATTTACCATTCATATCACAGATCAAACTTAACTAGCATTACATTACTTAACTAACTAGCATTACATTACTTAACTAACTAGCATTACATTCATGTCACCATTTGTAACCTCTAAACAACTTACCATTCATGTCACCATTTGTAACCCCTAAACAAATTACAATGAACAAACTTAACTAGCATTACATTATATTACACCAAATGACATTACATTACACTGCCAAAGTGTCTTACATTAGATTAGCATTTGTTCTCAAATTAAATTTGCCCATTAAACTACTGCCAAAGTGCTTAACTACTGCCAAAATGCCTTACATTACATTAACATCAGGTATCAAATTACAATGCCCACTGAACTACTGCCAAAGTGCCTAATTCATCTTCATGGCAAACACCACCAACCAGGAAAGCAACATAGCAGCCCACAATATTTTTGACTTTGCTCGAATCTTTGCATTTTCCTTCTCCACCCTATCAATCTTCCTCAGCAAACCAGGTATCAACGACTTTGAACGCTCACACATTTCTGCATCAAACCACTGAAAAAACCTACATCCTTTTTCTCCCCTTCCCTGTATCAACCAAGAACAATGACTGAAAATTTGGGTGGTAAAATGACTGAAAATTTCATCAATCACTGACAATTTCATCACTAACAACTCTATCAATTTGTGATGCCCAAAACAATGACTGAAAATTTTATCTTAAACATGCTTACCTTTGACTTTGGGCAGACTAGAAATCTTCGCCTTGGGTTTGAACTGGTCCAAGAAGTCTGCATCCGTGCTAACTTCCCACAATGACACCATTGGCCATGCCGTCCTTCTCCTTGCTTCTCTCCCGTTTCCATTATCCCAAATCTTCTACTCCACAATCTTCCAATTTCAAACTCCACCTCAGAGTTACAAACAATGATTTCTTCTCCAAATTCTCCCAAAATCGAAGGAACCCTCAGATTTTGATAACAACCCTCTTCTCCAATGAACCCTAAACCCAATTTCCCCTTTGTTACAAATTGAGAAACCCTTATTTGAACAGCTTAAAGGTTAAAACGAAGTGGGGCCCATTGTTCGTAACGGACCGTCAAAATATTTGACGGAGGGGGTAAATTGAGACGGTTATTTATACGTTGGGGGGTACTTTGAGACGTTTTCCACCACATGTGGTAATCTAAGATAAACTTAAAAGCACAGGAGGCATGTACATAATTAAGCCATATATAAAACAGATGGTGACCATGGCTTGCCCATCCATCCACCACATGCAGGGGTCAATATTTTTTGCTCTAGGCGGCGATTCTAGCCTTTTTGGGGTCACTTGACCACCTTGTTTTTATGTGGATCTGCTATTGGGTCTAGGAACTTTTTATTCAAGAGTTAATTTTTTTTTTTTTTTAAAAAAAAAAAAAAAAAAAAAAACAAAAAATATTAAACTTAAAATATTATTATAATATCATTATTCAAGGAATACATAATATTACAAGCAAAAATTTTCCATGATGAGTTTTCATATTTAAATAAAATGTCACATTGTTTATATGCAAGCTAGCAGTACAACATCAAAGGAAAGGCAACTCATGATTCGAACATTGTTCCAATATATGAACATTGTCCGATGTATTATTTTGTTCACGTATTCTTATTCTATTTGCTACAGGTTAATTGTGTTTATTCCCCACCCCCCCTACAGGTTAATCGTGTTTATTTCCCCCAAACAAAAAAAAAAAAAAAAAAAAAAAAAAGGTCTATTTTCAAGTTGATACATGAACTATTAAATCTATAAATGCATGCGCAAACTCTAATAAACCCTAAAAAGTGCCCCATCCGTTAGTCAAAATGTTAGTAAAATTGTTAAATGCCTATGTTGATGCTGGTTTTTGAATCATCGCTAGAACGACAGGATCACAATCATACACACACATACACACACACACACACACACACACACACACACACACACACACACAAAACAAGTGTTTGAGTGGTTCACCAATAATTGGGTTACGTCTACTATAGTCATAATTGTGTTTGTATAAGAGCTATATACATTTATTTGAGAGAGAACCTAGCAAAAGAAAAGTGAGATAGAGGAGCTTTAGAGTAGGGCATCTCAACTATTTAGGGTCCCTATTAGAAATATGCCCTAAAGTCAAACATGGAAAGTTTGGAAAACTCACACACACACACACACACACACACACACACAAAACAAGTGTTTGAGTGGTTCACCAATAATTGGGTTACGTCTACTATAGTCATAATTGTGTTTGTATAAGAGCTATATACATTTATTTGAGAGAGAACCTAGCAAAAGAAAAGTGAGATAGAGGAGCTTTAGAGTAGGGCATCTCAACTATTTAGGGTCCCTATTAGAAATATGCCCTAAAGTCAAACATGGAAAGTTTGGAAAACTGTAGTACATGTCTGGTTTTGGGCCATTTTTTAAAATGCTTTGAGATTGAGTGCTAAAAAAGAACACTGTGAAATTATAAGGGAAACACCATTTTGGGGTCTTTTAAAAGCTTATGACGAAAGGTTGGTTAGCAACATGTATAAGAAGACTTGTATATATAATTAGATTAATTTTCAAAGCTATTTCAGACTAGGTGGTAGATGTGAAAAGTTCACACCGTTTGATGTTGAGGAACCAATTGGCTTGCCTAATGTTGGTCATCAAGAGATAAATTTAATAAACGGAGTTCGAAAAATGAGGCAAATTTTGAAGCCATTAGAGCACCTCCACCCCAGGCCCCCAGCCCTGGCAACAGGCCCCCCCAAGGGCGATTTGGACCCCCAGCACGCAAAAGGCAGCCCGGGCAAGGCATGGGACCCATTAGCCCGGGCAAGCCCATGGGCAATTCTTGACTAGGCTTAAGCCTTAAGGTGCTGACGTCAGCAAACCAAAATCAAATTTTTTTTACCGTTGGCATGTGAATTTCAAGCGCCAATGGTAAAAAAAATTTGATTTCAGCCGCTGATAGGCCCCAACGGGAAGACACCAAGTGGCGCTTCCCGGAGGCTCCGATCGAATTTTGTCCATAAATCCAATGGCCATACAAACTATTCTCCTTCCAATATTTATTACTTTCTACTCACATTTTTCTACTACTTTTCATTTGTATCAAAAAAACAAATGGCCTTTTCTATCGAAGCCGGAGGCCTGTGGACAACTCAGGAAGATATTGTGTTGTGTGAGGGTTGGGTAAAAGTTAGTCATTGCCCGGTCATGAGCAATGAGATGAAATTCTGTCATATGTGAAGAAAAATTCATGGAGAATTTTGTGAAAGATCGGGTTCGTCTCGGACGGAAATGGCCTTGGCTAGTAGGTGGAAAATTTTGAATAAAGAGTTGGGAAATGGAGATATGTGTTGGCAAAAGCGAGGGACAACATTCGAAGCGGTCAAAATCTTGCTCATGAGGTAAAATATTTATAAATGCCGTTTTATTCAATTTAATGTAACTTTTTTCTTGCATATTCATTTTTTTTTCTTGCATTTCCAATTTGTTTATATTTTCATGCATAATCAAATTTTTTTCTTGCATATTCATTTTTTTTTCTTGTATTTCCAAATTGTTTATATTTTATTACATTTGCAATTATTTATTTTTAATAGATCATATAAGCACAAATGTAGTTCGGTGTCATGGGCCAAGACAAAAAAAGTTTCATGAATCACCAATGTTGGGATGTTGTGAAGAATTGTCCGAGATTCAAAATAATTTCCACAGGTCCGATGATTTAAGAGTTGACTTTTTATTGGAGGGAGATTAAATGATTAAATGATTAAATGATTAAATGATTAAAGTAAGAGGAAATAAATTTAAATGAGAAAATAAATTTAAATAAACAATAAAATAAAATGATTTGAATTAATTAAGGTTTTTAAAAATTAAAGATATTATTTAATTTAAAAAGGGGCAAAAATGTCATTTTAAGTTCGGGAAGGAATTTGGAAATTCCAATTGGACCGTTGCATAGAGCACATCGAAGCGAGTCCATAGACATGTAGTGGACTCGAATCGGAGTTGTAACGAAGAAATGGCGATCAAAAGAAGTTCAGTGGCATAATCGTAAATATTTTGAAGTTCAGCTTTTTTGAAACCCAGAATGTCTTCCTTTTGGGCAGCTCGACCAGCCAACTTCAAAGGGTGATTTCTCCCAACTCCGGCCACCATTTCAAGAAAGACCGGTCCCGTTAGAACCACCACACTTCCCTTTTCCAGCCCCAGTCCTTCTCCGGCTCTATTCGCCGCCGTAGTCGCCTGAAACAGTCAAGAAACAGGCGGTCTTGAACAGCTTTTTCGTAAACTTTCGCTGGCTCGTTCTCCCTCTTCCGGCCACCATTTCAGGCTAGTGAGGTATGCTTTCTCACCTATTTTTCATGATCTAGCTGATGGTTGGGTAGGAATTTATCAATTTTGAGCCTAGGTAGTTCGATTTTCGAATTGGATTTTGGCCGGTTTTGGGATCGCGATTCCGGCCACTTCCGGCCATTTTTTGGGGTATGTCCAAGAACAAAAGTGACTCCAAATGGGGTTTTACACTTAGGGAAGGAAGCTTAGCTGGCGGTTTGGAGTTTTTCTGGCCGCCAGAAATTACTCAAGGCATCCACGCGCTGCCGGCGCGTGGGCCAGGTAATTTACCGGCATTATGTCATAAAATGATCTCCTGGTCCTCACGAGTGCGTATGTACTTTCGGATTCCAATTTGGTTAATGTTTGAACCCCAAACGGATCTCACCTATTGTGCGATTTCTGGGTTCGATTGGTTCGAACCGTTGGATCGTCTGAATTTAATTTATGTTAATCTAGACATCCCTCGGATCGTGAATCGGAGACCCGGATGTTCCGATTCAATAACATAAAGTTTGCATTTTACGATAACCGTCCGATCGTGATCAATCTGACAGTCGGATTCGGACCAAACTCACAGGACGTGGTTATTAAAATATGTAGAACCTATAGAAACTTTCGGATCGGAAATCGGAGGTCGTGGGCCCCACGGGCCCGATTGACCAAGTTTGGGTAGTTAGACCACTCGGTTGACCGTGAGTCTTCCGAGGTAGTTTTACCCTTTGAGAGGTACTAGAACGGCCATGTAAGTGAGTCTTGACCGTTATTTGGGTTCTAATTATGTTGGGATTAGGAGTTTGTTTTATAGTATCTTGTAGAAATTCTTGGATTTTGTTATTTACAATTGAAGTTATGGAATGGGCGAGCTTGAGATATTGGATTAGTGGGTCGTGAAAGTGAGCCTTGGACTCTGCTATAATTATTAGTAATTAAGTGGTTTTTGTTTTAAAATGTGCATTATTTTCAGTAATTAAATAAATATGCATGAAATATAGTTTGAATGAAAATTTGGGAAATTTAAATATATTTGTTTTAGTATTATTTAATTGTGAATTTGGGTTATCTCGAGATTTGAGAGCTTGATTTGCTTTGGCGATGAGTTTATATTGAGTTCAAATTATTTGTGATGAGGTTTGGATGAATTATGGTGAATTGGGTTAATAAATAATGTTGATTATTTTGGAAGGTATATAATTACACTATGTTAAGTACCATTTCCTAGTTATTGGATTTCCACATGTGGCGTTAGAAATTTTCCGGCGTGTGGGAAGAATATGTGATTATATGGTCTCACATGTGGCGTTGGAAATTTTTCGGCGTGTGGGAAGAATATGTGATTATCTGGTCTCACACGTGGCGATGGAATATTCTGGCGTGTGAGACTCTTCCCACACGTGGCGTTAGAAATTTTCTGACGTGTGGGAAGAATATGTGATTATCTTGTCTTACATGTGGCGTTGGAATATTCTGGCATGTGAGACATTTCCCAAACGTGGCGTTGGAAAATTCGGCGTCTGGGAAAATATGTGATTATTGGATCTCACATGTGGCGTTGGAATATTCCGGCATGTGAGACATTAAGATTATGTTATTAGCTCATCACACGTGGCGTTGGATTATCCGATGTGTGATAGAGGATTCGGATACTTGGGTTATCTTTGCTTTCAAATTACTTGATTTAAGAACATTCTATTTCAAATTACTTGAAGGCCAGAGGCCTATTACGTAAACTACATGTTACTACTTTGTGTATGCTGCTTGTTGGGATATTTTTTTCATTGTGTTTTTAACAGGTTGAAAATTTGGGAAATGTCCAATTTATAGGGGAGATTCTGCCAAAATTTTCGACAAAAAGTCTCTGTCTTTAATAAGTAGGCTCGGCTTCGGTGCAATGTCGGAAATTTCACAGGATTCGTTCCGGGTTCTGAGGAATTCGGGATGGGTCTTGTCAGAGACGCTGCTCCACAATTCGCCGGCAACCAATTCGACATTGGACTCCCCAATGGATCAAGATTCAGCAGTCCAACGTCAGCTGAGACCTATTGGGAGAAAGGCAGGAAAGGCCAAGAGAGGGAGCACTTCGAACAATGAATGTGCACAATTTTTGGAGCAAATTGCTAGGAACGACACACTAAGAATTGAGAGAGACTTGAAAAGAGAATAAGCGAACAAGGCACGACATGGAGCATTTGCAATGCAAAGGCAGCAGGCACAAGAACAAGACATGGAGGACAGAGAGATGAAAATCATGGCCATGAATATGAGCCATATGTCTCATGAAACAAAGTCTTATTGGAATTTAAAACGAAGGGATGTTATGAGAAGAAAGCTTTTCCATGACGATGGACCTAGCAACACGGATGGGTTAAATGATCAAAACCATTAGGTTGTATTGAAAGAGTTGCCATATGTATTAATGTGTTATATTGTTTCCCTTTTATTCAATATGTATTAATTTGTTGTATTGTTTCCTTTTTATTCAATAAAGAAAGCATTAAAAAATATAGCTATTTATTAAAAAAATTTCATACATCAAAACTTCGCATAATTAAAAACAAACCTTAATTCATTGCAAACCATACACAAAACAAAGCATAATTCCAAACAAACCACACACAAAACAGAGCATAATTAAAAACAAAACATTAAACTTCACTTCATCCACTGTGATTGCCTTTCATCTCCCACAAGTGCTCGATCAAGTCAACTTGATGTCTCTCGTGAACATACAAAGATTGCATTTCTTGATAACGATCAATCATGAGGTTGTTGTATCGACCATCCCAAATTAATGGTTCGTGCTCCATTGGTTGTCCATTTGCTCACATCGGCCTTTCATAAATTTTAGTCTATGACGTGTTCATGGGATCAAGTTCGAACACCTCTAGAACATCATAATCATACTCATCATCCACAATCCTATTATGGAGGATGATGGAAGTCATCATAATGCTCCACAACACCTCCTCATCAACCATCCGAGCAGCACCCGTTATAATTTTCCAACGAGCTTGCAAGATACCCAAACACCTTTTCACGTCTTTCTTATAACATTCTTGAAAGCAGCAAAGCTTTTTTCCTTCTCGGATTGGGGATTCAGAATTGTTTTCTCGAATGTCGTTCACCTCGGATAAATTCCATCGGCGAGGTAGTACGCACCCAAGTATACGATATTGTTGATTAGGTATGTGATATGAGGGGAATGATCTCTCAAGACATCGTTGAATACCAAGGGATTAACCAAGGACATTGAGGTCATTCTGTGATCAGGCAACTCCGAAGAAAGCATGCCAAACCCAAGTGTTGAATGAAGCTACGGCCTCCAGAATTATACTTTTTTGGCCCTTTCGATTCTCATAATCTCCTTGTCAAGTAGTTAGGCAATTCTTCCACTGCCAGTGCATGCAATCGATGCTTCCAATCATGCCTGGGAAACTTCGAGCCTCGAGTTTTTGTACAAGCCTTCGGAGGTCCCTAGCCGTAGGTTTGCGGAGGTACTCCATATTGTAGAGATTTTCTATTGCATCACAAAATCTGACCAAGCACTCTAAGATAGTGGATTTTCACATCTGCGCAATCTCATCCACCTGCTTTGCAAATGCCTCATATGCAAGCATCCGCAAAGCAGCTGTAAATTTTTGCTTTGGAAGAAGACCCAAAACCCCAACAGCATCAGACTTCTGAACTAAGTATGTGTCGTAATTCCAAATATCTTGCATGATTTTTTTTTGGAAGAAATGAGACTGTATTCTATATCTCTCTTGAAAATAAGAAACATGATATAACGAATTTGGGATAAAGTAATCTTCCAAGATATTCTTACCCCGAGACTGCCTATGTCTGTTCAAAGTTCGGGGCATGACGACGGTGGTGTTGCCTTGATTCATTGAGCATACACACCGCTACAACCATTTCTTCCTCCTCTTCATCGGCCTCACGATCTTCTTTAGCATGTCTGCTGACAGGACCCGACCCAAATTCCACTTTGGAATCTGAGCCGAACCCTGTGCGTGATCGACACCTGGCGGGTGCCGAGCACAAATGACCTAATTGCCCTTCTTGTTAAAATTTAAACTTTTTGCAAGTTTGACTTCTACCAAAAATTCGGCAGAGTTTCCCTTGCAAATCGAACATTCCCAAAATTTACACCTGTCAACAAGCATTTAAATATATACATCAACTTCCAGTATACATATATAAATACGTTCCAGCAGTTAAATATGTCCTAGGGCAATATCAGAGCAACTATACAGATCAATTTACAAGGAAGAAAACAACTTGTGAACCAAGGAACCCTACATCAAACTGAGGAAGTGCGGGAAGCAGAAACTGCCCTGTGGTGGCTCACGGATGAACATCTACTGCTTGGGGGCGTAAAACATTAAAAAGGTGAGTGGACCCAAAAACAAAGTTTAGAAAAATACATAAGAACGGAATAACCCCACTGTAAAACTAGTTATTCAAAACTAAAACATTCTCTTCATTATATACGTACTGAAATCAATGCAATCGTATATTTATACATATATATATATATATATATATACCAATCATACTCATGGTCAACTTAAACTCTTAAAAGCACTGAAATCAGTTTAAAACTACCACCTAGGTGTACCCCTTATTTCCTTCAATCCCTGATATCCGTCAATTCCTCGTATCACCATTGGTGACATGCTCTCGCAGGTCTCGGTGACACAAGGTCAACCCGAGCCACAAACTTGCATGATTCAGGGGACATAAGTCAACCTGATCCGCATCCTCGCTCCGCACGAGTCCGGGTACCATAGAACTCGTGGGGCAACTGTCAAGCATGCTGACTAAACCGAAGGCAACCAATAAAATCCGAAGGCAACATATTTACCGAAGCCAACCAATTTATCCGAAGGCAACATGTTTCTATATGGGTACTTAAGGTGGCTTAAGAAAATATAAAATTTCTGAAAGATCTGATGAATAACTGGATTTCTGTAAATCTAAAACTCTGTTGCCATTAATCTGATATTTAGCTAGAATTTCCTTTTCCTATATCCATAAAGGATATCCCACTCGGCATCATATAAATCAAAATATGTAAAAGCACAAACCAACTTATAAAACACTAATCTTTGAACAAACTTATTCAAGATCAAATACTGTAACTGAATTACATAAATTCATTTTTGAAAACAAAGAGTCCACTCACAGTTGGTTCGGGCTCGCTGGACCTTTTAAAGGTCCCTCCTGCGGGTCAACTGGTGCTCGGGTGCCTGATTCAATTACCATAATATTATATTGATATACTTACTCAATATAATAATAAACTAAAAACCCTGACCTCGGCTCCTAGAAGTGCGTGCATCACATTAAAGTTATTCCAATGCCCGCATTAACGTCCCTTTGAACCTAGGATACATGTCCCGTGACTCTGGTCTTGATCGGACAGTTGGATTGGTCACGATTGCACGATCAAATGGTTCCCAAAACCTTAACCCTAGGGTTTGCGATTTCGGAGTATCCAGGACTCCAATTCACAATCCGTCAAACCCTAAATGATCCTGGTATTGTCTAGATTAACATATCTGAAAAAGATTACGATCCAATGGCTCAACTGTATTAAATCCGGAAATCACACACGATGCGAGATCCGTTTGGGGTTCAAATGTTGTCCGAATTGAGATCTGCGAATTCCTACACGCTCGTGACAACATGAGGATCATTCTAGGACTGAATGTGGTTCCCACAGACTGCCCACACGCTGCCACACGTGCTGGCAGCGTGTGAGTAACCCAAGCGATAAAGCTTCGCCGGAAAATCTCAGTAGATATGGCTCAAGACTCCTATCCTAGGTGTAATACCCTATTTGGAACCACTTTTGTTCTTGGACCGACCCCAAAAAGTGGCCGGAAGTGGCTGGAATCACCATCTCAAAACCGGCTAAAACCTAAATCGAAAATCAACCCATCAAACTTAGAAATTTCTCAAATTCTACCCAACCATCAGCTAGAGCATGGAAAATAGTTAGAAATCCATACCTCACTCGTCCGAATTGGTGGCCGGATGACGGAGATCGAAAGCTTGGAAGTTCTTTAAAACCCGGCGACTTTCCTTTGAATTTTCCGGCAGTTTCGCGGCGGCTGACGGAGGAAAGTGGTCGGGGTTTGAAGGTGGCTCCGAGCTGGTCCTTTTGGCACCGGCGGCAAGGGCTACGGTGGTCGGACGTGGTGGCTATGGAGGTTTGAAGGTTCGGCTTGAGGGAGGATGTCGGGAGAGAGAAGAGACTGAGGGCAGAGAGAGAATTGGGGTTTTAAAAATCTGGCTTTGAGAAATTACCATTTTGCCCTTCTATATATTTTGACCATAATTCCTTCATTATAACTCCGATTCGAGCCCACTACGTGTCTACGGACTCGTTTCGTCGTACTCTACGCAATAGTGCGTGTGGAATTGTCAAATTCTTTATCGGTCAAAAGTCAACTTTTTCTTCAATAAACTAATCCAAGGGCAAAATTGTCCTTTCCTCTTAATAGTTTAATAATTAAATATTAATTAAGGTTTGGGTTATTACATCTGCGCTTGATTTCTTCCTTTTCTCGCTCTTGTCTTTCCAACACCCTCCTCAGGTTAGACATTGAGAGTAGAATGTGTTTTGTAAAATTTGAGAAATGAAATACTAGAGAAGATATGGTGTAAGATGTATGAGTTGAGGTTGTAGTTTTATAGAGGGATTGACGTGGTGCAATTTTAGAGGGTGAAAATCTTATCTGAAATATGAGATTATAATTTTTTAGTAAATATCCAAAAATCTTATCTGATATGGGACACGTGGTGCAATTTTAGAGGGTGAAAATCTTATCTGAAATATGAGATTATAATTTTTTAGTAAATATCCAAAAATCTTATCTGACATGGGACACGTGGTGCAATTTTAGAGGGTGAAAATCTATTTGAAATATGAGACTAGATTTTTAAAATAAATATCCGGAAATCTAATTTGAAGTAAGACACGTGGCAACCGAAAATCTTATCTGAAAATTTAATTCGAAAATGTTATCTGAAATTTTAGGTGAGAATTTTATAATAAATAGTGATATGTGGCAACCGAAAATATTATCTGAAAACCTTATCAAAATTAATGGTTTAAGGATAAAAAATAGAAAATAAATTAAAGTGAATAGTGTTTGCCCTTGCCCCTTGGGGTGGAACCAAAAAGGCAAGGCTGCCACTATTCATGTGAATAGTGTCAAACCTTGCATTGCCTTTGCCTTACCCTTGCCCTTTGTGGTGGAGGTGCTCTTAGAAGGGTTAGCATGCAAAATATTGAATATGTAATGTTTAAAGTAGGTACAGAGACCCAACAAGAATGTTAAGATTTTGTATGCCTTATGTATTTTCATTTTTGTATTACAGTATTCTTTTGCAATAGTGATAATTCAATCTCTTGAAACATAATTTCACATTTTCAAGATGTCTGAATAATGACAAACTATAATTGGGCAAATGCAATATCAAAGCTTTTGGAAAGAAAAATCTTAAAGAACTGCTAAAAGTCAACATCTGTGTCCAGATGTTTGTTGCGCTGCTGGTATGAAGTTTACATTGGATAGTTTGTAAAATAGTAATTTTTTTCAATTCAATTATAGTTATAGTTTTGGAGTAAAATAGTTTTGGTTTTACGAGAAAATACCTTTGCTTGAGCCCTTGAGAGATAAAATGTATTGTTTGGGCCTAAAAATTGACACACCCAGCCCAGCGAAAGTGAGGCCCAAAACCTGGGCCTTACAGCCCCATTGTGATGGAAAGGGAGAAGCCCAGAATTAGGAAACAAACCCACGTGACATTTCTGGGATAAAAGGAAAGTCAACAATGGCAACTGTCATAAGAGAAGTGATTGAAAAGTTTATGTCATCAAGCTGTTCTGAAAAAAAGCCTTGAAAAATCAGAAGATAAAAATCTCTCTTACATATACATATATCTATATTAAATCAGAGATCTTTTTTCTACTCTACGAAGAGGGTAATTCTCCCAAAAAGATAAGCAAGCTACAAGCTCAGAGAAAGATAAGCAGGAAAGTAGGCAGCTGTCCAGAAATAACCATCACGAGTGAAATCTCACAAGGGGCAGTTGAAATTAAGAAGAGAGATTAGGTTCTTTCTCAAGAAAAACAGGGAAGTGATTGCCTATCTGTTGAAAGCCTATCTGCCAAAACTGATAAAATCCTACTTTCTTTCTTTCCATTTTTTAAGAAAAAGGGGGGAGATATCTTCTGAAAGAGATTTGCCGCCCATTATTAATTTTTTCACTATAAATACAAAGAGGAGTGAACAGGGTAAAAAACAACAACAAAAAATTCATCACCCAATCAAACAAGGATCCTACACAGGAAAACCGTCAAATAGACAAGTTCAAAATCAACCAACAAGCCCACTTGAATTTCAAGTGAAACCAGCTCCAGATCAGAATTCCCAAAATCCAGATTTAAGAAGCAAGTCATTCAAAACGAGATTTCTCTCGTTACAAATTTGGTTCAGCAAAAAACCAAAACAGGCAGGGTTTGAATCTCCTCCAAATATGGAAAACTTCAACAAAATTCACAGTACAGTCTCTAGCCCACTGAAGCCCTCAAAAACAGTCACTCCTGCCCGTGCAGATTGAGAAAACTACAGTTTTGCCCACTCAAAAGCTTCACAAAAGCATGAGGTACATCAAAGCTCTGCCAGAATCAGCCTTTGGTATCGATTTACAAGTTGAAGCTTAGCTGTCAAGGTTGTCAACGGTCCAGTCCAGCCCAAGCGTTTCCAGTCCAGCCCCTGCATCTCCAGTCTAGCCCAGACCAGAACCTTCTATCTCGACGGAAATAAAGTCCCGGCTGTCTCTTCATCTTTCTCTAGCATGAGTATTCACTGTTATTATTTTTGTAAAAGGCAGTTCCGCCTAAAAGACAGTTTAAATCCCATCAACCATTCTGGCCAAGGCAACCTCTCTATACTGAGATAAATTGTTAAAGTCCTCACCAGTCTGAGGCAGGAAAAGAACTTACTTGGGAGATATTCCTCACCCAAATTCACAATCGTTTGTTTACATAAATCAGTAACTTGGGACGCAAGTTATCCATTCCAAACTAAGTCTGCCAGAAATTTTGCTGGCAGTGGCACGCTCACACACCAAAGAAAGCTGACTTGTTGACCAGTTTATGGTTCTCAAGCCAGTGGGGAACTTTGCCCTTCCATCATAGGAGTAAACACAAAACGGGTGAACAATTTGGCACGCCCAGTGGGACTTCTCAGTATACATATTCTCATTGAGTTCTTCACCAGTTCATGAATACTGGAAGCTCTAGCCAGAACCCACACCACGACATGGAGATAAACCAAGTGGCCCTCGGGGAAGGACTGGAATCAGAAGAAAGTGATGCCCGGCATTCAGCACATGGCAGCACAGGGAGTAGGAGGTCCAGGACCGGCTCCAGAAGGATGAACCTGATACAGGAATCTGTGTTATGACAAGAGGTCACAACACAAAGGAGCCAAGATACTCTAAATAATATGACAGCCATGATGCAATGGCAGGTCAACAGGCAATTCAGGAAGGATCGAGAGGCTGCCATGGCCAGAATTCCCAATCCCGATGAGGTGGTCCAGCAACTAGACCTTCCCTATGGTCCCCCACCAGGATTGGCGTGGCCATATCAAGAGAATCCTCTTGTTGCACAGGTAGCTGGGATACCAGTACGGGGGGGAATCCAGGCTGGATACGGGGAAGTGGCTTTTCCTATCCAAGAACGTCTGGCCCCAATACGGCCAGAAGGTCCTGCGCCAGGACAAGTTCCGCAGAATCAGCCAGAGCCTCAGCCTGCTCCGCAACAAGCGGCCCACAAGATCACCCTATGGAAATTCTGCCTGAACATCCAGTAGTATTACCCTACAGGCCCAGAAGGATGGACCCCAATCCATTCCCTCCACCTGCAAGAGGAAGAAGAGGCAGAGGGGGAAATTACCCTTATGCTAATAACGACAGGAACAGGCAGGGGGCAAACTGGAGGAACCACCCAGGCCTGGAAGAGCCGGAGGAGCACAGGGAAGAAGTTCTGCCTAGACCATATAGGGCAGAACCACGATTTAATCATGCCCAGCCAGAACAGGGACAAAACCTCCTCCCTGTTAATGCTCTAAATGACGTGGGGGCATTGCAGAGGATGATAAGGGAAATGATGGAGCCTGAGGCCAGGAGGGGGGAAAGGCCCACCTATAGGAAGCCATATCCACCTTACATTGATCAGATACCCTTGTCCCCAGGTTTTAAAGTACCAAACTTCACTTTATTCAACGGAGAGGATCCTCATGCTTCATCAGTTGAGCACGTAGGCAGATTTTCTACCCAATGCATAGCCATAGAGAATAACCCACTGTTAAAGCTAAGACTTTTTGGGAATTCTCTCTCTGGACAAGCTTTCACTTGGTACACTAATCTGCCAGCAAATTCTATCAGACATGGGAGCAAATGGAGAGCGTCTTCCATGACTACTATTACAGGATTCAGCCAAAAGTCACCATCAGTGACCTTGCCGCTCTCAAACAGAGTGAAGATGAACCTGCCCAAGACTTTATAAACAGGTTCAGGAAGCTCAAAATGAAGTGCCGAATCCCCATCGAAGAAAGACACTTCATCCAAATGGCTCAGGCTGCCCTCAAAATTTCTCTGAGGAAAAGATTTGATGGGATGCTGTTTGGAGATCTGGCAGAACTGGCAGATAAAGCGGCCAAGTACGAGGAATTGCTCAGAGAGGAACAGCAGAAGAGAAACTCTTCCAAAGGCACGTATTATAAATCCCCTTCTTCCTCAATACATATGATTGAAGTGGAGTCAGAAGAAGATGCGGAGGAATCAGAGGAGAGAGAGGTTGCAGTTGCGGAAATGGCAAAATTAAAGCATCCCATCAGTTGTAAAACTCTTACAAAGCCTCCAAGGGATCAGAAGCCGCCACCATTCACAGGAGGGTTTGTTCCAAACAAACCCATGCAGAACAAAGTGTATTCCTTCGATCTGACCAAAGTAGATGCCTTGTTTGATGAAATGTTGCTACAGAAAGCAATAGAGACGCCTCACAGAATGCCCAAACCAGAAGAACTCAAGGGCAGACAGTATTGCAGATGGCACAATTCTTGGAATCATTCTACCAATAGTTGTGTTGTTTTCAGAGATGTCATACAGGAAGGGATAACAGCAGGAAGGCTGAAGCTAGCAGAAAAACCTCCATCCGTCACCACAGATCCTTTTCCCCTGCCACAAGTTAACATGGTCAACCTAAATTGGCCAGAACAAAAGAAGGACAGACCAGCTATAGAGGCTGGCTCCAGTAGAAGCAGAATAGTTTCAAAAGAGACTATGGAAAGACCAAAAGCAACCATTTCAGCTGGAATAGTGCTCTGCAGCAGGTGCAAGTGTGAGGCTGAGCTGGAAGTAGTCCTGGAAAAACAGGAGCTGCCCACTCCAAGTGTTTTTGACCGGATCGGAACCACGCCCCATGATAGGGCCAGACAGAGAAACTACCCTAGGCCTGTCCAATCCAGCAGAAGAATGACTAAGCAGCCCAAGGAGGAAATATCAATAAAAGTGCCCGGAAGTGATAAACCTTTGGCGGCCATCATTGAAGGCAGGTGGTATTCTGTCGGGAAGAATGGCAGACCAACAATGGAGCTAACAAGAACCCAAAGGAGGAGGGTTCAGAGACAGTACTGCACATTCCTCAATAACGAGAAAAACGCACAGGTGCTTCCAGAGGCCAATTCTGCCAAAAAAGGGAAAGAGCCAGAAATACTTCCCCAGACAGAACAAGCAATCTCTCAACCACAGAAGTTGACGAAAGCAGAATCCTCAGAGAAACCTTCTATCCATCCTGCCTCCGCCTCAGAAGATCTACTTAAAACTCCCCAACCAGAGGAAAGAACCGATCCTGTTCCAGGAGAAGGACAAGAAGACTGGGTTGAGGAATATGAAGAGGAGCAGCTGGATTATGAACCATCTACAGATGACCAGAATGCGCTCCTCGAAACAGAAGAACTGGGAGAATGGACGGAGGAATATGATGGAGAACAAATGGATTATGACGGAGAGTTGGATGCGGAAACTGAGGCCTTTGGTGCAGAATTGGAGGACTTGTTACGTGCTGACCTAGGCATCAATATGGTGTTCATTCTGCCAGAAAAGTTCTGGGCGGTAGAAGGACAGAAGAGCACTCTGGACGGAGACGTATTTTCCCAAGAAAGTTTTGAACGCAGGTTGGCAGAAGCGGAAGAAATGCCAGAACAGCAAACAGGCAATCCCAGGACAGAAGGAGCAACCCACAAGCTGGCTACAGGTCAGCTTTGCTTCTCCAAACCAACCAAAGAAATGGAAAACCACCTCAGACCCTTGTTTATAACAGCAAACTTTGGGGGTGTTCCTATCCCCAAAACTATGGTAGATGGAGGTGCAGCCATCAACCTTCTGCCTCACAAGATGCTGAGCAAAATGGGCAGAACAGAAAAGGATTTAATTCCAACCCGCCTGACCGTCACCAATTTCGCAGGAGGCATCACCAAAACCCTTGGGATCCTGGATGTGGATGTTTTGGTGGGAAGCAAGAAGCTGAAGGTTGCATTCTTTGTGGTAGATACTACCTCTACCACTTACAATGCACTGCTTGGCAGAGACTGGATTCATCAGAGTCTATGTGTTCCTTCCACTCTTCATCAACAGTTAGCTTTATGGAACGAAGAAGGCCACATGGAGATAATAGAGGCCGATCCACGGCCATTCCTACCTTCTGCCATGTGTTGTGAGGCAAGGTACTATCATGATGACCTTGGTCCTTTCACCTTCTTTGGAGTCAACCAGAACGGCCGCCCCCATGGTGTCACGTCCCAGAGGCTCATTGAAGAAGGTCTAACCAATTCTTTGGAGGATTGGAACAGACCTTTTGTTCTAAATTTCCAAAGCGCTGATGTTTAGTCCCAATCAACAAGAAAAGGATCGAGCTGCAACAATCCGGTCCATTACAAAAAGATTGTTGATATACTGGGAGGAAAGAAAGTTGTTTGCGCAGAATCCAGCCATCAATATGGCAGAATTCACTCATGAAAGCACGGAAAGGCAGGAGGAAGAGGAACTACAGGAGGAAGTGCTAGATTTCGCACCAGCCGCACTGGATGACTCTCTGCCAGAGGTAGAAGATCCTTTGCAGGAAATAAACTTAGGAACAGGGGAGGATCCAAGGCCTACCTTTATCAGCACACTATTGAAAGAACCACTTAAGAATGAACTCGTTGCACTTCTACAAGAGTTCAAAGATTGTTTTGCTTGGCATTATCATGAGATGCCAGGATTAGACAGGGAATTGGTAGAACACAAGCTGCCAATCAAAGAGGGATACCTTCCAGTCAAACAGGCCAGAAGAAGGATGTCCATGGACACAGAACTGAAAGTCAAAGAAGAAATAGAAAGGCTGCTCAAGGCAGGATTCATCATGCCTGCCATCTATGCTGATTGGCTAGCTAATATTGTACCAGTTCTAAAAAGGAAAACTGGGGCAGTCAGAATTTGCGTGGATTACAGAAACCTGAATGAAGCCTCTCCCAAGGATGAGTACCCTATGCCAATGGCAGACATGCTAGTAGATGGAGCTGCCCACAACCAGATGCTATCTTTTATGGATGGCAACGCAGGTTACAATCAGATCATGATGGCAGAAGAAGACATCCACAAGACAGCCTTCATGTGTCCAGGGCATATAGGTGCTTTTGAATACACTGTAATGCCTTTTGGCTTGAGAAATGCAGGGGCTACCTATCAAAGGGCAATGAATTCTGTTTTCCCACGATATGATAGGACATTCCTTGGAAGTTTATATTGATGATGTTGTGATTAAATCACCAGAGGAGGGAAACCACATGACAAATCTAAGAAGAGCATTCCTAAGAATGAGGCAACATAAACTGAAAATGAACCCAAAGAAGTGCGTTTTTGGAGTTCAAGCGGGAAATTTCCTAGGATTCTTGGTCCACCAAAGAGGCATAGAGATCGACAAGAACAAAGTAAAATCCATCATAGAAGCTTTGCCGCCTAGGAACAAGAAGGAATTACAAAGTCTCTTAGGAAAAATTAATTTTTTAAGGAGATTTATATCCAATTCTGCAGGAAAGATCCAGCCTTTCTCTTCTTTGTTAAGATTGAAACAGGAACAAACCTTTAAGTGGGAAGAACAACACCAACAAGTTTTTGAGGAAATCAAGCATTACCTCTCAAATCCACCCGTTCTGTCCCCACCGAAGAGAGGCAGACCACTCAAGCTCTATATATCTGCATCAGAAGTATCCATTGGAAGTTTATTGGTTCAGGATAACAGGGAAGGAAAGGAACATGCGGTTTACTACCTAAGCAGAACTCTAACAGAAGTGGAAAGAAAATATTCTGCAATTGAAAGACTTTGCCTAGCCTTGTACTTCACTGCTGTAAAGCTCAGACATTACATGCTGCCATACACCATCTATATAATTGCCAAAACAGATCTGATCAAATACATGCTAACAAGACCAATGCTAAGAGGCAGAATTGGAAAATGGACCTTGGCCTTGACAGAATTTGCCTTCAGATATGTTCCTCAGAAAGCCGTCAAAGGACAAGCTGTGGCAGACTTCCTAGCAGATCATCCCGGAGAGGAGATTGAAAATATGGACTCTTTAGACATAGCAAATGCAGATCTATTAACCAGAGCTCACACCTGCCTCAACAATCCTATCTACTCAGTTCATCTTGCACCTTGGAAGTTATACTTTGATGGATAAAAAACTGATATAACTTCCGGGGCAGGAATTGTTTTGGAAGAACCACTTGGAATCAGACACTGCTACTCTTTCCAATTAGATTTCCAATGCACCAACAACAGGGCAGAATATGAGGCCTTAATCATTGGCTTGGAAATGCTGGTAGAATTGGGAATCCAATCTGTGGAAATTCTGGGAGATTCCATGCTGGTTTTAAAACAAATTGCTGGGGAATACAAGTGCCCAAGCCCTTCTTTGGCTGTCTACTTGGTGGCAGCTAGGAATCTTCTGACAGAATTCAGAGAAGCCACTTGGGAACATATCCCAAGGGAAGAAAATTTTGCAGCCAATGAATTGGCCCAGGTGGCAACAGGCATACAAATGCCCGAAGACTGTGTACAAAGAATCATCAAGATAGGAAAGAAAAGCCTACCATCTGTTCTGGCCAGGGGGATGGAGATAGATGTCAACTCTGCCACAATCACTGAAGATGATTGGAGAAATCCTATCATGACCTATCTACGATATCCAACTTTGCCCTCTGAGAAGAGAGTCAGAATCATGGCTTTAAACTACCTTATGTGGAATGAAGATTTGGTCCGAAAGAGTAAGGATGAGGTGCTTTTAAGGTGCCTCGGAAAGAAAGAATACATGAAAGTTATGGGGGAAACCCATGAAGGAATCTGTGGAGCGCATCAAGGTGGGAGAAAAATGTGCTGGTTAATTAGGAGATATGGCTACTTCTGGCCAACCATGATGAAAGATTGCATTAACTATTCCAAGGGGTGTGAATCTTGTCAAAGACACGGCCCAGTCCAGCAGGCTCCATCAGTTCCCATGAATCCAGTGGTAAAGCCATGGCCCTTTAGAGGATGGGCAATGGATCTTATTGGCAAGATCTATCCAGCCAGCAGCCAGCAGCACTGCTTTATCATTGTTGCCACAGACTACTTCACTAAGTGGGTGGAAGCCAAGGCTGTTAAATCCACTACATCTCAAGAGATCATCATTTTCATAGAAGAACAGATTATACAAAGATTTGGCATCCCAGAATCAATCACAACTGATAGAGGATCCTCTTTCATATCTAGAGAAATGCTGGACATGGCAGAGGCATTCAAATTCAGACTGCTCCAGTCCACTCCTTATTATGCCCAAGCCAATGGACAGGCGGAGTCAAGCAACAAAGTGATCATCAACATTATCAGGAAAATGCTTGAGAAGAATCCAAAACAATGGCATGAGAAGCTGTCAGAAACTCTTTGGGCATATAGAACTTCAAAAAGAGAAGCAACTGGCATGACCCCCTATGCGTTAACCTACGGCCATGATGCAATTCTGCCTATGGAGATAGCCGTTCAGTCCCTCAGAATTGCTCACCAACATAACTTAGTAAGAGAGAACTACTCCCAGGCCATGATGCTGGAACTGGAAGGATTGGATGCAGGCAGAATTGACACTCTCAACAAACTCCTGGCAGGAAAACAAGCTGTATCAAGGGCTTACAACAAAAGAGTTAAAAACAAGAGTTTTGAAGAAGGAGAGATAGTCTGGAAAGCGGTTCTGCCCCTTGGAACACATGTGGTTGGTTATGGAAAATGGTCACCTACATGGGAAGGCCCTTTCATAATCAACCAGATCCTTGGAATGGGGGCATATAGGTTACAAGATAGGGACGGAGAAATTCATACTGCCCCAATCAATGGCAAATGGTTAAAAAAGTTTTATCTAACCATGTGGGATTCACAGGCTGTACAAACAGACCCTGGGATAGACATAAGGCTACACTGAAGATCTTTTGATTCTTTTAAGATTACCTTTGTTCTAAAAATTATTTTAAGTTTGTTCCCTTCTGTACTTTTACTTCTACTTCTGTTCCTGTTTATTTCATCAATAGGAATCAAAAACTAGAATTGCAACAAAAAATAAACTTTATTTAAAAATAAAAAAAAGTCATAGGGCCTTTCCCATGACAAGCTGTTCATCAAGAAATAATAAAAAAGCAAATCAAAATCCTAATTTTCTGAGGGTCTCTTGCAGATTGGTCTTCTTGATAGAAAGTTCCTTTTGAAGCAGGACACCCTGATGAATCGAAGCCTCTGCAATCTCCAGGGCTGGCCTAGAAGCTGCAACCATGTTCTGCACAAGGAAAGTGGCCTTGGTCTTAGAACTCAATCCAGCCCCGAGCCTGTGCTGCACTTCCCGACGCTCTGCCAGCTGTTTTTGAAGCTCTGCAATCTGTTTTTCCAATTTATCCGCAGCAGCTTTGGCTTGTTTATACCCCACAACCATCTGGTCCAGTTCTGCCTTCTGCTTTGCAAAATCAGCCAAGTTGGCTTCATGAGTGGCCTTGCAAAACTCAGAGGTTTTGAAGGTAGGCTTCAGATCTTCATAACGGTCGTGAAGGTTGAGCACATCCCTCGCCAAGACAAGGCTCATCTCGAGGATAGGTTTTGGGGCCATGTTCTGTCTGTGCAGCAGATCCAGATCCTTCATCAGCTGGTCAAAGACCTCCTTGCCCTCATCCAGCTCTAGTTCAGTAGACTGCCAGATCTTCAGTCTCTCCATTGCTTCTTCCACTGCCCTGGACCTTATTTTGCCAACAGGGGAGCTGAGCTTTTCCAATTTGTCTAGCTGGGCATCTAGGTCCATGGCTTCAAATTCTGCCAGCTCCGGGTCAGCAAAAGAAGCCGTGGCAGATGAACCTGCAAGGGAATGAATAGGCATCTGCAGAAGGAAGCACAAGTCAAAAACAAGGCAGAGACAAAAAGAAGAAGATAAAAGTACAAAAAAACACTCACAGCAACAATCGGAGGCTGCAAAGGGGTGGTCCTCACCGCCAAGGTCCCAGCAGTTTTTTGTGTTTCTACCTGTAAAGATTTGAGGGTCAGAGGGACAAAGGGACAGAACAAAACCACATAAAATGGGAAAAGACAGAGTAAGGACAGAACTCACCATAAGCCCAGGAACGGCAGCAGCCACTTCTACTACGGTTTCAGGAGCAGGAACCACTTGTTCTGCCTGATCCCCAGGCTCTGATCCGGATTGTTCCACTTGGTCCTCAGCTGCTGGAGCAGCAGTAGAATGTTCCGCCTCTGGATCATCAAAGAGGGCCACCTCTGAGTTAGTTAGCCTTGTCCCTATATCTTCCTGCTGCTTCCGAGCCAAGGCAATGCTCTCCGCTATCACCTCAGCAGGGATTTCCTCCTACAAATGCACAGAAGTCAGAACAGAATAAATCAAAGTGCAGTAGGAACAAATACTCCCAGATATAAAGACAGACTCACCTCTTCTTCCACTGACTTGGCTTTTTCTTGAGGCCCATCTCCTACTTCTTCTAGCTCTTCCAGCTCCCTTTCTTGCTCCACAGCTTCGAAAGCCTCTCGTAGATCGTCATCCGTGCCAGAAGTGGTGGTAGGAACTGCCCCAGTTCCCTCCGGGGCCACGTATTCTTCTACAATCTTCTTTCTAAGTCTTTTTGACTTAGTAAGAGGAGGAGAAGGACTTCCAACTGCAAACAGACAGAAAATAAGTCTTAAAGATTATGACAGAACAGGATTATGAAGAACCCAAAAAGGAAACTGTCAAAGAATACCTGGAGCCACAGACTGGGCAGTTTCTTTTCTTTTTCTTTTAACAGGAGAAATGGCCTCAACAGGAGTCTGTTCTACCTGATCTTCCTCCTCCTCTTCTTCTTCCTCTTCTCCATCCCTGGAGGGCAGCTCCAGATCCCCAGCAGCAATAACAGAATTAACTGTGCAGAAGACAAAAGTCAAGGGTCAATCCAGTAGAGAGTAGTAGGAGAAACTGAACAAATATCACAACTTACCAAACACCTCTCCGCTTTGGGCTGGTTGGCTGCCTATATTCTTTGTCAGAGAGGGATCTGAGTACAGACAGAAAAGATCAGCATCATCACTAAAAAAAACAGAATGGGCAACAACAGACAGAATTGAGAGATTACCTTCTATAATTTGCATGTTGATGTCTTTGATGGTCTGCACCATGAATTTGTGAGTCTCTTCATCTGTGTGAACGTTCCAATTGTCCCAGCCCTTAAAAAGGACTTGAAGTGCGGTGCTAGAAGCAGGCAGATCACGGAATCTGGCTTTCCACCAAGCATCAAACTCCACAGAACTGCAGGAGTTCAATTCCCATGAAGGATAAAGGGCATCTGCATTATTGTTGATCTTATTCACTGCACACCTGGCATCTTTGTGGACCTCCAAGTCATCTGCGTCCCTCCAAGAAGAGCCCCGATTGCAGCTTCTGTATGACTTGAGGGGTATGAGCTGAGGGCAGCCAAGCTGCCTTGCACAGAAGTTGGGATGGTAGACTTCCGCCCCTAAATGATAATTTGGAGGCTTTCCTCCTCCGTGAGGCAGATCTCTGGGTAAGGTCACACTCAGGAACTTCTTCCTGAAATCAATTCTGGCAGATTCTTCTTCTGGCTCCTTCTCAAACAGACGATGTCCAGGTTGAAACCAAGGATAGGTTCTCCTGATCACCACTTGCCACTGCGCTGCAGACCTCTTGGTACAATGCCTAAAGATCATCAGGTACTCATCAATTGACCGCTTGGGGACCTCTGCCGACAACAATGGTTGAGCCAGAACCTGATCCTCAGGCAGAACTATATCTGGATACCTTAACTCAGGAAAATGGACCTGCAGCCAGATCTGAATCATCCAGAAGGCACCAGGAGCAGACAGATTTAGCGGATACTCTAGGGTAGCGGTATGCAGGTTCTTGAATAGATGGGCCAGAACTGTAGGCCCAAGACCAACATTAGTATGATTATGCAGAGCTTCTGCCAGATGTCTGTACTCAAGCAGAATTGCAGAAGAACGATTGGGCAGAACAAACCTGTTCAGCCAATACAGGAGAAACAACATATGCTGCTGATCTTTGTCCTTCTTAGCACTAAATTTTCTGAGATAGTTGGAGAAGTAGCAATTCTGGTTGATCAGGGCTGGGGAAATAGTGAATGGCTTGGCTAGCTTCTGCTGGTCCTTCTTCCTGTGATAATCACCAACAGCATCAACAGGTCTTCCATGAGGCCTAAAACCAAAAATCTGAGCCATATCCAGCAGAGTTGGAGCCATGGGGCCTATACGGAAATCAAAAGTGTTACTGGCAGAATTCCAGAAACACAGAGCAGCAGCAAGCAGGTTCTCATCCCTGTTGATAGATTGCCTGGATAGGAGAATGGCGTCATAAATTCCAGCCCGCCTCCAGTGAGCCCCAAATCGAGGAAGAAGTCTGTCAATCCAATCAGCCCACTTGACTGGATTATTTCTCACTTCACTGGATGGGAACGAACGACTCAAATTCTTGCTAACCCAAGAATGAGAAGCCAGAGCAGAAGAGCTCTCGAAACATAAAGGGGCCTCAGCATCCTTCTTCATCAGCTCTGCCATCTCGGGAGGAACGGGGCCAAACCAGTGAGGCCCCAGCACCAAGGTGTTTTCGAACAAATGGAGGACATTTTCATCTAGGTTTTTCTGGGCAAAAGGATGGAGCTTGCTCCTAACCTCTATCGCATGCTTATCAATCCCAGCCCCAGTAATATAGTCTGGAAGAACTGGAACAGAGGAAGATTGAGCATGAGATTTCGGGGAAGACATTTCTCGGAATTATTCTTCTTTTTAGCAAAAAGAAAGTATCGAGAAGCTCAGGGGAAACGAAGTTTGAAAGTACTAGGTTTTCATGTGAACAGGAACAGTGGTTTTTTGAAAGACTTTTAAAGAAGCCAGAAAACGTGGGAAAGAGAAGACAGTGACGTGGAGAAGACAAAGCGTCATCTGATATTGACTAGCTAATAAAGGGCTAGTAACTGAAAAACTGCGCCACACGGGCACTAGCTTAGTGGGGAAGCGTGGCAGACGTGGGATAACAGAGGAATTTACCACGCGCCAATTTAATGGCCATGTCATTTAAGTCTGAAACCGTTCCAAAAACGATTCAGACTTAAGGGGGCATTGTTTGGGCCTAAAAATTGACACACCCAGCCCAGCGAAAGTGAGGCCCAAAATCTAAGAAAAGCCCAGCCCAAAACCTGGGCCTCACAGCCCCATTGTGATGGAAAGGGAGAAGCCCAGAATTAGGAAACAAACCCACGTGACATCTCTGGGATAAAAGGAAAGTCAACAATGGCAACTGTCATAAGAGAAGTGATTGAAAAGTTTATGTCATCAAGCTATTCTGAAAAAAAGCCTTGAAAAATCAGAAGATAAAAATCCCTCTTACATATACATATATCTATATTAAATCAGAGATCTTTTTTCTACTCTACGAAGAGGGTAATTCTCCCAAAAAGATAAGCAAGCTACAAGCTCAGAGAAAGATAAGCAGGAAAGTAGGGAGCTGTCCAGAAATAACCATCACGAGTGAAATCTCACAAGGGGCAGTTGAAATTAAGAAGAGAGATTAGGTTCTTTCTCAAGAAAAACAGGGAAGTGATTGCCTATCTGTTGAAAGCCTATCTGCCAAAACTGATAAAATCCTACTTTCTTTCTTTCCATTTTTTAAGAAAAAGGGGGGAGATATCTTCTGAAAGAGATTTGCCGCCCATTATTAATTTTTTCACTATAAATACAAAGAGGAGTGAACAGGGTAAAAAACAACAACAAAAAATTCATCACCCAATCAAACAAGGATCCTACACAGGAAAACCGTCAAATAGACAAGTTCAAAATCAACCAACAAGCCCACTTGAATTTCAAGTGAAACCAGCTCCAGATCAGAATTCCCAAAATCCAGATTTAAGAAGCAAGTCATTCAAAACGAGATTTCTCTCGTTACAAATTTGGTTCAGCAAAAAACCAAAACAGGCAGGGTTTGAATCTCCTCCAAATATGGAACCTCAACAAAATTCACAGTGCAGTCTCTAGCCCACTGAAGCCCTCAAAAACAGTCACTCCTGCCCGTGCAGATTGAGAAAACTACAGTTCTGCCCACTCAAAAGCTTCACAAAAGCATGAGGTACATCAAAGCTCTGCCAGAATCAGCCTTTGGTATCGATTTACAAGTTGAAGCTTAGCAGTCAAGGTTGTCAACGGTCCAGTCCAGCCCAAGCGTTTCCAGTCCAACCCGGGCATCTCCAGTCCAGCCCAGGCCAGAACCTTCTATCTCGACGGAAATAAAGTCCCGGCTGTCTCTTCATCTTTCTCTAGCATGAGTATTCACTGTTATTATTTTTGTAAAAGGCAGTTCCGCCTAAAAGATAGTTTAAATCCCATCAACCATTCTGGCCAAGGCAACCTCTCTATACTGAGATAAATTGTTAAAGTCCTCACCAGTCTGAGGCAGGAAAAGAACTTACTTGGGAAATATTCCTCACCCAAATTCACAATCGTTTGTTTATAGAAATCAGTAACTTGGGACGCAAGTTATCCATTCCAAACTAAGTCTGCCAGAAATTTTGCTGGCAGTGGCACGCTCACACTCCAAAGAAAGTTGACTTGTTGACCAGTTTATGGTTCTCAAGCCAGTGGGGAACTTTGCCCTTCCATCATAGGAGTAAACACAAAACGGGTGAACATGTATGTAATTCTCCAGTTTGTTTCGTGAGATATAGAAGACATGAATTGATCGATGACAAACGATGTTTCTAACTTGAAATCAGTGATCACGAATAGTGAAACTCTTAATGAGAAGTTTATTTGATATTGTTGAGTGGTTACAAATATTATTATTGAATGCAGTCACGTTAGACCGAGATTTGAGGTCATAACTTACACTACTACAAAAAAGGAAAAACATGACGGGAATTCACCGTCGTGTATTCAATTTTCAAATGGTCGTGGAATCCACTGACATCTTTTCCATAACAAAACCACGACGGTAAATACCCGTCGTTGTTAAAACAAAAAACGTCATCAACAAATAAAAACCGATGTCTTTGTACTGCAAAAAGACATAAAAAAACAGTCGAGGATGAGAATAGACGACCAACTCTAACAAAAAAAACGTTGTTAAAAAGGAAACATATGACATATAGTAACAGAACATGGCCGCAAGATAAACATACAACGACGAGAACTAAAACTCAAAGCCGTTAAATAAACCTTTAACGACAAATAGAAATATGACGTCTTTAAATACATAATAGACGACGTTATTGACACCTACTACGTCACAACATTTCCAACAACCGTTGTGAAATAAATTTTCCACTTCGATTTTTCTATGAATGATGACGTGAAAATAGATGTCAAGGTCATTACTTACGACGCATGTATGTACAGAGACGACGTTGAAATAAATAAACAACGTCGGTTCCAAATAAATGAGAGCCGTAATATAGAATTTATACGTCATATTTTGAAATATAATCGTTGTGTAATGACTCTAAAACGGCATCGTTTCTCATTCCACCGCCGTGTAAAATAATTTTAACGACATGATCTGAAAATAAACGACGTGGAAAAAATGATGGGGTCATTAATTACGACACATTAATTTATAAAGACGACGTCTATATACAACGTCGTTACCATGAAAAATACCGCCGTGTTTCATAATTTATACGTCTTCATTAAATTAATGTCGTCTAATTCATATATCTTAACGTCGACAAATTTACCAAAGGACTTCAAATACCGTCGTGCATTCATCCTTTTCCACTTCGTTTATGAAAGAACATGTGACGTGGTAAATTCATGACGACGTCATCTTTTGTAACGTTTAGGTTAGAGATCTCGTCTTTTAGACGTCGGTATTATGGGATTGGAGTCATGTTATTTTGAATTACATGGCGGTTCTTTATGCTTGTCCGACGTGTTATCCTGGATAACTGTTTCCCAATAGCGTCGTGGTTCTTCATTGTTACGTTGCTTTAAGACGTCGGTAAATTTATTGCGGTCGTTGAATGCTCCAAAACGTCATTTTTTATTAGAACAGACGTTTGTTTTTCACATTTTTATCAAGACCGTTGTGTTTGTAATCTGGAACTAGTAATTTTTGTACTGATTGTTTTGTGGCCAAAACCTGTATAATGAAAGTGAAGAAATCACATTACAATATATTACAAAATTAATGTCATACACTGCCAATTACATAAAGCATTATTCAATCCATATATCTTCACACCCATCTCGAATATTTTGACTCCCTAACTCACCACCACTTCATCAAATGTGTCAACATTTGGCATCCCTCTAGTAAATGGCTCACATTCAATTCTCACATCACCTAAGACATCATCACCAATAACATCATTATATTCTCTATTAGACATTGATAACACTACCGACCAACCACGATGCATCGGGTCGTCAACAAAAAATACTTGTTTGACTTGAGAAGCCAAAACAAATTGGTCATTCATATGTCCAATTTTACTCAAATCTACAAGGGTAAATCCAAGTTCGTCCACTACAAGACCAGAAGTACTATCTATCCAATCACACCTAAAGACTGGGATTGTAAACTTTTGGTAGTCAAGGTCCCAAATTTCTTGAATGACACCATAGAAACCCATATTTGAGAGAATTGGGTTTTTATCATTGGCACTAGCAACTTGCATAGTATGTGCAAGTAAATAAACTCCACTATTTTGAGTTGTCTGCACATCATCTTGTGCCTTGATGTTGAATTTAATACCTTTAATAAGATAGCTCCTATATAATGGCACTGCCATGTTTGGACCAGCTGCTAGCCACCTTAAATTTTCTGATACGCCATGATTGTCTTCCTTATTAAGTTCACTTTGAACCTGCAAATTAATCATAACTTAATTCAATCTAACATAGAAAGAAGAAAATTAAAAGTCCAATATGTTATTCAATAACATATACCTTGAAGCGTAGCCATTGAATGAAAGTGCTATTGTGCTTATCCTGCAGCCACTTTGTTCTCTTTCTAAATTTTGGATAAGCGGTCTTGATGTGGATCATATGTTGCCTACATGACACAAAAAATTCAAGCATTACGGTCCCAAACATATAAGATAAACATAAGAAATAATTTAAAATGGAAATTTAAAGAATAAAACTCATACGTACTCGATATAAGGTAGGACTTCCTCCGTATTCTCCAAGACATATAGATGTGTTTGGTTCAACAGGTCTCGATCAACTACGCTCACTGTGCAACCTGATAATGGCTTTGAAACTCCCATCTTTTGGCTTGAAGGCACTCCAACTGTACTAACATCAGATAAATGCTCAGTACAAAACTCTACAGCTTCTTCAGCTATATACCGCTCAGCAATGCAACCTTCGGGACGAGTACGATTCTGAACATACCCCTTTAGCACTTTCATATATCTTTCAAACGGATACATCCATCTAAAATATACTGGCCCACATAGACGAACTTCTCTGACAAGATGTACTACTAGATGAACCATGATATCAAAGAATGAAGGGGGAAAGTACTTCTCAAGCAAACACAAAGTAACTACTACATCTTCTTCCAACTTATCTAGCTTGGAAACATCAACAGTCTTTGCACATATAGCATTGAAGAAGAAGCACAAACGAGTTATTGCATACCTTGCAGGCTTCTCCAAAACAGAACGAATTGCCACAGGGAGCAATTGTTGCATTAAGGTATGACAATCATGTGATTTAAGGCCAAGAAGTCTTGAATCTTGTAAAGATACAAGATTTTTTATATTTGAAGAATAACCTTCAGGGACCTTCATACCATAGAAAGAATTGCAAACCTCTCTCTTCTCTACTCTTGACAAATTCCAAGGCCCAAGAGGCAAACGAGTACGTCTTTCTCCATACTCGGGTTGCAAATCAGTTTTGACCCCCATGTTCAATAAATCTAATCGAGCAGCAATCTCATCTTTATTTTTTCCAGGAATCTCCAGCAATGTACCAATGATACTATCGCAAACATTCTTCTCAATGTGCATAACATCTAGGACATGCCTCACAGGAAGGTATTTCCAATACTCGAGATCAAAGAATATTGATTTCTTCTTCCAACAAACTCTGTCACCATCTTCAACCATATGCAACACTTCTTCTCCGGTTAATGGCTCGGGAGGTGTGCCATCATCACCAGATGGTCTCTTGGGTGCAAGTCTTATTTCCCTTGTATTATCAAATTGTCTTCGTTGATTACGCCATACATGGTCAGACGGTAAAAATCTTCTATGACCCAAATAACATGTTTTAGACCCACGAGATAACCGACGATGCGAAGTATCAGATGCACAATATGGGCATGCCAATTTACCAGACGTACTCCAACCTGACATGTATGCATATGCTGGATAATCATTGATAGTCCAAAGAAGTGCAGCTCTCATCTGAAAATTTTGCTTTGCATGTATATCATACGTTTCAACACCAATTTCCCACAATGTTCGCAATTCGTCTATCAATGGCCTCATGTATACATCAATGTCATGGCATGGACCCTTAGGTCCAGGAATAAGTAAAGTCATGAAAACATAAGGCTCCTTCATGCACATCCACGGAGGAAGATTATATGGGTATATAAGAACCGGCCAAATACTATAATGCAAATTCATGTTCCCAAAAGGGTTAAATCCATCTGTTGCCAAACCAAGTCTTACATTTCAAGGTTCCATACCAAATGACTCATGAATTTGATTAAACGATTTCCAAGCCTCAGAATCTGCTGGATGCCTCAACACTCCATCTTTTACACGATCCTTAAAATGTCATCTCATATCTACAGCTGTCTTGGATGACATGAATAATCTTTGAAGTCTTGGTGTGAGTGGAAAATATCTAAGCACCTTCCATGGAACCCTTTTACCTTTCTTTTTGCTACCCTCTCCTTGTTTCTTCCATCTCAAAAGCTTACATGTAGGACACTGCATTGCATTTGCATGCTCCTTATAATAAATGATGCAATCATTATTGCATGCATCTATATTATCATAATGAAGACCTAAATCTGAAATAATTTTCTTTGCACCGTTAGTAGTTGTAGGTAACTTCTCACAAAAAGGAAATGCATTTTTCAACAATGTTAGCAACATACCAAATGCTTTATTACTCATAGTACCAATACCCTTGATATGCATAAGGTTCACAACAAAAGACAAATTAGAATATGATTCACAACCAATGTACAATGGTTGTTCTGCCTCTTCTAACAATTTGTAAAACTTGTGTGCATCTCCATTTGGATCTTGTGGACAACCTTCTTCTATTAAACCATGCATATCATCGTCTTGCTCCATACTGGCCACATCATGTCCATCATTGTCACTATCACTTTCATCGCTTTCATCACTTCATCAATATCCTTATCCTCACCCTCACCGTGCAAATGCCATGTAGTATAAGTTAGTTTAATTCAATTATAAAGAAGATGCTTGTGTACCTCATACCTCAGATGTCTATATCTATTACTGCATTTAGAGCAAGGACAGAAGATCTTAGAATCATCCGGCTTAACATGGTTGTATGCATAATTGAGAAAACTTTCAACTCCTACAAAATAATCTTCTAACGACCTCCCAGATTGCATCCAAGATTTATCAACAGGCATTTCTCTGCATAAATAAGATCCAATTAATATTAATAGAACAAACGACCAAAAATCCAGATATTAAACCTTTATCATTTTCATATTTGAAACATCACCCAAAAGTTTGACTAGCATTTCTCTGCATGCCATATATTCTTTTAACAAAATATATTATTAGCTAGGGAAGAAAACAGATTTTTTAAAAGAGAATTTGGTTATCATGTAGACCCAACAAGAAAGAAAGAACCAAACCAACGTGCCATGCATCCACCATTCACATAAAATTAAAGGAATCCAAAACAAAATTATGCTTGTATTGCAAACCAAAGTAGCTAACATTGTCATGAAACTAAGACGTCTCACACAGGCAACTTACTGACACTAGCACACATCTTAGACTTCTTATAACACAATTACATGAACATTAATGAGAGTTATTCTCTGAAGAGTTGATGCTGCTGATATGCTTTCTTAAATGACAATCAGGGAAGCATTAAGGAATGGGTGAGGTGCAAATTTGATTTGTCATGAAAATTCTTTTTAAACATGACATATTATGTAATTCCCTAAAACATCACCCAAAAGTCTCAGCAGCAGTAGAGACACAGATAAATACCACAACAAAATAGACTAACAAAACAGAGTCTTAGATTTTCAAAGCAATAAATTAAATCACTGTCAGAGATCATAGTTTTGTACCAAGCTTTTCCTGCGGCCTTGATAGTAGAAGCCTCCTCCTGCATAAAAAGAAATTCAACACTTTAGCACTGGTGCACACATCTTAGACTTCTTATAACACAATTACATGAACATTAATGAGAGTTATTCTCTGAAGGGTTGATGCTGCTGATACCAAATTCTTAGTCACAGAAGTGCCAAAATAGAATAGTTCAGCTGTAAATTGAAGAAAAGAAGAAATAAAAGGTCTCCTAAGTGTGTTTAAATGGGTTGAGCTATTGTAGGTTGTCCTCAAATATGATAAACAGCTTTATCAGTTAAATAGTTGTTTCACCTAGAAATGCTTAAAGTACTCCAAAAAATCATATATACCTTATAACCACCAAATATCATGGATGGATACAACACAGTGCAATACTATGTGCTGATGGAGAAAATGCAGTTGGATATTACTTGTCAGAAAGTCACTAAGCAGTAGGATATTTAGCTAAAAATTTTGGAAATTCAATGGTATCCTGGCAAAAATGCAGATCACATGGACGGCCTCAGAATAGACTCATCACAGCCGCAAGGGACTAATTAATGGTTCTGGGTTGTGAAGATGGCTGTAAAAAGTTAAAAACCACCCAAAACATTCTAGAATGAAGGCAAATGATTTCTGAGTTAAATTTGGTTTTCTTTGACTGCAAACCAGTAAATTGGGTGTCCTTTTGTTAGTTGCCCTTAGTCATTTGTGTACACATCTAGAACATGAAAAGGAAGGAAAACAGAAAACAAACAGGACCATGTGTTCTTGATCTAGTCATACATATTTCTCTTCCTAATGTTATAGAAGATGTCCTAATGTTATAGAAGATGTCCTGTAAAAAGTTAAAAACCACCCAAAACATACTAGAATATGAAGGTAAATGATTTCTGAGTTAAATTTGGTTTTCTTTGACTGCAAACTAGTAAATTGGGTGTCCTTTTGTTAGTTGGCCTTAGTCATTTGTGTACACATCTAGAACAATAAAAGGAAGGAAAACAGAAAACAAACAAGACCATGTGTTCTTGATCTAGTCATACATATTTCTCTTCCTAATGTTATAGAAGATGTCCTAATTTCAAATCCCCTTCCCCATTAATTAAAAAACATTAATACTTTTATGCTCATATAATACTTCTTCATTGAAATACACAGCAGCAAAGAACACAGAGGCAAAACCAGTCAGATGATGGACAAATTTTTTATTTCTTCTTTGGTGGCCAACAAGCCAATTCATAAATAAAGAGTAAAAATCTGTAGCCAGAAAGTGCAGAAAACAATACTTTCACAACATATAATCTATTCTTTACTGGAACAACACAGATTAAAAAACAAGGATAGGTTGAGACTATACCTTTATTGGAGCAAACAAAGTCTTAGATTGAAAGATGATAGATGGCAAAACCAAACACACTCTATCAGATTAAAAAAGATGATTAACTTCTGTTTTTTGGGTCGAAATCTAGTTTCAAAATGAAACCAGAAGAGATCAGATAACAAAACAGAATGTAGAGATAAAGAATCACTGTGCAGAGAGTAGAATACAAACAGAAAGTAGAATACAAACAGAGCCCAGCCAAACCCATTAGATAAAGAATCATATAACAAAAAGAAAGTACAGATAGATAGATCAAACCCATTAAATTGAATACCCATAAATAATATCAACAAAAAAAATATAAAAATTGCAACTAGAATGAAAGCTCACCTGCGAAACTTCGATGGCCTGCCTTCTTCTCCCACTCTTGATAGAAAACTGATATAAGGTGTATTTCTTGGCGCGCAACAAAAAAATTTCCCCTGCTCTTGAGATTTGTAGAATTCCACCAATTATGAGATTTGCAAATCCCGTCTTTATTTCCTTTTGCCAAACACACGGTTACTGTTTTTGCTGCTGTTGAAGTTAGGGTAAAAGCTAAAACTAATATGGGTAAGTTTTGGGCATGTTCCCCCCACCCCCCGCGGCTCCAGCTTTTTCTTTTCTTTTCTTTTTTGTTTTTTGTTTTTTGTATTTTTTGTTTTTTTGGGTGCTGACTAAATATGGAATAAATTTTGAAAGACAATAACTCGTGTGTGGGCTGATGATAAAGCATGATTGGGTTTCCTCAATCCATAGTTAGAATTTTGTGTTGTTTTCTCTACCTAGTTTGAACGGGTGAAGCAAATTCGTGTATTTTCAAACTTTCAGGGGAGGTCACCAAATCCAAGAAAAATAATTGAATTCATTTACATGGTGATATGGGAAACAAGACTATTGAATTTGGCCTAAAATGCAATACCATATCGAATTTGGATTCGAATTATCATATTTAACACATCAATGGTTTTTTCAGATTTTCAAATACTCTTGATCACATGTTCTTCCGATTGATAAAGATAACAAATTATCAAATAACATAAAAAAGTTTGATTTCCCTCATCATCATATCGAAAGAATTAAGTGAAATTACTAATGTAAATGAATTTAATTTGGATTACATTGGCCTAATTTGGATTAAGTGAAATTACTAATGTAAACGAATTTGGATTGTATTCGAATTTTGAAATAAAACTCTTTCGTACTATAAGACCATCAATTTTAGCTTGATCCTTCCTTTTATTTTATCATTGAATATGTAACATAATGGAGTTGAAACGTACAGTCGGGTATAGATAATATGATCAACACTAAAAATATAGATGTCTTTATCAATCTCAAATAATTTAAGGAATTCAATTATTTAAGTACAAATAATATAGATTTGTCTGTTTCAACACTACTGATTTCATGAATTTGGATTCAATTGGCCTAATTCGAATTTGGATCGTAAACAAATTGGATTTGGATTACATTGGCCTAAATGCAATATACCATATCGAATTTGGATTCGAATTATCATATTCAACACATCAATGGTTTTTTTAGATTTTCAAATACTCTTGATCACATGTTCTTCCGATTGATCAACATATTTAAACTTGATCAAGTTTAAAACGGACTCTTTCGTACTATAAGACCATCAATTTTAGCTTGATCCTTCCTTTTGTTTTATCATTAAATATGTAACATAATGGAGTTGAAACGTACAGCCGGGTATAGATAACATGATCAACACTAAAAAATACAAATGTCTTTATCAATCTCAAATAATTTAAGGAATTCAATTATTTAAGTACAAATAATATAGATTTGTTACAGAAACCGTATATTTGACAAATACTAATCTCAAATGTGATCAAGTTTCAAAGCCCTTTGTTTTATTTTCTTTAATTAATTAATTAATTAAACAAAATATAAACAAATCAGCAATTAACTCCCGTTTGCCCAAAAAAAGTGGGAGAAAGCCCAAATTAATTATTTGTTTGCCGCTCAAGCCTCTTTTTTAATTTAGGTTTTTGCTAACCCTAACAGTTATCAATTTTCAACAGCAGCCACAAAAGAGAAAAAATAAAATCTTCCATACGTCTTCTCCCTAAACCCTCTTCTCCTCAGCAATATCAAGGAAGCCATTGAGCCATACAGGTAACCTACTACATTTTTGCTAATATCCATGTATTGTTATAGATATAGAAAACTTCAAATCATGCTTCACGTTGTACCGGCTCATGTAGAGGTTGTTATAGATCTTTAGCATCTTTAAAGGTTATTATAGATATAGAAAAATGGGTACTGGGTATTAGCATACCTTTAGCAAATTGTTTGAACGGACAGCATGCAATTTCCTCTTAAATTGTTTGAACGGACAGCAATTTCCTCTTTGGAAAGAGGAAATTATCTATGGCAGCCTTTAGCATACCTTTAGCAAATTGTCTTCCAGAAAGATAGAAATCAATACCCATGTATGGTGATACTGACATGGGTTCTCATGGAAATCAGTACCCATCTAGTTTGAACTGCAACTTGCAGTTTTTGGAGAACACAAGCAAGCAATAATAGAACGGCAAGAAGCAAAGGCCAATTAGGACTTTGAATTGGAAATATCCATGTATCTATCTATATCTACTGTAAAATTGCATGCATGTCTTCAATCCCATGCTGGTTGGTTGACAGTCAACATGATACATGTAGATTAATCCAATAATATTTTCATGCGAATTGAAGCAAGACCTCTACCTCTCTCTCTCTCTCTCTCTCTTGAAGCAAATTGTTTTCTCTACCTAGTTTTTCCTTTTTGGATGAATTTTTTTTAAGTATTATTTCTGATTTATGTTTTTTTTTAAATTATGACATGGGTTCTTTTGTGATTATAAATGGCAGCCATGACAAAAAAGAAAAAGAGCAATAATAGAGCATCACATGATCGTGAAATGCAAGAGACAAATCAAACATGTATGAGTTATTTGTGTCGTATTATCGATTAAATTCTTGTTTCTATTATTTTTTATAGTTGTATTTCTATTATATGAGTTTTTAATTTTTCAATTATGTTTTGTGTTTGTATTTCTCTTACAAATGTTAGCCGTGGCAAGAAATGGAAAGAGTCAAGATAGAGCATCAGGCACTGCACATCCTCAGTCATCTAGACTTTCCTTAGATCGCCATATTTCCAATGAGTCATCACATGATAACGAAATGCAAGAAACATGTATGATTTATTTTGAATTTTGAATTTTCTTTGGTGTATATATATATATATATATTTCAATTATATGATTAGTTCTCAATTAATTTCCAATTTTTTGCTCTATTATAAATTGTAGTCAGGGCAAGAAAGATAAAGAATCAGAATAAAGCATCCAACATTACACATCCTCAGTCATCTAGACCTTCCTTAGACCAACATGATGACCCCATTGAGCCATCACATGATAATGAAATGGAAGACATGCCCCTTGAAACTGAACCATCAAATGAAGAAGGTAATTTTTTATTTATATATATATATATGAGGTTTAAACTGAACCTTCACATGATAATTTTTTTTATTTATATATGATCCTATAGCTAGTTTTTTTTGTACCTTGTACTTCAAATATATATATATTTTTTTTCTTATTAGGTTCAACTGTTGGAATAAAAAAAGGTAGAGGGAAGGCTAAGGGTAAAGATGGAAGTGACACTCCAATTGTAATACGTAGAGGAAGGTTATAAGGCCTACAAAGTTAGCCATTTCTCGTGTAGATTTATTTTTATTTATTTATTTAAATTTGGTTTAAATTTTCAGGATTATAACCACTGGAGCAGTGCGAACTATAGGAGTGCTTTTTTATCAGGCTATCGATGGAGCATGGCCAACATTTAAAACATTTCCATCAACTCAAATGGATTTACTGTATGATTGCTTTAACACAACAGGATATACACAGACGTGCTCAGAAGAAGAGATGAGGGAGGCATTCGAACAACATATTAAATTGCGATATTCCGATTGGATGTCCGCATTGAGAAATAGCGTTTTTAAGAAATACAAGACTACTGGTGATAGATACACTCATTGCCCATCAGGGATATCTCAAGATGTTTGGTCTAAACTGGTTGATCATTGGTTGCAGCCTACATGGCAGGTAAAAACTCAATTTAAAATAATATTGTTATGACTGGCTAGTGTATGCTTTGTTTTATTTATAGATGCCATATATGGGTTCACTAAGTTGATATTAGGTTATTATTTACTTTTTTCATGTAGGATAAAAGTAAAAGAAACAAGTCTAATAGGGCGAAATCCACAGTTGTGCATACCACAGGTTCTGTTCCAATGGAAAAGTACATAAAAAATGAGGTAAAAATATCCATTTAGTTGTTGCTTTTTGTTGACTGTTCCTTTTGTGGTTATTTCCAAATTTGGTCCTAACAAACTTCATTGTTTAAATCTTAATAGCTTGATCGAACTGGAATTGAACCGAGTCCAATTGATTGTTTCAAAAAGTTCAATGTAAGTAAGCCTAAGAATGGAGGAGAAGAAAGTTGGCCAAGTGAAAAGGCTAAAGAACTTTTTGTACGTTGCCCCTACTTTGTTTCTCTTTTTCTTTTTCTTTTTAAAATTTTTTATTCACATGACATTTTTTTTATATCCATGTTTATATTTCAACTATTTCATTGAAGGAAAAAATGGAGAATAAAAAGGTTGCTGCAACGGAAGACGAGAATGAAGTAGATGATTGGGATATATACAAGGAGGTTATTGGTGGGCCAAGTCACGGTCGTATCCTTGGCTTAGGTGGTGGCTATAGTACAAAAGATGTGTATCCTTCAGATGACCAAGGTTGTAATAAACGTATATGCTTAGAACGTGAAGAATAGCATGAGAAATTAAAGGAGGAAGTGAAGGACTTGAAAAGTGTGCTGTATGAATTGAAAGATCTAGTTCAAAGTATGAGGGAAAACAACTCAAATACTTATGCACGCTCAAGACAATCTGCTTTAATGGTGAACTCTTTTCTTTCTCATTTCAATATTTTTCTCACTATTAAATATTGTATTTGTTATTTTTATTCTCAAATGATTTATGTCTTATTAATTATTATCTTTTATTCGACAGGACAATGTAGAAAGTTGTTCAGATGCTCACCTCGAAGACGAGTAGTGCAACATCAATTGTATTTTGCTACAATATGTATTTTGAATTTCAAAGTTTTGATATATTTGCGGATTGCATATATGTTTTAAGGATGATGGGGATTGTTTATGTTTTAACTATTTAGAATAATTTTAATTGAATGCATAAAATTTTAGTACAGTATGGTGTCGTATGATTTTTTTTTATTATTACCAATTAAATACGGATGATTAGAAAACTATTTCTAGCAAATATTATAATTCAAATTTCTTTTTATTAATTTTTTATATAAAATAATTACATTTTTCGACCGCATTTCCCTCTCGGTAATGCATATTTCCAACAAACACTTTATCATCGGAAATAGTTTCCGACAATAATTGCCTATTTCCGACAAAATTCCCCACGACATAATCGGGTCGAAACAATTATATTTCCGACCACTTGTTCGTCGAAAATATTTTCTGACAGGATTAATCTAATTGCGACAAACTTTGCGACGAATAAATATGGTTGGAAATATATTTCCAACATAACTTGCTCATCGAAAATATATCTTTATACTCTTTTTCGACGAGCTATTATATATTTTCCACAAACTATTTTGGTCGGTAATGATAATTGCGACGAAATCTAGCCCTCACAAATAATATATCATTGTTGGAAAAAGTATTTCTGACGACACTCATCGGTTGAAAATATGAATTCACAAAACAAGAAATCACGATAAAAGAACTATTTCCGACAATCAAATAAGTAATTACGACCACATGTACGGTTGGAAATAAATATGTAGGGTCGTTTAAAAAATCCATTTCCGATAGAAATTTAAGCAATAGCTATGAAGCATGGGCGTCAGAAATACATTATTTCCGACGGAATGGTCAGAAATGAAGTATTTGCAACCGAGCTTTTAGCGACGATTGCCGACGGACTTTTGCAGTCGAAAAAAGATATTTGCGACGGCAAAAGGCCTTTTGCAACGACAAAATGCCCTCGCAAAAGGGCTTCTGTTTTGTAGTGTTTCCTCTAGGCTCTCAAGGTTCAAATATGGCGTTTTGGGTGGCGAGAAGAATTTTTTGAGAATAGGTCAAGTTGGTAGAGCCTTAGCGTGAGTTCTACTTCTAATCAATTTTATATAGGTTTGGATTGATGTTTATTATTTCCTATATGCTTCAGGAGTGGGCTTATTTTAAATAAAGCTATTATTTACTTTACTTAAATTGGGCTATTATTAGTTTATTATATTTATTTTGTGTAATGGGCTAATATTTATTGGAGTAGGAAACTTAACTATATTTAATATTTAAAAATCTTCCCCTAGGCTGGAGCCCACTCTAGCCTAGCAATAGATCCGTCCTTGGGTTTGACAAAAGTGCGAGGAACGCTCTACTTAGTCTTATCAAAAGAGAGAGAGAGAGAGAGAGAGAGAGAGAGAGAGACAGAGAGAGACAGAGAGAGATGGTAGGACCTGGAAGAGGAAGCTAGAAGGTGCCAGCCAGCAAGTAAATTGCCGCAATGCCATTCTATTTCCCTATTTATCTTATTTGCATGTTGTTATTATGCGAATGCTATTGTAAATAAGAAGAAGAGCAAGGAGATGTAATATAAAATACATGCAGACATTAATTACCAACACAACCCATTGGATATTTATTTAAAATTAGTATTCTTTCTCTCTCTCTCTCTCTCTCTCTCTCTCTCTCTCTTCTTGAAGGATGTAGAAAATCGATGGGAGAATAATCCAAGGACATCTATCTAGGAACGAGTATTAGCAGAGTCTAGATTAAAAGCACACCAAGAGGCGCTCTCTCAAACTTCAAGGATATATAGATAGAAAAAAAAATAACTCAAATTTGAAGGACAACCTGCATATAGAAGTAGAGAGGGCATCTGGTGAGGTAGAACATATGCACAGGCGATTAACATGGTGGATTTTTAATATTATTTGAATATTAAATGAAAAATTGATTAGAAATGTCTTGTGTTTCACCCAAACATAGACACTGTGATTTTATTTTATTTTTTAAATTGTTTTTCATTGATTTTTGTTTACTGATAAGAGTAGTTTAGAGCATATTCTTTACTATTAGGCCATTACCCGGTCTCTATTGTCCCCCTTTGAGTTTTTACTTTTTCAAAGTTATTACTTGTATAAAGATTTAGCATTTTCACGTTTAATAGTCGTATTGTACATGTACATATGTATTTTTCATGTTTAATACACTTATTTTTACAAAAAATTTAATAATACACACAAAATTCACGTATTATCCCTCAAAATATTGGTAATTTAATAAACCTACACACTTTGTACTTGCATTCCAATCAACTTTCTAGTTTGATTCCCAAGGAGATAGGGAACTTGAAATCTCTTGTATATCTAGTGTTGTCCAAGAACAATTTAAGTGGTGTCATCCCTCCAAATATTGGTAACTTAATAAAGCTAAACACTTTGTACTTGAATACCAATAAACTTTTTGGTTTGATTCCCAAGGGGATAGGGAACTTGAAATCTCTTGTAAATCTATCGTTGCCCTACAACAATTTAAGTGGTCACATCCCTTCAAATATTGGTAACTTAATAAAGCTAAACACTTTGTACTTGAATAACAATCAACTTTCTAGTTTGATTCCAAAGGGGATAAGGAATTTGAAATCATTTGTAAATATATTGTTGTCCTACAACAATTTAAGTGGTCTCATCCCTCCAAATATTGGTAACTTAATAAACCTGAACACTTTGTACTTGCCTTTCAATCAACTTTCCGGTTTGATTCCCAAAGAGATAGGGAACTTGAAATCTCTTGTAGATCTAGAATTGTCTTACAACAATTTAAGTGGTCTCATCCCTCCAAATATTGGTAACTTAATAAAGCTAAACATTTTGTACTTCGATAAAAATCAACTTTCTGGTTTGATTCCTAAGAAGATAGGGAACTTGAAATCTCTTGTAGATCTAGAGTTTGGCTACAACAATTTAAGTGGTCTCATCCCTCCAAATTTTGGTAACTTAATAAACGTAAACACTTTGTGACAGGACCCGACCAAATTCCACTTTGGAATCTGAGCCAAACCCTGTTCATGATCGACACCTGGCGGGTGCCGAGCACAATTGACTTGGTTGCCCCCTTTTTTTTTGTTAAAAACTTAATTTCCCTTAAATCCTGACTTCTACCGAAAATTCGGCAGAGTCTTCCCTGTAAATCGAGTATTCCCAAAATTTACACCTGTCAACAAGCACTTAAATATATACACCAACTGCCAATATACAAAAATAAGTAAGTTCCAACAGTTAAGTACGTTCCAGGGCAATATCAGAGCAACTATACAAGTTTATTTACAAAGGAGGTAACCACTTGTGAACCAAGGAACCCTACACCAAAATGGGGAAGAGCGGGAAGCGGGAAATGCCCTGTGGTGGCTCTCGGATGCACGTCTACAGGCTGGGGGCGCAAAACATTAAAAAGGTGAGTGGACCCAAAAACAAAGTTTAGAAAATACATAAGAACATACTAACCCCGCTGTAAAAAAAACAGTTATGCAAAATTAAATCATTCTCTTCATTATATTCGTACTGAAATCAAAGCACACACATATATTTATAAATATATGCCAATCATACTCATGGTCATCTTTTAAACTCTTAAAAGCATTGAAATCATTTTAAAACTACCACCTAGGTGTACCCCTTTATTTCCGTCAATTCCTGATATCCGTCAATTTCTAATAAGCCGTCAATTCCTCGTATCACCATTGGTGACACGTCCTCACAGGTCACGGTGACACAAAGTCAATCAGAGCCGCAACCTCGCATGATTCAGGGGACCTTGGTCAACTTGATCCGCATCCTCGCTCCACACGAGTCCGGGTACCATAGAACTCGTGGGGCAACTGTCAAGCATGCTGACTAAACCGAAGGCAATTGATAAAATCTGAAGGTAACCTGGATGTCCGTGGACATCATCATATCCGAAGGCAACATCTATATATATGGGTACCTAAGGTGGCTTAGAAAATAACAATAATAATAATAAGCAAAGTTTTTGAAAGATCTGATAAATAACTAAATTTCTATTAAGGCTAGATTCTGCTGCCATTTATTTGATGTTTAACTAAAATTCTCTTTCCCTATGTCCCTAAAGGATATTCCACTCGGCAGCATGCAAATCATAATATTAAAAAGCATGTCTCACTTATAAAACACTAATCTTTGAATAAAACTTATTCAAGATCAAATACTGAAACTAAATTGCATAAATTCATTTATGAAAACAAAGAGTCCACTCACGGTTGGTCCGTGCTCGTTGGACCTTTGGAAGGTCCCTCATGCGGGTCAACTGGTGCCCGAGTGCCTGATTCAAATACCATATTAAAATATATTAATAAAACTACTCGGTATAAATATTTAAATAAACTATGACCCCCGGCTTCTAGAAGTGCGTGCATCAAATTTAAATTTATTCATATGCCCACATTACGTTCCTTTAATCCTAGAACATTCGTCCTGTGAATCTGGTTTTGATCGGACGGTTAGATTCGCCACGATCACATTATCGACGATTCTAAACCCTTAACCCTAGGGTTCGCGATTTCGGAGTATCCAGGACTTCGATTCATGATCCGTTGAATCCTACACAATCCTGGCAAGGTCTAGATTAACATATCTGAAAGTGATCACGACCCAACGGTTTGAAACTATTAAACCTGGATAACGCACACTATGTAAAAGTCCGCTTAACACTCAAATGACGTCCGAAATGAGATCCGTGAATTTCTACACGCTCGTGAGAATACGAGGATCATTCTGAATCTAAGAGTGGTCCCCACCAGACTACCCACGCGCCGTCACACGCGCCGGCAGTTTGGGTGGCTTGAGAAATTTCCGGCTGCCAGAAAAACTCCAAACCGCCGGCCCAAACTCCTAACTTCGGTAAAATACCCAATTTGGAACCACTTTTGTTATTGGACCTACCCTAAAAGGTGGCCGGAATCCTACCCTCAAAATCGGCTGAAACTTAAGTTGAGAATCGAACAATTTACGCTTGAAATTTCTAAAATCCTACCCAACCAGCAGCTAAGTCACGAAAAATAGGTAGGAATCCATACCTTGATCGTCCGATTTGGTAGCCGGACGAAGGAGATCGAAGGTTGTGAAAATCGATTGAAACCGGCGGGTTTTTCTCTTGTTTTCGGTGAGCTCCGAGGTCGGCGACGACTGAGGCTGGTCGGGATGTGATGGGGGAAGGATGACGGTTCGAACGGATCCGGTCTCCTGGCCGGTGGTTCACGGTGGCGGTGGTTATGGAGGAGAGAAGGTGGCGAGTTGAAATAGGGGGGGGGGACTGTGTCGCGAGGAAGAAGAGTGTGGCAGGAGAGAGAAAGTCGGTTGTTAAAAAAAAATCCTGGTCTCCAAAATTACCATTTTGCCCCTTGAAGTATTTTGACTGTATTTTCTTCGTTATAACTCCAAATCGAGCCCACTACATGTCTACGAACTCATTTCGTCGCGCTCTACGCAACGGTGCAAACAAAATTTCCAAATTCGCCTCCAGTCAAAAAGTCAACTTCTCAATTACTAAAATAGTCTAAGGGCAAAAGTGTCATTTTTCCCTAAATAAACTAATAGTTAAATATTAATTAAGGTTTGGGTTAGTACACTTTGTACTTCAATTCCAATAAACTTTCCAGTTTGACTCCAAAGGAGATAGAGAACTTGAAATCCCTTGTAGATCTAGAGTTGTCCTACAACAATTTAAGTCGTCTCATCCCTCCAAATATTAGTAACTTAATAAAGCTAAACACTTTGTACTTGGGTAAAAATCAACTTTCTGGTTTGATTCCTAAGAGATATGCATCTTGAAATTTCTTGTAGATCTAGAATTGGGCGAGAATCAACTCAATAGTTCAATTCAAGCCCTCATTTGCTAACTTGTGCAACTTGGAGATCTTATTCCTATGCGATAACTAACTTTCTGGCTCCATGCCCCAAGAGTTAGAGAATCTCAAGAATTTGACTAA